TATATATTAAATAGTCTACTAACTTTTTTATATAATATTTTTAATTATTTTCCAGATCTATTATATTTACTACTTTATAAAATCAGTACTATTAGATAATAATATTTTAATTAATATCTGTAATATATTAAAATTATCCGGGATAGTAAAATTTTATAAATACTATATTTACCGGGTAACTTATAACTATAGATTAATATTATAAATATTCTCTCTGTTACTGAACTGGGTCTATATCTATATTTTATTAACTATATACTGTACTACTATAATAGCCTTGTTAACTTATTTAATTAGAATAGAAATATATAATTTTATCTTATTTCTATAGATATAAATATAATAGAACTCTTTATATATTAGAAAAATCTGCTAATAATTAATTAAAATATATAATTACCGGAGTTTAATCTCTTTTTAAATTTACTATTTATAGATTATCTATTTCTAATAGAGATTTTAGATCTAGCTATAGATCTGGTACTAATACTACTATATACTTTTAATTATTTAATTAATATATTAGTAGCGGGAATAATTACAGTAATATATTAATCTATTAAGATAGATAGATAATTCAGTTAATATCTAGTCTACTTTATAAAGAATTATAGTTTTATTAATTTATTAAATAATATTTTTTTATTACTAAATTCTTTTCTAAATCTAAATTATTTCGATATAGAATTTTTAATAGATTCGGCTAGTTAAATAGTAGATAATTTTACTAGACTATATTCTATATTAATATACTTTATAAATAATAATAGATAGTCTATTAAGTTTCTTAAAAATAGAATAGTCTATAATTATATAAATATTTTAATAGAAATAGAATTGGACTAATTATAATAAGATTCTATTACTTTTATAGTATATAGAGATTATCTCTAAGTACTACAGTAAATAATAAATAGATATAATTAATTTTAAATATATTATCAGAGTAGTAAAATTAAATAATTAGAAATTCTATCAGTAATAGCTGACCCTAATAAAATTTAATAGTAAAATTTATATTAATAATATTATATTTTTCTAAGTAATTAATATACTGTAAAATAAATAGTTAATATAGAGAATTAATATAAGTAATTTAACTAATTCTAAGTTTAATTTAATTAACAGAAGTATTACAAGTCTATATAGATAGTTTAAAATAAATATATATTGACCCTAAATCCGCCCGCCCGCCAAACGGGCCCCACCCTAAACCGAATGCACTGTATTCTTTCACCCCTTCTGGGTTAGAGTAGATAAATAATCTAGCCAATATCTAATCTATTTTATAGAGAATTATAGTTTTATTAATTTATTAAATAATATTTTTCTATTACTAAATTTCTTTCTAGATCTGAACTGTTTTAATATAGGATTTTTAATAGATCTGACTAGTTAAATAGTAGATAATCTTACTAGATTATACTCTATATTAATATATTTTATAAATAATAATAGATAGTCTATCGAGTTTCTTAAAAATAGAATAGTCTATAGTTATATAAATATTTTAATATTTTTATAGTATATAGAGATTATTTTTAAGTACTATAGTAAATAATAAATAGATATAATTAATTTTAAATATATTATTGGAGTAATAAAAATAAACAGTTAAGAATTTTACTAGTAATAGCTGATTTTAATAAAATTTAATAATAAAACTTATATTAATAATATTATATTTTTCTAAGTAATTAATATATTATAAAATAGATAATCGATATAGAGAATTAATATAAATAATCTAGCCAGTTCTGAGTCTAATCTAATTAATAGAGATATTATAAGTCTATATAAATAGTTTAAAATAAATATATATTAATTCTAAATCTGTCTGTCTACCAAATAAGTCCTACTCTAAACTAAATATATTATATTCTTTTACTTCTTCTGAGTTAGAATTGGGCTGATTATAATAAGATTCTATTACTTTTATAATATATAGAGATTATCCCTGAGTACTGCAGTAAATAATAAATAAATATAATTAACTCTAAATATATTATCGGAGCGGTAAAGATAGATAGTTAGAAATTCTATCAGTAATAGCTAATTTTAATAAAATTTAATAATATAACTTATACTAATAATATTATATTTTTCCAAGTAATTGATATACTGTAAAATAGATAGTTAATATAGAGAATTAATATAAGTAATCTAGTCAATTCTAAGTCTGATCCGATTAGCAGAAGTATTATAAGTCTATATAGACAGTTTAAAACAAATGTATGTTGATCCTAAACCCGCCCGCCTACCAAATGGGCCCCACCCTAAACCGAATGCACTGTATTCTTTCACCCCTTCTAGGATAGGCAGAACTAGGTTAACCGCGGTTAACCTAGTTTTAACCTTAACCTAGGTCGGTTAAAGATTTTTATACCTTAACCTAACCGACCCCGGTTAGGTTAGGTTATGGCTAGGTTACAACGGTTAGGTTATGCCACTCTAATCACAGTGAGTCTCAAAAGTTTACTATTCAGGAAGTTTGGAACAAGCTTAGTAGATTAACGACTATATATTCACGAGGTTGTTATGCCTTCCTATCGCTCTCTGCGAGGGGTCAGGTCAAGTAATATATATACAGAGTAATTCCTTTGCTACTATGATCTGTAGTTACTTTGGGACGGAAAGGTTTACTGTATGTCTGCTCAACTACCTCTTTAGTACTAGCTTTATACTTTTGATGAAGAATAACTGACAGAATTGAAGGAAGATGTCATGTTTCAAGACTAACTACTTGCGCGATCATTGCAGCTAGTCAAGAGAAGACTGTTGCTGTTAGGTCTGTCACGGATAGAGGTTTAAGCAATCAGTGAATACGTTGGAGTGATATGATTCTTCGTCTATAAGGGCAGTGCAATATGATAGCTTAATGTTTTCTTCTCTTTTCCTCTCTTTAGCTTAGTCTCTTCGTGATAGACTACCTAATCAACTATTGATTCAACTGAGTCCCTTACAAGGCCGCCCTCATGCTGCACGACACCAAAACCGTTGTGATGTCGATACCAGCATTGGAATACCAATATGACAGATATAATAGTCTACAACTAGAAGACCCGAGCACGGGAATTGAGTAAATCTGGTATGATTAATCGGGCGAGTTCCTGGGTTACGACCATGAAATAACAGACCTTTTGAACAAAAAAGATTTCGGACTTCTAAGCACAGTAATCAGGATCATTTCGATGATCATCACAGCTTATTCCTCTTATCAGGAAATGGATATCCGACAAGTTCCCAAGCTTCCCTGACCTTATCCACATGCACGCCAGCATTCTCAATTGTGAGATCGGCGAAGTCTTTAAATTTAGCTTTGCCATTTGTGAGGAGCTTACCACTGCTCAGAGCGCGGTACCAGACAGGACCAGCACCTTCCCACGCATATCCTCCAATCTTAGTAGCTGCAAGATAGAACGCACGATTAGGGATGCCAGAGTTGACGTGAACGCCTCCATTATCGTCGCTGAAGGGGAGGTTCTTGAAACCCCTCCAGTGTGCAGGCTGACGATCATTTCCCACTCTATCATCATTATAAGCTGTTCCAGGATTCGCCATATCCCGGAGAGCCTTGCCATTGACACCTGCAGCGAAGATTCCCTCTCCAATAAGCCAGTTGGCCTGGTCAACAGTCTGAGGGGTGCCTTCACCCCATTGCTTAACCATAATACCAAAGACATCTGCAATAGACTCATTAAGAGCTCCACTCTGGAATTCATAAGGGAGTGGACTTATATACTCCACCACGCCATGGGTAACTTCATGAGCAATAACATCGAGCTCGTCTGTAAAGCCATCAAAGATCACTCCATCTCCATCGCCAAAGACAAATTCTCTGCCATTATAGAAAGCGTTATAGAAGTCTCCAGCATGTATAAAGCCATCAAGCTTCATACCCTTATTATCAAAGGAATCTCTCTGGAAGAAACTGAAGTAGAAATCATAGGTCCTTCCAAAGCCATTATAGCACTCATTCGCATTATTAGTCGGATCTTGCTCAAGGGTGAGTAGCGGACCACCCTCACGGATCAGTACCTTGTTACGAGGAGGAAAATCAGCACGTGAATTTTGCGCATCATAGACTGTACGGTTCGGGCGGCGTGTAGTTGTTGTATCTGTTCGATATTTAGTGCTATGAGCAAGTGTCTGGCGGGCCGCCTCGCGTTGCTGTTCTGTTGCTGCGTTCCGAGAAAGTGACTCAAGGATATAAGGAGGAATAATACCTTGAGAGGTTCGTTGCCGCGGAGCTGCCGCGATACTCTCTCTGTGACTTATGCGGACATCCTGCAGTTGCTTGATTTTTCCAATAGTAGATTGACACTGATTGATAACATGCTGTGGTACCAACCCTTTTCGAATAATACCCTGCAGTATATATTCCGGTATAATGCCACATACAGGAGCCATGTTCCTGTCCTGGTAAAACGTATTGACAGATATCTTCACTTGACTTAAGATAGTAAAAAGTAAGATCGCAGTGACCTTTGAAGTACAAGGGCCCTCTGCTGAGAAGAGCATGCTTTAAAATATCGGACGATGCATGTATTAAAGGCACCCTATAGTATGGTGGTCTGGCCCAATTTTCTTTACGTCATTGTCAAGTCATTCTATGTCAAATGACCTGGATGATTCAGTGTCTCTTCGATGGCACAATGTAATGGTCAACGGACTGTTCTAGAGCTGGTGATGAGAAATGTAAAATCCTAGCGCTTTAGCCACTCTTCCTCCTTAGCTCCATACTAAGAATGATCCCATACCATGTGTCCATGGACTAGGCCTCGCCACGGGTCGGACTTGGGTCCAACACAGGACCCGTACCCGCGGGTCAGGTGTGGACACTAGACCCAAAACCCAAACCCGCGGGTTACCCGCCAAGAGCCCATTTCAGCATAAATCTCCCAATTAGGGTATGCTAAGTTACATAAAAGTGCTGATCCATTCAGATAAATTAGTTATAGCTTTTGAAAGTGGGGGGCTAGAAGCACGTTTGGTGATCACAACTATCACCTCAAAAAGTACACCAGTGCATCAAAAGATACAAATTCACAAAGAGTGTCCACATGAATCTTTGTAGAACTTTTGCTAGGTTCAAAGACATAACCTTTGTAAATCATGATTGAAGGCTGTAATTATTTAAATTGTTGCCTTTGATTGATCCGATTTATGGTTCTGAAGACGTTTGCGGACATCATACGATATTGTCTCGACAAATCAACCATAGCCAGTCATTTCACAGTTTTCAATCCTACTTGCACTCCCCAAGTCTTGTTGAACATGTGTATATAATACTCTTTCTTATCCTCCATTCTTTGCTTTTACTAAGCACCCACTTCACGAACACGATTGTGTTTTCATTTACCCGGACCATGCTATGGTAATGAACAATGGCAGGCTCGGACCAAACAAAGCCACCGTCTACTAGTTCAGCACAGAGAGAGCTATCACAGACAGGACAAGAAGAGACGGCGTCATCCCAGGATCAACAGGACCCACGAAACCAGGACAGACAGAAACAACACCGGAAAGACAGAACGCGGAGAGAGCTGTCAGAGGAAGAATCGATAGATGTCTCGGAACTACAACTTCGGTTCTTGAGACCTGCGAGAACATGCCAATTCATTAGGAGGGCGTGTGGCTGCTTTTCCCGGCTTTCCAAAAAGCCGTCCCGTGGCATTGTGCTTGGACGGGAAAGCTACCAGGTTTATGCCAATGCGACATCGAGAATCTACAATGAATCCGAATGCGAAATGACTAGAGAAGAAGGTCTTTATATATTCACTTACTGGCTAGTGTGGATCTTGGTTATCATTCAGTTGATGGTTTCGGCCGTTATCACTGCCTTCACGGCTTCCAATGCTCAAAATTTGAACCATATCCCTGCTGCAGTTCTAGGTGGTGTGAACTTCCTTCTCACATCTCTTCTAGGTTTCTTAAGAGTTGAGCCAGAAAGGAGATGGCAAAACGCTGCAGAGTACAGACGGGTGATTGGTCTCGTGGATGGAACCATTGACTGGCTTCGGTATGCGGACCCGACTACTCCGCTACAACCGCTGGTAAAGGATGCAGAGTCAGCGATTGAGGCGGCCAGGAGGAACGTTGCTGCCAATAGACCTGCAGACTTCGTCCGAGTGTCACGCGGTCAAACTGGACCCGACGATAGTAATTAGGGCAACGGAGTAGATACTGCAAACCCCATCTTTAGTTCTTTGTTTTGTGCCTTAATGCTATTATCATGTACTGCTTGTTGTCATGGGAAATCTGTTTTGGCCAGGACCCCCAAAAACAGCTTATTCTGCGCACATTCCTCGAAACTGATGTCGCTGCCTCGATCCCCAAAGTTTGCTATTCCTTTTGGAATCAACGGGTTTTTAACAAACGAACGAAGCTCTTGCGTATCAGCCCATTCTTCAAAGACCAGCCACTTGTGCGATTGAATTCTATTTAGGGTCTTTAACCTGGGTATTTTCTATCACATGGAAGAAATCTTAAAAGTAAAAGCCGGAATTTCGCACCGGCAGTCGACCACACAAACACATAACCGTATATCTGAAATCAGCCTTCCGCAGTCAACATTCGGCAGAAAAAAGGATGGTCCGAGGCCGACCTTAGAATGGCGAAGCCGACATGCAGCGTTCAAAAAAAATCATATAACATAGCTGCTTCTTCCATCGTGCATGAGTACACTTAACAGGAGATATAGCGAACCCCCCTAGTCGTGTTCTATCATGGGGGTGGGTGCTATTTGGCTCAGAAGTACTTTATGTAACCCGGAACTCGCCGGCTCCGCCGATGGCTGCACCCTAAGATTGCGTTATCAATGAGACAAATTCCAACTTGAAGTTTCTATTCCTTCAAAATCGTACGTAAGGAATTTCCAGCGCCGGAGATCTTAGCTAATACTTGACTATCTTCTCAGTACGTATCATGGTGAGCAAACTTCCAACCGAATTGCAGATTGATATATAGATCTTATTCGGTCTATATCCTGTAAAGGCAGCCATTGTCTTATTTTTATTTGGTGCGATATGCTGCACATAACTGATAGAGTAAATAATCATTAGGTAGATCTACTTAAAAAAATATTTTTGTTTTTAGGTTTCAAGTTAGTTTACTAGATTTACTAGATAGCTGATATGGTTGTCAAGCATCTAATACCCATTAGAATATCTAGGAGGCTGACCGCTGGCAACTGAATCCCACTCGAGAAGTTAAGAATGGCCTACTGAAGCGACATACTACACAACCCACATTCTTGGGCCTAGAGGGCTTGCGTTATTGTCGGGCAATCTCCATACCATGACACTGCTTACAGCGCAGTGGATGCAGGAAGCGCCATACCCCCCTGATATGTTACAATGCTGATATACTTGTCTCCTGGTCTGTTCTCCGAATCTTCTAGAATATGTTGAATCTGTTCTAGGATCGCAGCATTTTCTCCAGAATCAGGCTTGAGTGTCGGCGAGCGATCTCCGGGTTTAAAATACCAATTAGGATCCAACTTGAATTTCCGAATTTAGTTCAGGAAAATGGGTAACTAATCTGTCCTAAGGCAAGCTTGTGTTGCATGACAGGCCATCAATTTCTTGCAGATTCACATATCGGACTAGCATCGCAACATGTCTAATACTGGAGCTTGGCTTTTCAAGATATTGGGTGTTGTTTAAGTTCCTCTCAAATGCCATCAGGGATATCTGGATTGATCTGCGGAGGAGCCGAATACGATAGTGCCAATGTTGTTAGACTATATGTGGATAAAGCGGTGCCCTAAATCTTCACATACCCTCGCTGACTCAAAGGGGCATCAGGGATAACCGGATCATCGCGAAAGTTGTACAGCCCTACTGAATCACGGACTAAGTAGACACGGGCTGGCATCTCAGAACCAAGAAATAGTTAAGGACATTCAATAGAGACTTGATAGGTTTCATATGGAGGAATAAAGAGTCAATCATTTAGCCGGGTTCTTGATGTTAGTGGTAACTATTCTTTAACTTTCTTTCACCAAGGATATCACAATTGCTTGTGCATAATATTGCTCTGTCATGGAACTAGCAACAGAATGCGACTTCTACTTCCTTTCAGTTTCGGAACTGGCTATGCCAATGGCAATCTGCATCCATGGCGGGGTAGTTGGTTGTAACAAACATCTATGATCATGTTACTACTATTCTTGATCATATCTACCTCTTACAACAAGCGTCGTTTGTGTCATTTCCACAGAAAGGAATAATAAAGATTAACTTTAATCTTGTTAATGAACTGTCCCATGGAAGTTTCCGGTTATTGTCCCCAAACGGCGCCTGTGCTTTCCGATCTGGGGCTGGCCCATGGCGACTAGCCCAATCTAATAATTTGGAATGTCACGATACGTGTGACTGTCATATGCACTCACATGATCGGGAGAAAACAATCTCAGTGCTTGGCATATATCATCACGACCAATGGTCCCATCTGAAGGAGAGGTTTTCTGATATCAGATGAGCATGATATTCCGCGTTCTCGATCCCACTCGAAACACCAATGCTGATGATTTATTGCCGTGAGTAAACCAGGGATTGAAGATAATTGCAGTATTCTGTTCTACTGGGAGAAGCACATTCTAGGATTTTTTTTTACTCTACTTATCCATAAATATGCCGTAGTTGATGATATATGCACAACTCCTTTTGGACTGAAGTAGTGGAATTAAATAAAGTAGTGATTGGTTGCAGATGTATTTTGTTTCAGACAGGTCAAGCTATACTCCAGCAACTAGTGTCGATTGCTGTAATCCCATGACCCTCGTGTATCGCCAGAGTTAACGTATTTCACCGGTGAGCGGGCCACACCAACGAGCGGGCCACCTCATCAAAAATTTACGCGTTTTATTGCCTCACTCAATTCAATCACTAACTATACCTCTAAAAGTATATCAAAATTCAAGAAATTTAACTGAGCAGAAGAACAGAATCTTACTTACTATTTCTGCTTTAAAAAAAAAGGAAATTTGTAATATTTGTAAAGCGGTATATATCTTTAATATTCCTTGTATAACTCTTCAGCGATAACTAAATAGAATTATTTTACGCTTAGAAATACGCGCCAATAATTATATATTAACTTAAAATAAGAAGAAATTATTTGTACAATAAATTTTATTACTGAATCGATATAAAGCACCTCCCAGACTATTTTATATATAAGAAATAGCCAATATTCTTCTTATTATATATAGTACAATATCTATTTAAATAGTTGGAGAGAACTGGGTCTTTAAATTTATTAAACAATATAATAAGATAAAAATCTGCTATACTCGATACTATAATTATTGACAAGTAAAATATAAAGACTCTAAAATTATTAAAGAGTAGTTTGACCGTATATAAATTACTATAATATAATATAGAATTGTATAGAAAGATATCTATAATTTTGACAAAACTGGCTTTACTATAAGTTTAGTAACTACTACCTAAGTAGTAACTAGAGCTGATTACTATAGAAAAGTACTTTTTGTATAGCCAGATAATTGAGAATAGATTATATCTATTAAGTATATTAACTCTTCTAGTTAGGTACTTTCTCTATATATTATCTTTAAAAAGAAGATTTATATAGAGGACTAATATCAAGGATCAGAGCTTCTATCTAATAGTAGAATTGATATAAATTCTAATAGATAGATTACTAATAAAATAGATCTTCGCTGGCTTAAAAATCTCTTTATATCTGCGACTATTAGTTATATAACTAGGAAATATTGTCTTCTAGTTCTTGATAGCTATAGTAGTTATTTTATACCTCAATTTAATTAAATATATAGTAAGAATAATATTATTCCTATCTATATATCTGTGTATTCTTCCAACAAGCTTTAGCCTTTAGATATAGACTGTTTTCGGTCTCTAAAAGATAGATATAGAGATTTAATAGAAGAAAAAGTATATCTAGAAGTCAGTTATATTAATAAGCTTAATTTCCTAAAAATTTTGCTAAAAGCTTGTCAAAGTATCTTTACAGCAGAGAATATTCAGAATAGCTTTACAGCTACTGGACTAGTTCTATTTAATTTAAATAGAGTACTTAGCAAGCTGGATATTTAATTAAAGACTCCTATATTACTAGACAGTCGGTCAATTAATTCAGTATTTAAAATACCTTATACTACTAAACAGCTAGAGAAATAGATAGCTGCTACAAGAAAACTGCTTAGGAAATATATCTGCAGCCCTTTATCTTTACCAGAAGTACAATTAGAGAAAATTATTAAAGATTATAAATTGATACTTAATAAACTTATTCTTGTACAAAAAGAAATACAAAAATATTATATTAAGAATAAATAGAAAGATCAAAAGTAAATATACTCTACTAGATAGCTAGCTATTACAGAGAGCCTAGCTATTTAAAAGAGCTTAGAGTATTTTCAGTACAAAAATAAGATTCAGAAAGCTCAGAATACTATCTCTATAGATCCAGCGCTTTCTATAGTTAGACTATATATATAAGCACCACCGCAGTGTTCTAATTACCATATTCGGGGACATACTAGGGTTAGATATCCTAATCCACTTAATAATTAATTTTTATATAGAAATGCAATTATTTGGTTGATATAGGCCCTACAATCTCACCTAGAGGTAGGATCGGAGCAGAGGTGGCCCGCTCGTTGGTGTGGCCCGCTCACCGGTGAAATACGTTACCTGGAGTGCTGATGATGTAAGCCCACTGGGCCAACGTTCCTTGACGATCGGCCCACATAGAACAAAATAAGCTATAGTTCATGTTGTGAGGTATTATATAGCTAGGAATCAGGAGCTAATTTATCTTAGACAATACTAAGTTCGCACACGGCGAGTATAGAGTGTATAAAGATCCATTCAATTCAGTTTGATACAATCCCCCTGTTCACAAAATTAAACTATAAAAATCCTGCAAATGTTTTGCCCGAAATTTAGTCATTCTTTTAGTTACCCAGTTCCAGACCAGCTTAATATAAGAGAAAACATGCTACCAGAGACTCTCACAGATACTCATTCCCATTGTTAGTGGTAAGCGGAGCGAACCCGAGTTCATATGCAAACCCAATTACCAATCTAACATGCTGAAGAATGTGGTTGACATTGATTGTGTCTGCACGGTCTAGTGATGAGTGGATAAATTTGCTGTGGTCACCATACTTGGATTCAAAAGTCATCGCTGCAGGAAAACCATGTACATGGGCTGACGCATGATCCGAACAGCGATAACCACATGCGGTATCGGCATACGGTACTGTACAATACTATTGTTGACCACAGTTAGCTTAGCGGCTTTTGTCCTGTTAGGGAATTGACACTTGCAGATCTGATTATCATTCTCACGAAGCTGGTCAAGCTCGGATCGACGTTGTCGGTAAGGACACCAATGACCTCTGGCTTACTATGACTCACGTAACCTGTATATCCAGTCATATCCTGATTAAGCATGGCTTTTACCTCTCTGGCCTGAGTAGAATATGCGTCAAAAACCTGATGGCTTCCTTGTAGCCCTACTTCTTCGGCTGCGTAGAAGTGGAATTCAAGTGTATTCAGCGCTTGACCTTGGGCAACAGAAGGATCCTGCAGAAGAACGCGCAAGGCTTCAAGAAGAGTTGCAACTCCAGACGCATTGTCATCTATCACTGCCAGTTAACACGGGTACCATTTAAGGCTTTATCATGACGATATTTCAATACTTACCAGCACCGGGGGCATAGTCCCGTGAGACTTGGTAGCATCCAGTGATAGAGTCCTGGTGAGCTCCCACCACAACTGTTTTTGCGCTCCGGCCCGGAATGGATACAATTATACTAGGCTGATGCCAACCAACGTGGGTGAAATAATCCACTGCAACTCGCGGTGCGCTGCTGGCAGTAATAACCTGGCTGATCTTTGTATAAAGCCATCTTGACGCTTTAGTGCTAGGCTCACTTCCGTTATAGAAGCGGTTTTGAAAGTTGGAAAGATCTTCAATGATGGTTTGCACGCCAAGCGGATCCAGTTGAGTAATGAGCCTGTTTACCTTTTGCAATTGGTGAACAGCTGTCGGATATCTAACTGGCGCTTGCAGTTTAACATGGTTCTGGGCAACCCGCGTATTTGCAGCGGTAATGTCAAGGAACTCCTGGCTTACGCCTGGTGGGTGGTTGAAGCCATACTCCTTGTTCAGTGGTTGCGCGGGCGGTGGTAAAAGCGCCGATGCAGCTACAGCAAAGGCAATGACAATGCGTGAGAAATACATTATACTAAGTGGATCTTTGCTGTACGGTAACACGCTAGGTTAATAGGAAGCCAAGATACTGATGGCTCAGTTGCTGGGTAGCAGTTTCTCACCAACTGATAGATTTTGTACGTATACCTCAGACGTGATTTTTTTTTGGTTCACTATCACTGAGTGTTTGTGTATCATATGATGTGGTACTATGCACAGCGTAATATTAACCCGACATTTAATACCAGCTAGCTGAAAATTGGGATTCAGCAGGTCAGAACAGGGGAAATTATTAAGTAGTATGACTTAATGGCTTAAAATGGAAATTATCCGGGCGGAGCCGTACCCTATGATTGATTAGAGTACAGGGACCAGGATATGTCGTGATCTCAACAGTACAAGATGCTGGAGATAGACTTTGGTAGGAGAGCCTGGTCAAGCCGATTTGCCGGAACCACGGTAGTCGCCAATCTAAAGTGGATTATCTAACTGACCTAACCAAAGCATACCAATTTACTAAATTTGACCTACCGGACCTGTATTGGTAATCTTGGTATTAGACTTCGCCAGACTCTCAAAGAGAGTGAGAGTTTTAGACACTACGACCCTCAAGAGGGTCACCCTTTTTTGTTCACCCGCCCCTCACCCTCCCCTCCAGCCGCACAAGGTCGGGTGATGGTCACTTTGGCATGGGCTTCAATTCTACAACCCTGAACTGTATTAGGCCCTATTCATAAATTCAAGTTCAATTCAAGTTCCCAGTGGCGTAACTAGACGGCGATCGCAAACGTCAGACTAACCTGCGGAACAAATTTCCTTGATACTGTAGTGGATCCTGTGGAGTGTTATCTAGACTTCCAACGGATCTTATGAAAACATTGCTATAGGATTAAGGGAGTCTTGGACTGAGAGCGGGTGCAGCTATGAATAGCTACTGTCCCTACTCTATCTCTTACAGCTTCCTTTTTTAAGAAAAAGTCTCCTGCGTATGCTAAGATTGTTCATTCAACATGTTAGCCAATTGCCAGAAACTGGAATGTATTTTTTATAAATAGATCAGATGACATATTTTAGATTTGGAACAGGCCATACCAAAGATTATCTGCATCCATGGTTATTTGATAACAATATATATATGATCATGTTAGTAGTTTCGAGAGTATCTCTACCACTCTCAACAAATATAGCTTGTGTTAATTCTACGCCAAGAAATAATAAGGTAACATTAGTCTACCTGGATACTGTGGTGCTCACTGGTTACCAATCCGCAAACGGCGGCTATGCTTTCCGATCGGGGGCTAGATTATGGCTCGTGGGGTGGACCAGATATTATGAACCGAAACTCACCCAATGTTGGGTTGGTCATCCAATAATGGCAATAATGGTGTTCCCATTGACTTGATGTTGGTGGTCATGATCCCTAAATGATAATGACACGGAGTTCATCCTATTTCTACGCAGTTCGGTGACCCACCATACTAACGTTATTTACTCAACACACCGTAGTACAAGAGAATTGTGCCTCGCCAACAATGTGGGCAAGGCACGTGACACACAGCTGAGCTGAAGGTAAGTTGGGCTTAGGGCCCTAACACACGATGAGTGCGAATGTTAGATGCACTTCGGCAACTGGAGAAAGACATCTTGAATGCTTGGCACATATCATCACAACACTTATTGTAATGATGTTGACCAATAGAATATCTTGTTAGTCATCAGCTGAGTGCGGCATTTATTTCATTCTTCTACTGGCAATGTAAATTGTAATTATTCATTGTGATGTATAAATAAGGAGCCGAAGACAATTGCAACATAATTTCTAAGTGGATCGAGCGTATTCTAAGATTCATTTCAGTCTTGCTGAGCAATAAATATGTTATCTTGTTGTGTCATTGATGGTCTACATAATTTTTTTAAATTAAAACATTGGGTAGATGAGTTAAAAGAAACCAGGAGCCTAGCAAACCTGGAATGCCCAGAGGCAATAGCCAAAGAAACAACCATGTTTTAGGCTGCATAAGGATAACAATCGCAGTCTAACATCATTCTCGTAAAGTAAGTCACCAAACCGATATCGGAACGGGCTAGATGAACCATAGATCAGCCATTTAAGCTCATGGTTAGAATAAACTTCAATTAACGTAATTCCCGGCGCGTCGTAACGCCCAAAGTTCGTCAAGTTCACTTGATTCAACGACCAACCATGGTACTAAAATAGTGACCACCATTTTAAATAGAACAACAGGCAGATGTAGCTAGATGCGACATATAAGTTTTCCAATATAAAGTTTACAGCTATCTCAGATGACTTTTCCCCCATTAGACTTTCAACCAAGGTCGTCCATTGCACGGTGAAGTGTCCTCAAACTATTCATTAAATATGTTAAGCTGTAGGCGCCACATCCTAACAAGCACTTAGTACGGTAGAATATTAAATACAAATTCAGTTTTGTTGTAAATTGTCACGCAAATAAGTCATGAGACATACTAGTTTGGAAAGTGTAATATAATGCAAACACCACAGGCTGGCTCAACTGCAGTTTCTTATGTTAAGCGAAGGTAAACAGCTGGGGACGAATACTTCAAGTCTACATTTGACTATCAACAGGATCGAGCCAGCTTCTCATCCACATCAACAGCCATCCCCTAAATCCGGGAAAATTGAGAATGGTGTCAGAGTTATCTACTAATCAGGGTAGAAGACCTGTCAACTAGGTAAGGATACGTAGGTAAAACAACATTAGATAGTCTATCGACAGAAGACTGATTCTTGATTTCCTACTAATGATTTCAGTACTAATTTATAGCCAAGGACCCCTAAGATACTCTGCATACAATGATTAATTTTCAGAAGGGGGCCACTGTACGTCATTAGAAAGGTGACTGATATAGACACCGAAGGCGCCGTTCGGCCACCGGGATGTCCATGCACCTGGGGCAGGTTATACTGTACAGTCACCTTGCATGATCGTTATCATTTCTGTGACAAATGGTCTCTTGGTGGTCATTTCTTTGTGGCCTTCAGGTCTTTGGACTGGCTCTCGCCGCGACACCTGCATAATGGCGATCGCAATCTATTTACTTCTTACTCACGGATCGGTTCGCGAGAACGGATGGGTCAACTACTGCTTCTTGCAATACTGAGGATCGGGTCGGTTTATCTACCCTAGGCTAATGTTTTGTGGTTTTGCTCACGTCAGATAGAAATACTGTGGTGGTACATGGCAGGGTATCATCGACAAGGTATATTGTCGCGTTATACCCGATTCATCAAGATAGCCTGATCTTGTATTAACAATCATATAGCTGGACTATATCCAAGGAATGGGCTTCACAGCCATCTGGATCACACCTGTTACGGGCCGGCTTCCTCAGCACACTGCATACGGAGACGCCTACCATGGCTACTGGCAGCAGGATATGTATTTCATTATTTACTTATTATCTTCTTTCTAAATGACCAGTTGACAATGAGTCTAGATACGCTCTGAACAGGAACTACGGTACAGCAGATGACTTGAAAGCTCTTGCTTCGGCTCTCCATGATCGGGGGATGTATCTAGTGGTCGATGTCGTTGTCAACCATATGGTTCGTCTTTTTCTTCTTTTGCCCTGTGTTGACCGTATAGATATAGCTATGGATATCCGTCTTGTACTGACACAATGGTAAAAGGGTTACGATGGAGCCGGCGACTCAGTCAACTACAGTGTGTTCAAACCATTCAACACCAAGGACTACTTCCACAACTTCTGTTTTATCCAGAACTTTGACGACCAGACCCAGTCTGAGAACTGCTGGCTGGGAGATAACAGAGTTTCCCTTCCTGACCTGGACACAACCCGCGAAGACGTCAAGGGTCTCTGGTACGATTGGGTGGAGGCCTTGGTATCTAACTACTCCAGTAAGATCCCCTCTCCACACTCACCCCTACATCCAAGGAAGCCAGTCACCAAATACTAATGGCACCAGTTGATGGCCTCCGCGTCGACACTGTCAAACATGTCCAGAAAGATTTCTGGCGTGGCTACAACCAAGCTGCAGGTGTATACTGCATTGGAGAAGTCTTCAACGGCGACCCCGCCTATACATGCCCTTACCAAAACATTATGGACTGAGTCCTAAACTACCCCATGTAAGTGGTTTACATTCAGCCTCCGATATACGCAAAACACCCCATAAACACGGTTTAACAATGAGACAAATTCTTACGAAACCAGCTACTACCCCCTTCTCAACGCCTTTAAGTCAACATCCGGGAGTATAAGCAACCTCTATAACATGATAAACACAGTCAAATCCACTTGTCCCGATTCAACACTACTAGGAACATTCGTCGAGAACCATGACAATCCGCGATTCGCATCGTAAGCTTCTCTCCGCCCTATATCAAAACTTCATCCAATCTAACAGCAACAAAAGATACACAAACGACATGTCACTAGCCAAGAACGTAGCAGCATTTATTATCCTCGCAGACGGACTTCCCATCATCTACGCGGGCCAGGAACAGCACTATGCGGGTGGAAACGACCCCGCCAATCGCGACGCAACCTGGTTCTCGGGCTACTCGACGACCAGCAAGATATACAAGCTGATTGCTTCTTTGAATGCGATCCGGCGTCATGCGATTAATACCGATAGTGGTTATTTGTCTTACAAGGTATGTATATATGTGGATACAGGAAGATAGACACTGTTTCTAATCTTTATCTTCCGTGGACTAACTGATTGGCGTAAAGAACTGGCCTGTTTATCAGGACGCTTCGACTATTGCTATGCGCAAGGGTACCGATGGCTCGCAGATCATTACTGTCTTGTCTAACCAGGGCTCGTCGGGTGGTTCGTACACGCTCTCTTTGACTGGAACGGGATACACGGCTGGAGAGCAACTGCATGAGATAATTAATTGTTCAACGGTGACGGTGGGATCTGACGGCAAGGTACTTCTTCCTATGGAGAAGGGACTACCAAGGGTACTGTATCCATCTGCAAAGTTGAATGGAAGTAAGGTTTGCAGCAGTTCTTAGGAGGATTTATCACGCTGGCATTTGCTCTGGCCTTATCTCGTTGGAATTGGGAATTGAGAGGTAGTTCATGAGTTTGGACGACCATCAGGTCCTTTTTATAGTCAGAAAATGGAATGTTTTACAGGCTTTGGTGGTATAATTGACTGTTAAATCACACCACACTAGCGCTACCATTTGGTAGTTGGTTCAGCTTGGTACTTGAATGTCTAACATGTTGAGGATCAGAGCTTGGAAGCTGTCGGATTCCTTTAAAAACGGGGGAAAGAAGAAAGATAACAATGATTAAATAAAAGGGTCATAGAAATAAACAAATGACAAGAGCATATTTTTATACTTATAGATATGGTAACGTATTCAACCACCGAGCCGCGCCCCTTCAAGCGAAATTTCTACTTTCTTCATTCAACGCGTCTTTTCTCGCCACCACAGTAAGATATGCCTCTTTCTAGAGAGTCACGTATTCAGATGGCTATTTCAATCTACCAGAAAGGCCAAATGAAATCAATAAAGCGCGCTGTGAAGATTTTCGCAGTTCCTGAAAGCACCCTACGCGATCGGCTTAATGGCATCAAATCACGATCGGAAACACGTGCCCATAGTAATAAACTTACTGAAATTGAAGAGGAATTGCTTGAGAAGCGATTATTAGATGCAGATAAGCGTGGTTTTCCAATTCGGCCTGAAATTTTACATGGAATAGCTCAAATGTTACTTTCCAATCGCTTACAGGATCCTACTGCAACTTGGAATCAACTGGGCTTATAAATTTATTATACGTCATCCTGAGCTACGTACGCGATATACGAGACGAATGACATATCAACGTGCAAAACAGGAAGATCCGAAGCTTATAATACCTTGGTTTCAGACTATAAAGCAGCTATTCAAGAACATGGTATACATGAAGATGATATTTGGAACTTTGACGAGATTGGCTTTGCAATGGGACTCTGCTTTACTTCTAAGGTGATTACTGCAGTTGAGCACAGTGAGCAGAAGTACTGTTAATACTCTTTGACTGACTAGTAGTATCCTAAGCCTATTTGAAAGTCAGGCCACTGCCTCCTACATTTCCGGTGATCCGCCTTCCACTTTGCCACGGTCAAACCTTGGTTTTTCAGAGTCTATAACCTAAAACAGCGGTGTAACTTCACCAGCTGTACAATATTATTGGTGAAACTTAAATTACATACTTTTAGAACTATAAAACAGTTGTGGAAACTTTGATTGCTAAGTGAAAGTGAGAACAGACGCAAAAACATTACTTTGCAGTGAATCTTCTATATACCCTAGTAGTCAGTCAGGTCAACATAGATATTGGGAGAGACGGGCGCTGATAAGCGGAGATTTTTAGGCTGTATGTAGAATTAAGTTTCTATTTCCTGTTAGAGCCTAAGGGTCAGACATTTGTGGTAAACATAGACTGACATTCTCAACTTGGTTAAAAGGTTATCTGCTGGTTTGTGTGACTCACTCGCCTCCCTATTGCATTCCGTTGATCAGTAGAATAAGTATGCTCTAGAACCATAGACTACTAGTGCGGCGATTTAAAGAGTCCTGCTTATGGTTGGTTCCGTCTAGACCTCTGTAGGCCCGCGGGCTCTCACAAAGCAAAACCAACTGTTCATATGACTTTTGTAAAGATATACAGTATCAATTGATTTATTTATGCATTTGGCTTACAGTGTTAGAGAAAAGGAGATTAATTAGAATAATTCTATTATCATAATGCATTTAATGCTTTATAGTACTAATTAATGAAGTCATTAAAGGCCCTAATAGCGTTTCTTGCAACGACAAAGATTGGATGCTTTCCGGGAGAGGCAGCCAGAGAGATAAATAGAGTCTCCAGAGATAGTCTGAGAGATCTAGGACTGGTGGAGGAAGCAGAGAGTAGGGGAGAAGGATAGTAGGAGGGATAGCCTAGGCACACCTAGGTGATATCTAACAGATAATGAGTACAGAGGAGGGCATAGCCCAAAGGCCCTGGCGCAGATATGTGAATCGGGCGAGGAAAAGGACCAGAACGAATATGCAAAGGATAGTAGGAGCTTATAGAGCTTCTAGGGACAGCTCAGAGGCAGTGGTCTAGGCCACTGCCTAGACACATGTGTCTGTCATAGCCAAACGGCTCTATATGGACGTTAAACTTGATTAAATAAATAAATAAATAAATAAAGTCATTATCTCAGATACTTTAAAGGTCCTCTATACTATAATCGGGGAACATCAAAGTCAACGCCCAACCTAAACACGTCATTTTAACGCGTCAATCGATCGAGAAACGCCCCCTGAGGCCTCAGGAACCGCTATGGAGGTCCCAAACCCCCATAGTGGTAGTCTACCGAGCGCGTCGGGATGGGCACCCCTGAGCGGGATACCACCACCACCGTCACCACTATCACCAACACCGATATATCGCGGGGGCCCTAGGACCCTAGATATGCCCATAGATCTGGGGCAGATAAGAAACAGCGAATCTAGCAGGGCCCCAAGTAGGGCTAGCTCTAGAAGCAGCCGGAGCACGCAGAGCGCGCAAAGCAATCGAAAGCGAGGAGAACGAAATTAGATACTAGGAGGCAGCCTAAACCCTGGAAGATCTCTACGCAAGCACTACCAAGCCCTAGCAGATTCACTGGAACCCACTTTACTGTTGTTTAGTGCTGCACCGTTGTCCCTCACTGAAGCAAATGTGCACATGGTGTTAATATCAGTTTCTAAACTGGGCTTTAATGAGGTCGTGCCTTATTACACCGCTGGAGCATAAGTACTTTAGGGTTATTTTCGCTCCGTCAGGTTTACAATCTCTCACCGGCGGATGCCATAAACTGCTAGGAGTTTTATCCCTCAGGGAGTGTAAGATAAATCCATTATATAAGCCTGTCCAGTTTAGCAGAGCGATATAACGCAGTCACACTGCCCTCCCTGAGAGGCTAGCAAAGGTGTTTTCTTAGGGCAAGATCTGGTAAACCTTTCTGAGGCTTGACATACAATCTGGGTGCCGAAAAAAAAGGAAAGAAAATTAACAAATAAAACCGACATAGAAGGTAGGGAATCTCCCTCTATGCTTCCTCATTAACAATGATTGGGTTTCATGCAGTCGCATTTTAGTGTCCTTTTCTAGTTAACACATCATTCCTCTTCTTGTTCCCGGTTCCTTACATTACTATGATCTGTCGGAATAGAAGAGTGCACAATTGGAAGACATACTCCTTGATATCAATTACTGCTCGCCTAATTCTTATATACCTATTCTGCTGTTCGTTGGGAAGTAAAACTAACTCATAAAATGATATGGAAATGGCTAGTTATTAGAGTGCATTAGTAAGGGCAGAAAGGTTGCTTCTACCCTAAAACTTATTTGTATTACGGAGAAGGGCAGAATTGTCAATATTGTCTAAATCACACTCTCTAGTGATTTGGCGCCTTGCCCTAGGGAAAATTATCTTATCAATTGTCACTCTTCTTATATGTGTGGATGGCAAATATTTATACTCCTATCTAGATTTTCTAATATTCTCTTGTGACCTCTTGTATGGTCTTGTATCAAGTTACAGTTTTGGTAGTCTTACTTTAATTTTCAAAGACCCTTCGAGGACCTCTTCAAAGGGCTGGCTATTTCTCTTTGGAGTCACTGTCACATCGACAATTTGAGTACCAATAACTGTACTGTGTCGGGTGTAGCTGTATATACTCTCAGGGAGGATTTTATCACTGAAACCCTAGTTGAAGTCTTTGTGACAACATGAAATCTATGACCAAGAAGGCCCGGTAAACCCCTCTGTAAAATATTTTCCTATACTGGGAGGGACAAGGCGTCCCCTAAATACTATACATTCGACCACCCAGAGCAAGCCTACTGTGAGATCTCCTCGCCAAAACCCTGCGATATATTGTTCCCCGCGATTCACAAACGGTAAAAATATCTGTGCCATGCCAGAAACTGCTGGCAACGCGTCTCTTTTATATTTCAAGTTTTGTTTATTGAGGCTATCAATAAGAGTATACCATAAGTCGTAATAAGGATTCCGCTGTGTATAAGCTGCTATTGGGTTGTCGGCAAGTCGAAGTTGTAGCGGTAATGGAGTTTGTTCACAGTATATATTGGTTCTATAAGTCAGAACCCTTGCACTAACAGGATCAGACTCTGTGGCAAACACCTCGCAACAATTTCAATAGATACTATTCTTCCCAAACCTTGATTATTTTCTTGATATTAACTCCTCTTGGAGTACCCAGTCTCGGGAGTACAATACCGAGTAGAAGTCGTCCTTATACCATAGTATGGGTTTATTGACATATATATAAAAGCCGGGGTCGGTATTGGGAGCATGACACTGGGCAGGAATAAGACAAATCGACCGCCTCAAAAAAATATTTCTGGAATAAAAGAAGCTTTCTTGGTTACTTGAGCTTCCGGCCGCGGCAATTGTCAAGGTAGTATTTCCATAGTATAAATGTATACACTGAGCCTCTTTAGCCCAATTATCAGCATCGCCTTGGATAATACAGAGACTATTAATCCAATGATAGCGAAAGTTAAGGCCTCGAACTATCTCAACGGTATCTACAAAAGATTTTGGCCAATCAGATAACAGTAGAAGGGAAACTTATTTCACTTATTGTTACCGCAGAAGTCTGTATAATCCAATTCTGTGTTTGGTATATATTGGTGGAGTGTGCCCCCAAATATAACTGACAGTTACATAATTAGCGTAAGCTTCCTCACCCGGCTCATAAAGTAGGGGCTGCTGGCCTCGGGTCCCGATATTGATAACCCTGGTAGGTAGGACCGATAAAAAGTCGCGATAGTTGTCTTGTAATGTATATTACTGGTAATTCTGGGCACATCTCCTATACTAGTACAGTACAAGATCTATACTAGAGATTGATCCTGTGCTATTTTCGGAACTTCGTGTCTCTTCTCTTTCCTAGATTTGCTCTATACTGTGACTGAAATGAGAAAACTTATCTGGCTCATAATATTAAAGGCTATAGAAAATATATCCCTTAAGGAGTCAATACAAGTTGGAGCTTGCACCCGATGTATTTTTATATAATAATCTCCGTAGAAACAAAGTCATTGGACTAAGTTATTGGGAAGGGCGGTGCACTTCGTTCGTTTAAAGAGTTGTGGTTCAGATGACGTGAAGACCTTTCCAATGCGTGGAAATGTTTAATTAGATAGGAAATAGTTTTCTGTTATAATGATATTAACAGATTAAATCTCCAGAATTTATATCACTAGCTAAAGTAGCCCGCTTAATAACAATAAAAATCAGATAGAATCGCTGTTTATTTAAGATATTGCTCTATTCGGGTGACTGAAAACCATCCACCTAGTAGCTTACAGATTGAAAATATCAGATATGCCCAAATTCTCCTAAGGAATTTAGATTTAGTAATATTAGACCGGTATAGTAGCCACGACTAAATCAAGCTTACTCCATACGGACAAATTAAAAGATTACCAACTTTATTCACGTTAACACAATATATATTAGCCAGTTAAATCTATTTATGAAGCTCCACTGTATTATACTAATAATGGTAGTACGGGAGTATATCTATTTGGAATTTCAACTAGTACGAACCCGAGAATATTTAATCCGTACTACTTCTGAAATTTAAGCCTACAGTATGGAGTGCTTTGCCCTTCTTAAATTTAGGACCTAGTCTAGATAATAGATATCTATTATCTACACCACTATTACGTATCTACCACTACCACTAATATAATAATTAATAGTAAGTATTAGACTATAAGCTGGATTTATTTAGTTAGAAGATACTATCAAAAAGTACATTGTAAGGCACTACAAAACTAGAAGTGCGTGGCAGTCATAGCCGAATATAAAGAAGTGAGATTTCGGTAAGAAATCCGAAAATCCGAAGTCTTGTCCGTAATCTAGATTTAGTCCGCGGTACTCCGTAGTACTCTCACCCCTCACTAAAGCGACGGGGTCTAGAACGGGAGAACTACGATATTGTAGAAAAACAGGTGGAAATGGAAGGCTGTGCGTTTCGAGACGATATATGGGGTTGTGCTCGGTGAGTGGTGATTTGATATCCTTGAAGGATGTGGTGTGTATAAAAGGGACTGGTCCTCGGATTCTCTTTTACTACTACCAGAACTAACTAAGCACAAAGTGCGTGACATAAGCTGGTTTCTAAGTATGATCTAAGTATAGAGATAAGCAGCTTTACTTTACTAGGGGCCACAGATTCACGTCCTCCTTCAGCTTCACTAGCACTAAGATACAAATATTCCCGGGAAAAAACGAAGTAAAAGAGATAGAGGATGGGAATAGAAAAGTAAAGAATAAGAGAAGACAAAAGAAGAGAAGAGAAATCAATACTGAACAGGCTATCAGCCCGATCAACGAACAAGAAAGCGTATTGGTGATTCGAGTATATCCATTTTGAAAACACCACCTCAGATTACAAGGCGTCATGCTATGTACCAAAGCCCAGACTGGGGAAGGGATTTATGAGCAATTAACCAAACAATCCCAGATGACGATGCTTAGCTATCATAATCGGCTCCCCAATCGTAGTCCTCACGCTGCCATAACAGGTGCTCGTCGTCAGAACCTTCTACGGAGTGCCCATGAGGTATAGGTGCATCGATACCCTCAATAACCTTCAAAGATGGTAATCTTGCATCCTTTTGCTCCAGAAAGTTTGCTATCTGGGCCTCTATATCTAGATCCAGTGATTCCATATACTTGTGTGGGTATTCACCCGGCAAGCCATAGCCGTAGATGCGTAGCGATTCCAGACGTGGGGGGAGGTTGTCAACAAGTGAGAAAGGTTCCTTCAGACGACCGGCACCAAAACCGCGAGCGTAGCAGTAGAGAACATGGGTGCCGATACTAAGATGCTTGAGATTGAGAAAGCTCCTCAGCGCACACTCCGGAGCCATTGATTCCATACCAAGGACTTTTTCCCTTTGAGCCACCCAATCCTGGAGCCCTTCGTCTACCTCTTCATATAGGCCGCTCCAAGACGCGCCGCGATCCTCATCGAACATTTCACGGAAGGTCACATGCGCCTGGATGTCAAGATCCAGCTCTTCCAACGTGTGCCGGTGGGTGAGCAACGACTCCAAGAGAGCTATTGGACTGACTGGTGATACACCATAGTCTAGCTCGCAGCGTCCACCGACTGTAAATGCAAATTTCCTTAGTCGCTTGGCTGACTGGATAATGATATCCAACTCCTCGGGCGAATGCATAATACAGTGGTGGAGTATGATAACAGTGTAGTTGGCTGAACGTGGTCGAGGCCACATTCGTACATCGCGGCTCGGCTGGATAGCCTCGAAACGAACGGATTCAATGGCGGGGAGCTCCCGGATGAAAATAAGGCAGTCATGAACCTCATAATCCCAGTAGAGTGTACCATCATCCATATCATTGTCTATATCAGAGAGAAATCTCACCGAGTGAAGATTCTGCAGACCAGCCACATCGCGCTTCTCATCGACGGCTCGCTGGAGAAAGTTTTCGAATATATATGTTTCGGAGGGATGTTGCAACCCTAGTGGGCAGAAGGCTAAGGATTCCAATTGAGGTGACAGGAAGACAAGCATGACAGCTAGTGCCTGCGCTTGGAAATATAAGTACTTGTCAAATGGACTGAGAATTGTAAGCGCCTAGAAAGATCATTGCTCTATGCAAGAGTAATTGTCGTACCTTCGGGGCGTGCTAACATCCTGTAGAAGCATATTCATTATCTGTTCATGTTCTCCTTGCCCTTTGAACCCTGCGTTTCTGACGGCGAGCTGGAGCCTCTGGAGGTCTTCTGACGGCAGCAAGACCTGTGTTGGCCGAATCTCATAAGGGTCACCCCTATACGATAAGCACGGTGTACGATCTAGCTTCAGTTCGCGTAGTTGTCCCGCGAGGGAAGGGTCTCTAAGAACGGAGAACAAAACCTGCAATCCCCTCTTTATCTCAGCTGGAGTTCGAAGCCGCACCTTGTGGAAGTTGTCATTTCTCTGCAGTTGACAGATAGTACGTCTGGCTGGAAATTGAACCGAGTTTGAGACTGCCATCAGGGTAAGTCCCTTGAAGTGAGAGCGAGAGGTGGGAAATATATGTCGCCGGACGAGCCCTATGCAGGATAGCATGCCAATGGATGATGGATCACTAACAGTGAGTCAAGTGGGACAAAATGATGGGGTGGCAACGGGGCGGAAACAAAGTGATGAAGGGGAAATCGCAAGATTCCCCTGGGGCGGGAATCACCCTGCTTTTATATGCTCCTTGGCTAGGTCAGGTTAGTTAAGTAACTCCCACGTAGCTTGACTAGTTACCAGGGGTTGCTTAGTCATTTGACCAGTGTCTGTACGATGATAGGTACTTTACTTGAGTCCATGAGTCTAACACAAGGATGCGATAATTATGGAAGCTCCTCATAGAGCTGCTACACCATTCATCTAAATTTTCTAGTTCATTTTAGGATTAAATTAGGGCTACAAATAGTAGCTTTGGTGGGTACCCGATGGTTAGTAAGCTTAAACAAACAGCACCCATATTGTGTCAACTGATGTCCTTATCGGAACCCTTGTATTGAAGACCAAAGGAAAGGTGGCGCAGCAGGAATTCTCCCGGAGCCTAGGTTTAACCCTAGGGGTACAGCAATAATTCTAGCTGCTCACCTAATCTTTAAGCGCCTTCAACGCGGGGACCACAATATCATCTAGCTGGTTCTTCAAAAGTTGAGCAGTTGTGTGTACAACCTCAGCGTTGGCAGCTCTAGACCCCATGTATCGCAACGACATCAACATTAGTTGAGTTGCTACCCAGTCTCTCGTTCCTGATGCTGCCACTCTGTACCAGTCCGCGTCCACGTCTTTGAGAATCCCAGGTAGACTCTTGAAGCCAGGTACCGTCTGGGCCAGAACTATTGTCTCAGCGAACAAATTCTCCCGCACGGTGTCAACTCGGCTCAGCACTTCTGGATGGTTAAGGTAATTCCATACCCCTATTGCCTATACGTATGCTTAGTCACATAGAAATTAAAGGAATTTTGGTCATGCGGCCTTTGCTCGAAGTCTTACATACCAGGCGAATGTGTTTAAAAGGAGCCTCCTCGCCCGTACCAGTCTTAGCAGCTAGCTCTAATGCTGGGTCAAACTTTTTCGCATCTTCCGGACTTGTAATGAATCCATTGAAAATTTCGTCCTTAAGCTGCATCTTGAAAATTCTGCCTTTCACCATATTCAAGTACTTCTCGGCGAGAAGAAATGTTGCACGGTTGTTCACTGTACCCAAGGCGCTGTACAAACGATCATTAGGAATTAGGGCGTCCCCGTCAGCAATTGATGGAGCACGATTCAGAGCTGAAAGAGGCTTATCCCAGTATTTGACAAAATTCGCCCCATCTATAATCGCACTTTTCATAAGTGAGCCCGAGGGCAGCACCCCAGTGACGGCACTTCTTAGGAGAATTTTGATGATTACTTTCTGTGATGTTTTAGCCTCGCCACCTCGTCTAGACAGAATCCATTAGTTAGGGTCATCCACGCACCTCAACGACATGTTCTGTATCGAATTTGGACTTTGGGGCCACCTTGCCGGGGTCCACTGCTTCAAAAACTGCCCTAGCACACGACGATGCTCCTAACCTGCCGGATGCTGTTAGTATAGGGTTGATTTAACTGAGCATGAGAACTCATCAAAGAGGCGACATACATGAAGTATTTATGCAGTACCGCTTTACCTGCTTTGGTTTTTAACAGGTCCCCGCTGGAAGGCCAAGGAAGCGCCCTCATCATTATTTTCCATTGCCTGATATGGAATGCCGAAAATGCCGGAAGCGCCCGTCGCTCAATGATATGTATATTATAGTCATCGTCGTCATATGGATCCTCTAGATCTCACTTTTTGTAGTCTGTATCAAGGCTCATGGTGTCACAGTAATCCGAGTCGATCTTGCACAGGTCCATATCATCACAGGATGCTGCTGGTGTTCCCTGAGGCGTGCAGCATAATGCCTTTTTTCTCCACCCTACAATTTGGGGTTCTTGTCAGTAAAACATGCCTATGGCAACTCGCAAAAGCTAGATAATACATACAATTACAACCAGTGAGCGAGTCCCCTTGGTTATCAGTAGCGAAGTGGCAATCTTTCAGTGGAACAGTGTTGTCTTTGCAGCAATAGTGCATGGTATGATGGAAAACGGTACATTTGCCTTAGAGCAGGTTAGCTTGGAATCAGGTTCATCGGGTTTCAAATCCGTATAAGATACCGTTCATGTTAGCCGCTTCTGCCACGCTCACCTCGCCGTCCTTGCAGGATCCATCGCTATGATGGCCGGTTAGTAGCGTTCATATAGAGATGAGTTCGACCAAAGCCAGCATACCAACCAGTCCAGTAGCAGTCCAAGGTAAGATTACCGAAAGTGCTATCCTCGCAACAAAATGCTTTCGTCCCACGCTTGCATTTCTTCGTGGCAGACTCACTCTGGAACCCATTGTAGTCACCTCCACCAGTGCTGGATGTAAAAAGCTTGATTTCTCCTGAATGGCATTGTCCTGTTGAGGCAGGGTTAGCTGCGGTTTATAGGAAACTACCGTATACTGACCATTACAATCTCTCCCACCCCCACGCCACTGACAGGTAGAGGGAGCTGAATCAGTATCGCAACATATCGGTTGACCGTAGTTTTTCTGGTGGTAGATGTGTCAATGTTTGATACTGTTATATACCGACCGCAGTCTCAATTAAAGATCGACAGTACACACCTTGGACTTTTGACATTTATCTTTGTCATATCCCACTAAAGTATACCCTCTGTCACAGGTGACCTGAGCGATATCAAGATTGACGCATTCGGAGCCTCGATAGCACCCTTCATTCAGAGATCTTGCAACACTTTCGGCTAGTACGGCTTGTGTCACGGAGAGAGACCTTACCTTGACCTTCTCTTGCGCTGAGGTGACGTTGGCCTTGCCGAGGAGAGCTGCATGGGCTGCGAAGTCATACGTATCTGTTCAAATAGCGAGTGAGCTGCAAATACTCCAAGAACGTCTAGCCTTGACAACACTGGGGAATATACCAACCTTGGTCAGACGCCCAGATTGAGGAACCACCAAGGTCGACGCTTCTAGCCCAGTCAAGCTCTTGCTTAAACGTTGTTTTGTCGTCGTATGAGATCCATTGGTCCTTGTCATATGTGAAATGCAGAACCGCGGCGTCCTTGTCATGAACAGGAGTAATATGAGGATTTTTATCCAGCAGATCCTGTATCTCGTAGTATGCTAGGTAACCACTGGTGTGAGCACAGGGCCCAGAGGTACCTCCTGTGGTGAAGGGACAGCCCGGAGCTGTACAGCCGCTGTTTTTAAGCGTAAAGGTTCGACCGTAAAAGCCAAAGCCCATAACGACTTTACCTGGATCGGTTCCAACGCGCCAGAGAAGGTCTGCAGCTTCTTTGATATTAGTCAGGTTGGTGTGGGCCTGAACAATACTTCCACTATAGGCCCCATGTTAAGAATAATTCCAATAGTATCAGGAGTAAGACCTGACTTACATAGAATTTCGTCTATCCCACTCGCCATGTAGGTCATATGTCATCTGCCCAGTTTGTTTAGCATTGTGTCTCTTTTCTGGGCTAGACGAGGATACTGACAAAGTTCATCCAGTCTGCGTACTTCAGCAACGCTGGAAGGTCGAACCATTTCAGATACCAGTATGAAGAAGGCGCTGTAAAAGTTATACCAAGCTTTCTGCCCGATGCATCGAATGTGTTTCTTAACTCAGCCAACAATTTGACATAGTTATCTGTATCTCTGGGCTTGCCACGTCGGTCGCCCGCCCCAGGATACTCCCTATATACTTATGTTAGTAGATTCATCCGCTGGAGCAACCGCTAATGTTCACCCTAATTCAGACTTGATGTGCTGTGGAAAGTATTGCTAAGACAGGTTCTGTTTAAGCAACATTCATGATCGACAACCTTCTATACACGTATGATGTGAGCTGCTACAAAGACTCGTAAGATCCTATCAAAACCTGTACCGTGGTAGGTACGATGACCTAACATATAAACTTTAGATCGTCAGGAAACTACTGTGACTTGATCTTGGAGGAATGGCGAAGCCAAACAAATGCAACAGGCGACGACAGCGCAGCGCATGACTGTTCTGACTGCACTCTTGGGCCGTTCAAAATACAACTAGAATCGCCGATAGGCTACCATGATGAGTGGGCAGAAGACTTTACCTCATTAACCTCGAGCTGTGGAGCTACTGGGTATACCTATGTAGCGCCTACGGGATACGCCTTGAATTCCTCTATTACATCGTCTAGCACGGCAACGAGTACCGGTACTGGGACTAATGCTGCTACTCCAACCTCTACGCGCGCCTATGCGACCACGTACACATGTCATTCGATTGCTAAAAAGCATAGTGTTTCTACATACAACCTCATGGTCGCCAATGGAATCACAATTTTCTGCTCAAATCTGGCTGCACCAGGAGAAAATATTTGCATTCCGGAGAGCTGTAACTCAACAACTCTGTTGGCCGGAAATACTTGCGCTCAAATGATGTCTGACTGGAACGTCAACATGGCAAAAATCCTAGCTTGGAATCCGAGCATCAGCAGTTTGTGCGATAATTTTCATCTCTTTTACGGATGGGAAATCTGTAAGGGGTAAGTAGCGAGCAGATCAATTTGTTCTTTATGACTTCATTGTGCTACTTACTGAGTTTTACACGACAGACCCCCAGGTGGTGCTATAGAAGTGCCCACAGGCGCTCCAACGACTACATCAGCCCCTACTACCACTGGTATAGTCTACAGCACACCTGCGCCAGTTCCAACAAATGCTATGGCAGGTTCTAATCACCGCTGCGGTAAATGGTATACGGTAAGAAATTAACCTGTTTTACAAGTGTTGTCTATGGGCCTTGCCTCTAACAGTTCGATAAATTCTTTTCTAGACAAAATATAACGACTCATGCACCGATATTGCCGCTAATGCTGGGATTCCATACGAGGAGTGGCTGTTCCTGAATCCAGACGTCTTTGCCAACTGTACGAACCTGTGGGACGGATATGCCTACTGCGTTGGAGCCGTCGGCAACATTGCGACCTACTCAGGCTGGACTGTCACTGCAGCACCCACCACCAGCTTCACCATACCTGCAAGTACAACGGAGACATGGACCCCAGGACCAACCTATACACTGCCACATGCTGCGGGAACATTGCAAGACTGTGCAGTTTATAGGGATGCTATTGATGCAAACAATAACCCAACGAAGGAGTGGGGTCTTAGTACTGATTTCCTGGACAGGCTCGGCATCAACTACACAGCCTGTTCATTCTATTCCCACCCTTACTCGGTCACTGTTGGTGACCTCGTACAGTGGAACCCCAGCCTAGATGTATCGGATTGTGTGGTTCACAAGGGCTATAGTTACTGCGTTCTGAACTCACACGATCGTACGTATAATCTATCAAGTCCCATAGGCTGACTGCTGCTTACATCGCATTGCGGCAGGCGGACCGCATGAACTATGCTAACAAACTGAATCAGATACTTCGAGCGATCCTCCGGACGGCGTGCCCGTCGAGAGAAAATGCGATACCGTCGATGAAGCGTGGATCATGAAGGGTACTGCGTCTGGTTGCAATTGCTACTACGTGATACGTAGCAAAGAGGCTGAGGGTACATGATTCCTGCCGTGGTTCCCCCAGTAGCTAGGCGAAGCTGACCAACACTTTCTAGCTTTCAGTGCTCTGCTATAACCGAAGGATCTGACTTTTCCGAAGCCAAGCTAGTGGAGTTGAATCCGTGGATAGGGTCCGGTGACTGTAATACTGGGCTGTTTGCGGGACTCAAAGGTGAAGAGCAGCGCGCAGTTTGCCTGGGTACTGGTCCACTGTCATCATCAAGCACGACGACTTCACTAACCTAAGCAACTAGTCCTGTCACCCCAACCATTGATACATCTACATCCCTTGCCCCTTTAGCGACCGTCACACCCCAGCCGGGGGCAATCAAAACGTGCAATGCGTATCATGTGGTAAAGAGCGGAGATGAATGTGCCACCATTGCAGAGGCAAATGGCATTGCGTTGGACACGTTCTATAAATGGAATCCACAAGTAGGGAGCGATTGCAGAACTCTTTGGCTAGGATATGGTGTCTGTGTCGGTGTTTCCTCTTAGCGATTGTAAGCATTTGGCTATTTAAACCGCTGTGGTCGGCATACTTCCTACTTTGTGACTATGTTAGAGCATTTCTGAAGAACAGTCAGTTCTTGTATAGCACGAAATCATAAACTAAGGTTCTCTAACTGTACACTAAACGGGTGGCTTTGTGACTTTTGTTCTGAACGCCGATTAGAATAATATGTGCTCGAGAGTTCTCCTGTAAATACCCGGTTTCTGTTTTCATGGGTATATAAGTCACGACATATATATCTTCCTGACAGAGCGATACAACAGGCTGATTTCTCAAATAACAGCTCCAAATAGAGGCTTCTAGTATAGATAGAGTACTACTAAACATATAGAACTATCGTACAGCTACCAGTCAACTTTCGATTTGTGTTTTTCAATCTATTTTAGACCCTCTGTTAACTTAATGTAGTTGGTTCACTTTGGGCTATTCTTCGAATAGTCTTTGGCGCGCGAGTTCAGCCAGCAGGAATAGGGCTTCGCGATTCCCTTGACGCGATATATGGACTCGGAGTGAACTATAACAGAGAAACTATAGGTTGTTTCTGAATGACTTGCATTAATCGATCGGCACGCACGTTGATCAAGAAACCATCGATATATCGCCTGGTATGCTCGACGAAGGCCGAGCACAGAGTGCACTAGGCCAATGCAGTAGCCTGAGCTACCATCAATCCGGAGCAGAGTCACTACCATTCATCAAATCCGGGACCATTGATTTGGTGATTGCCGTACAGGCAGCGCATTGGTTTGAGGGTCAAGCAGTTTGGCAGGAGCTAAAACGAATTGTCCGCACACGAGGCACTGTTGCCTTTTGGAATTGGGGACGGTACTTTTTAATCGGCCGCCCTTATGGTGATGCAGTACTACGGAAATATGTATCCCATGTCGATTATTTAGAACCGTACTGGCCTTAGCCCGGTATATCTGTCTGGGATGATAGGATGAGAGCGGTAGAATGTCACGATCCCTCAAACTGGGAGAGTATCACCCGGTTAGAATATGAGCCATGTCTGGAGAAGCTCAGCACAGGTGTGGGTGATGGAGTGCGCATGTCTACCCGACAAACACTGCGAGAATTAGAAGCACTGCTACGTACATGGAGCTGCGTGCATGAATGGCGGATAGCGCATCCTGAAGCCCGGGCAAAATATGAGGGCGGCAGTGGAGACATTATTGACTCGCTGATGGAGGAGATGATCCAAGCGGAAGCAGATTGGCGAAACTTTGCAAAGAAAGGGGATTGGCAAGAGATTACAGTTGATATCGAGACACGCACTATCTTGCTCCTTGCGCGGCGGAGAGGAGAATAATTAGTCACAGCTCAGCCAAACAAATGGATACGAAGTCGAAGAAGTGGTGGGTTTGCAAGATCTGCTTAAGCATGAATGCTACTGCTAACGTAATTTCTGGTTTAATCCCAGCGCTTACCCCGGATCCTGACCCTATGTCCACGTCCGGGTGGCCATTGACTGATCATGTTCGACTTTGGGCAGCCATATTTCGGTCTGCGAGGGAGGTGGTCAACATTTTGGATCACGTTGGCTTGCCTACTACTGTCCACCTCACGACCATGGGAGTCGATAAGGTCTAGACATAATCAATGACGGTTGTAAATTGTGTCGATATAACCTGGTTTTTGTCTACCAATAGTCTGTGGCACAATTACAACCACCAGGCTGTTTAGTTTTCTTTAGGTAGGTATAAGTGTAGTCATTCTTAGAGAAAAGAGCCCCAATGATAGAAGTGATGTTTATAGGATGGTGGACAAAAGAACATCTTATAATTAATGTAACTTTAATTACAAAACTTTTGGAAAGCTTGTTGGAACGACATACTCTTGTTCTGTGGCACTTTGTATAATTTAAGACAACCCTAATGCTCCTAGGGTACAGCACTTATCTCAGTGTTCTACAATATAGTATCAAGTTTACTCTCATGCTTCTTGAACCAGTCTACTACTAGCTTACACCTCCGGTAATTCCGGAGACGTCAAGGCTTCCATTGGTTAAAGAATAATTCCCCCACACCTGTGCAAGAACAATTAGCCACCTACAGGCTGCATCTTCGTCTGCATGTGCCAACTTCTGACCACGCTAGACTGCGTATAACATAGAGGCCATGCAGCGAGGTATCTGGCTATTGCACGCATGAGGGCTGTGTCGTACGCACTTCCCTAGCCAGTGGGGGTTAGTGACTTGAGACAGCAATAGACACTTGAATCTTTTGGTGGAATAACAGTATTGCTCAGAAACAGGGCACCTACAAGTGCCGTGCCTAGTGATGGAATATTGACCAGTCGATCACTCGAGTAGTTCCGAAAATCTGTTCATTGAAACTACGTGGGTCACATTCTGAGGGAGTACCCGTCATGTCCCATCTAAGTTTGCGCCACATTTGCAGATCTTCCGGAATTAGTTTCCTATGCTGGTGCAACTTTTCTGTACCACCAAAGAATATCTCTTTGTAAAACATGTAGTATCGACGTCCTAAACAGCGGGCTACATCAGGTTCCAGCGATACAACTGTTATGATCTGGATATGCCTTTTCAATGCCCGTTGGATTACCCGTTGGGCATTCTCATGGGCGGCCGGACCCACAGGCAGATGATGGGAGAATATATATGGTGGTCTTTATTCAGTGTAGCGGAAGAGGTGGAAAAGTGGTTAAGATGGAGATTCTGACACGCACACTGTCACCTACCGGATGTGGCAATAGAAAATATCACGTCTCTGTGGTAACCAATTCTCCCGAGTAGTGAGCATTAAACATGGCGCAGGGGCAGCTACAGTTTCGGGGAGGAACGGTTCACTCCGAGCTTAAATAGAGTTCCTAAGGATCCGGAGTTAAATTAGACATCAATATGTTACACAAGATCGTCATAGACTAGAACTGTTACAGGACGAGTAAGTCGTGCCAACCTAAGCATGCCTACTGAACAAAGAAGAGATAGCTAATTGACAGGAATAACGCGTCGTACGACATATTTCTGTGGTAAAGGCTTGGCAACGATGCCTTAGGCAGAGGCTCCCTTGGTAAAGGGCTGCCTGTATGTCAGTCCCATAACACTCTGCACTTTTAATCACCTTTTCAACTGCGCATTGTAATGGTTGAAGGCCAAACAGATATATGCCGCTTACACTGTTGGATTCAGTGGTTTTTCTTTGCTGCTCCAATTGGTATATATTCACAGGTGTCTTTCCCGGTCCATTGAATGATTGATTACTCAGAGAAGTGTCTTCTGGGTTGCTTTATGAAGCTTAGTAAGAACAGTCTCTGGAGAGCCGAATTCCAGCAGCCTCTAAAGGATTGCTTTTCTGTATGTTTTTGTGTGTGTGTGTAATAAAAGACTGTCTTGATCTACATTAAGGGCTTAGTGCTGATGTCTAGAACAAGCCACATCAGATGGTTCATTCTAAAACCTAGTTCCGTTCTCAGCAATAGCTATTTAACATTGGCAGATATGTCATGATCCCATCTACGTATACCTTATTTGCTCTATACGCTATTGAATCTGCTGTTTGCGGGTATGCTGGAGAAATTAGGCCATGATCAAAGTTTTATGCGCTTTTGATGGCATGGTGGCCTTTTGGATGAGCCGTGTTGTGAGCGCCGTCGGAACGCGGAACCACATCAAACCATCATCTTTACATTATCTGTGCATATGATCCATGCTGGATCTGTGCTATCATTGCAACAATAGCTTAAACATAAGTGAAAACTAGGCTTCTAATTGATACCTGGCTTTTAATGAAATCATTATGATTCTTTCTACTCATCGCTGTGCATGTATCCTTCTTTCTTTACATATCATTCGGTGGACGAAGTCGATCTATATGGATATAGCTACTGGCTGTTTGTCGAGTCATGTATTGCTGTCAAACAGCTTTCTTTACTTTACCCAAGATTCTCTTCTTGACTCTTATACTTAATTTCTTGTAACCAAGTTCGGGCGTGAGCGGGACAATATGAAGACTTCAGACACCTCCTCAATTGCTATCCTTCCTGTGGCACCGGCCGTAGCGTCTGATATTTAGTCTATCTTTAGTTCGGCTATGTTAATTATGAAATGAGGGGGTGGATGATGTGTGTACTATTAACGCAAACCTTATTGATTTGAATCGCTTGACTTAGAATTATACTAGTGATGGTGATCGTGTGTGATAATGACGTCCGTCAGCCATTTTAAAACGACTTTGGGAACAAGAGTTTGATTATGAACTTCGCTTTTCCAGCTTTTCCGCAAACAATGTCATGAAATCATAACAAATTTTGCTTAAACCTTAAAGAAATATTGAATGTAGCATTTCATGGGCACTTACCTGCATTTGGATAACGTGCAGACACTATAAAGGAAACCATTCTCACCTCTATATAACCACGTTCAAAGGCTTGACCCTCTTCAAAATCATCTAACGAGGATTAAATTTAAATAAAACAAACCTTTACGATGAATATCTCTCTACTCACTCTTTGCTTGATCACCGCTGCGCTGACGGCAGCAACATGTGTCCAGAACGCTGATTACTGTGGCTGGTATCTTCAACAACACCCTGATGTGGGTAATGGAGGCGGTATGTGTAACCCGAATACAGATATTAACTCACTACTATTGAAATATATCAGCTGCTAACATAAACCGAAGCCTATCAATCTCAGGGAATATACCACTGCGATCATCCCAAAAACATACTATCCTACAAGACAGGTTGCAACTACTGTTGCGGTCCAACAGCTCATTGCAACAACAAAAAGTGTTGAATCTTTTATTTATGGATTCAGGTTTACTATATATTCTCTACAATATTGTGGGAAAGCTGTATCTATGGCGCTGGGTATAAGAGTCAGGACTTACTAATGGGCATTAAGTTGAAATAGTATTTTGCCTTGGTATAGGTTTTCCCCTACAATAGGTTTTTCCTATACCTGTTATGCAAATGCAAAGGCAGCTCTTGGAAGATAACTGCATTAATTTTTATCCTGGTCTAACTGTAATGTTATTATTATTAATCAAGTCTAACGTCCGTATCGAGCCGTTGGCTATCATAGACACGTGTGCCTAGGCAGTGGCCTAGCCAATTAAGTCTAACCTGGCTTAGGTTATAACACCTGCTTCATGTGCTATCTACCTGTGTATTAACTCTATTGGCCCGCCTAACTGTTTCTACACTGTGGCCTAGACAGAAACTTGTGACTAATGGCGTATTGCAATACCGCCATAGTTAATACACTGGATACCACTTATACCTCACAACAAATATTTGACAACCTTCACCTAGTCTCATAGACCAGTCATGGGTTCACTGGGGCCCAGCTACCCAACCTTTCTCAATATCACGCAATCGAGTTAGAAGGTTGTGGGTGACAGGATCCTGATAGGCGGCCTATTAGCCGCGCTTGTAGACTAATTGGATTCCTTTGCTGAACTGCAGAGGTATGCCCCGAGGACTGCACACCTAGAGTGGCGCGGGTTCCCCGCTTAACCCGACCCGAACCCGCAAAACTTACACATGTTCTTCTTAGTATTATATAGTTAACTATAGTTAAGAGATTAATTAATCTTAATCCAATCTAATTAGTATCGGTTAAGAAATTTTTATATCTTAACCTAACTGATACCGATTAGGTTACGTTATGACTAGGTTACGGATGCTAGGTTCTGCCACTCTACCTGAGGCGTGGTTTTTAGCTTAACCAACAGGTCCTGACACAGCCAAAACATACTACATGTATCCTACTAGAAACAGTTAGTAGCCTGAATTGACGAGTCTCGCGTGGTACACTATAACTGCTAAGTACAGCATTTGAGAGCAGATGAACGGCATTTCATATCTGGCCCTCGACAATTACAAATTGGCCCGCCAATGCAGCACTCTCGGCTATAACCTGGGGCCCCTTTCCCAGGTCAGTCGGACTTATTCCCACAACAGTAGCCTCGATCATGTCCGCTGCCTCAGCCGCTCTAGACGCATCAAATGACTTCCACACTGCCTTCTTCGCCAGCTTTGGCCTCTCCTCTGTTTGATTGGAAAAGAACGACCAAAGCTTGACTTCCAGATAGCCGACGGCGATTATGCGTTCTCCCGGAGCTGCAAACGAGGCTGACCGAGAAAACTCGCCCAAATGGCTTACCGCCACTTTTGGATTAACTGCCTCGGAAATCGCAGCTTCTCCAGGAAGGACAGTTGTTGAACCTGGGGCAAAGGCTTCAGCTGCGGTAGATACAGGTACTGTCGCCTTGACGCCGACCGCTGCAGTTGTATCGTGGTCCAGTGACACGGAGATGTCTTGAACCGCATGCAACGCGACAACCATGTAGACGCGAGACTTCTTCTTGTATGTCTCCACCCACTTCTGAACAGCCTCATCCTTGAGGAGTGTCTCGAGTTTATCATCGACGTTGAGAAGCTCATAGCTCACAGCCTTGTCAGTCTGAACTGTGTCGGCAGAGGTGCCAAATTTTCTGGCAGAGAAATCAAGCAACTTTGTCAGCGCAACCTGGAAGTTCGAGGATGAGCGCGCGTTGGTTAAGCTGTAGACGTTGGCAAACTCGTTCCGGGAGCGGTCGGCTTCGTTCAGCTGGAGCGTGCCTGTCTTGCAAAAGTTACGGCACGGATTGGCGGTATCGAGGACCAGGCGTCCGAGGGCGACCTGGTCAAAGTTGAGAAATCCATTCATGAATCTCGAAAGCGTCGACATTTTTGTGTATTGCGATCCAAAATGTTGTGGTGAATATTTTAACAAAACAAATCCATAGGTGAAACTTCTCTCTATAAAATACAAATGGATTGCCAATAAAATGGTGCAAACAATGGCCACCTCGTATTCGACTTCACATGACGTAAAGATTATGTGGGATCTGCCGACTGCAACGCACATCTTGTATAAGCTGACCACCTATCACTACCTCAGAGACACTCTCTGTTTGCTTCAACCTTAGTTCCGTGTGGCTATTGAGGCTGTAAGCTGATTTGGGTAGATTTACCCCGATGGTGGATGAGATTCAGGAAACGGAAGCGGCACTTGAAGCACTTCCTGGCCGTGATGGACCGGATAGAGCTGCTGCCTTGAACGAGCTGGCGAAGGCTCAATGGCGGGCCGCTCTCCAGGAGCACAACAGCAGCCTCCTTCAACAGGCCATCTCCACTATTCAACAAGCAGTTTCAATGTCAGAAGAAATCCCTGACAAGCGGGCAGGCTATCTCAATAACCTAGGCGTCTTTTTGAGAGACTTTGCCACAATGGAGAAGAGCGCCACTGCACTTGAACAGTCAGCTGATGCTCTGGAGCGTGGGAAGCGTTGCGCCCCTGACCACTTGAGATGCACATTACTGCTCAATCTCGCGAACACTCTTCAAACTAGGTACAAATTCAGGTCCCGAGGTGACCTCAACGGACTTAACCTGGCAATCTCCACATATGAAGAGAGCCTAGATGCCAACCCAACTCTATCCACCAAGCCCAGACTTTTAAATGGCCTGTGTCTGTCCTTGATGGACCGGTTTACAGCCCAGCACTCATTGGAAGATCTGGAACACGCCCACGACGCAGCTCAGAAAGCTGTGGAAGAGTCTGATGAAAGCCATCCGTTCCGCGCCATCTTCCTCGATACTTATGCCTACGTTCTGTCGAGCTTATTCGACTACGAGCCGTCAATGGACACCCTCAACGCTTCCATCTCCAGGGGCCAAGAAGCTATCGATATTGCTGAGGAGCAACGGTCCCCCAAACTTCCCTTATTTATCGCCAACCTCGCTAGCTCGCTGATGAGGCGTCATAGTATTAACGCCTCCCAATCGGATCTTGGAAATGCCATCAAGATGCTTGAGTCAACTCTCGCAACCATTGTTCCATCAGATCCGGCGTGGCCCCTCTGCTCCCTGAATTACTCTGTTGCACTACAGGACAGATTCGAATCTTCTGGGACACTTGAGAACATAGAAGCATGTCTTTCAATTTTGACAGAACTGAGAGAGCAGTTGACGGAGCAGGAGCCGCTTTGGCCACAAATTCAGTCAGCGTTTGCATCTGCATTAATCCGGCGGTGCGACTTCAATGTCGTGGTTGGCGATCTCGATACAGCCGTCCGAACTCTCAAAGATGTGGCGGATCATCTCTCCGAAGAAAATATCTATGCGTCGACCGTGTATGGGGACCTCAGTGTTGCACTTCTTGCCCGCTTTGAGCTTCGCAGATCCATGGTTGACTTGGACTTGTCGCGAAGCACAGCGCAAAAGGCCCTTGACTTGCTACCTGCAACATCTATGGACTACCCAATCGCGCTCACCACCTGTGCCAATACCCTCCTGCGCTCTTACGAGGAGACAGAGGACGATGAGCTGCTCGATTCTGCGATTAACCTTTACGAAGATGCCATCACACATGACTGCGTCTGGAGGCGTCTGCGGCCGGCCAGACTGACTGCCCTGGGCTTTGTCCTGCAACTCCGTTATGGCCGTCACAAGCAAGATGCGGATTGGAGGCGATGCTACGACGTCTGCAATGAAGCGGTAGACCTGTCTGCGGACAGTCCAACGCTGTATCTTCCCCTGGGTCAGAAGGGTGGTGCCATTCTCGAGAAAGCTCGCGCGGATGCAGACATCTCACAGCGTGCCATTCATCTGCATGAAGCAATCTCCTCCCTGGAGCAGTCCCTGGCCTTGATGCCCGCACATCACAGTAACCGTGCGCCTTGGCTTAACAACCTCGGATTGGCATGTGAAATGATGTACAAAGACTCCGGGAATCAACAGGCATACACGACTGCGTTGGCTCGCTATGTTGAAGCTGCCGAGTTGCCGACAGCTGCGCCGCTGCAGCGTGTCACCGCTGTGTACCGAGCTTTGGTACTAGCCGGCCGTTCGGATATCCAAGAGTCGTCTAGGTTGGCCTTACTTGCCATCCGACTAATGCCGACCTTGAGTCCCCGGCTACTGAAGCGACAGGAGCAAAAGTCTATGATATCCATGTTTAGCGGCCTCGGCAGCTACGGTACCGCACTTCTCTTGGAAGCTGGCCACGATGTCGTCGATGCTGTCAACGCTCTCGAAACAAGCCGCGGTATAATGAACGGCCTGCTGATAGATACAAGAACGGATTTAACAGCTCTTGAAGAACGCGACGAGTCGCTGGCTACGCGGTTTGCAGACCTGTGTCTCAAGTTGGACTCCCAGTCTGATCAACTGTCACGGCTTGGTCGTCGCGGGGATTTCTTGGATATGAGCTCCGAGAGTCGGATATCAGCGGCCAAAGCATTTGATGACACTGTCGCCGAGATCCGGGAGCTCGATGGTTTCCACGACTTCCTCCAGCCGCCCACTGCTGCTGAGTACCACGCACTGGCAGTCTCCTCGCACATTGTTCTTCTCAATGTCGCCTCATTTCGGAGCGATGCATTGGTCGTCAGTTCCGAGCGCATATGGAACATCTCACTGCAGACGCTCAGGTTGGAAGATGCTGTCAATCGAGCGAATGCTCTCACAGAGGCTATACGTAATGACAATGCCACTACCAGAATGGCCACTAACGACCATATCAGGCAGTTGCTAAGCTGGCTCTGGGCCAACGTCGTCAACCCTATTCAAATCCAGCTTCGTCGAAACAGTGGCAAGGCTAAACTTCGCATTTGCTGGATCGCCACGGGGGCCATGACAAACTTTCCCATCCATGCCGCCACTGATGAAGCGAGTGGTGATAACGCCATGGATATCATAATCTCATCTTACGGGACCACCATCAAGGCCATAAGGTTCTCCCAGCAGAAACTGGAACAAATAACTGGTCGCGGGGGTCAAGCCCTCGTGGTGTCTATGAAAGAAACGCCGGGGGAAAGAAGCCTTCCTTTTGCCGAGGAAGAGGCTGAGTCCCTCCTTAATTTGCTGCGTCCCTTGATGCCAGCAACCATGCTCAGTTACCCACCCTCGCAGTCCAGCACGACCGCTCCGACAAAGCTAAGCGTCCTCACGGAGCTGGACACAGCGGCCATCGTCCTCCTCAGTTGCCATGGTATTGACGATCATAATGACCCGTCCTTGAGCCGGTTGCTACTATCCGACTGGCAGAACGAGCCCCTGACTGTCGCTGACATTACGGCGCAGCGCCTCCCATGCGCCCGCACAGCCTACCTATCAGCGTGTCACGCCGCCGTCGGCCGGGCTGCCACCTTGCTTGACGAGGGGATTCATCTGGCGGCGGCGTTCCAGCTGGCCAGCTTCCCCCAGGCCGTGGGGACGCTGTGGCAGGTGAATGACAGGCGGGCGATGCAGGTTTCGAGACGGGTTTGGGAGGTGTTAATTGGGGAGAACGGGAGGCTGAGATATGAGCTGTTGGGTCAGGCGCTGAATGAGGCTGTGAGGGAGTTGAGACAGAGTACGAAGATGTGTGAAGATGAGGATGTTGATATCGAGTTCGATGATGAGCCCTTTCTATGGGCTCCTTTTGTTTACATGGGCTTATAATGGTAGTCGGCAGTTAGCGCTATTTGGTACTTAGGTATGTACAAGGGGCAAATCCATGGTAGATCTTGACTATCTAACTATAAAAAATTATTTATTTTCTAACCCAGAGGGGAAATGGGATGGTCCTGGATCCTAATTAGAGTAGACGCTGTTTTGCGGGTATACTATATATGTAACTCCAAGGTATTCTGGATCGTTGATCCAGAATTATTTTGATCTTTGGTCTCATGAAATATTGGGCCCTGGCTATATCTCTTATACCCGGCTTAGAATTAACCTTGAGAATTATTAGAATTTATATAATATTAAATAATATATGTAATAATACAGCTTTATCATTAGCTCTAGTTTTCATAGAAAATCAGGTACGCTAGTAAGACACCGATCCTACCGAGGTTGTATCAGTCACTGTCATCCCACTAAGGATACTTTCCGGAAATGAGTGTGGCATGACATCAGGAATTAGCTATTGAAAAGAGTCGGAACCATTAAGCATGCTATCGACTAATGAGGGTACGAACTCGACCGGCTCCAGCTCAACTTCCGGGCATCACCGAACGAGGATTGTGTATATCTACTGTGCGCTGTACTCCGCCCACAAACATCTGTAGAGTGTGGTGTCACGCTATAAATAGGGATATTTGTAGAAAGGAGAAAGATGGCCGTTTAATAGGTGCTGCTATATCTCTTTAAAAAAGAAAACCATAGCTGTAATTCATCCTGTGACTTGTCCGGGAGGTATTTTGAAATCAATCTTCGGTAAGCGGACCTGATCTCAGGAAGTTCGGCTTCTTCTGAGACGCCTAATGTAATGTACGGATCGCTGTCTAAAGACATGGGAGCAAAAATGTAGACTGCTCATTAACCATATCGCTCAGATATGAGGCACGGCCGCTGATTAAGGGTGAAAGATAGTTGTTATCGGAGGCCATAGCTGGATATGATACATTTGGGCATCATTCAATGTATATTCAATGCCTGCCCATGGAAGGATGTGACCCCCAAACAAAGCGACAATACTCGGATAGATGCTGACGCTGCGAGTTCCCAGTGGGTGCCCATAGCGCTATCGAGTGCCGATGATTAGGATGGCTGATCGACTCCATTAATGAAGGCGTTAGAATAGGTCCTTCTATCGGGTGCTATTGCGCATTTGAACCTATGATGCCGGTCTGTTCCAGTCTTGTCCTAAAACCTGATTACTCAAGGGTATCAGCGATTACTTCTAAGGTGGTCACGTTGGGCTTCAGATGACATACGGTGGGCTCTTTGGTTCAACCGATCCTGCCGCTGTCTACCTTCCTTAGCATCTGAGACACCGTACCAGTCATATGCGGGTGCTCTTTTAGACAGATAGATAACCTGTTCATCTGCTGATTGGGAAGCATCGTGGGGTCTTTATTTTGGCCGAGCGAATAATGACAATGAGCTTGACGATGGTAAGCTACGGCTGGACTGTTGTAAGCAGAATCTATGTAGGTTGTGGACAGCTAAACGGGAACGTTGGTCTTGGTGCCTATTAATAGCAAAAGGGTTCGATTTTTAAGCGGACTTAGCAAGTTAGCAACAATAGTTAACATCTAGACGTCATCGAGGAACCCTCGCGCTCACTGCCGACCGTCAGCGTTTGAGCGCAACAATACGGGCCGACCAGGAATTTCCAAAAAACAACCCTACGTAGACATGTATGAGGGTTGAATGTCAAGATGATGGCGTCCCCCCAGATATTGTCTATCGAGAAACACCAGAGGGGAATTCCGGAACCAGCGCCGACCAAGGCCAAGTGCTCAGCAATTACCTATGGTCAAAATAACTATGTCTACCTCCCACCAACTTGCGCCGTTAGCATCTGTCCGAGTGTCGCCGCGTTGTTTGGGTGCCATGCCATTTGGCCTATCGCATCGTGAACAGTACGGTGAGGTGACCAAAGAGACTGTCTTATGCTATCATGGATGTTTACTACGACAACGGCGGCAATTTCATTGGCACCGCCCATATTTACCACGATAGACAGCAGGAGCAGTGGCTTAGCGAGTCGATGGCCAGTAGGAAGAACGGTGACCACATTGGTCTCGCCACAAAGTACACTAATGCACTGGCGACTGACCTGAAAGAGATTCGCGCGAGCTATGTCGGGAGAGGCACGAAGTCCATGCGCCTATCTCTCGAGCGGTCGCTCATCAACGTCCAGAATTCATCTGTGGACTTGTTCTATGTGCACTATTGGGATTCTAGAACCTCTATTTCTGAGCTGATGCATGCTCTCAATGACCTTGTCTCGTCAGGAAAGGTAAACCGAGGAATCTCCGACGCGTCCCCGTGGGTCGTTACAAAGGCAAACCCATACGCGCGTGACCACGGTCTACGCCAGTTCGTAGTGTACCAAGGCATGAAGTATGGAGCCAGCTACCTTCACTGGTACAGACAGGAATAAGTTTCTCCTCAGGTCTTAGTCACGGCCTACCGTCTGTTATAGATTATTTGACATGATAAGACTTTCTGCCCGTTCTACCATAAGCGACTCAGTCTGTATTCCCTCCTGGGCGCATAATGTATACGCAATACCCAACTTGGCTGCACCCTGTCCGCTTGGGACATGTATATAAGACAATGCTTCGATCCTCTGCCATACGGGAATTTGTTCCATGCACTGTACCATTTGCCTTTCCCCAGCCGCAGCCTCTTCAATTTCAATAATCCGCTCAACCACCCGGGCAGTAGAAATGCTATCCCAAGACGCCTCCCGGATTAACTGCCGTCGCAAAATACTCAAGGCCTCACGACGGACATTAGGATGCCGGCACTTGGCCCCAACTATGTAAAGAGCGGGGATAAATCCGATCTCTGGCGTAAACGTCGACCTTGACGACCCCGAATACCGCTGATGTGCCGCCGCCACCTTGTCCGCCAATGCGACGCATTGTTGGAACTGGGGCAGGAAACTGTCATAATCCATTTCTCTGCCAGGTCCGTAAACACTGAGGAGAGTCCATGCGATAGTATGTTGTAAGCGCAGGAGCGATACGAGAGGATCAGTTTCAAAGCCAGACTCAGCGGGGCTGCCTTGTTGCAGCAGGCTTTCGAAGAGGCTCGACCACGTTTCCAACTGCCCGAGAACGGTGTCCTTGAATAGAGACGGTAATGGTAGCATCGTACCCGTCGGGAACATTTGCTGCTGTGTGCTGCGTAGCCTCATTACCTGAGCGACCAGTATTTGGAGGTGGTCAGCAGCCTGGTCAAGTGACCGAAATGTACTGTCGCAGAGTGCAAGATGGGACGTGAATATCTTTTGGATGTTGGCTGGAGTCCAGTCGACTAGAAACATGCCGGCCTGCATGTCAAGACGGCGAATCTGCTCTGTGACCTGGCAGATAATCGCGTGAACCCCCGAAGATTGGACATCGTCGTAGGTACAGTTATTCCATGTAGCGTTGTAGATGTTGCGTGAGAGTGCTACACCTCCGCGTAGGTGTTCCATTGCTTGTACGTCGTTGCCCGCCAGATGCTCAAAGCAGGTAAAGAGATAACAGACCACAAGCGTGATAGCTGTTATTACGGCGCTGTCGCCACTTTCCGAGTTCAGCAGAAGGTGAATGGCGCGGTTATAGTGAAGCAAAGGAGCCTCATCCGATAGCCGGTCTTTGAAGGAAGATGGTTCATCCGCCCGACCGTTAGAATGGCGATCCAGGTAGTTTCGGTGAATCAAGGCCAGAGCAATGGCAGCATGCCGCACTGATGGCACGGTCTGGGAGAAGAACATGAGAGTGTTGCGCCATGGTTCGCAAGGACGATATTCATTCAGGTGCTTGATCGAAATATCCTTGAAAAAACACATTGCCTCGGCCTGGCCTGACCCAGTCACGGGTAAGATCATAAAGGATCCGAGGTTCTGCAAAATGAGGCCATGGTATTTCGAGTGCAATTGCTTTGGCACGCACGCACTCATCGTGGTACCAGGGCTGTCACTGTCGCAGCTATCTGCTCTGGAGGTGATCTCCTTATGATAATCAGTTGCATCAAGCTTGGTCTTCTCAGTCTGGAATGCGAGGGGCGTTTCACTATAACCATCGCAGGTGCGACCGGTCGAAAGGCATTTCAAGCATAAAGGGCGAGAGAGATCGCATTTGACTCGTCGTATCCTGAAGCATGTCAGTTTCGAAGTCTTTGAACACAGTTGATTGTTCCGTAGCAATACGTAAAGCCCAGACATACTTGCAAGTCTTACAGCCTAATCTTGACTTTGGAGCGAACTTGCGAGGCTTTTTTCTCCAGGCTTGATTGCCCGTCTTGGTGTTCTTGTTCTTCACGCCATCCATCACGGTGGTCTGGGCTGTCTAAGATATGCAGTTCGCACCGTTGCAGGCAGAGGTCAATTTCGAGGCCACTACGACCCGTAAATCACGACCTGCATGCAAGGGCTTCAAAAAGGAACGTATGGGGTGCCGATGGAAGTTCAAGATGATGATCTGTTCGTCGGCTCAAATGCCAGTGATAAAGTTATCGCCACATCCTTTGCGATAGGAGGTGGAGTGAGAAAATGTGGACGATACGGAGTACCAAAAATGAAGCTTGTGGAAAGACTGGCACTGTAAGAGAAGACTTCTCAATGATCACTGATGGGGAAGGATTGAATAGGGTAGCCTAAAGCTGGACCAATTGGCATTAATCAATCCTACTAAGTGCAGTCTGGTGCGTTTAGTGATAGGGGTTGATTGGCGCGTTCGTACATGCGGGACCCTTGGTCTAGTACTTATTCCGTAGAGATGAAGGCGACTCTGTTCGACTTTCTTCTTTTGCATTGAGGCTGTGACACTGAGAAAGCAATCTGATTGGCATATATCTTGCTTGCTGGAGGCTAGTGCATACCGTAATAAATACTGATTGGTTAGCTCGTACAACCGGGGCGCCAAGGAAGGCGAGACTCTTCCTCTTCAACTATTTAGGACAGGGAGGAGGCTATATAAGCAATCATCTTGGTGGGCCGGTGGACTAAAGATGCAAGTACCCATACAGAGAAGAGTATAAATCTCAATTAAAACGTAGAGTAAAGCCTTAGACCCACCACTACACTTACAGGCGTAAGGTCCTGCAGCTCTGCTCCCAGCACCCGCCGTATTTTATATATCTGGTGATCTAAAAAGAATACTGATTGGCTGGTTCGTACAAACCGAACGGAAAGCGATTGTACGCAAGCAGATGTATTGTGAGTTGATGGGAAAAATGCAACTGCCTATTGAAACCATCAGACTTGACACTAGTATTGAAGGCAATTCAATTGGTATAAATAGTTCCCAGATATCGCAACTGTGTCGGCTCTTGCAAGCAACTGAACAGCAAGGTCAACCAGAAGCCCGCAGGGATTACAATGAGCCGATTGGTGAACACGCTCATCCTGTTCATGAGCTTGGGACTGAACGCCCACAGTTTACATGATCGGGGCATGGTCTATGGGTTTGAGAATGTGAGCCCGGGACTTTACGGTGCCACATTGCCCAAAGGTTGCAAGGTTTCTGACGAGTCATCTAGATTGAACCATCAGCCAAACTCACATGGACACCATGTTTCGATGCCTTGAATTGCGCTAGACTGGAAGTTCCTTTGGATTATTCAAACAGAAGCCTTGGCACGACGTCGATTGCCTTCATCAAGCTAGCTGGCAAAAATGCCACCGCCGAGTCTCCAAGCATCATACTCAACCCCGGTAAGACCTCAATTCTAACAATCATGCAACGTTGGACCAACTTCGTTGGGCTGGCCTGACACTTCATTAGGTGGCCCAGGTGGTTCCGGTGTTGACCTACTCCTCACATACCAGAATCTCATCGGGCAGATGTTTGGAGAGCAGTACAACTTCGTCTCATTTGACCCTCGCGGTGTGAACCACAGTGGCTTGCATCTGGACTGCTTCGCGGAGGACGCAACAGCAAGGTCGGCATTCTATCGACTGCACAGAACAGGCGCCAGTAATATCTCATCAACATCGCTGGAGGAACAGTACTATTCAAGCTCTATCTACGGCGAGTGGTGCAACAATGCTGTCGGGAGCAAGTCACCCTATTCATATTATGTGACTACGCCAGCAGTTGCCCATGATTTGCTCACATTTATCGAAGCCGAGGCTCTATTGGCCGGTCAATTACCATCAAGCGCCAAACTGTGGTGCTATAGCATCAGTTACGGCACTGTCATCGGCAGCACTTTCGCTTCCCTGTTTCCTGACCGCGTTGGGAGAATGATACTAGACGGTGTTCTGGACGCAGAGCAATATTATAACAACTATTGGACGGACAATGTTGAACAAATGGACGAGGCGATAGAAACATTCTCGACCTTTTGCCATTCCGCAGGGCCTCAAAAGTGCTCATTTTGGGGACCCACCCCGGCTAACATCACAGCAAGAATGGATGGCATTATCCGTCAGCTTCTGAACCATCCAGTCCCGCTAAGCGGCGTCGGACACGAAGACCTGCCGACAATGGTCACCTATTCAGACCTAAAGACTCTTTTTCTCAACACAGTCTACGCCCCACTGGCAAGGTTTCCAACCATGGCCAACATCCTCCACCAGGCCGAGTATGGGAATGTGTCTGCTCTTGTGGGGATGTATGATCAGTCGAGTCCTATAACTGACGCCCGTCTCGCCATTACATGCACCGACTCGTATCGCAGGAACAGACTTACTACCATGGAAGAGTTCAAGATTTGGGCGGAGTACACGATTTCCAAGAGCAAGTACATCGGTGATATCTATCCTACCTTCCTGGAAGGTATCTTATGCCGATCATTCCGACCGCAGTTACCGGATAGCATGGTAGTTCAAGGTAGTTCACAGTCCATTTGTTGCTCTCCTTTTTGACATTCCATAAACATCTTCTTCGGCAAAATAGATGAGCATCTGCGTTGGAAAGATGGTCTGACCAGGATTGATGCAGACGAAATAAGTGCACTAAGCATGCCTACGTCCTTCCCGATCCTGATTGCGAGTAATACCATTGACCCTATCACGCCGTTGAAATCGTACGTTTTGGCCCAATCACATCGTCCTTAGGCGTGTTACTGGCTAACATTATATCGTCATAGAGCGCGCCAGATGTCATCACGGTTTGCTGGATCGGTACTTTTAATGCAAGAAGGCGTTGGTGTAAGTTGTTATCAATTCTCAACCCTACACCCATCTCAGCCAAGAGTCTAGGCTTACTCGCGGGATGTTTGCTTTGATTTCAGCATACGGTCATCAACCAGGGGGCGTCAAATTGTTACTTTCGGCATATTCAGGCGTACCTCCAAGGTGCAGTTCCATCATCCAACAGTACATGCCCCCGACAGTACACTCCTTTCATAGATGCTTCCCCCCTTTAGCGATCGTCCAATCCATGGAGAAAGGTTCGGTCAATTAATGGAAAGGAAGGATCAGGGTCAGTTAAGTGCTGCATTGTCAAAGTATGTGGAAAATAGATATACACTGGTTCAAAGGTGAAAACATTTCATATCTGTTATTGATTCCTACGCTCCTTTTACTCCTCTAGTATTACATTGTGTATTATTCTATTCTCACTTCATCTCAAATTTGGTTGATCCATCTAGCAGTATCAAAGAATAGCAATAGATGTGATAGATATATACTGGAACACTGAGAGTCGACCAGTGGGTGAAGAACTGGAGTGAACAGTTGACTACTACCGCGAGTACGTGTGGTCTTGTGCGTTATTTACTATGTGGAATTTGCGGAGAGGATATACAGAGTCTAACTGTACCTCTTTTTCCAGTTCAAATACTACTTAGATATCACTACTTTAGTTGGAACACTTATTGAGTTTTACTATGTTGAGGTTTCCGCAATATTCAATAACATTTAGCAAGTAGGTTGCTGCCTCATGCCCACTAGCCTTATATTGTCTCCTGTCATTCGGGATGCGTGAAGAGCAGAACTCCCGCTCAGGGGTTGTCTTAGTTCACGATATCTTCAATCTCACTCAATAGCTGGTATTTTACTATTTTAACTATATTTTGAGCGCAACGTAGTATCTCAAAGGGATGAATTAATCTTAGCCCTCCCAAGGTGAATTCTACGCGACATGCCTCTCGATCGAGATGCAGTCGTCAAAGCGTCAACACGGAATTTGACATCTGGACCATGCATGTTGACAGCCGTACTGACACTACTGTTCGTCCCAGCGCTGTTTGGGCATACATTCAGTCCCATCCTCACCTACGGACAACATATAGATATTGGCCGTGTGGCCGGCCGACAACTCGCCCTCCAACGCCGGACATCAACGGAAACCCGGTCAAATCCGCCACTATCCCCAGCCATAGTGTGTCGGCCTTACGAGCAATCGAGAACCCAGGACACAAGTCTGGACACCAGATCATCCATACTATCCTACGTGGAGTCACCAACACCAACACCCATGGCATCGCAGTTTGCTTAATAATTCCGGGAGAAGGTTGGAAGCAAATTCATATTTTGTAGTGTCCCATTTTAGGTTTTTCCCCCTTTCTCTATTGGAGGATATTTAGGATCCTTCCGGGGTCATGGCGCGGGGTAGTGTCCGTCCGGGGTAAAGCTGACCGAGCCCTAACCCGCGAATGAGATGACCCCGAGCCGTGTCCGACGCTCAAGATCGAAAATATTTATCTTGCATCCTGGGCGACCAATTGCCCCACACTCCCCCGTGAGCATGGTATCCGACAGAGGTAGACAGATCACGCATCATGAGCATCCGACTTCGTGTTCGGCGGCCAGCGTTCGACGACATTCTGAATGGGTCACGTTTGCTGAACATTTGCCCTCGGTACTCGATACCCGGAGGCAAGGACGAAGCATTAGCGCTTATCCTCTCCCAGCTCCTTGGTTAAATTTAGTCGCTCATGATGATAGGTTCCAGCAGAATTGAACCCCCTTGATAGGGAATCAGGAGGGTCGGATGACTCGCACTAACTGAAGGGAGGATTGTTGGACTCTGCCCCCGTCGACCCAAAGCAGGAATTCTCCGGCGAATAGAACGCCACCAATTTGCTTAAGTTCAGCGGACCCCGCAAAGGAACCAGTACATTTCCTCCCGGCTAATACCTACGGGCCCAACCATAATCAAGCGACGCCGCTACCGTAGTGCCAGGAAAAAGGACCCTCATGATTGGCGATGTTGGCTGGAGGACGTCAACGTCCGGAGCAAGCTTCACTCAATTGAGCTAAGATCGGGATCACCATCACGAGGCTATTGTCGCAGGTATAAAGATCTAAATCTCCCAGTCGTGCCTGCCGCTCTTTCATGCCACCCGTTTCTCCCAGAAATCGTCGACATGAATAGTGATACAGAGAAGCAGACCGCAGCGTCGGAGGTTGAGGCGCCGCCCACCTCCAACCCTGGACCTGTCTACGATGTCGACGAGAAGGTCGACTACGACAGAGCGGGCGCTCTGGAGGCTGAGCAGGCCGAACATAATATGACTGTGCCCCAGGCGGTCATGGCCTATCCCGCTGCCAGCTGGTGGGCCTTCGTGATGTCATGTACTATTGTAAGCTCTTGCCCAATGATAGGCAGATCATTTCCCTAACGTGTGCGATAGATCCTGGAGTCATACTGTGTTTTCTTAATGGGTCAGTTCATAGCCACAAAGAAATTCGCCGAGGACTTTGGTGTATACAGCGAAAACACAAATACGTGGATTATCGAAGCTTCGTGGCAGTCAGCATTCCAGTGTAGCGGGCCAATCGGTTGCATCATCGGTGTATTCATCGCAGGTCCCATTACCAGTTGGATTGGATATCGATGGGCAACCATTGGCGGTCTCATGGCCTTGAACGCCTTCATCCTGATCTTCTATTTCGGCAACAGCCAGGGGATGTTTTTCGCGTCCCAGATCATGGAAGGCATCCCGTGGGGCATTTTTATCGCCAACGCACCCGCCTACTGTGCCGAGATCGTGCCAATGAGATTGAGAGCTCCGGCAACGCAGATGTTGCAGATGTTCTGGGCAATTGGGTCGATCATAGTCGGCGGGATCACATACCACTACCAATCCAAGGCTGACTCGTCAGCGTACAGGTTCGTCCGCTCGCATAGGTGCCATCGAGGAGCACTGTACTAACAGTTATCGTAGGGTTCCCATTGCACTCCAGTGGATGTTCCCTACCCCCCTCGCTATCTTACTCTTCATCGCGCCTGAATCCCCTTGGTGGCTCGTCCGAAAAGGCCGTCTGGCCGAGGCGGAGAAGGCTGTCAGACGACTTGGACGCGCGAGTGCAACTGATAATCCCGCTGCCGCAGTCGCAATGATGCGTCGCACGATCGAACTCGAGGCAACCGAAAAGAAGCCCAGTCTCATTGAACTGTGGAAGGGTACCGATCTCTACCGCACGTTGATTGTGTGCGGTGTGTACGCATCTCAGAATCTGACAGGCAATCTGATTGCAAACCAAGCGGTGTACTTTTTCAAACGTGAGTCCAGCCATGTCGTCGTCCAAAGCCATAGCAGACTAACACCAGCTCAGAGGCCGGCATGGCCGACAACACCGCCTTTGCACTTGGTCTCATCACTTCTGCCCTCCAGATGATCATGGTGATGCTCTCTTGGATCCTCACCTCTTACCTGGGTCGACGCACCATCTATGTCTATGGTCAATTCATCAACTGTGCATTCTTGGTCGCGCTCGGTATTGCGGCTTCAGTGGGCAGGAGTACTGCGGCTAGCAATGCGCAAGCATCACTTGGCTTGATCGTCTCCGTCCTGTTCTGCTTGGGGCCCGCCCCTGCCTCATGGGTCATCATCGGTGAGACAGCTTCCGTTCGTCTCAGGCCACTGACAACGGGTGTTGGACGAGGTGCCTACTACTTAGTCAATATTCCTTGCATATTCCTTTCCAGCTACATGCTCAACGATGATAAGTGGCACCTGGGTGGCAAGAGCGGCTACGTCTGGGCTGGCACCGCCTTTATCTGCACCACCATGGCTTGGATCTGGGTTCCAGAGATGAAGAACAGGTCCTTCCGTGAGATCGACATTCTGTTCCGGCGTCGTGTCCCGGCTCGCAAATGGAAGCAGACGGTCGTCGATCTCCACGATGATGAGTAGATGGAACTTCTTGTTCGGAGAAGCCTGAGTGGTACTGCTTGTGCAGGAATAGGTGGTCGAGATGAGTGCCTTACTAGATACTTATGGGTAATAATTTTCAAGATGGAGTGAATGGTGTGGACCACAGCGGAATGTACGGCATCCTCTACTCTCGTCGGTAATGGTTGCTTTTGGTATCGCTGATTTAAGAGGCTAATACCACGCTATCCTGACAGAGCAGGATAGTTGAGACTGGCTCCTCGAGCGGGAGATTAGATTCCATTAACACTCACAGACCTCCAGGTATTAATTGAATCCAGCTATAATTCAATCCGACCATTGTACAAAACTCCCTGTGATAGCCAGATCAACCCCGGTTGTATAAGAAAAAGCCACTGCATAAGAAGTAGGCGACGAGCAGCGAGATCATGCCACCCGTTTCCATGACTCGCTCAGGAGGAGGTACATTCTGAAACACGTCCTCGCGTTCAGTAAACTGCTTGGGCATATCGGTGGCGGTGAATCCCGGGGATAGGGTGTGTACGTGTATATTTAATTCAGTGAGCATCGATGGCCAGGACACTCTATTTTGGTATCAACTCTCCTGCTACTGGCTCAGGAGGGATGACAGTCCATCTCAACCTTGAATGTTATGATGAGTGTTTATGACCTATCCTGAGCTTCCTACTACCTTTGTCTGTGTTATCCATCCTTCCCATCGATAGATATCAAGGATCTCTAGCAACGTAAGAGAACTATGTCTCCATGTCCGGCGCTAGTAAGCAGGAAAGTAGTCACTATTACAGTATTAATCCGGTCTCAGATGAGCTCCTGATACCCTGGGTTTTTACCCTATCTGGGTAGTCCTGTGAAACCTCTACTGTCAAGGCCCATGCAATCCGACCAACGCGTCGCCTTCTCGGTAACTCCATTTGGGCCGTAGATTCGAGGTTTTTCACAGATTGAATATCAATATAAATACTATTAACTGGCTGTTGTATTATTAATTGTACGGTGGTTTTTACTGAGACAATTACTGTTGTGCTAAGATCATCACTGTTCTACAATATCTAACTATGTCCCGCAGGAATGCCCCCTCCAACCCAAGGGATAGCCCTCTTCGGTACCCCACCTGGGATAGAGGCGACTGATGTATCTCGCATATCACTGCGGCAAACATATCATGCATGGGAACTTGTGGTCTTTGCCAGGTGTTTCCCCATGACGATACTGAACTGACCACCGGCGGCGGCTGATACCAGTCTGTTACCATCCACATACTTACTGTGAAGAAGGGTAGGTCTTTCTACCTCATCGAGACCAGGTTGGCCAGCTTGACTTTGCACATTGAAGCCCCAGCTATAGGCCTTTCCGGCTTCGGTGATGGCAAAGGAGTGGTCCGACGTTGCGGTTGCGAATACGATCCGGTCACTAATGCCATGGAGCATATGCGGCTGCCTCAGGATGCGGGGTCTGCTGTATTCATCGTAACTGATATCTGACAGCGGCATGTCTTCAGCCCCCATTCCCAGTGCTTTATTATCAATACGACCCCAGGTCAGACACCGGCCAAGTGCCGTAATTGCTATGCTGTGGTCCTTTCCCCCGCATATCATGACCACTTTACCATATTTCCGAAAGGCACGAACCTCTGTGGGAAACGCTACAGTGGCATCATGATGACCTGCGCTCATCGGAACCGCCGTTTGCCCAAAGTTATTGGATCCCCATGCATATACCGCGCCGCTTCGATGCACAGCAAAGGAATGGTAGGATCCGACCCCAATCTCTTCAATCCCGGAAGGAAGAGCACATTGGTCTGGGACAAGAGGATGGGATTGATGCCGTCGGCTGGCGCGGCGTCTTCCTAGTTGATATTGTTCATCACATCCCCAGCTGAAGACCGTGCCGTTTGACGTCAATGCGAGAATGTGCTGGGCACCCGCAACGATTTTCACAACATCACTGAGAACAGGAATCTGGACAGGAGTTCTCTGCTCTTTCTTACTTTCCGGCCCAAAGCCAATCCCTCCATTAGCTCCCTGCCATTGTCAGTTGGAAAAAGGCAAAGGGACACCGAGCTCTAGCGAACGCACTCGAAAGGTTCCCCAGCCATAAACTAAGCCCTCTGTGGTAAGCGCGAAAGTTGCACTGTCCGATGCTGCCAGTTGAGCGAAGACGGTTCCCTTGGGGAAGAGCAATGGGTTCACAGGTCGTGGGGTTGCTTCATTCAGATTGAGGGTAATGTCGTCATCATCGCTCTCGTGCTCGGACTCCGTTTCGCCATTGACATTATTCGCGCCATCCCTGTCGGTCTCCCCTTTCTGCTCCTGTTTCGTATCTCTCCCCAAGGTACCCTCGTCGTTGACACCACATGTGAGGATTCGATTGTCATGAGTCAAAGCCGCCGAGTGAACTCCTCCCACGGTCAGATGAACCACTCCCACGCTGTCGGCGGCCAGCTTTTGGTTGAGGACTGGCCGGACGATTTCTGACTTCTTCGTCAGGTCGCCCAGACCGAGCTCGCCATAGCAATTAGTTCCGAACACGTATACGTCTAGTAACTGGGTCGGCACATGATTCTGCAGTACGGGTTGCTCTGGACAGCAGGTGCGACGAGGTCAGTAAATTGACGACGCAAGGGGGAAACGAGAACCGCTTACCTTTTCGTCGCTTAGTGTCTTTTCTCGGTTGTTCTTGCCTTTCGTCTTCCACGAGATTGGCATGCCTCTTTCGTTCCCGGGACGCGAGGGCCGACTTCGCATTCGACTTTCTGCTTCTTGGTGCCTCCGGCAGTCTTATTCTTCTGGCCAATGGAGGCAGCGCGGCGTTGGGGAGGCATGTTGGTTGAAGTATTGTAGATCGGAGTCACGAGGAGACAGTGGAGTTGGCTGCTGTGTGGAGGGAAAACATTACCAGCACCAATGGGAACGGGGGATCGGCTTCACGGGGCGCGGGCGATCAACCGATTCAACCCATCCCGTCGAGGGGAGCCGATTGGCTGCTACCTATGGAGTCGCGGTTGACGACGGAGTATTATCGGTCCGAAAGACGGACCGGGGGAAAACACGTGATGTAAGCCACCGGCGGAAGAAACAACATGAACGCAAGGAATATCAATAACTACCTGGATACCTATAGAGACACCGTATTTGACTCACATTATCGTCCGGTCAATGAGCGACCCAGGACAACTCCATCGGCAGTCAAGGATCGGGGACTCCACGGTATAATGACTGAAACTCTCCCACTCTATATACAGCTATATGTAACAACATGACATGTTGGAAACCTGTCCCGGGGACGACAAATGGCTGCCCATTTCTAAAGAACTCCATGAGTGCTGGACACATGCAAACTCTGTGTAGCCTGAGATTATTGTCTTCAAATCAGCATTATATTCGCGAGCACAGGCTATTACATTTCGCCGCATCTTCTTTCCATGGCTTGCCCATTCTATTGAGCGGTTACTCACTCAGAGCGAATCAATGAATGAAGACGCCTAGTACTATAGAGACGACCGTCGTCCAGATCCTGAGACTTGGAAGGCATTCCAGCATATTCAAGTCTTGCAGATTCCTCTTTCATATCCTTGATCGAGTATAGGGAGACCCGGACCGATTAATGTTTTTGTTTTGTGGAGGGCTTCAATCTCACGAAGACAACAAGGTAGACTAAGGTAAGCCTATGAATTTTAACGACACCAGCCTTAGCTGACTCAAGACCTACTTTTTTTCGATCATGCATAGAGGGGCCGTCGAGCATGACGATTGGGTGAAGGACTGTTTCCGAGCTGCGACTGACTGGCTGAAATCGACCCAGAACCCAGACGGTGGCTGGGGGGAAACGGGGATGTCTGATACGGATCCCCGGTTGGCAGGCCGTGGTCCCTCGACAGCTTCCCGGACGGGGTGGGCGCTGATGGGGCTCCTCGCCCATCTCACAGCCGATAACGAGTCGGTTCGACTGGGAGTGGTATACCTATTGCGAACACAGACCCTGTCTGATCGCAACGATGAAGCGTCTTGGCCTGAATCCCATTATACCGGAACGTGATTTTCTAACCATGTCCACCTGGGTTATACCTTATATCCACACTATTTTCCCATGATGGCTTTGGGACGATATGTACAGATGTACAGCTATCAGGGCGCAAGGTCTGGAGCTTTCTGGTTAGAGTACCTGGACAGTCGATCCTTCATTCTTGTTCCTTTTCTCTCTTTCTTGTTTTCACTTTTAAACGTAAGAGATGAACGTCCAGTCTTCGATATTCCAAGCAGTGAGACTCAAGTGGCTTGTAGACAACGTTCACTTCCCCGTTCAATGTTAATATTGATTCTACTCCACGGGGTTGCAATGGAAGCCATCTTGGTAGTAGAGAGCACAATGAAGCCCCGCTTGCAATGGTAATAGTTGAGACATCAGTCTAGTTATAGGACCCCGCCATCGACTCGCACTTATCGCGTGATAGCGAGATGGTATTTGGATTCGATGATCCATAAACGGGGAGCCTCGGGCAGTCGGTCGGAAAATGACACGATTGGCCCAGCAAAATGCGGAGTCACCGCCTCACGCAATCGAAGGCTAGTGTGACGAACAAGTGGTTTGGCCGACCAGGGCTTCAAAGCATTGGTGTGTGTCTTGGGATGGCGACAGGTCGTGCTATCGGTGCTGTCCGTTGAGTGTTGGGTTTTGGACCAAGTTCATAAGAGGATCATTCATTCGCACTTCTTTCCGTCGGTCATGAAGGCAGCGTGTGTCCAGTGTCGGGTGCGCAAGGTAAGATAGATCCCATCCCCCCAGCATGGCGATTGGAATGGCGAGAGCTAAACCTTCCCAGGTCCGCTGTGACCGATCCGTACCTGGTTGCAAAACCTGTGAGCGCCTGGGGTTCCAGTGCTCTTTTCAGCGCGACACTTCTCAGGCCGTCGGGCAGGATGTGCCGCGTCTGCCACCGAAGCGTCGCGGTGCAACGGCCTGCTTGGAGTGTCGGACGATGAAGGTCCGTTGCTCGGGGGCCACATCTCGGTGTCAAAATTGTCATCGGCGAGATCGTATACAATGGCTCTGGTCGTGTCACCAGGCATTTAGTCCCTCAGAAAGATAGCGGCGAGTTCCAAAACATAGTTAACGACAAAGAAAACCCTACTGATTTGGTTTCTGTTTCTCGATCCACAGTGCATGAAAAGACGTTTCACCAACCCGAGGCATGATACACTAGCCCTATTAAGATTTCGGAAGGGTACAAGATCTTATGGGTGGAGTGGACGGAGGAAATCGCCTATCGTTCAGCCAGTGGATATGTGGCAAAGGACAAATGGGAGAAGCTGGATTTGAAGGATAAACCTCTGCTTCTTGGTTGGTCTTCCCGGAATATCTAGTACTCCTCATCCTTGTTACTTCCCAAGTATGTGCACTGTGAATGTAGATTGTTAGCATCCTTTGTAAACGGAGAGCAGCAAGTTCGGTATACATCGTTCATAGTATAGTGAGCGGTGATATATCCTTAGTTCTTCCCATTCGGTGGCAGTTACATCTACGTCGTTCTTCGCCAAAACAATCGCCACTGTACTCGATGACAGTGACGGCGGTGCTGACTGGCAGAGAAACGTTTCAAGACAGCTTTTCAATGCAATATCGCTTGCTCTTCTGATATGTTCCCCCCAACCCGGGACCGGTGCCACGTGGCATACTCTTCCATCGCTGCCTCAAGAAGAATATTCTTCAAGTCATCCTCGAGGCGCTGAGGAAGAGCCCGCAGATTTTGATAACCATGAAGAAAGAAGGTTAATATTTATTTGTGGGAGGCTTGAGCCAGGCGTGAGGCTGCCAGTAGATTTGTTCTGCTTAAGAAGCCGTTGTCGCTCTTATGCAAAACAGCTGTTCCTGCCCATTATCAGGGATATGGACGGAACACTCACAACGATACTTGGTCGACCCCTTACTCTCCGAGATGAAGCTATCGACCGAGACTTCCCGGGGATTGATGGCGGGGCCACAGGGTGGAACCCACCCTATTCCAACCCGATTCAGGAACAGGACGCCGCCTCCACATTGTATATATGTCCCTCTCGGGCATCAATATACTCACTGCCCTTCGATCGAACTGTCGTACAGACAAAACGTATACTACTGTGTATCCCGCTCGCCAATCCAGTTTCCCTGACCGACTGATGTCGGCAAATAGAAATACAAAATACACCGTCGTGTACCACTCTTCCCAATGAAGTATAAAGGGTCCAGAGGAATCATCTCACCTGTCGCAATGTAACCTTTACCCGGTGTTCTGGTGCAGAAATTAGAGCTCAAGTATTACCAATGCGTGATACACTACTCTTTCAACCGAGCCTGCAAACCCCGGACCCAGCCCCCGAGGCCGTCCAGCTTTGCTTCACCAGTGCAATGGAGATAATGCGCGTCTACATAGATCTGCATCGATTCGAGAACATGGATTGTTCGTGGCTTTTAGCCCGCTCAGTGGTCGTAGCTATCATCACTATGCTCCACTGTCCGTGGGCATGTACGGCGGCCAGAGAGTCCGTGTCGCATACAACTGTCTTGGATCGCGCAGAACAAGCTCTCAAACTACTAGTCTTCCTCGGGGTAGACATGGCCTGTCGCTCAGGAAGCCTGACAGAAGCTGCCAAGACTCGTTGCCTTCACCGCTGAAATATCTGAACAGGGAGGTTGAGTGGACGGAGAACTGACCTTTGATGCTAGCATCATAGACGCTGGGCTGTCGAATAGTACTGTGTGTTGTGCGGGTAAAATGGAGGTCAGACAAGATAAACTAGTGGGTCAAAAGTCTGATTACACCCAAAAAAATCAGAAAAACGCAACAAATTCAAACTCGATTTTCTCAACCAATTCAAAAGATATCGATCTATAAAGTAGTTCTATAGAATCCCTATATTAATACTTTGTATACCAGCCACGTGTCTGATATATAGCCTGAAATCTGCGAGGCATAGATAGAATTAGGCGATCTATAATCTCTTGTGGGATAGCCTACCAGGCCTCCTTAATATATCTTTTAAATAGGGTCCAGTCGATTTCTGACTTTCCCCCTAGAAAAAGTATAGGATAGAGCTCTAAAAGCTTGTGTTTTAATAGGGCCCAGATATACTCTATAGGATTTAAATCAGGCAAATAGGACAGCTATTCTAGAACCCAGATTCTGTAGGATTTAAACTATACCTGTATCTTGTAGAAAATATAAATTTTTATATTATTTTACTAAAATATAATTCCAGACTTGTAAATCGGTAAAAGACCTTTTTCTAGACAGACAAGATAGGATTTTATTAAATAACTGTCTTGTTATAATAATTTATTCTGTTCTATAACTATTAAATCTGATTGATTACCTAGCTATATAGAACCCTATACTATCTGAGATATATCTTTTCTATAGTTTATTAGATTTACTAGATCACATCTATAGATCTTGTTTAAGAAACAAAAAATATATTGAGTAAAAAAATTAGACTTTCGCTACACAGAATATTTATCGGAAAACTAAATATTTTTCCAGTTAAGATAATTCAACTATATATATATAAATCTAAGCTGTTTTTTAGCTACTTTAGATATTAAAGTAATCTGTTTCTTACTTTTCTACTTTTTTAAATAAAAAGTCTTTAAAATATACTTAACTGTGGAGAGAGAGATCCCAGAATTACTATCTACACAGAGAGCTCTGTAGCTCAGTCTAGATATCCAGTGTACTAAAAGATATATATAGTACTTAGTAGAATAACTGAGCTTTGTAGACCTTTCCTTTCTAGGAAGCAATTTCAAGGTATAATTATACAGAAAGTATTTTTTAGTTAAATAAATTGTGTTTCGACTGATACCAAATTGCTTGGCTAGTTGAGGTTGAGTTGGCAATACCTGGTTATCTAGACCAGATAATATAGCCGCACAGATTTCAGTAGAAAGCTCAGAATTAGGCCTTCGATTTCCACTAATTTCGGTTCCAAAAGACCTTATTTTGATAGAATGGTAGGTGGTTGAAAAAGTTGCGATTTTTTGCCGCGTCGCGGAAACGCGTTAGTGTAATCAGACTTTTGACCCACCTTATTAATGAGCCGAGAATTCTACGGGTCTTCTTTCATCTGAACTGGCTGGATGATGTTGGTGAGACTTGGCTGAGTCATGTATTTAACTTCAGCTCGAGACGAGCGCCTCTGTTAGTTGCTTGAGCGGTGTTAGATGATGGATTATTGAATGATGCCGTGGAGTTGAAGGTTTAATAGTCACAACCCCAATGACCGTGCCAAGAAAATAGCGCCATTGATGAGTCTCAGCTAAGGGAGGATCTCTGCTTTGCGTTACTCTATCTTTCTTGAGAAGGACGATCTTGGGATCTACGCCCAAATATGAGCTCTTCAGCTCCACATCATGTGGAATTCATAAAGCAGTACAGGGACACGGTCCTGAGATGGATGGCCAATTTCTTTTCTTTTCTTTTTTTTTTTTTTTTTTGCTTAAGATTGACACTTTACTACAAAGAGAGATACCCCTATAAATCTCGCTGATCAGTCCTGGTCTGACAGAGCTATATAAACTACCAAAATCTTTCATCCTCCCCCCTCCTAAAAAGACAACCAAGCATTTTCTCTTGCCAAACCCCCCACACTATTGAATTCCTCTATTTCAAACCACCATGAAGATTTCATACGCCTCTATCATAATGCTGCTCTCCGTCACAACTCTTGCGATGCCCAATCCAGAAGCATACAGCCACGATCGCTCTGCACGAACATTTAACATACTCGAAGCGCGGAAAGGGTGTTCTGGCCATAGAAACCGGGCAGATAATTGCATGGGCAACTCTCTCGGTGAGATGAACAGTTTCCATGACTGGTCAGATATCAATCGCCCGCTCATAACTTTCCGTAGACTAACTTTGTATATAGCAAGCAAATGGCGGGTAAATGCTGCGCAAAGACTAGGGACGGACGCTTTGCAGTGGATGTGAGGAAGGGCCTGGGCCGTGAGGACTGCGGCTTTTGTTTCACAGGAAAATGTAATGCATAGATAACAGTGGATGACTTCAATGTATGCTTATTAATGAATGTTCAACCTGGTATTCTCGGCCTGGTTCTTTGGTATATTACGAAATCTACTCCCTAACTACAGCATATGATCCAGCGCAAAAATCGTCTACATTCGAGCCCTTTTCCCAATCCGCACCCAAGTCTCACCGAAACCTATCGAGCGAACCCACATCGCACCCTGTATTTTACCATCTACAAAATCATGAGCTGGACATAAATCATCGCTGACTAGCAATAATACATATATATACCAACAAGTAGTAAGGGCCGCACCTAACCGAGAAGTGGGAATGGGATGTACCTGGATGTAAGGGCCCCTTCGGCGTATATGGTCAAGCTAGTACTACACCGTCGGAGCTTAGTAGGCTAACGGGTTTCAGCATAGACAGTACAAAGAAGATATCTTATATGGAGATTATTAGAAAAATTATATATCAAATAGAATCGAATAAATTACTTAAGAATATATATGCTCTATCCAATTTTAATATCTATAATATTGTAAACTAGTAGATTCTCAGTATTTTATTTGTAAGAGAATAGTATTATTTGAGATATGTAAGGGAAGAGGCTTGGATGTCATCGCCCGATACTTCGAGTTCTCCCAACCCGATGGTAAGTGGCCGAATCGGAATCTATGAGGCAGGCTAACCGAACAGCGTCAAATCCCTGAGCGAGCCACCCAGCAGCACCGGAGATGGCTGGAATCATCGGACCATCGAGCTGTGGCCACGGCGGATCCAAGCCCTCATCCACCCCCGGGTATCTCGCGCGATGCGTACATGCGCCAGCGCTTTCGCCATCCACAGTCTCCTGCGATAATCGGACTTTTGTTGACGACAGCTGTGATGCGGCCCCAGAGCCCCCAAGGCCCCTTGTCAACTGGACTGCCTCTACCAACGATGACGAGACCCACGAGTCACCATCAGATTGGGATTATTGCACTGTGGTAGATCCCTTAAACGAACAGATAAGTAGTGGACCAAATCTCTTTTGTGGAATACAATACGGTTTGGGCCTTCCCGGGTGGCCCGGCGAGGGCGCAGAAGAGCCATCTGCCTTTATTTGGGGATTTGAAGAACAGTTCATGTACTAGAAACGAGATGGCTACCAATGGTTGGCGATTAATGCCGAGCTGCCGATCTCCGGCCGGCAAACAGTCGGTCATCGGGCATCTGAAGCCGAGCCGAGTTGACATATAGCTCAGCTCGTTCTTCCTCGATCGGTAGCGAGGGTGGTAAATCGTTATCCGCCATCTGCTTTTTCACCTTGGTGTTTCGAAAACAAAGCATGGAATTATCAGTGTCTAGGGCCCGAGATGGCCGGCCAAACATTGTCTTCATCATGGCAGACGACCACGCCTCCAAGGCGATCAGCTGCTACGGCGCTGGCATCAATCACACACCTAACATCGATCGCCTTGCCAAGGAGGGAATGAGGTTCAACCCCTGCTATGTGACGAACTCAATTTGTACGCCCTCCCGAGCGGCAATTCTTTGTGGCACATATAATCATGTCAACGGGGTAATGACACTAGACGACCATATGAGTCACTCCAAACAATGGTATCGACGACAGCGATCCTAAATAGGTGCAGATGAATAAACATATCCCGAATGTTGCAAAGCATCTTCGAACAGGCGGCTATCAAACCGCTATGGTTGGCTAATGGCACCTCGGAGAAGGGATTGAGAATGAACCTACAGGCTTTGACTACTGGTCTGTTCTGCCAGGCCAAGGCCTCTACTGGGATCCCGAATTTATTGAGCCCGACGGGGAGCACATCAAACCAGGATACGTCACAGACATTATCACCGACAAGTCTCTGGATTGGATCAAGTCGCGAGACCACGATCGTCCCTTCTTCCTCATGTGCCATCACAAAGCTCCTCATCGTTCTTGGGAATGTGACGACAAGCATAAGCGCCTCTATAATGACCCTGTTCGTTTGCCGGATACCTTTTCGGACGATTACAAGAACCGCGCGAGAGCGGCCAAGGCCGCCAAGATGCGCGTCGCTGAAGACCTCACCTACCAAGATCTCGGACTTGTCCAGCCCAATGGCGGCCGCAGAGTTGGCGAATCTGTGCTACAGGAGAAGGGTAACAGCGAGCGCAAGATTCCCGTACCAGGTTCAATTGCAGAGCTTCACTCCATGAGGTTAATGGACAAAGACCATGGTACTGTCTTTACTTTCGGAAGCCACGCCGAGTTAGCTGAATTCAAGTTTCAGCGTTATATGCAACGCTATCTTCGCACTATCCAATCTATCGACGATAATGTCGGCCGTCTGTTAGACTACCTGGATTCAGAACCCCAGCTAGCAGACAACACTATTGTTATCTATACCTCGGACCAAGGCTTCTTTCTGGGAGAACATGGCTGGTTTGATAAGAGATTCATGTACGAGGAGTCATTTCAAATGCCATTTCTCATCAGATACCCGAAGGAGATCATTTCCGGGTCAGTGTGTGACGATATCATATGCAACGTGGATTTTGCGACCACCTGGCTGGACTACGCCAAGCTGCCTACGCCTTCATACATACAAGGCACATCCTTCCGTCCACTCTTGCAGGGCCGTACGCCAGAGTCCTGGCAACAGGTGGCATATCACCGATACTGGATGCATAACGACATTATTCACCATGCATATGCACATTATGGGATACGTAACCAGAGGTACAAGTTGATCTATTGGTACAACGAGCCATTAGGTGTCAAGGGTGCCCGTCCGGGGGGGAGAGAATATAGAGAATGGGAGCTCTTTGACTGTGACAAGGATCCATTGGAGCTTTTTAATGTGTACCATGAACGAGAATATCAAGGGGTTGTAGGAGAGATGATTACGATGTTAGAGAAAAAAATGGCGGAAGTTGGAGATGAACCTGTTCATCCAAAGCAACAATGGCTGCTGGGGTCTCTATGATGATTATATCTCACAAACTGACGTCTTGCTTCATTCGAATGTTATACTTTAGTATTTGCGTTGGAGGCTGTCAGACGCCTATTCCTGTATACGCTTACAAGTCTTACCTCATTGGATCCTACCCCGTAGACGCGTCATTTCTTCCTAACAGGTACGTTTTAACGTCAATACTTACCCCCGTCCTCCTCCTTACGCGGAGATAGCCACTGGAAACGTCCCGCTTCCGGCTGGCGAGCGTAGGGTCACTTTGGCTGCGTAACAGAGGACACTGCCGTGGCATATCGTCCATCTCGGACGAACCTCCGAGCCGTTGAATCGGCAGTCGGGGGCCCCACATTTCGTGATGCTGTCCTAGAATGATTCAATGCGCTAACATCCCACTACTTAGTGAAAAAGAATAATGTATAAAGTTCGAAGGGGATGACATGAATATGGTTCATGAGGCTGGAACACCATCGTCCTGCTCGAGTTTTGTATTACAGTTCAAGCTTTCCTGTTCAAGTCGTGCTGAACAGCCACTACTCACTTTGGTGAACCTGCGATTGGCTCTTCCCGCAATGGCATCCTGCCACATAGCCCTCACGGCCTCTATGCCGTCAGAATCGTTGGGGAGGGAGTTGCATAGGAAACGTGCTGAAGCATTGGTAGAGCAGATGACCTGGGAAGAGAAAGTTGGCCAGATGGGTGGTATCCGTCGGCTCCTAAGCCTTGGTCCGCAGATAGACGAAGAAAACTACGAATACCGGCAAGCGGAGTACCAGAATGGAAACATTGGTCGGTGATCTCCTCGTGGGTAATGTGACAATGCAACTAACAGAACAGGGTTTGGTTCTACGCTCAACTGGGCTGATGAGATTCTTTCACTCACGAACGACATAAGACAGAGGCAAATTAATGAGAGTCGACTTCACATCCCATTTATCACAGTGACGGATTCGATCAACAGCCTCTACTTGTCAGGGGGTACTATATTCCCAAGTAACCTTGCTATGGCGGCTACATTCAACATCCCGCTGTTCAGGAAGGGCGTTGCTGCACTTCGTGAAGAGCAACTAGCAATCGGCGTGTCATGGGTTCTGTCCCCACCACTAGACATAGCGTGGGAGCCGCGATATTCCCGCATCGGTGAGCTGTAAGTGACTGCCCGGTCCCTCATATACCTGCTAACCTGGCCAGGTTTGGCGAGGACTGTTATTTAACAGGCGAATTCGGCAATGCCTATGTCCAGACTATGCAAGACAAGGACGAATCAGGAAACATCAAAGTCGCCACGACGGTCAAGCATTTCGTTTACGGCGAGAGTCGCGGTGGAGTGAATGCTGCCAGCATGTACGGAGGAATAAATCACCTTTACAACGACCAGTTGCGGCCTTATCTGCGAGCATTAGAAGTGGACCCCGCCGCTGTCATGGTTTCTTATGCGTCGGTCGATTTGGTTCCCATGTCGGCGAATAAGTATCTTGTGAGGGATATTCTCCGCGAAAGGCTTGGCTTTCAGGGTATTGTTATGTCAGATGCTGGGTCTATTGCGCATCTCTATACTGAGTCTCGGCTGGCGGACTCATATGCCGAGGCTGCATTATTAGCGCTTGAGGCTGGGTTGCAGATGGAGTTGAGCCCCGGGACTCTGGCTGTATTTCCTACTCTTGTTGCAGCTGCAGAGGAGAGGAAGGTGGGAGAGTTGATAAATGACGCTGTATTAAATATTCTTCAGCTGAAGTTCGCAACCGGCCTTTTTGACAATCCTCTTCCTGACCCGGCGAAAGTGAACGAGACCTTACGAGCGCCGGCCCACCTCGACATCAGTCGCAATGTCACCAGGGAAAGCATTGTCCTACTTCAGAATGACGGTATCCTACCGACGACGCCATCGAAAGTGGCCCTGCTCGGCCCATTCGCTGATATCCGTAACTATGGCTCCTATGCCCCTGTGAATTCGAGTGACTCTCGGTACGGCAACTCACTTTATCAAAGTCTCCAAGCCAAGCTTGGTGCAAGTAATGTGAACCTAGTCCAAGGAGTCGACTTCATTGACTCTAATGCCACCAACATCGCCACCGCCGTTTTAGCTGCCAAAGAGGCCGGTCTCGCAATTATCGTCCTTGGCTCACTGTCCGTCGGTACGACAGATCCCCTTGTAACCAAGCGGACCGATGGGGAGTTCTTCACGCACGCAGACCTAAGCTTCCCAGGGGCTCAACAGCAACTCCTCGATGCCGTACTGGACGCTTCCATTCCAACGATTCTGGTCCTCTCTGGTGGACAACCTTACGTGCTCAATAATTCAACCCTCCGCAGCAATGCCATCCTGCACTCGTTTCTCGGTGGCGAATTCACTGGCGATGCGTTGGTCGAGATTATCGTGGGCGACGTCAACCCCAGCGGTAAGTTGCCAATCAGCTTGCCACAAGTTACATCTGCGAATCCAGTGTTTTATGATTATCTTCCGAGCGACGATACCGGGACAGCGGATAGCATCTTAGGGTTCCATTCCACGTACCAGTTCCCTTTACTTTCGCGAGCCCCGTCGATGCCATTTGGGTTTGGCTTGAGCTATACAGATTTCACGGTCTCGACACCTATTGCCAGAGCCGGGGATAACAGTGTTGAGGTGCGTGTGAATATTACCAATAGTGGTTGTATCGCTGGCAAGGAAGTCGTGCAACTATACCATCGCCCAAACACGACGACAGGAATCGAATTTCCTGTGAAGCGCTTAGTTAGATTCGCAAAGGTTGAGCTACACGCTGGGGAAGGTATAGAGATTCGGTTTGTCATTCCGTACAAGGATCTAGGGTACTATGTCAATGGTAAATTGCGCGTCAAGCCAGGGGTCTACTCTTTCTGGGCTGGTACGAGTGCGAGGACGGAGGATCTAAAGGGCATCAACGTGACGGTTGCTTAAGGGCTTCCTTTCAATATTGGGTGGAAGAGCTGCGGAATTGGCCGAGAACAAGCCTTTCTAGAGTCCCACAGATTGACCCTTGAGGAACTGGGTAGCTTCGTGATCCAGTTAATCACTGAGACTGTCGAGCCTTCCTCAGAGACAAGCCTTCTCGATATGCATTTAATATGATCAGAGTACTAAGGCTCAACCTTGCTGCCATTGATATGTATCCCGACGAGGTAAATTGGCTTGTGTCCCTAAATGTGCGGTCCAAGGGCAAAACGTAGTGCAATGGGAAGTTTGGATATCTGTAGCTCTACCTGTGAGCTCCGTTGAAGGTCACAGAAACTTTCAATGACAATATATATTCATGTATTTAACACCCAGAGAATCATTCCATTTCAATCCACAATCCCAGGTGTCTATTCTTCTGTCAGGCCGCCACTCTGCACCAGAAGGTGGACAGTCGTGCCAGCTCGGGGAGAGAGCCTGTTAAGTCCCGAACAGTCCTCTCGTGCTATATCTATAGTCGATACGAGGTAATACATCCAAGTCCTTCCTTGTGGCTTACATTATCAATACATATAAAAAACCCAGCTAATGGAAAGGCAAAACTCAAATATAGATAATGAATCTGTTAGCCGTCTGCTGTAATATATACATAACCAATACCTATTACCACGCATCCACGCTTAAAGTGCTCGAAGGAATCTCTTGATGCAAGACATGCCGTAGTATTTCTCAGTGGAACCCAAGATCTCTTCGAGAAATACGTTAAGTGCTGTGGACTAAAAGCTTACTTCTTCACCATTTTATCCACTCTAGATTAGAACGGAATTATGCAAGTGTAAGGGCTTGATCATATAATGTCACGTGACCGTAGTGGTAATGATCCTGGGTTTACTGTCCATGTGTCACTGCAGAGTAATTTTGCGTGAATCAGACCGTAAATAATCAGCTAAACTCATGTGGGAGGATATAGATGAATGTAATGTTGCGCGTATTGGTAAGGGCGTTGAGTCCTTGTAAACCTGCGTGGCAACGTAAATATATCGTTGTGTCCTGCCGGCCTTTCGGATCACAACGAAAAGTAGATATAGCTTTCGAATAAGATATCAAGGGAAGCATCATGATATCCACATTATAGGTAACCCGAACATTTATACTATTCGCTCTGAGTGGATAATATGAAGTTACACTAGATCCTATCTCTACAATCAGCACTCGGGGCCACCGCGAATGGGGTGAGGCTTGACAAACCTCCTGTCTCGATATCAGAAAAAGTTGATTACGTTAGGGGCCTCATTTCTCGTCACTATCGTCTCCACTTGTCATCGTAGCTCGTATAGTAATGAGCACAAGCTCTCTACACTGGCTATCAAGCAGCCACAGTGGGTATCATATGTAATATAAGCTGATCGCGGCTTACAATTCCAGGACAACGTCACGCAACCTTGACATTCATCAAGGGACATCATGATCCAGTGTCTTGGGAACATTCATACATGCAAATCGTCCTTTACAGCAAGCATACCCATGGACAGCGCCAGTTGATCCGGCCATGCCGGAAGTTGATTCTCCAGAGTCTCTTTCTTACCAATTGTCATACGAGGAGTAGTCGCTGGGGCGGGCAGCACATCCCACACCGGTAATGTAGGTATTGTTGGATTTGTGGATAGCTGGCGATGATCGGACTGAGTAAGTGCGATAATCTGGTCTAGAAGTGCGAGAGCCGACAGAGCGCCATGACCAGCAAACTGCCTGGTTTTCTGGGCTACTGGAACTGGAATTAGTGCAATAAGGTCTCGTTTGTTTCTCAGCACCTCACTATCGAGTGTGACTGGAAACACCGACTCCAGTTGGTTTCTCAGGTGCTGAAGCCGTCTCCTAGATCGCATGGTTTCCTGTCTGAGTGTCTCGCGCATGGAGTGATCTGTTTCATTATTTTTGATCACTGCGCAGGCTCGAGCGTAGAGACCCGGACACTTAGCGATCTCGAGAAAGATGAGCTCGACCAGATTAACGAGCTGGCTGCCCTTTCCATTTCCACTTTCCTTGACGAGGCTGTCGGCGAGCGCCGATTGCCATGCTGGCTCGGCTAAGAAACACGCTTCACCTCGAATGAGCGCGTCAGCTACTATGAAGGACTTGAAGGAAATCAGTAAAGTACGACCAAACCCACTACGGTGAGCATTTGGTCCTCGTAAGCGAATTAGGGTGGCAATACCACTGGAATGGGTGAGCCAGGACTGTGGTGTGATCGGATCCATCATCTCGTAGATGCCGAGCATGACGGCAATTGCGAGGGTCATGTCTGATCGGGCGAATCGGGGTCGTCGTAACAAACCACGCAAGCCATGAATCCCACGGCTATACATGGACCTACTACTGGCAATCGTATCTTGGTCCTGGTGTTTCATGCCCAGGTGAAGGGCACCCAGACACCGGAGACTCCAGACGAAGGGGTCCAGCGTCGACTCGACATGGCGACGCGCGAAGTTCATCCAATTGACTGACAAACGAGCACTATATAAATAGTAGAGTCCGGGGACCGTAGCGTCTATGAAGAATCCCAGGGTTTCAACCCCCTGCGCGGCCACAGTCTTTTGTATAAGACTTGGCGCAACCAACTCATCCAGATTGTTATAAGACCATACACCGCGCTCCGGAACCGACTGAGAGGTGTTCGACCTTTGGCATTGTGCGGACGAGGTCGCCGAACGATACGTAGGATTAGGGCCTACTGGCCTTCTGGAATCGGAGGGAGTGCTAACAACGAAAGTCAAAGGTTTCCGATAACCGGGACATTGAATACTTCGCAGCTCGCAACGCCGGCAATTTGGTCGTGTCTCATCACACTACTTCCGGTTGCATTCGGTTAGTGGCTTAATCATGCTTTGTAGGCTGCGACGCAGCACTTATGGAGGTTCGCATCTACCTTGACTCGTCGCTGTATGCATGTGCGACAGCCTTTGCTGTATGGAACTGCGACCATGACCCTGGAATGGGGTAGTGGTATAGGGTTGACTTCCGGTACCCGATGGTCCACTTCATTAACAATTAATAGGCAAGAAGGTGGACCAGGCCGTAGCGAGGAGAGATTGCGAGCAAGGCTGGAGATGGAAAACACTTGGCTGATGGACAGACTCGGACTCTCCCCACAACCCACCACGCCAAGACACTTGTTATATTTGGGGAAAAAAACCCCGGAATTAGACTCTATGAGGTTTAGCGTCTGGGTAGGTCTCCTAAGCTGTGTTAGGCAGGACATTGCTGTGATTCTCCTTCGTGATGGCTGATCCAGTAGGGCATTACAGCCAAAATGCATACAATTGGGGTTTTCAAGTGATAGCCCAACGCTACTGTACGAAGGAAGATGGATAGGGATCTGGCGGTCGATTTACGGTGCGTTCCATATATCCAGCAGATTACTAGATCTGCCAAGAACAGACCTGAGAATCGAGAGTCAGGTATACAAACTAGATTGAGATATTGATCTGCATTAACTATCAGGAGTACTTAGTAATTCAGGAGGCAACCTATGGACGAGATCATTTACGAGTGACTGTAATGGAGATGTCAGTGGCGTTCTTGATGCTGGTGGATGTGAACAAGGCTAGAGTCCGCTTGTCAACTGTGTACTGCAGCATGCTGCCATCGGGAGAGATCTGGACGGTATAGCCGTTGGGAAATGTGGAAGGGGGTAGGATGATTTCTGTCGGCGCCCCGATATTGGGGTCAGACGTGAACTGCAGCTTGAAGGTTGCCGAGCTCTCAGAAAAGCTGAAGCTTTTGGGAATGCCAGCGACAGCGGCAGGGTATGCACGGCTGTAATGCTTTGCTAGCTCAGGATAAGGCTGACCAGATGTGCCGTTGTACAGGTTCTCGTACGCCCAGCCGATCCAGGAAACCATATTTGCATCTGTTGCCGACATGGCATCTGCTAGGCCCTGCATCTGCTTATCATCGCCCATCCAGAACGTGAGCTCGGTCAGCACCCCGGCGGTCCTAAGGCGCTCGTTGTCCTTGTGGCGGTTGCTCAGTGTGGTGGAAATCGAGCCAAGCTGTGGCGGGCTGTAATAGTGGAACGAATGCACCGACTTCGAGCCATCCCCAAGCGGGACGTCATCGAAGCCTGACAAGATATCCAGGGTGGCACCTTCAAACCAAATGAGCGTGTCATTGTCGACCGTACGGATCTGCTTGGCCGCGCGGTTCCAGAGCCCTTCTAGGACCTTGTGGTCAGCAACACCAGGCACTAACAGTGTCGGATCGGCCCACGTGTCGCCCACCCATGGCTCGTTCAGCAGGTTATACCCGATTACATTGGTCGTCTTGACATACTGGGACGCTAGCCTTTTCCAGTACGCTGCGAACGCATCGCCCAACCCGTCGTAATTGTTGTATAACCGCCCAAATGCATTGCCCAGCGCCACGGATGTGTAGCTCAGAGACCAGTCGACAGTGCTGCAAAGCGACTCCGGCGATGGGAAGCCGTTCTCATCGACAGGGAACGGCGTCGTCTTGAGAGGAAACGGATACATCTTGCCACTTGATACCCAATCCTTCTTCGCAAACCACTATGAAACCTTGTTAGTATGGGCTGTGCCAATTTGCCCCTACGTCTACTTACGTCAGGTGCGCCGTTGCCACAAAATTGCCGCGCCAGGCAGTCCTGATGCACGTCCACCAAAACGTAAAGCCCATGATCCTCGGCCATCTTGGTCTGCTTCTTCATGATATCCAGAAAGGTCTGGTTATACTGCCCACGCACAGGCTCTGCACCCGCCCAGCTGTGGCCTAGCCGCACAATGTTCAGACCCAAGTCGTGCAGGTTTTGTACATCTTGCTCGCTAAACGAGGAGACACCAGGCGCCCACTCCAATGGCCGATGCCACGGTGGCTCCTTCATAACGACATTGGTTCCGTGGAAAAACCGCGTACGGCCGAATTCATCGACGATCTGATGCGTGTCTTGGTTCACCAGGCTGATACGCGACATGCCTGGATGGCTTTTGTACCACCCCTCGGCATCCTGAGCTAAAACACCGGTTGGCTGTGTGGCGACCACTGCCAGCAGCCATGCGGCAGCAATGGGAGTGTACAGCATGGCCATGAAACAACCAAGTCAATCCTAGGAAGAAAAGGACACAGGGCTTGGGGGAGACGGAGGAACGGAACGTTTAGCGAAGAACAAGAACCAAAGGACTGTCGGGAGATTATACATGCGCAGCACCCCTTTTTACAAAACTAAAAAGTGAGGTTACATCCCCCATTTTAGCTCAATCGCTTGCAGAACTAGAGGTAGTAGATATGACCCACAAAACCATGCGATAGCGCCGCAGGGGTCCTTGATATACACAGTAGGCGATGCGGCCCGGCGCGGCCAGCCAATTAAGATATGTATCCCCTTGCTACCTACAATCAAAGAGTCGGGCTATTCCGGTACCATCAGCCAACGTGCTTGATCAACAAGGGGGTTGACATCTGATAGTATCAGTGCCGAAAGTGGAGCTCAGGTCGGCTGCAGATTGGTAGAGAATATGAGGGCTCCCCCGCAATTATGTAACGATTTAACGCTATTTATTGAAGATCATACATTTGTTGACTTGATTGTCATAAACATGTGACTGGTATTAGTACATCCTGTACTTCTGTCCGGATGTTTATATTCGATGTAACCTTGCCATCCAACATGCAGACCACCACTTGGTAATTGACTCGCAAAGGATACGAAAACGGGACAGCATTTCACAATTTAGTGTTGATGTGATTTGTTCATCTGCTGACATAAGAAGCAGTCGATAGATGTCCATCAAAGATCGTAGAGTAGTATTTATGAAGTTACTAAGTCTAGCGAAAGGATAGACGCTAAGGCTAATCTACCATCCCAGAATGAATCAAGGATATTTTGTTCAAAATCTTGCTTAATTGCCCTCCCGTATTCAAGTGTCTCATGGTCCTGTTCTGACTTACGTGAAAGACTTGGTTGAGTCGTAGTTATTTTTGTTTTGATAGCGAAATGGGTTGGAAGGACCAAGGGTTGGGTGGCTTCTGGCGTCAGCTTCAGCAACAATATCATAAAATAGTTGCCCAATAAACCTTGGGGAATGTACAAACAATTCGTTACTCAGTAGCGATTCACATACCAAGCACTTTCAATGTCCCATCATGGACCCAACGCAGGAAAACCTCCAATCAAATACAACCTGACAATGTCCTCAACTTTCCCCTCAAGTCCCCACGGGAAACTTTTTATACTACTATTCCCACCAGTCTAGTCCCTTGGCTTCACCGTCACGTTGAAACCTAGTGGCATGAGAAACTAATGGTTGAGCGTCTTCATCCTTGCCATCTGCCACTTCAACTCAAAGTTCTGTACCACGACCGGCAGCAATTTACTGATCTCCAACATGGAGATATGCCGTCCAATGTATGTCTTCGAACCAACTCCGAAAGCCATAAGGTATGACCCCATCGCTCTGAGGTGCTCCGCAGACATGCCAAGCCAACGGCCCGATCTGAACTTACCAGCATCATGGCTAATTACCTCCTGGCTGTAGTGTGCAACCCACTTGCTTATTCCGACGACGCTGCCCCCCGGGAAGTAAGGCACGCAGACCTCGGCGCCCCCTTCAGGCCCCACGCGCCACAGAGGCAACCCGGTTGCGGCGTGAAACCGCCCTCCTTCTTTGATACAGGCTTGCAAGTACGGCATATCTTGCGCTTGGGCAAATGAGACGCCCTCCTTTGTGCAACCTCCCCCAGATCTGACTTGGCTCCCTTCGTCAAACAGGCGTCGCATAGCTGAGAGATTCTGGATCAGGTGATACAAGACCGAAGATAAAGTTACTACTCCAGTGGTGTCGCTGCCCGCGCTGATGTTTCCCTATCCAAGTATAAAGATGCCCGAGTTAGTCACTTTCGTGGGATTAGCATCCTGGGCGTCCATGATTCCATTGAGGAAGACCTGAGGCCCAGCTTGGCTGTGGACTCTGGATCTATCCTTTTCGACGTTGTCCCTGAAACCTCGTACGCAGGGAAATCATATCGTACACCGCACTTGTAATCTTGCCCAAGCCAGAGGCTCCTGTTCCCCAGATACGCTCAAGAAAGGAATATAAGTATTGATGAAGGCTTGGGCAGTGTCCTGCTCTTGTTGAGTAGAGGAGAAGCTGCTTCTAGTGCATTGTTCTTACGATGAGGCCATTGTTTTACAGCCTCTTCGAAACGAGGATCGGCCATTCGGACCCGAGCTTGATACGCGCGGCCCGGTCTGGGGGTGTGAGGAATCTGCTTGTGATATGCCTCGACTCGGCCGAGCAAATGCTAAACATTCTTGCAAATTTGCAGAGTCAGGACATCCTTGGTCAGTGCAAACGAATACTACTGTTCCCCCGGTCACTGACGTCAAGACAGAGGGTTTTCTGCGATTCGACCTCGATGCTACCTTCCCAACTCATATTACGCTGTTAATGGCACCAACCATTGACCCCTCTCCGGTAAAGGACCAATCGACATCGTTACAGCGTAGCTACAGTCTGTTGGATGATCTCGTGTCCTGCGGAATCATGGTGGCTGTCCAGATGAAATTAGAGCTACGACAACTGGAAGACACTCTTAGTTATTCGCCTATGGATGATGAATTCAAGCCAGGAGAAACACCTCCACAGCAGAACTCATACTGCTCAACACCAGCAGAAGGCCCTTCTCCAAAGTCACTACTACCGCAACATATGTGTCCCCAAGACAAGTTCCAGCCGCTAGAAGATGCTCTACAGATGGACGGGCTCTGGTGGCAGGATTGTGTCACAGCAGAGCATCTTGCCAATTTTGCTAATTCAATCCATCTAGATAGTCTAGACATCTTGTAGTCGATATGCCCATTACTGTATAATTAGTACCATTCTGTTCCATGGAACGTAGGAATGTATTTGTCATCTTAAGATGAGTCAGCTGACTGCTGCTTCCGCGGAGGCACGTTCGCCTTACATAAGTTACGAAGCCAACCTTTTGAGTCCAGCTCTGTGGAGGAAGCACAACGATTGAGTTGATTTGAAGGCGTATCGGAACTACAATGGAATTGAATAATCAAACGAGGAAGGTAGGAGTGACAAGAGAGCCCGTGCATCGATCAAAGATGAATGGCTAAGTCATGCTGGGGAAAAGGCATGCGATCTATGCTACACTCGCAAGATCAAGTGCGATGGACAGAAACCTCGCTGCTCAAATTGCATCAACTATGCCACGGACTGCACGCATACAGCACTGAGCCGGAAGTCAAAGCCCAGAGCACGACATAGTAGCGGGGCCAAGAAGGCGGACGAAGTCCAGAGCCTGCAGGCAGAAATACAGCGCTTAGAGACTCAACTTGTACGTAGTCCCGGGCGTTGGAATAATGATGATACTCAACCATGAGAGTTACAGGCTCAGAGACGAGACCAAGATCGGGTGCCACATCTGACACCAGGCTCGGTGACGACGACAATAGCAGTGCATGTTGAAGCTCAACACACTGACGAGGAGGACGATCTTACAACCAGCCCAATGAAACTACCTCCACTACACCTAGCCATGGCCATGGTTGGAATATACCTTAACACTTGGAATTCGGTCCTGCCGCTCTTCCATGCCGACACGCTGTTGCGTCTAGTCGGTGAATGCTATGCCCGTCAACCCCGACAACGCGACCCAGTAGTATGGGCTGCCATCAACGTCGTATTTGCCCTGGCTTGCCAACAGGTTCCAGACGGCGCCAGTGATGGCCGCTCCGAGTACCAGACCGATCAAACAACAGAGTATCTCAACAAGGCACAATCCATGATCTCGACTGTGATGCTTGGTGAGACCCATCTCCTTAACATACAGGTCCTGGTAGGCATGGTGATGGTGCTCCAAACTGCACACGACCTGACCCCATCCTTGATTCTAATATCGGCAACGATGCGTCTCGTACATAAGTTAGGCCTGCACAACCATGCAGCATCAACACATCTGGAGCCTGTGCAAAGGAGACAGCATGCCCGCGTCTTTTGGCTCGCATACATTCTCGACAAAGATTTAAGCCTGCGTACCCAACAGCCTTCGGTTCAACTCGATGACGATATTGACGTGGAATTACCATCTTCTTTGCCGACGACTAATGACGATAATGACAACACTGCTGGTATCATCGTTACGGCGGACGGAAATGCCCGCATGAATTATTTTCTGGCTCGCGTCAAGCTCGCCCATATTGAGGGTCGTGTATATGACTCTCTCTACTCAACACGAGCAGTAAATCGAAGCTTCGAAGAACGACGCAATGCAAAGGAGAGCATTGTTAGCGCACTCGATGAATGGAGAGCTTCCATACCTCCCGAATTTAGCGCCGGTGTCGTCACATCGAACACCAGGAATAAACCGGGGAATAATGGTTTTTTCTGTGTGCTACACTCAACCAGTCTCCAATGCATGGCGCTTGTTAGCCGGGCTCACGCTTGGGATGGACAATGGGTGAGTGGTGTTCGCAACCATAGCCGAGGAACCCAGATATTGCAGCTACCACCAGCTTGGGAGATAATAGTCCATCAGGCCAGAGGTTACATGCTCTTATTTCGAGAGGTTTGGTCAGGAGATGCCTGGTTTTGCTGGTTAGTAATCACACATCCTAATGAGGATACCGTTGTTGACAGTGACAGGCTGACTTCATGCCCTTATACAACCGCTATGGTGCTGTTGACAGCCAACGCTCTGTACAATCCGTGGCATGATAAGATCCAGTCAGATATGGAGCTGATGGATTCAGCCCTTCTTTGGCTCAATGAGGCCATGAGGGAACATCAATCGGAAGAGACCCAAGCGCTTTGGGACACTTGTGTTGAGGCCGTCCGAACGGTGAAGCAGAAGCTTGCTGAAAACATCACAACGCCCCTGGGGTATTATTGGTTGCTCAGTCGTCCAGACAGTCTAGAGCCATTCTAAGCATATGCCAGCACTAAAGGGCAACAATATCCATAGCATCAAGGCAATGTAACAGTATGCGAAAGGCAAACTTCATGGCTTCCCAGACTTGAAAATAGCCGATTCAGCGTGTTCCACTCGTGAACGAAGCCTAATTCCTGGATTTACATGTATCTTCAACAACACAGGTGCTCACATGGACCACAGGAGTGGGGACGACAACAATCAACAAAGGAAGAGGACTAATTCCACACAATACCCCCATGACCAAAGGGGCTCTCAGGCCGTTCCTTTCATAACATCGAACACGACATTCACGTTACCCTCATATTCATTCTCCGCCAACAGATGCAACAATCCTGAATGATTCAAATCATAGCCTGCAAACTGTGGCTTGAATCCAGTCTCTTCGATAATCCTTCGAACTGTCCCGATAGAAGATGCGTTTCCACCCATGAAGATTATAGGTGGCACACGGCCAGACGCCCACTTCCGGACTTCCAGGAGTGAAGCAGGGATAGAATTGAAGGCTTTGAAAAGTATTGCCTTTGGAAAGGCTCGCTGGATCTCTTGCGTGATGGAGGTTCTTTCCATGTACTTGAGGTCGTGGTAATGATTGAAATTGGCATCCACATTTAACGGATTCATTGTATCAATCACCAGTTTACCCGAAAGCGTAATGCCGTCGTGCTGGAGCTCTTTGAGAATGTGAGCCAAGCGTGGGAAGTATGCCGACAGAATGACAACGTCGCCGAATTTCGCAGCGTCCGTCATTGAGCCGTAGCGAAACTGGGCTATCTCATTCTCTCCAATGCCCATCTCTGAGGCTAATTCCCTCACGCGCGCTCGAAGCCGTTCCGGATGTGTGTCCTTGCTGAGCATGACATCATGGCCAAGGCGAACCCAAGCAAAAGCCAGACGTAATCCAATATTGCCTGCGTTCACGACGCCAACTTTCATCTTCGATATATGTCTCTCGATTGAGGTGAAAGAAAAAACGTGATAAGCAAGTTATACCCTGGTTGGCACTGTAGTCTGAAAGCTTCACGAGAGGCTGGCTGGAATTATATGCTGTAGCCAAAAATCTTGACAGGACCGGACAGAAGATAATTGGTTCCGCGGAAGCCATTCCAAAAGCGACGCTTTATAATATGGAGAAGGATCTACAATGTATTTGTAGTTTGACTCTTGGTACGCTATGGTAGGCGGCTGATTAATATCGGTAGTAACTCTCCCAGATGGAGAGAGTCAGCTTCCGCGGGTGTCATTCCCAATACAATGCTTTATAATCTAGAGGAGCATTTATAATGACTCTTGATACGTAATGGTGGACGGCTGATAAATAGAGGTACGAATGCTTTTGTATACAATAGCTTATCTAGCTCCGCGGAGGCAGACATCTCCTTATCCTGCGCGAGGGAAATAGAATATAAGTCATTCACTGATCCTAATGCACAAGACTAGAAAGCAATCACGAAAAATTACATTTTAAGTCAGACTTCTCCACATCCCAAACATCTTACTACAAGTGAGCACCAGTCAACCAAATGGCCTCGATCAAAGAAGAACAATATGCTATTGCACCTGGATCCCGCGTTCTGGTCACAGGTGCCAATGGCTTTATTGGTTCCCACGTTGTGCAGCAACTCTTATCCCTTGGATACATTGTGCGAGGCACGGTGCGTTCCGAGAAGTCGTGGCTCGAAGGGCTTTTCGAATCCAAATACGGTCCCAATCGTTTCGAGTTGATTGTGATCCCAGACTTGAATGACTATGACTCCTTGAGCAAGGCAATGAGGGATGTTAGCGGTGTCATTCATGTGGTATAGACAAAGCCCTTTCCATTCTTCGCCCCATAGCTTTGCCCAGCTATGGAATATATAAGTCACTCTGCAGGATATAATGCTAAATGCATACGTCTAGGCATCGGACGTTTCCTTTAGCCCCAATGCTGAGGAGGTTATTCCGAGAGTTGTTTCAGCTACCGAGACTATTTTAGCAGCAGCCGCTAGACAACCAGAAGGATCGATTCAAAGAGTCGTCCTCACTTCATCAGCTTCAGCAGCGGCATTACCACAACCGGGAGTCGAAGGGATTGTGATCACTGAAGGTAGGCATTCACTTTGTGGGCCTCCTAGGATATCAATCCAATAGGGTCCCATATAATGACCTTGATTCACCAGTACAAGCTTGAGATTAATAGCATGATTATAGACATGTGGAATGAAGCGACGGTGAAGGCTGCTTTTGACGAAGGCACACCAGCAGATGCCAAGCCATTCACGGTCTACGTTGCTTCCAAGACGGAAGGTGAACGAGCTGCGTGGAAGTGGGTTGAGAATAACAAGCCGCCTTTCGTGTTTAACGCGGTCTTGCCCTACTACACGGTGAGTTTTGAGGTCGTCGAGCAATTGCTCCGGGGTATCTCAATGGGACTCTAAACAAATGTCTGGAGGTTTTTAGCCATGGTCTTGGCTAATTCATATTTGCAAAACAGCTCGGACAAGTGCTTCACCCCAAGATAGCTGGCTCTACCATGAAGTGGGCGGCTAATCTGCTTCACGGTGATATCACCGCTTTCGGGTTTCCTGGACGTCAGTATCATATCTTCCCCTGCTCGGATACGCTTAGTGTCGATCCGTTTACTGATCAGCATTCGAAAATAGAATTCGTCGACGTTGCAGACCTCGCGCGCATCCATGTCGTTGGTCTTCTTCATCCGGAAGTCAAGTCTGAACGTCTGTTTGCTTTCGCCTCGACTTTTACCTGGAAGGAATTCGTCGGCATTTTACGACAGCTCCGTCCGGGTAATACAGAAATTCCAAGTCCTCCAGAGAATGAGCTCCGAGATTTGAGTGAGATCGTTCCTGCTCGGAGAGCGAAGAATTTACTCCAGGCAGTTTTCGGGGGTTCTGGTTGGGTTGGATTGGAGGAATCGATTCGGGCTGGAATCGATAGTCTGGGGTACTAGAGGCTAGGATCTCCAGGGATTGACAAGATTAGTGCGGCACTGGGCCCGAAATCCATACGGTAGGTCCTTGCTCATCTATCTCTCACATGTAGCGGAATAAGCCACTACTGCCTCGGCTATCGAATGGAATACATGCAGCGTGGACAAGAGTCTTCTACTCGTCTCTCTCTTCTTCACACTTGGTCTTCCCAAGGAGCTCGTACCATGTCATCTATAGAGGTCTTTCCCATCACGCTTCAAGAATTGAGATATGCAGCAAAATCAACCGCCAGGTTCCGCCACCTCGGGACAGACAGTTGAGCCCCTTAATGTCGAGGCGACGCCTCCAAATGTAGAGCCAAATTACCCAACGGGCACCCAATTCTGGTTCACCGTAATCGCACTGTGTGTAATCCTCATCCTCGGAGGCCTGGACGCCAACATTGTCGCAACAGCTGTCCCGAGTATCACTAACCACTTCCACACTCTCGCCGACGTCGGCTGGTACTCATCCGCCTTCCGACTCTGCACCTGTGCGTTCCAATTTGGGTTCGCCAAGCTGTATACACTCTTCTCCATCAAAATTGTCTTTCTCACCAGCAATGTTATATTCCTTGTCGGTTCCATACTCTGTGCCACAGCGGCGTCGTCGACGATGTTTATTATAGGCAGAGCTGTGACGGGTCTGGGCTTCGCGGGTGAGCTGGCTGGCTGCTTTGCCGTCCTCGCGCACATTCTTCCGCTCAACCGACGGCCAATATTTGCGGGATTGATGGCGTGTGTAGAATCACTTGCCATCATTGCGGCGCCTATAATTGGTGGCGCATTGACTCAATCTCTAGGGTGGAGATGGTGTTTCTGGTAGACTCCGCTCTTCCCAAGCATGGCTACACAGGAGGTAGTTTTGGCGCTGATATCTACATAGGATCAACCTTCCTATTGGCACGGTATCCTTAGCGACCATGTTCTTCCTCTTCGCAGATCCACGAACTCGCCAAGAGGACGACCTCACACTGACGCAGAAGATCAGAGACCTTGACCTCGTTAGCAACTGCTTGTTCATTCCCGCCCTAACAGCGCTATTTCTCGCGTTATCTTGGGCGGGAATAAAGTATCCCTGGACCGATGGGAAGGTGATTGGACTATTCGTCGCATTTGCTGTACTCCTCGCTCTCTTCCTGATCCATCAATACCGACGCGGAGACTCAGCCGCGCTCCCCTTCCGCATAATCAAAAGCCGAAGCGTCATCGCAGGATTTATCTTCACAACGTGCACTAATTCTATGACAAATGTATTGGAGTGGTACTTACCGACGTACTATCAAGTCGTTCGATCCCAGGTGAGGTTCCGTGGATAGCTCACGGCATACACTTACTAATAATACCATATGCTGCCAGACCCCAAGCGAGAGCGGCTATCTAATGATTCCGATCCTGGTCGGAATGATGCTCGGGCTCTTGTTGCAGGGCATCGGTACTACAACCTTCGGCTACTATGCGCCCTTTATGATCGTTGGCTCCGTGTGCATGCCAATTGCCGCCGGCTTGATGACCACATACAATCCCCACACGTCCCTTGCCCAGATCATCCTTTATTCGGGGTTGGCTGGTTTCAGTGGGGGGATCGGCTTCCAAGGCCCCCAGGCAGCCATCCAGACAACGTTAAGTGCCGCCGATGTCAATCTTGGGATCGGAGTCATCTTGTTCGGGCAGAGCATGGGTCCGGCCGTGTTCATCGCTATTGCACAGGTTATATTTACCAATCAGTTATCGTCCAGGTTAAAAGATATTGTACCAGGGTTGACACCTGCCTATATTGCAGAGCGCGGACTTGGCGATCTGAAGAGCGTGGTTCCTCTGCAGCGGTGGGATGAGGTTCTGCGTGGCATCGATCGCAGCTTGACTCGTACTTGGTACCTTTCGGTCGCGCTGAGCTGTATGACCATTGTGGGGAGTCTTTTGATCGAATGGCGCTCCGTGAAGCAGAAGCAGTCCTGAATTTGTTACTTGGTAGTGTTTACATATCAACCGGTATGTGTGGCTAGCCTTGTCGAATCCACAAGCAGTGCACAAGTGCATGGAAGCGAAAGGCATATCATACCCTCGGCGACTTCGAATAGACGCGATGGCATAAAAAGGCGCCTCGTAGAGGATTGAAGTATATTAATCTACATGCAAAAGCCAACCCAAGCAGCCCAGAGCCCTATGAGAGTCCCAGCCACCAAAATACCCGGCCTCGACTGAACTGCTGCGATAGACTCTCCACCACCCGTTTTCTGTGCTCCTCGACATGCCGTACCCGTACATTCTCCCGTAGCAGACCGAGTAGCCGTGCTATTCACCACCGCAGTAATAGGGTGCGTCGTCGACCCAAACGTCCAGGTGAAGCTACTCCCACTAACGGGGGTCGAGATAACACCGCCCGTGTTCATCAACAAACCGGTCCCGTGTTTCGGGATCTTCCCCGGTTCATAAAAGTTCTGCGTCCCCCCGGCGCCGGCGGCCCCAAACCCCAACATTCCAGCGCAATCGTATTGCTGCAGGTATGGAGTAAAGGCATCCCAGTCATGCGGGCCGAGTAAGTACTTACCCCAGTAATCAGCGGTGTTGAGAACGGGATTTGTGTTGGGACAGGTGTCCCATACTCTGCGTCCAATGAGACAGATATTAATCCAGTTGTCCCATTCATAAGTAGTGGGTGAGTGAATCGATACGTACGACGCTACTATGGCACTCATCTCGCAGCACAGACAGGCCTGCCAATAGTCTGTCCTCTCTTTCGCAGTAGATAGTTGGCCGAGTTTGGTCCCGTTATTCAGGCATGCCTCAGCCTAATTCTGGATTTGGACCTGTTTCTTAGTCACTTTGCCCACGTTGCAGACACATCCCCCCGGGGCATTGTCGGGTGGTGGACAGAAGGGAATCTGGTCCAGGTTAACGTCGGGGCAGGAATAGACTAGCCCGCTGACCGTCATTCCATATTCGCATGAATATACCTATGACGGGTCATCGATTTATTTCCGGGTTGCTTTTTCCTATGTATGCCATGGCGCCAACCGACCTCAAGCCAACTAAGCACCAAGGGGAGCGCAAAACTCATTCCAGCAGCTCGTTGCAGTACAATCAATGATGTCCTGGGCCTGGGCACATTCACAGGGCCGGTAGCATTCAACTCGTAGGGCTTTACATTTCTCTCGCATGCACGTCTCATCGCCATTGCATACTTTGGTACATGGGTCCTCCGTACCGTAACAGCGCTGACTGACACAGTCGGTGCGCGAGTCACGGGTGCGTTGTCTGCAGGACTTGAAGGATGCAGGGTCGACGCAGACAGATGCATCGCGGGATCTCATGTCGGCTGCTTCGCCCGTTTCCAGCTGGACTGCCAGCGCGGCCACGAAGAGATATGCGCTCCACATCTTCTTTCTGCCGTTCGCGCCGCAGGAGATGCCTCGGGAATGAACTTACAGCGGGCTTGGGCTCTATCTAACTGCCCGTTTATTGGGATGGCTAGCGCTGACCCTTGTTTGGGACAGGGTATCAGCAACAGCGCGCAACTCATCGTTCTCTTGGCTGTGGGACTTCATACGGCATTGAGAGCCTCAGATTGAGTGGTTTGCCCTGCCAAGGCGCCGGCTCTCGACTAGTAGAGGCAACACCGGGGGAAAGAACCGCAATCTCTGTCCCAGGCTCAACCTACCTGCGTGGCTTCTTCCAGTGCCATCTTTTCGGGGGGGTTCGATTCAGACTTGCTGTAATAGAGACATAGTCATTAAGTGGCAAGTCCACAGTTCCCTGACTAAGTCACTCAATCAACGGCCAAAAGAGAAGAACTACGATGTCTGCCTCCGGTAGTAGGCAGACATCTCAACATCGTACTGCTTGACCTACCTGAAGGGGATAGATACCTATTTGTTCGAGGCTTCTCACGTTATTCCTAGAATTGTCACAACTCACCAAAAGAAGAGAATAAGAAATATGACATGCGTGCATGGGGTAATATTTTGGCCGTTGTTACTTCCCATTCTGTCATCTTACCACCCTGACAAGGGTGGCCGCCGTACGTTCTTGGGCATGTCGCTCTAAGTAACCCATGACTTCAATTCGGTTCTGTTGTTTTGTTCTATATTTCGATCTTCTTTTCTGCTTGCTCTACTTCCCCGTTTCTTTTCTTTTTTTTTTTTTTTTTTTTTTTGCCTCTCAGAGCACTACTAATTTACTAAACCAGTACTAGTCCAGAAGGACTGGCGACTGCAGAACAGAACCAAAGATGAACAAAATAGAAACATCAGAGCCCTACAAGGCAACGTTGTATGTTCGACCCGTGTATTATACCAGTAGAAATTATATGTTGTACGTGTACGTTCACCTAAAGTGTCGTAATCCCCGATATTTAAGACCAGGTGATGACATTATATATATTGGATCTAGAACCACTACACTTCCCAAAAAAGCTTTTGATAGACCAGCTGGTGTAGAGGCTGTATAAAGATCGCTACTCATGCTGCCACTTTCCATTTATCTTGACAATAATTCTGCATCGAACAATCGAGGGCTGGCTGTCTCCGTTCTGTTATGATGTGATTAAGCCCTGCACCGTACGCTAGTCCGCAAGCGGAAAGACCAGGAGACGGCCTTCTTTTCCGTGCCCAACATCTGGGCATGTTTATTTAGTTTCCCCACGACTCTTGACATCCTCCTCGCTTACTTGGTGAAAATCAACTCGGGTTACTATTGTTACTACTGACACCCACATTTTTGAATTCATTCTTTTGTCTGAAGCGGTTGAGAAAATGATTTGAATTAGGCAGGTCCTCGCGTTGTTATTATCATTTCCAATTTCCCCCCCACACACGGTGATGTTATAAACCCAGATCTTCGGAACGTCGGAAACTCGGAACCCCCCAAACCGTTTACTTTTATGGCTCTGTTATTCCCTCGCGGCTGCCCGAGGTTGGCTCGCCATCAGGACATTGGACATATAATTCCAGAGCATGTCGGACCCCGATCACCCGCAAGATGGATGCATTGACCGTCCCCCGGGCACGGAGTGCGGCGCTGGAACGACACATTCCACCCATCCCGATCCCCATCGTGTGGGGAATTGTCGGCCTTGGTCAAGAGTATCGGCCGGCTTGAGGGCAACCGATATCACGATCCACAAAATCAACACGTATGTATCGCTTAGAATCACGTGAGACAGATCTCGTCGCTAACGATGGCCATGACAGGTTCATCTCGAGCTCCATCGGCCAGGACACCGCCCTCGGCTCCATTGAATATCTCTCACATGCCTTACATTACTTGCTCCTCTCGAGAATCTGGCGAAAACTAAAGACTCGCCTCTATGCTCTTCTCCGAAGGATGCAGAGACGTAAACCGACTCCATGTCACGGTCCATCCACCCCTCCGCAAATCCAAACACCGGCCTGGTCACCGCTACTGTCACTGTCATCGTTGATGTTCGACACCCGTTGCACTCTCCGTCTGTTGGGATTATTCTCGATATGGGCCTGGGGCTCTGAGACCGCAACGGCTCCCCCGGCGGATCGCATTGTCCGCGAACTAACACGACTTCAGCTGGTGGCGACCACAGCGTACCAACTGTTAGAAAATGTCGCCTTTCTCATGTCCAAACATGTTCTGCCGGAGAAATTATGGCAGAGGTTCGACAGTGAAAAACTGTATTCTTGGAGTCTTCTTTCCCTGTGTGCGCATATGATGCTCCAGGTGGGCAAGCTGTGGCGGGAGAGTATACTGAGAACGAGAGCAGACCCGAAGGCAGTGTCATCCACGAATGGTCGGATCACCATGATTGATAAGGAGGCGGGAAGCGCCAGTGAAGCCGGCGACCATGATCCGGACGTATTAACGCGGCGAGAGGAAATCATCGCCGCCCGGAAGAGCTTGGTATCAAGCCTGACCTGGGGAGCATTATGTGCGCACTGGGGCATGCCGGCTGGGATTGGGATTCCGGAGGCCTTCATAGGGGCCTTGAGCTTTGTTGCGGATGCATGGGAACTAAGGGATACGTGGGGTTCAATGGACGTTCCATCAGTTGGATGTCTCAATGGCTGAAGTGCTGGAGATATACGGTAGCGCAGTATTTACGTCGTCCAGAAAATCAATGCCTCATACTCGATAGGGATCGTCCAAATGAAGATCGGTGACCCGCCGAATATGGATCTCATTTATACTATGGGTGTGAGTTTACCTTGTATCATGGTGACTATCGATGAAAGTCCTATTGCTGCGATCTGTCTACGTCATTCTATCCAGCACCGAGGGTGGAACAACGGATCTAATTCGAAATTGTACTGACTTACGGTCTTCTTGCCACTCGTCTATATCCAGCCGAGTCGATTCTGATGTGAATGTTTTGTGATTCGCCACAGATGGTGAGGTTCAGAAATTCCCCACAAATTCCGTCCCCATTAGTAGAGGAACTGGCACGATCCTCCTTCATTCTACCAACTTTGGCAATTTCAATCTATCAGATTTCCCTGGTAGTCTTCTCGAACGCCACACTGGCAGCATTACGATCATGGCATCCAGCACAACTCGAGTCCTTGCCATTTCTCTGCACCTCCAACCATGGTTTGACGAGATGTATGCCCCGCTTCTCACGGCCCTGCGGGCCAAAGCGGAGGTTCAGCGTGCCGAGAGCACGCCGTCAGCCGTGCAGTTGCTCGCACAACGTCCAGAACCTTCAGTCGTACGCATCACCGATGAAGCCCTAACCCTCCCCAAGAACCGGACTGTCTGGGAAGCGGTTCTAGGGTATGTCCGTGGCGGGGGCACGGCCGTGGTCATGGGCCACTTTCCCTCATTCGTTCGACCGAACAGCCTCAAACCATTTTTCGCCCAAGCAGGTCTAACCTGGGAAGTGGGATCCTACCACCGGACAACCCTGGCATTAAACGAAGCCGCCGTTGGTGTCGCTACTGCCCAGAAGCTGCCACAGAGATACAGTCAGAAGGCTGTGTTCGTGAAGAACGTCGGACCGGGCGAGATGTGGTACCGAACGGACGATGACTCGGTGGTCGAGTCTCTGGTCTTCTCGCCAATGAGTGTGAATAAGGCTGGAGAGACAGCCGTGGCGTTGGCGGAAGTTGGTACGGGAAAGCTAGGGTATGTCGGCGACGTGAATGCGGAGGACGGTTCGAATGCGGTGATTCTTGCGATGTGTGGATTGCTGTAGCAAGGCGGGCGGGATAGGGAGATAGCGTCATGTGTGCTTCACTGACTCTGTGGTCACAACCAAGATAAGACCGCACGGGCTGGATGGAAGGGTGAAGCCTCGTCCCTCAATAGTCCTACACCGAATTAAACTAGATACTCGTTTGATACCAGCTCCATCGAACTGCCCTGCGGGTAGCTAACGGAGGGAATTCTGCCTCTCTAATCGGACGCAATACTTTTGAAAGCTTCGCTTTGAGCAGTTTGCCCTTGACAGGTAGCCATTTATGATGCCAATTATAATCTTGTATTTGCTAGATGTGAGCGGATGGTCGGGCACTGTGCTACCGGCGAGACTGGGCATAGAATCTGATATCCAGATATCTTCACTCCGGTACCACCAACAATTATAGTAACATACGTATAAAGACAATCAGGCTTCTCTTGTGTGATCACGTCACACGTCGGGGCCATTCAGTGAGCAAAGACCGGCGTCGGATTGAACCGAAAGTGGCGAATGAATCACCTTCGATAGCGGCCACCTTTGCCGGGCTTGGAGCACCTTCATGTCTACTCAATTACACGCTTTCTGTTGATACATTTTTTTTCCCCTTCATTTCCGTGTACCTGCTTCCACCAAGCTGTTCACGAGGCAACCTTCAGCCAAACCTAGTAGGAATGGGACATTCCATTGCTGCGAATCATCCAGGGTGATAGATCCTATCAGGGCCGGTGGCAAATGGTGACCATAGTCTTCTACCAATTACAAATACAAGGGCCAAACTAGGAATATACAATCTTGGAATCTACAAGCCGATTTCTGTTACTATTTCCAAGTAGTATGGTGCCGTATCAATCAAGCTGTCAGATAGTGGTGAATGAGTAACTCGAAGACCTAGTATTAGTAGTTGCGCCACCCAAGATAGCCCTGGAGAGGGCCGGAGTGGGGAAAGTCACTGACTCACTGGTGTGTATTTTATTTTATTTTTTTTTTTTCCTTTCGCGTGGACCTTCCGTTCCCTTAGACTGAAGCTTCGGGCTTTTTTGCACCATGGGGAAGAGACCCACTCTTTTGCTATCTGGCTCCGGAGATAAGAGATAGGGTACAAAATCCTACCTGTGCCTTCTGATAACCGTTATTTAACCCCGCCTGTGCATTATCAGATTCTAGATGCTGAACGCTTAGTGGTTGGCCGTGTGAGATCCTGCTGAGGAACGAAGTATAAATGGGAAAGATTAGAAACATCGTTATCAGCGCAATGCGATTATCGGAAAGAATAAGTACAGCGTATTTCTTCCCGCGTGGACCTTCCATCGACTTCAGAGGAACCCCATGGGGAACAGACCCACCCTTCACCTGGCCGCGAGACGCTCCGGACACGAGCTTAGCGTTCAGATATGAGGGGACATACTCTAAAGCCCAATGCCTATGTCTATAAATACTGAGACCGTTCCAAACAAAAAAGATTTTGCCATCTTTCTCCTTGTCCCCAATCACTCAACGCGTCGTCCGGGCGGGGATCGTCCAGCACTTTCATGATGACTGACACAAAGACGGCTGTTCCAAATTCAGACGATGGCCCTCCTCCCACCACACCAACAAACACTATCGATCAGGGTCACGGAGTCAGCATGGAGGCTATCCCGCTATGGAAGCGCGTATGGCGGCACAGTTTGACGCAGATGATGCTGTTGAGCGTCCAGGCCTTTTGTGGGCCAGCCATGTCGGACGCAATTACAGGTGAGAGTTCTATACCATCATCATATGGAGTCAGAATGTGCCGCTGATTGTTTCCAGGCCTCGGTGGTGGTGGCCTTGCAACTCCTCAGGTGTCAAACATTTCGACCGCCATCAGATATGCCACGCTGGCTGTCGGTATGTAATTCAGTAGCCCCAGAAATAAATTTCTGCGCGCTGATTGGTGAATGCTCCTTCCAGTTTGCTTTTTGGGCGGTCCCATAGTGAACAAAATCGGTGTCAAGTGGGCCCTGGTCATCGGCTCCATGTCCTTCCCTATCCAAGGGTCTGCCTACTACTGCAATAGCAAGTTTGGAAACCAATGGGTGAGTGATAGGACTTTGTGCTCATGGCCACCGACTGCATTCGGCAACTTGGCCTGTCGTTTGAAAGTACGCAATATCTGACACAAAGCCACTCTCTGCAGTATCTCATTCTCAGCGGAGCTATTGGTGGTATTGGGACCGCTTGCTGGTACGTCGCGGAAGCTGGAGCCATTATGACGCTGGCGCCATCCGGTGCTCGTGGAAAGTATCTAGCTCTGTGGATTGTCTCGCGCAATCTTGGACAGTTAGTCGGTGGTGCAATTAAGTAAGTCTCTCGGAAGTCTACACGAAAGGCATACGTGACGGGTAGATTCCAACTGACGCCGACTCCTGTTTGAAGTCTAGCAAAGAACCATGAGAAAGGGGCCGATGGTGGAGTCACCCCCGATACTTTCATTGCCTTTGTGATCATTGAGTGCATCGCGTAAGTGTGCTTGTTTTTCCATGAACAATCCCGAGGGCCGAAACTAAATTATGCTGATTGCAGTCTTCCATTCGCACTTTTAATCACTCCCTTCGAGCGCGTTATCCGATCTGACGGCACCCATATCGTGACTTCAGAGACCCTTTCTACCAAACAGGAGCTTAGGCGCATTGCAAAGACCATCACCTCCAGGCTCATTGTTCTTTCATCCCTTTGGGCACTGTGGTCATTTTTCTACACGTGGGTTACATTATACACTCATCTCCACGAAACGACAATAAAACGCTGACTGAGATGGCAGTGGTACTTGGACCACCTACTTAGGAACCTATTTCTCTGTCCGGGCCCGCGCCCTCTCGTCTCTGATCTCGCCATTCTTCTGCATGTAGGTGCCAGATAGAATCCTTTTCTTAGGCTCGACATTAACCAGTCTCTTTCGTCACCAGAATCGGCTGCTTTGGTCTTGGCTATATCCTGGACATGAAGGGCCTCAGCCAACGCCGCCGTGCGCAAATTGGTCTCTACACCGTCGTCATCCTCAACGTTGGTGTATATATCTGGTCTATCATCATGCAGACCAAGTTCAACCGCCATAATCCTGGCCACATCGACTGGGACGACGGACTGTATGCTTCGTCGTTCCTGCCGTATTTCTTTGTCCAGACCACCGGCCCGTTGTCACAATCGTACATGTATTGGCTTCTATCATCTTTTGCGACAGATGCGCAGGGTGAGTACTGAAATGAATCGGAATTAGTGACCAGCAGGGACTCGTACAGGTGCTAACAGCTAAGTAGAAAACGTCCGGAATGGCGCTGCATTCAGGTGCATTGAAGCTATTGGTCAAGCTGTTGCCTACGGTATGAACACTCAAACCACGAGTGACCCTCTCATTGGATTGTACGTCGTCCCATTCCACTTATCTCTCGTCTGGTCAAGGCGGCGACTGATTGATTTAGCTGCGTGACATTCGCCCTCCTCGGAGCTTCTCTGCTCCCCATGATTATGCTTGTGAACACGACGCCGGATCGTATCCCGGCTGATGTGATTGCTGAGCAGGAGGATGTCGCCCGTGACAAGCTGGAAAGTGCTTAAATCAGCCCGGACGGGATGATCCTGCTTAGTATGATAAGGCGGATGTTGTAGACAGTGTCCGTTATGAATATTCTATGTATACAGTTTCTTACCAAAAATACGTATTAGAGGGCTCTAGATCTCACTGCCACCGTGATTATTTGAAGTTGTTACTCAAAACATGTTCGCGTATATCGATGTCAACGTATTCCATAACAGAGATAATCCCACTTCCAAATCTCTAGCAATGGACTTTTAGTGCCTGATCCCTTGGCTAGCTGAGAACATTGAGACAAGACGGTGATAATTAGATATACCATCGGCTGTTCGGTATTGCTCACATTGATAACTCAAGGGACCAGTGATAATCCGTTCGTGGGGGAGCCAAAGAAGCGGCGCCCGCTTGGGGAGTTCCTTGTGCGGTCATAAATGTTTGGAATCACTTATTCCTTGTGACTTTCCGTTCTTGGGGATAGGGCTTGGCTAGGAATGATGCCGATGAAGTCATGCAGGGGAGCAGGATTCTGGAAGCTTTTATGAAATTACACCTTAATATGGGTGAGACGATATCACCGTCATGGGTCTGTTTAAATGGGATGCGGAGCTACACGCTAGAAAAAGGAGTTCCAGTTGGAGTAGGTAAGTGTTATCGTAATGATTATGTATACAGAGTAGTCTATAGAATATTGGCGTCTCTGGTAGGCAGTACAAACACCAGAAAGTCCCATGGTGGGATGTAGCCACCGGCCGCGAAATTATGAATACAAATATTTCAGCGGCCAGTTCTTTAGGTTCGGCCTTAGGGCGTCCACCTCAAGTTCAAACACGCTCCACTTCGACACCACTTATCTCCTTTTCATCGGAACGCTGTTCCGATTGAATACCCATATGCCTTGATCTCTGCTGCCATCTTTCTGGCCTGTTTCACTGGGTCTCCGCCTCGGGAGAAGATGAGATCAATATCCTCAAGACGCAAGTTGCTAGTCTCCGGATAGAAGAAGTAAATGATTGGGATAAAGAGGAGATTGGTGATCATGAAGATCAGGTATGCCTTCCACTGGATGCGGTTGATGACCACCGGTGTGATCATGACCACAGTAAAGTTCCACAGCCAATTGGAGCTCACTCCAATAGCCGTGCCTTTAGTCCGGGCTTCTAGGGGTAGAATCTCTGGGACGTACACCCACGGGACCGAATTGATGGACATGCCATGGATCAGCATATAAAGGAAGAAGAAGCTAACAGAGGCGGAGGCATAAGCCTTCCCATTCGGCTCGTCGACCTGGGATAGCAGGGCCGCGACCATAAGCATACATACGCCTAGGCCAAAAGAACCAATCATCATGGTCTTGCGTCGGCCCATGCGATCCAGCATAAATGCAGGAAGAAGTGATCCGAGCATGAACATAATCTGGATGCACCCGCCGAGGATCTGAGAAAGTTGGCCACTCATGCCCACGTTTTGTCTCAGGACAGCTGTTAAATAAACTATCAGCAGTGGTCATCCGGTTCAAGAAATACAGCACTTACTCGGAACAAAATACACGACTAGGTTGATCCCTCCAACCTGGTTCATGAGCTGGATACCCCAGGCAAGGAGCACTCGCTGACCCGTCTTCACCTCATCGTTACGGAAGATCTTCCAAAAAGACTGTTTGCTAACTGCATCTTCCAGCTCAATAGCGGATAAGATCGCCCTGCGCTCGTTGACGATGTATTCGTCATGCTCCTCCCGGTTATAGACGGCACAGAGAACCTCTATGGCTTCTCGCTCTTGGCCGTGATTCATAAGCCATCGCGGAGATTCTGGCAGACCAAATACAAGCACAATAACAAAGATAGCGAAAAGGATTTGCATTGCAATAGGAAGTCGCCAGGCGATAGGGCCGCCGACAAACGACATGCCAAAGTCAAACCAGTACGCCACAACGATACCGACCGCGGTGAAGAGTACTTCGGATGAAATCAGCCGTCCTCGGGTTTTGCCCTCGCACATCTCCGCTTGATACCTTGGGTCTCCGTCAGTATCGTGGTCATCATGCTTTTTTTGTATCGTTGCGAACATCAAAGCTTACATTGGCACCGTGGATGTCTTCAAACCTGTACCTGCGCCCGTCACCAATCGCCCAATAATCAGATGAGGCACAGTAAACGCGGTCGTCTGCAGTACTGCGCCTACAATCACCACACCCATCGCCAGCCAGATGGTCGTCCGTCGGCCGAGCGTCTCTCCGATGAAGAAGTTGACTGACGTCCGTCCGAGTCAATTCGATGCTCCGTCCAATGATATTTGGCAGGTCACTTACTCAAGCACCCCAAAAGACAGCCCAGGTTATAGCAGCTTACTATAATCCCTTCTTCCGAATCATCCGGATAGTTGAACTGCTTCCTCCAGTCATCATTCCCAACAATCCCGCTGAAGACGCCCTGGTCGTATCCGAACAGGATAAATGCCACAAGACAGCATGCTGTGATGGCCGCTTGAAGGGGTTTGCCCCTTCCATACCAGGTACGCATAATGAACGTAGGATACTATCGTTAAGAGAAGTGGCTAACGATCGAATACCACATGTCTATGCCCACGGATCGCGTCCATCCAGGTGCGTTCTTTTATATCCTCCGTGAATCATGTACATAACGAAACGCGGGTTGCCAGTGTTGGGAAGACCTCCATCATTGTGGGTGCCATCTTGTCCACTTGACGGATGACGATCAGGTCGCGCAGTAGACCCGACGCGGAGATTTCAGCAAGCTGGAGAAAACCATGTATCTTTATGCGGAGTTTGACTGACGGTTCTGGGTTCTGGGGAATACACTCGGCTTCCGTCCGAAGCCCGTCGCGGTTTAACTTGCCTTGTTGGGTCTGCCTCAGGATAAGTATTGCTCCGGGCGCACGTGATTCTTTACTCTTTGGGAAAGGCGTGCTCATTTGGGAAACCGCAAGCACTCCGTTTCTCCACCGCTTTTGGGCCCATCGTCTGCCACACCCGGACTGACTACTTAGTACTCCAGGACCCTGGATGAAAAGGACCCACTATCTGGGGGATTGGGGAATGGCCAAACTGACTCTGCGATGATCGCATGTTCTGAGGGTACATGCAGGGTTACATTGACTTACGCGTGCCTCATGAGCGGCTGAGAAATGGGCTGACACTGTTGCGCCTTGTACATACATGGGGAGCATACAATCATATATGTAGCATTATATTTGACTTTGTACCCAGACATTTCGGAAATAAAGGTCCAAATTCGAGGGAATTTGGCTACTAGTATGCTGGTTATGTATTCGTGACTCGTGAAGTCGTTCGATGTTCCTTTCTACGACGTACACTAGTTAAGCAGGAGTTCATAAAGGCCTTGCATTCTAGCTCCTTGTCCTAGCGATTAGTTGGTCCCATTTCTAAATCAGATCGCAGGGTAAAAGATAATAGTTTGGGTGAGAAGTGGCATTGATTCTTGTGTCGTACTGTGTTTATCAGATTGCGCGAAACCAATATATATAATCAGGCTCACAAGGTAATCAAGTATCCACCTCACGAGCTTTACTACTTCTGCATTCTGACACGACACCAACCCAATCGAGTCTATCATTTACAGAGTTCAAGTAGAGTTACTTGTCCCGACCTTTGCTAATCGCCATGTCGAGTTAGGATAACTAAAGACAAGAAAAGTCAAACTCATCAGGGTTCCACGGCATGTCCGGGTTGATAAAGGCAGAGTCGGAGGGACATTTGGGGATATTGATATTTAAGAAATTTCCCAGCTGATCGTCGATATCTTGAAACATGGGATCCGTCACAAAACTATCGAAGCCACTATTATCCAAGTCCTCAAAATCGAACAGTAGTTGGTGGTCTGTCGTTGGAACGGTCTCGTTTGCAGAAAATTGTTGGCCGTGTGCCGCCTCAGCTACTTCTTCTGCATTCTCTTCAGGATGGAACGGTTCCATATTGTAGACATCGCAGCTCAATGAGGCTGTGGCGATAGGCGCCTTCTTATGTGACGCCGCTAATTGGTTCGTTCTTCCAGCCACGCGTTGCATGCCGCCCAATGCACGTTGACCAAGCCGGGTCATCACTTGAGCGGACCACCACGTCGAGCTTAGAGCCTCTAGGCTCTTATAAAACGTTTGTAAATGTTTCTTGGCCGCATACTGCGTACTGGGAAGCTGACAGCGCTTGAGCTGTTTATAGGATATGGAGAACCCGAGTGATATCGAATACGCAACGGTCGGCAAAGGCGTGAACTGACTGATGGCGCACATTTGTAACAGGGTGGCTATGCGATATACAGCGAGATCCTGTCGCAGGTACAGCGCGTGAGACCTCGGTTGAGCCTTGAGTCCCCATGGCCGTGAGGCTAGAAGAGCTATTGCATGATACGCCAATTCGAAAGACACTGAGGTAGCTTAGTGAGTGTCTTGGGAGGAAGAAGTCATGAGAAGGATACTAACACATGTGATCCATAGGTATATCCTCCGCTTGATATTTCGCAATCAGTTCTTCGAAGCGGGGAATTTCGGGTTTATTCTCATCTACGGGGGCATCCAGGGTCGGCCGATACACCACCATGACCTCGCCCAGTATTGACGCCAGGGAAAGCCAAACGCGAAAGGGGCCGTCGAAGAGGTCAATCACGTCTGTGAGCTGTTGGCCTAGGTCTCGGTCGTGAATCACCAACGGCCTCCCATGAATGGCCGCAATCCATCGGTCAAGACTCCATAGACACCAAAACAGTGTAACTAGCGGTTTTTCATGTCTCTCAGGCCCACATTTTAAAAAGTGTAGCCCGACAGTGTGAGCATGATGGATGGCCTGAGCTAGGTACAAGGACGCGTCCTCAAAGCTCTTGGGTCCTGAAGCATGCAACGAAACAAGGGCAAGAATTTGTATTAAAGTCATTCGTTTCCGCTCCAGACGCATGGTAATGGCCTGGCAAAGGTCTTCGTATAGAAGATTGCTAAATCTGCAAGGAGACATGGGTTCGATGCGATCCCCAAGCCGGAGCATTGGTCCTGCATCGCGTTCCTTTGAGGCGACCAGACATATTGCCTGCAGAAGGTACAGAGAAACAGTACCATTGCGAAAGTGCACTTGAAAGTCTTCCTCATGGACCAAAGGAAGCACGGGGTGGATGCGACGGAAGAAAATGTTTATCAACGCTTCTTGGGTTTGTCGTGGCGGAAGAAGAGCGCCCGGGCGCCCTGAATGTCGCTTCTGCCGAGACATCTGGTGTCTGCTACTGCTCGATGAAGGTTCTTCATGGAAAGAATTTTCGCCATTTTCGATAAATTCATTTTCCCGATCCAGCCAGACTCCAACATCCCGCTGATGAGCACGCCCACGCATGAGTCTCGTACTACCATCGTCGACAAAAAGCACGACTGGGTTCAAGTCACCGATAAAGCGATGAGTGCATGAGTCCCTCCGGGAGACTTGGGGAGTATACTTTTGCCTTTCGACGTAAGCTTGAGAGGACTGTGGGGCACTCTGTAGCTTGGGCTCTGCAGGCTCGCCAGGAAGCTGCTGCGACGCCACAACACCGATTGGGGATCGCGACCCTTGAGTCGCAGCTGGAGAATACTGAACAAACTGGGTAGTCGGCCGCAGTGGCGTAGATAAACCTGATTGTCGGTTTGATTTCTGGTGGTAGCATTTTTTCTAAACGTCCTCCAGTAAGTCATCAGCGCGCGCAGGTGAAAATATCAACGAACCTTTCTCAGGCGGCACTTCTCACATGCGCCTCTGGCGTATGTTCTTTTTGGGACTCTTCCGTCTTGACTGATATGGAAGGTGAGGTCCATATCGACCCACTCGTATTGCGTTGGTTGTTCAGTGTGGAGGCGGCGACTGCGAACAAGTGGTTTGGTTTCAGAGGATCTTAGAGTAATTGCATGCAGCACGGCTACAAATGGCATCCATCTATCTGAGCTAACTAGTGAAGAGTCCTGGCTAAGGATGTCTTTGGTATCTGTGCAGGTAATCGTGGACGATGCATTTTTGTGGTTTCGATCATGAGGTTGAGTATTTATCCTGATATGGCAGTCTGGCAGCGGCGGGAGATTTACCCCTTTTGGCTATTCCGCCCCTCGTTTGGAAGTCCCGCTTGTCTTACCTAAAATGGAAATCCCTTCATTTTGCCCGATAGAAAAGTAGTATAAGAATAACCATTAGGTGTCAATGCCTCAAGAACAGGAATGAAGCAGTAAAACCAGACCATAAAGACCTTTCATCATGCTGTTCAATGAGTCCGTGTGTTGCAGTCTAAGGTTCGACCCGAGTCCAGACTTCAATCTCGACGTTTTCCTTAAACAAGCTAACCCTGATATATTTCACATCTGCAGCTTAGACAAATCGTGTATCTTCCTTCCGGCTTGGAACTGCTCTGAAAACAAGCCTTGCATATCTGGGAAACTTCGCTTGTCACTTGCGCAAGCTGCAACCGTCAAAGGGATATCAGTCCAGGTGCGAGGCATGGCTAAACTGTGAGTAATTTGCTTCTGTTTTCAAACTTATACATCATCTAACAACCGTAGGCCTTATGATGAGGGCACATTCTTCAGATCCTATCACGAAGAGAATACATTTGCAGCAACGCAACCCTTGGCGTCGTCCCATAAGCAGAACCCTTTCAGCTTACCGGCAGGGGACTATGAATTCCCGTTCAGTATTCCTCTCAACGGGGATATGCTGGACTCTATCACCTGTTCGGGATTCACCTACCACTCCTATCAAGTGCATGCCATGGTCGAGCGCAGGTTGAATAGAAATATCATTGTCTCACAGCCTATCCGGATTTATAAACATGTTTCCATCGAGGAGAGTCTCAACTGGATGTCAGCCTTGAATGTCAGCGATGCAACACTCTTGTTCCTGCGTACGCATGGCTAATAATACCTCATAGTCAATCGATAGACAGTGGGATAACGTCGCGCAATATAGCGTTTCCATCCCAGATGTCAACATCCCGTTTGGCGCAACATTCCCCGTCAAGCTCCAGGTCGCGCCATTATCAAAGGGCATAAAGCTCCAAGCGTTAACCATCGACGTCGTTGAGCAACACGAGCTCAAAATCAGCGCACCAGCGGGATATTCCGCACAGTATAATGTCCACTTTCTATCATCTAAACAGAAGCACGTCATTTTCAGCGAGCGGTACAACTTAGACGATTGTATGGCCTCAGAGTCAGAAGGATCTGATCTGGAGTGGTGTACAACAAAAACCATATCTTTGCCACAGCATCTTGAAGCTTGCACCCAGGACGTGTGTCTTAATACGATAAGCATCAAGCATCAAGTAGCATTCACCATCGAGTTACTCGGTGTTGGCGAGGGGCTATCAATGGTACGTGAAATCAATCCGCGATATTTAGCAAAAGGGTACCTCCTGCACACGTTCACCGGACTGCCCTTCCTGACATCCGTATAGATAAAAGGAACAATTCCATTTAATATCTACATGTCACCACATATCATCAATGAACATGGTACTGTCCGTTGTGTTCATATTGATAGGTTCCATGATGATTATGTGCCGCCTCCTCCTTTGTATAGCAAACATCAAAATGATCTGTTGCTACCTGTGGCAGAAGGGTCACTGAACACCGGTACCCTTCAAATAAACTGCCAGCAACACTTGAATAATGCTTTCGTCAATCCTATACAGCTTGACTGTGCACCCAGTTATGAATCTGTGATACGAATCTAACCTTTTATTGCAAACTACACTCGCACGTCATATTCAGAATTGAATGGCCAGTTGATTGTTCGACCAGGGATGTTACCACGAGACTGTTCCGACCTAGAACAATAAGGATTATTAGTGATCATTTTCGCCTACTACCATATTTAGGGGGATCAGATTCCATTGAAACAACCCCTTCCAAAATAATGTCTTGGCCGATTATAGTCGGAACATGCCAACAGCACGCGGCGAGTCGACTTTGTGCTGTTTCTCAGATATTCCGAGGTCTAGCGAGAAGATCTTGAAACTTGGCTTGGTTACCAGCTTACTGTTCATACCGGCGCTCACTGTTCTTTACCTTTTTGTGGGCCGATACTACGTATCCCTAAGGCAATGACCTAGTGATACGCCCTATTACTGCCTTTACTGTCCTCATGGCGACCTTTATCTACAATCAAAAACGTCGGGGAGACGCTGGCGCTCTCCCCTTTCCAGTCATAACGCGCCGTAGCGTGATCGCTAGGTGAATGTTTCATTACATGCGGGAATAGTACTAGCGTATATTCGAGCACTACTTGCCAAATTATTATTAGATTGTACATGGGTATACTCCCGCCATGCCACCGGCTCAGACGGAATAAACTCTCGTCGCTGTTGATAGAAGTCCCATACAGACGTAGTATCTCGTGGTTGAACTCGCATGTACAACAATAGCTGGGAACATGGTGATTCAATGACGACCGGTGAAGCCAAGGCGCGACTAGAAATACTACAAGGCCATCAAGATACTGGGCAGCAGTGGGGTCTGTTCTGCCAATTCTATACCGTTCAACATACTATCCTCATCTACCTGTTTACTAGATTTAAAAAGATAAAGAAGGTACTATTTCATCCATGGCTACTAGATCAATTTTGAACTAGCTCTGAGTTTTTTTATGGATATATGTTAGCCCACTATAAACTTGGCGAAAAGCTGGCATGGAATATTAGGAATCCAATAATTTTCCGTCTCCTGCTGACAATATAATTTAAGTGCGCCCCACAGGATGACAACATTTCTCTCCATAGATGTACCAGGGAGCGATATAAATTACATCCTCTAGTACTTGAGACCGTTACCGGGAATCTATTGTAATCTTACCTTGCAATCATTGCTTACTGTAGAAGTCATTGGAGGTATATTTAATCCCGGAGGAAAATTCAGGTCCGAGTACCAACTGAGTTGGAGCTCATATACTACTCGGTGACGTTGACACCTTTGCAGGTTCACTTACCCAACTCTTTGAGCACAGCTTGCGCGTCCGATTCTCGATCTCTGGGATAGCTATTCTAATGTCTACCAAGGTTACGGGGCGCAGAAGCCCGGGGTCCCATGATCTGCGTGACAGATTCATGGTAACCGACAGTCCGCTCGGGAGAGATACAACAATCATAATATGTATTACTACCCCAAGTCCCTCATGGTTGGGCCCTGTTATTCTTCAGTACTTCAACTTGACAAGGCAGTCGCCCTTGGTTCAACTATCTGCACGGCTATTCAGCCTTGCCAAATGTCTCTCTGTGCTCTTCCCATAATCGATTCCGAAGTTTCTCATCCTGCAATACCTCCAGACCTGTCGCAGCCATGACCGAAGCAAACTTCAACGATGATTCAAATGCCTGTCGTGTTCCTGCTGCCTTCTCAAATCCAGGATGGTGGGGTCCGATCTTCGGCGATTCCACCTCAACGAGGAACCCGGGATGGAGGCTTGGGAGCTCATAACTGACATTGCCTGGTTTCACGGTTAGTATCAGCGGTTATTGTGGTGATGGACAGCCCTACCTTGATCCGTTGACGCACCACTGACTGCAGGCAATGATTTCATGTAGTCCTGCTTTTGCTCCTGAGAATGTTTATAGAAGGTGTCAATGAGAATATCGTTGCATTGCAATTCTTTGTAGCTTTCAAGCCTAGATCCGACCACGTTAGCGATAGGTTATGGAGACTTCCTGTTCCGAACCTTACGTACCAGTCAAACTCAACGGTGCATCCCGCGGCTGTGGCCGCCCCTTCACAGCAGGCAGTCACCCTCTTGGCAGTTTCTTGCAACTCTGCATCCGTCTCCGCGCGGGCGAAAAATTGGAGCTCTGTGAGATGCGGAATCACATTGGGCTTGTCACCCCCCTTGGAAATGATGGCGTGCATACGCTGATTAGGCGCAACTTGTTGTCGAAGCATGGCGATGTTGCTATAGGCAGCTACCGCGGCATCCAATGCGTTGTGGCCTAGCCAAGGGGCATTGCCAGCATGAGCACTAACACCACGAAAAGTCACAGTAGCTCCGCGACGAGCCATACAGCGAACAGCAGCTACTCCATCTTTTCCCGTCCCAGGGCCAGGATGACCCATGAGACAAGCGTCAACCCCCTTATAAGCACCAGCCTTGATAAGTTCAATCTTACCGCCGCCGCCCTCTTCTGCGGGAGTGCCGAGCAGGCGTACACGGCCCTCAATCGGACTGGCCTTGATGGCCTCTGCAGTGGCCAGGAAAGCTGCAAGGGACGAGGTGGCGATCAAATTGTGCCCACAGGCATGACCGATTTCGGGCAAGGCATCGAACTCAGCATTATAGACAATCAGACCTCCACCGGTCCCGACCTCGGCTTCAAATGAGGTCTTGAGTCCATACGCATGACGCGTGACGTTGTATCCAAGCGACTCGAGCAGGTCACACAGAGTGTCATGGGCGTGAACCTCTTCGAAGGCAAGCTCTGGATGGGAATGGATCTGGATAAGGGCACGAAACATTAACGAGATACGTCTAGTAAATATGTGGGGGGGAGGAGGACATATGGTTGGGTACCTCTTGGTTAACTTGCCAGAGACGCTCCTCATATTTTCTGATAGTTTCTGCGATTGAGGCCATATTGGGAGATGCTACAATGACTAATGTTGCGGTATACAGGCAAAACAAATGCTGACTATACTATTGTTTCTACTTATACCAATCTCCGTACTTATAGTGAATTAGAACCTATACGATGGATGCCTTAGGTGGATACCTGAGGAACCCACTATGATATCGGCAAATGCCCATCCAATCAGCGGTTGACCCTCGCTTATCCCGCAACCAATTGCCGAACGAGGCGACTGCAGATCCACTAAAAAGGCCGACAACATCCCTTCATTTCTTCTCTTTCCTACCATTTATGCAACAATATACCAGGCCCCCTGAGAAAGTTATGTCTGGACGCAATGCCCCGCGATCCCGGACCGGTAAGCATTTTGATTCAGACCGGGTCTATTGCGTTCCTGACGCTAAACGATTACGCAACAGGGTGCGCCACGTGTCGGACCCGGAAGATTAAGTGTGATGAGATGCATCCTTCGTGTGTCCGATGTGTAAATGCCCAGATGCAATGTGAATGGGTTCACAAGACTCCGAAAAAGGCCTCCAGGTCGAAACCACTCGCGAATGCATCGAGCGGCCCAGGTCTACAAAGAACCTATTACCCCCTCCGACCGCGGAACATAGACGCGGGTATGCATCTTACTTATCTGTCTCTGCCGAACTCACATTTCCTAACATCTAGCGAGCGGGAGTACTTCACGTTTTTTCCCCATACGTCCATGGTGCGATGGCTTGGGAAGCCATGGCAGTGGGCCTCCCTTCATTATGTGTATAGTCATATCGCCCCGCGTTCGTCGGTCGTAACAAGGATGATTATGGCAATCTCTGCCACCGAGCTCGACGGGATTCGCCACATGGAGCGACTTAGAAGTGACCAGATGGCATCACACGACCAATGGCCGGGTGAAGCTGGGACATCACACTATCAAAGTGCTCTACGCGAATTTCAGCTCATTCTTAGCAAGAGCCAGAGGTCCCTATCCCCTGAGGAGGTGGATGAAATTTCGACGGCATTTTTCCTCATGGTGACCTATGAGTATCTATTCGGCCAAGATAGCGCGGCCATGGAGGTGCATATTCAGGGCATCTACACGTTCCTCAAAGCTCATGATTTAGTTCCCAGACTCGGCGAGTCTGGCCAATGTGTTAGACTACCGATACTGACGCAACAGTTATTGCTTTTCGTAATGTAAGTCAACGTTGGCTTGACAGTAACCGTAGCTTCCTACTCATGACGATAGGTATGCGAACCTCACAATATGCAAGTACGGCCATCTCCGCCAATTGTGGGAGGAGGCTGGGCATGAGTCCTCCTTTGTCTCTACTATGGATGAGCTCTTTTATAACAGCCGCACGTCACAACATGCAATCTGGCCCGTCGAATACCCGACCGAAGCATCACTGGATGACATTTCGGTCTTTCGTCCGCTGGAGCTGACCAACGAATGCAAAAAGCTGAAATATAGACTCTTGCTCATGCCTCAAAGCACACGAGGAAAATTTGAATGGGATTCCATGGATTGTCTAGAACAAGACCTACGTGGCATTGGAAAGGTATACCATGCCCTCCTCATCCCAGTGGAAGTATCTAGCTGACCACCAATCGACGCATAGCGATACCAAGATTTGATAATCATGAGCCAGCAGCCACGTTCTGACTTGCGGAACCGGCAACTACAAACGATCTACTTTGCAGTTGCCGAGTATCATGCGACCACTATATTCTTCTGCTACCGGTGGAGCTTGGTTAATTGTATGAGCCCTCCGTCCCTGTCCTCTCGCGATGCAGTAAATGGTGCATTAGAAATCATTAAGAAACTTTCCACCGAGAGTCCTTCATGTTTAGGAAGAGTTTACTGGCCGATGGTTGTTCTGGCCGGGTGTATGGAGGACTCACAAGACCGCCAGTGGATCCGGAGGACGCTTGTAGAATCGCAGCATACGATAGTCTTTCCGTCCATGAGGGGGTGGCTTAATGATATGAGTGGCCTCAACCTCTAGGGTTTGGCTGTCGCTAAACGAACAGAATTGTAGACATTACGTTTCTGTATCTAGATTCTAGCCTCGGTTGATATTAGTCCCTATCATCAATCTCCGTCTATGATATGGTAGAGAACACGGAATCTTCTTGGCAGGCCAGCCGCAAAGGGGAAAATCCGGGGTTAGACTTGGGGAGTTGCATTAATACTAGACCCATCTTTGCCGAAACAGCCAATGAACATCACGGTCCAGATATGGCCCTCGCGGCGATGCCGAGTTCTGACTGGTTGCAAGTTAAACGACGGTCAACTTAATATCCATCCATTGCGACTTGATAAGGTTCACTAAGATGTCAGATAACGGAATCCAAAAAATTGAGGATCATCTTAAGCTAGTTAGTTAGTCCATGCTATCTCGAGTGGGGGCAGGCATGCCATGTTATCAATGTTCTGGGCACGGTGGCGAAGGCCGACAGCATGAGTATATAGGGACAGGATGCAGACGTCTAATGGGCTCTTTTTATCTTTGGAAGTCTCACTAAATTTCAACCAATTGCCATTAACATGTCGAATATGCAAGAAAAGCCGGACGCCTGCAAAAAGGAAGTGGAGGGAGCCTTGGACCATGCTACTACTACGGATCTCCATCGTGCTTCTGTTGGATATGGGGAGCAATTGACGGACCCATCAACGCCGACTACGAATAAGTCCTTGCTGAGAAAGATCGACTGGCGGTAAGTCTACTTATAAGAACGGGTCTGATTGGGAATGGCATCAAATTAACCGGAGCTTCTAGTCTGTTGCCAATTATGATGATTTCCTACATGCTGCAATTTCTTGACAAGCAAACTTTGTCCCAAGCCGCTATTATGGGCATCATAGAAGACCTGGTTAGTCCAATGGCCAAAGAAAAGAAGATATAGACTGACCAAAGAGGTGAAGAAATTGACTGGCACGGAGTACTCGTGGTCAGGGTCGATTTTCTACTTCTCATACCTTGCATTTTCATATCCTGCCTCCATGCTCATGGTTCGATTGCCGATCGCGAAGTTTCTCGCCACGACACTGTGAGCCCCAGTCTACTTGGACAGTCCCGTAGTTGTTGGCGTTAACCATGCTTTAGCTTTCTTTGGGGTGCCGTCCTGGCATGCCACGCTGCTACACATAACTTTGCTGGACTTATGGCTGCTCGCTTCGTTCTAGGTCTTACGGAGGCTGCCATCTCTCCTGGTTTCAGCCTCATCACGGGCATGTGGTATACCCGGTCGGAGCAGCCATTTCGCCATGGTTTGTGGTTCGCTGGGAATTCCATTGCGACAGCATTTGGGGGCCTGGTCGCATATGGAGTCGCTCATATTGTTGGCTCCATCCCCGCCTGGAAGGTGAGACTCGTACATTGATCCCGTCGGTGCGAAAGTTTAATCCTTGTCTAGTGGTTATTTATTATCTATGGACTGATCACCGTCGTCTGGTCCATTGTTTTCATGCTATTTATGCCAGACACGCCAACAACCGCACGATTTCTCACACAGCCCGAACGCACTGAGGCAGAAGAGCGAGTCAAAGTCAACCAGACAAGTATCAAGCACGACAAGATTCAGTGGTATCAAGTCTGGGAGGCCTTGACAGACTACAAGATTTACATATTGTTCTTGTTCCAGATAGCCAACAACATCCCAAATGGAGGTTTGACCATGGTATCTCCGCCCCCACCCCCCCCCAAAATGAAGCTTGTCAGTATAGTTAGCTGATCTGGCTGCATAGTTCTCGGCAATAGTAGTGAAAGGCTTCGGGTTCTCAACCTTACAGGTCTATCTATTGGCAATACCAACGGGCGCTGTGCACGCCCTTTTTGCTCTCGGAAGGTATGTATTTCTTCCCCTATCTATCTTGCACGGTTAACACAGTCAACATTCAACAGTACCTACCTTGCTGGCCGGTTTCCAGATACCCGTTGCATGCTACTGGCTGGTTGCACACTGATTGCGTATGTTCTATCACCCCGCACTAAAGGATCACCATATCTGACGGGAAGTATAGTCTCATTGGAAGTATTATAGTGTACGCTTGTGACGGCACAGGAGCCCGCCTATTCGGTCTCTACCTTTTTGTTGCCTATGCGGCGGGTATTCCAATGACCCTCTCCATGGTCTCATCCAATGTTGCTGGCTTTACCAAAAAGGCGACCGTCAGTGCAATGATGTTCATCGCCTACTGCACAGGAAATATTATCGGTCCATTCTTGTTTTTCGGGCGCGAGGCTCCAGTCTACAAGGTAAGACTACTCTGGTGGAATAAATCGCCACACTAACGTTCAAATAGAGCGGTTTCGTCGCAGTTATGGTCTGCCTTGCGGTAGCGACTCTCCTGATCCTAGCACTAGGTCTATCTTGGCGGTTGGAAAACTCACGCAGAGATCAGGTATATGGGCCAGCGGGTCTTGTAGCAGTGGAGAGACCTAAGGAACCCGGCCAAGGGATGTCTCTGGTGGAGGAGGATCTAACTGATGTTCAGAATAAGGCATTTAGATATGTCTACTAACCTCGTGTTCCTACTATTACGAATAGATGGAGTGATGAGCTTCGTGCTCCTGAATGCCAAGAGCTCGGTCTAATCTTGATTTTAACCCTGCGGAGAAGGGCCGTAATTGGTTCCATAGATGGTTGTCATGATTCTTATTGGCATGAAGCTTTGCTGAAGAAAGAGTATAGAAAGCAAACGCAGTGCGAGTTGTTGCGACTACAAAACGAGGCTTTGACCAATATCCTAGAAACCAGTCTGGTGACATCCGAGCTAATATATGATAATTACCTCCCTGCATACAAGAGGATCACCCAACAGGCCGAGGATATCATCACCAACTTTCAAGCGGAGTATGGCACCTCTCACCCCTGGATTGTCATGGACATGGGGGTTATCCCATCACTGCTTTGGGTGTGTCTGAAATGCAGGGACTTCGAGATTCGACATCAGGCCGTGGAGCTTCTCGAGAGATGGTCCCATCGCGAAGGAGCCTATGGTTCCAATCTTTTGGTCCAGATCGTGAAGGAACATATGGTACTCGAGCAACGAAGCCCCCGTAACGGAGACACAGCAACTGTCCCTAACTCCGCACGAATCGATAGCGTAACAAGGATAAACATATCGGGAGAAGAATGAAATCCTACGAAAGGAGACCGATTAGTTTGGTTTTCTTCTCCTTTTTATCTTTATTTCTATTTATTTTTATTATTTTACTTTTTGAGCCGAACACCTGGACACACAATCCTGGTCCATAACTCAAACTAAGTTCTTAGGATATAATCTTTACACTGTGGTATTCCTCATTTCGGGTCTATCTGACGTTTCTCTATTAGCAAGCCTGCACATGTTTCCTCTTGAAGTACTGGCGTTCTTCCACTTCCAATCCTGATGCCAACAACGAAAGAATATACTCATTGTGACACAATAGAGAGCTTTCATAGGAAAACACTCTAGGCAACGGATCTTTGCTTCCTTAGAGGCAACTCGGACTAGATCTCTGGCTTCTGCCCGTAAACCACCGATATCTCGAGGTATGCGTGGATATTCGGATTATTTAGTGCTTTACGCATTTCTGTAAAAATGACTTCAACCTCCTCCCTGGACCACTAATCGCTTGCGTTAGTTACTCGTCCGTACTCCTATAGGGCGGCCACTTACTCCAAGAATTTTGGTCCACAGCATCATGGCCCACATTTCCAGACTTTCCCCCATGACAATGCGAAAAAGGCGTCCCAGCGTCTTTAGATGCTGGTCTTTGGGCCAGGGGCCGATGGGCAGTTTGTACCGGTGTTCAGCAACGTTAACAAACCCAGCGTCAATCATTCGCTGCTTAGACTCGTCGACTATACGCAATGTTTTGCCGAATTTATCTCCCGCTTCCAGACTTTTCTGGCCCCAGATCTCGTATATCGTGCCTGTGGTGCTTCCGTCGTCCGAGATCGGGGTCACACTCATTTCGGCCTGTTCCAAATATCCACCGGGATGGAGGTTCCTAAACGCCAAGCTAATTAGAACCGGGGACCAGCAGTTTGAAGAGGAAAAGGCATACTTCAGAGCCTGCTGATAAAACCTCCCCCAATCCGCGACACACCCATATAGACCGCGAACATGAATGAAGTCAAATGGGCTTTTGTACACCCAATCATCACAGCAGTCGTCAATCTCAAAATACACATTAGGTGGAACAAAGCTAGGTTGAATTGGCGAGAGATCCGTTCCAATAACAGTTGCCCCAGGGTGAAGATCAGCAAAGTCAATCACCCAGGACCCAGTGCCTGTTCCGACATCAAGTACGCGCTGTGGATTCTTGATCGGGGCGAGGTGCAACCGGCCATGCAATAACATCCCATAGAGGTGATGACAGATTTCCATCGCGTCAATGGCCTTCTCGTCGTTGGATCCCCAATATGATCCCGCATGATATGCGTGGTAGTGTCGGCCATTTTCGTAGACATAGTCGACGATACTGCTGCGCATCGATGTTACCTCGGAGTCTGTCGCCACATAATGGGAGTCATAATCATCGCCGGAGTCCACGAGTATCTCTTCATTATTAATCGCCATCTGGTATGGAAGTTATGATGGGTCGTGTAACGGCAATCGAAAACTTTCCTCGACAGGGTTGGATTGATGGGTGGACAAAATAAGATGCCCGCAGCTCGGATAAATATCTTCACTTGGACAATACAGATACTCCTCCAGTAATAAGACACCACGAGAGATCCATCTGAACGACACTAGTTAAGATAGTGGGCCCGGGGAACCGGGCACTGGGGCCGCTTTCTAACGGTCGACCAAATTGCTCCCAGTAGAAGCCTCAAAGATGTGGGGACCCACAGGCCATGGTCGTTAGTGACCGAGGATATCGCAACCGGTAATACTATTTGGTGGTAATACCTAGTAATCTAATATAGCCTAAAGGTGAAACGGTAGACTTAAACATCCATCGCATCAAGTTGCTTTCGCAGCCTTTGAAAGCTTCTAACTTGTCTGGTCAAAGCAGGTATATCAACCAGATCGTGTTCATCCCCACCCCACTCTGCAAGGAGGTATAACGGCCCCGTTACTAGTGAAATGTTCGGAATTTCCTTGTGTGAAAGCGCCGCGCCCTCGCCAAACTGGGACATGTTAGATGGTTTTGACACCCGTGTATATCCAGGGTCAGCACCCCTCCATTGCTGCTGAGTGATGGCAGCGAGTTCTTTTGTGCTAGCGTAGAGCACTTCTGGTTGTACCTTTCCAGTGGATGAATAAGAATCTGTGAACAAGTTTTCCTGGAACTCTACCGCACCCAGATGTTCAATTACCAGGGCGGCTATCGCTCTGTGCTGTCTAACGCCGCCTTTCCAGAATTCCGGGTGGTCATTGAGCCAACGGGTTGTGGCTTTGCCAGACTCCGTAAAGGCGGGCATGCGTAGATGGCCGGTGGTGAAGACAAAGACATGAGTTCGCTCTGGTGAGACCGTCGCAACATCCTGTGCGAGTTGCAGTACACCAATATGCCCGTTCTCTTCAATCACGTTTGTACCATCCGTATGCGTGACAATGAGCAAGGAATCGTGCGACCTTTTTGGATTACGACCTTCCACTACAGCATAGATAGTGCGCGTTGGGGTATCGGGGATTATCTCCGAGGGAAGAGTGAGCGTGGCTGGCAAATTGGATTTTGCTGCCAACAATATGTCCTTGCTGGTTGCTCCTGATGTGAACACGGCAGGGATATCGGCATATGGGAATTTAAAGGGTAGGTATTGGTTGTGAGCGTTTCCGGTGCTAATGGAGTCATCCCAAGCGAAGACTACAGCTTTCACGCCGGCTTTCTTCGCCCCGGGAAGTGCCTTCCCAATCATGTCCGTGGGGATAAGGGGGTTCTTCATGTTCCCCACCCATCTCTTAGCTGGGTCCCATGTGCCGAATGCCACGGAAAATGGAAGTGATGGGTTGGTGATAGGAACGATGGCAATGTTTCCTCTAGCCAGCTCCCAGTTAGGATCAGGACCTGGAACATGGATGAGTTGTCCAGTGGCTCCAATGTCACTTGTGTACCCCGAGTAAGGGAAGATTGATGCAATCTCCATCTGCTTGCCACCCACAACTAATGATGGTGCATTGGCAGTAGATGCGGGAGTGCTATACTCAAAAGTGTAATTATCTGACTTGACTTCGAGACCAAGATTCGCCAAGGTCCCTTCAATCCGATCTAGGAGAGTGTTATGTGCAGGGCTTCCCGTAAGACGTGGGCCTTGCTCGATTAGAAACTCAACCTCTGCTGCATAGTTCAAACGAGTGCATGTGGCCCTGATGGCGTTAAGTGCCGATAAATAGATAATATATATTGAAGCTCTCATTATGGCTTAACCATGGGATGCCAATTAAATAACAAGAAGAGAGAAAGTAGAATAAAGTATGAGATGTACCGTCTGTATTGGATAGACTTATAATTGCCGAGATCAAGCCTCGGGCCCTCGGCTCGCCAGAAACGAATGATATCATTTAATACCCAGGCTTTCTGACTCGCAACCCTACAGTCCCTTTATTCAAGTAAATCAGCAGCAGTGCAATGAGAGACTATGTGCTCAAGCGTTAATTACTTTCAACTTTGTTGCTGCGTCCAATTTATAGTTCGTTTAGCAAGTAATTGTCTTACGAAAACTTCCCTATCCCTACGGGCGGTTTGATTTACTCTCCAGGTCTATATTCTCATTATCTAGTACGGTTGTACATATACAACGCAACCTAGGCTCGGGTCCCTGTCGAAGTCCATCGGAGAACGGTCGCACTGGGTGAGAACAGTTGCACTGGGAAAGAGTAGTCGCGGTGGGAACAAATAGCAGTCGCACTGGGGAATAATGAACGAATAGTCGCATTGGGAACAAGCTCGAGGTCCTTGCCAACTTAAGCTCAGTCCAGTCCTAGAACGTTAGAAAGCCTCCCTCCCTTCTCACGCCAAAGGTCCGACAAAAGAGAAACATGCCCGCGCGTTGGGCTCAAGCGGATGCTGTCTTTTTCATCAGGAGCAATGTTGCTTTGTCGCCCGCTCCCTTTCGGTAGTCTATGAGGTCTCGACTGACCACTTTGGCGAGGCCTTCCTTCTCCAGCTTGTCGGCCTCGGCTTTGTAGCCACCGGACACCCAAATCTCTTCGAGGATCGTAGCTGCGATGATGCCATTTGGCTTGAGAAGACGGACAAATTCTCTCAAGGCAGGGTCGGGCCCGACATGACCGCGCGTGAAGGTGCCGCAGCATGTCACGATGTCGTATTTCTGGTCTGGTTGCTCGATCGGTTGGGTCAAGTCGACTTTAAAGAGGCTTCGATACACGCCGGTCTGTTCAGCTACGTTGAGCATGGCAGGAGACAGATCCATGCCATCGATGGTCCATTTGCTGCCCTTGGCCAGGGCTTCCGCCACAAGCCCGGTTCCACAGCCCGCATCCAATACGGTGGCCTCGGGGTCTTTGCTTGATGCAAGGGCGGCTTGTGCCACAAGGAGGGGGGCGATATAGTTCTGGGATGCGTCGGCAAGGTCTTGGTTGTAGGAGGCGGCCCATTTCTCGTAGAGCTCCATACAGTCTTCCTTTCTGAGACTGTTGCGAGCTCCGGCCAGGTAGGTGTTTTCGGTTAGTACTTGGGTTGCCATGGTGGTAAAATGAAACTTGGCGGACGTATATATCGGTGCAAATTTGTGTAGGTGGAAACGGGATCAAAGAGCAGCTTGGGGTTTCAAAACATTTACCAACAACCGTCGTTCTTCGCACTATTTATATACTTTCGGTTTGTCATTCGGCTTGTATACTTCAACATCCCTGAGCCCTCCCCTCACTTCACATGGGAAGCGCTGGCGAATCCCATCGGACGGAATCGTTTTTCTGATGCATGGCGCACAGTCCTTCGTGCGTTTTCGATGGCGTGATGGCTGGCGCTATTAACTGGCTTATTCCGAGGCGATCGCATTGAATCTGAAGCTACTATAAGTGGCTTTTTCAAGGTGGAATGAGCATATTACATCATTCGGGTTTTAGAATAGGGCATCTGAGGGGCTAGAGTTCTGGTGGGGTCAAGGCAATAGCGTCCACCGTGACGCCTCTTGGCGTGATACGATTCCTTCCCCCACTATGAGATTCCCCCCGCGTCCTGGTCTTTGTTGACCCTTAACCCGCTGTAAGAGGTGACAGGTTGGGAGCGTAGGATTGGCTTAGAGAGTCTGTTGACTTCTCCTTGGTGCAATTGGGTTAGTACAACCAGAAATTCGCGAACCTTTGGCATGCATAACCGGAGGTCCGGAGGAGGGGGACTTGTCGATACCAATGGTGCATTTCTTGATTTGAGCCTGGGACCTTCAATCACCGGCATGGCGCTACTGTATCTGAACTACTGCTCCTCATTTGTAACCTATGATATACATTTCACCGCAGATTCTGGGCCATCATTCACCCCACCAATGCAACGCAATGCGCAGTCTACGAACCTTGTTAATTACACCATGATCGTATGGACACGGATGTCTACATGTGGTCATCCCGCTTCTGCATTTGCATAATAGGGACATCGACGGGGGTGGAGGAGAGGGGTGCGTTACGTCGGGAGACTTACCATATGCATGCCAGAGGTTGTCAACCCCATTGGTCGGATGGATTGTCCAGGTTCTGGTCGAATCAAAGACGATCAAGCACTGGGGAATCTGCACTTACTAAGCATGCAGGGTGGGTGGTGAAGAAAGGATGAAGCATGTCGCCCGACCATCCAGGTGTAGCGGTGCAATGAGCTTCGAGTTAGGGCAGAACCCCTGTCAGCTGAGTACGCGTTCAGAATTATCCCCTCAATCCTCGCTGAATTCTTGTCTGTGTCTTTTTACACTCAACCTCTGCCTGTTTCTGAGCTTAACCATCATACTCCCAAAGGAATTACTAGTAATACTGCTATCTGAAGATTTCGGCATTAGTGTAACATGGTTAGGGTACGCGTTACTAAAAACAGAAACCGACGGATCGCAGTATCTGATCCGTGGGGAAAGCTCCCTTACTACCGAACCAGCATGAACGTCATTCTCCACGGCTGGGAATTACGAACGCGAATATGAGAGGAGAGGACATGACTAGGAAGGTGATCCACTCTTGTGCATCGTATAAAATGTCGCCAAGGCCCCACCACCAGCCCTGATTAGCCTAAGATATTGGAAAAGGCTTTCAGTGCCCCGCACGTCAGAGATTCCAACTGCCCCCCCACAAAGAAAGACACGGCACAGAATTCACCCGAAGGATGGACCACAAACTAGACCGAGGATGATGCAGATCGGCCAGTGGCATGAAGCAAGCTAGCGATTTTGAAGGGCCGATCGTCCCTGACCGGCGTCCAGGAATCATGACGGCTATCCCTGGGAGACCTCTCTCTTTTTATTTAATTTTTTTTATTATCTCCCTCCTTTCTTTCCCCCTTCTCTCTTGGTTATGTAGTCCCCAGGTACCAATTCGGCGTTACTCTGATCCGCCTGTGCAGGAAGCGCTCGAACGAAAGGTTCACACTGGTTACTACTGTGCCATTAGCATGGCGTCACGACTGCGGACGAAGCACCAGGAAACCCGATACCTTCTTAGTGCTAAGCGATCCACTTTACAAGCCCCATGGGAATGGAGGATGCCAGCCTTGGCTCAACGACCTGCCGTGCGGTCCATGGAACTGGATTCGGCCAATGTGAACAATGCGTGAGTTTGTAGCCCTTGCACCTGTGAGAATATTCCCAACTAATATGGGACATTTTCCGGTGTCACTTCAACAGTAGACCTAATTCAGTGAAGCGCTTAGGGACGTGCAAAGGGCCGGATAAACATGGTAGTTACGATCTCAATGTTGGCCTCGCCCACGCAGCAGCCAAGTCCGGCGGTACCTGCGTCCAACGCGCTAGACATTACGATTGTGTAATAGGGCGCGTTCATAGTCATAGCTACTAGAGATACTGTACATTAGTCTGAAACTGCAATGTCTCGCAAAGGCGGATACCTTCGCTACTCTCTTATATAATATTATCAATGTGAGCTGCACAGTTTGGGACATCGTTGCAAATCAATTCGAACGGCCTGAGTAAGACGTGGGTCTTGGCCTATCAAAACCTCCTTTCCATGCCCGGTGCTTCCTGGGCGCCTTTTCTTGCATTCCAATGGCATTGACTCGTTCCATAGACATCAATTAGGCAGTGGTGGCAAGGAAGTAATAGAATTACACCAGAAACTAGCACCTGGCAATCCTGAGAGTCCGACAAGAATCTTCTAGATTCAGTGGCACACTGACTATCACTATGCGCCTGTAACGGCGCTCATGCTTTTGCTTCGAACTTTTGACGAGCTTGGCAGACAAGGGTAGTAAATTTGGCAAGGATGCCTAAGTGTCGTTCAAGCCTCCAATGACATATACCCTGTGCACATCTTGTGAGCCATGTAACCCTCTTACGTATACAATCCGTATCCAGCAGCTCCTTCAAGAAATGGATCTCTTGCTATGACCCCATCATTGCCAGTCCACGCCCAATTAATCGACATCCTAATAGCTTACTACGCAAAGCAAGAAGGTTATCTCGCATACCCATACTGATAGGAGGGATATTTGTGTTTTTATATGAATCCGAATAACTCCATCATCCATGCATCGTCCATGCCATCCAGCTTTAAATCCCCGGGGTTATCCAGTGTATCCTGCCAGGTCGGGTTAGCCACCTCGGTGGCAGGGAGATACTGCTGGGCCTCGATCAATGATGGCCCCCATCTTTCTTTGATCGTTGAGATCATGTTGACCCCCTTCGCAAATATATCTGCGTCCGCCTCTTGGGCGCGGTGGTCGACCGACCTTTTGAAATTCGTTTGCAGGAGGTCTAGGTAATAGAGTAGGTTCACGCGGTCTTGGACAGCTTTCCGATCCCACGTCGGGTCATCCAGGGTGGAAAGCATGAACAGGTCCACCAGGGCTCGGCAGAACATGGAGAGTATGGTAAAGGATACCCCCAAGTAATGTTCGGGAGGAACACACAACCAGACATCTAACCAAGACTTCGCAGCGAGCAGAGACGTATGAAGGCTTGTTACGCCCTGGGGATCAGGGCCGTTGGTTGGGATGGGCGCCTTGATCAAGGCCTCATGAATCGCAAGTTCTGCGTTCGAGAGGTACATACAGATGACATCTAGGCGGGCAAATTAACGACACTGGTGCTGAAAGGGAGGGCGTGGGACATACTATTTTCCTTCAGATGCGAAGGTATCTGGCGCTTTACCGACTCCAGTTGAGATTGCAACAAGTCCGTAACCAGCGGTGAAGAATGAGAGTTGTCACCGTCCCGGCGAAGATGATAAGATTTGTCGACGACCAACTGAATCCTGACAAGCCACACTAACAGTTCGTCTCCAGGGCACTCTTTTGTGCTAGCCAAAATCTCGAGACTTTCTTCCATGTGGGACGTCCAACGCAAGGCGTCACTTTTAAATAACGATAACGCGATGCTAGGGAGAGAGTTAATGATCGGAGTTAATATCATCCAATTCGTCGGTTTCGGTTTACCTTGAAGTGATCAGAAAACACCCCAGCACGGCCCGTCGCTCCTCCAAAGTTCTGTTCATGGCTGTCTCAGTCTTTAAACCGGCCGCACGGGTAAATCCTTGCAGAATGGATTGTTCCTTTGGGGGAGGTTTGCTTATACCTAGCTCGCTGACAAGACCGGCCAATAGGTGGCTGTAGAAGTTGAGGAATGGCTTCACACAGTATACTTTCCTGGGTAGACAGTCAGAGGTTACCAGGCTGCATATCTTCAATGGGGGACTGTTGGACTTCTTCAGTCACTTACCATGACATAAATGTCATGAGGCCGAGAAGAAGGTCCATGCTCGGGGTCGTTTCCACAACCAGCTTCTGGTAAATCGTGTCATGCACTTTGGTAAACAGGGATTCCCTTTTGATCAGGTTTGGTGTCAGGACTGCGGTCAGGCAATACCAGAAGAATGGCTTCTCTCGCATCAGTTCTTGCGGGGTGACATGGAGCGGTATGTAGATGCAGGGAAGATACTTCAGGTTTTCGGTCCGGAACTGCTTGAGAAATCTCGTTGCCTCATCGGACTGGCTGTAAGCCGAGGGGCTTGGAACATCTGATGCAGGCAGCGCAAAGACTTGAGTCCTTGTTTGAATATCGTATTGACTGGGAGCGCTGGGGGGGTGCTCCGCGTGCCCTTCTGACGATCTCTCACTCTGCCACACTCTTTCCGAGTCGGAGGGAGACGGAAGCGATTTATCAGGGCGTTGTAGGGTGGACAGAAGACTATCAAGTCGAGACTCCACCCGTGCAATCCTCGTACTTGCGGCACCCTTTCTGCTCCTTCGAACCGATAATGACGGTCGGCATTCCTTGTCCAGACGATCGCATCTGTCACCTGTTAGCCACTATGTACTTCCAGTCACAGCACTAGGATGGCAGACCGTTCACACCGATCCTCAGCGGCCAAGAGCAGGCATTTGCATTTAGCCCGAGCGCAATTGATGCATGCTTGGCCGTAGGGGGCGGGCGTTGTCTTTCGGAGTTTCCTCGACTCTGTCCGACGGGATTCCATGTTGGGGATTACTATGCAATCAGCCTGTCCTCGGTCATGTATCAGTGATGGTTGCAGAGAAGGGCAGGTCCATGAGCGCCATAGGTATCATTTTTCCTGGTCAAATGAACGACGGACGGATTTCAGGGAAGATTCGGGCCGGGATTCAAACGTCCAAATCCGATCGGCTGACTCATCACCACCGGACCTTGGAGAAAAATTGTTTACTCGATATTATGGAATTCTCACTACTGCTATTGAGGTTCTTTCTTTACGGTCCTTTGGCTGAGTAGGCTGGGTGACTCCTACGAAGGAATTGCATTACATGAATTCTACGATTTAAAATCTAGATTGGTAGATTCAACCTGACCTAGAGACCCAGTGACCTCAAGATAATATAAAAGCGTCCTATAACTTCGGAAGAGCTGGCTGTGAGTGACAGGTGCATAACAGCGCACACTGATGCTGGATCTCTTCAAGAATAAGAACCATTTTTTCCTGGCTTTCCATGGAGTTTTCATGAGATATTATTGACGTTTTGCAGTTACACGCGGGTCGGGGTTAGGGCTCAAAATCTAGGAATACTACCCTGATGATGACTGGCATTTGGGGTCTGGCGGAATCCGACTTCCATGCGGGAAGCGGCTTGGTGACAAAGGCACCCCCATCTTCATTTGTGCCCCCATCCCCTCTTGCCAGGATATTATCCTTGGTCTTATAGTGGGAGATTTTGGCTAACCAGCGGCCCAACTGGTTTTGGCCGCTCTAGCCCCCGTTCAAACCCGAATAGCGTTATCATCACTATCCTATCCGCAGCAATCGCAAATGGCGGGGCCAGCCTGTTTGGCTTCCTTGCCTTCGATGTGAAATTAGGGCAGCTCGTCTGTGTGCCACCACAAGTCCAGACTTATGGCCAGATCATAGGATGTATTTTCGGCGCAATCGTCTCTTGCTTGACATATGGATGTTCACCAATCAATTCCTGGTTCTGGGAGGCTTCCTCCAAATACTCAACTCTTTTCTCCAAGCGTACACCGCGAATATGGTCTTGAACCAAGAATCACCTCCCGGCGATCGTGGATTCGCTCTGCGCTTTGACATTTTCTTCACTGGCGCGACAGTAATTAAAATGAGGTTGTGGCACGTTCTTATTCCAAGTGGCGTTTCGTTTGCCATTGGTAAGCCGTTCTCTCTTAGATCCCACGTGTTTGCCTTCATCGTTTCACCATTCCATTTCTTCTATGTATGTTTACTACTCCTGTCTTCACTGAATCGTGCATGATAGGAGGGCCTTTTATATGGGTCTGCCTCCGTCGAGCACTATCTAACGTCTGTCGCTTGTCGTGGTGGCTAGCAGCATGTTTTCGGGAAAGTCGTTGGGTAGTCTTGGAGAGCTATTCTTCCTCCCCATAAAGGCCCGTCCCCTCGAGTTGTGAGAAACACAGGACTCGGCGCCTCGTACGAGCTAAATTGTGTTACAGACAGAATCTGTTACGAGGGAACGGAAATTTTCATATCAGATTTACGCTTTTCCTGAGCTCGATGTCTCGAAGTCTTCATTTCTTCACCGTATGGCTGCAAGAACCATATCTATTGTGAAGTATGACTATTATTCTTCCTCACGCCAGCACATACGGAAGATTGCCGGATACTATTTGATCAAGAGACATATTAGCATATCCTCCTAGTAGCCGGGCCAAACGTGCGGATGACAGAATGCATGCAGGATGGGACGAGAGCTACTCGAAACCCCGCCCTTCTGAGCGGAAGAGTTGTTTCACAGTGTGATCAATGTACCGGACATGAGTGGGCTCTGTGTGATTCAGATCTGCATGTACGACACAAAAGTTGAAAACAGCAGTGTGACTTGTCAGTCTTGGGATTCGATTGCTTTTGCTTTTTGGTCGGACAAGTCTCACCAACCACAAAAGAACTATCTAGGGTTGAGATCCTCGTGTGACCTATCAGGTGCCACGACTAGTCAGACTTTCATAAGGTTCTTGCGGTCAACAGGTAATTAACAGCCTTTTGAGCCTCACACTTACCTCACCTTCTGTTAACCCCCTCCTACTGTATGATTGTATGGACATGTGGTGCGGCGCTATTAGTATTCTAACCTACCCCACGAACGCTAAAGCTGATCTGAACAGCGATTAACCCAATCCCCCCGGGGATAATTGTCCATTGAGAGCCTCTGATTCCAATCACCACCCCCCTCTCTCTCTCCTAAGCTTTCACGATGCCGCTCACCCTGTTGTCTGATAGACAGCGTAAGATTATTGATGAGTTCTTCCCCGATTCTGAAGATCATGCAGAGATCTACAAGGACCTCCATCAGCATCCGGAGCTGTCATGTCAGGAGCAACGCACCGCATCGGTCGTCGCAGAGCGCCTGGAAACGGTTGGCTTCGAGGTCCACCGTGGAATTGGCGGGTATGGGGTGGTTGGTATTCTCCGCAATGGCGAAGGCCACACTGTCCTTCTACGCTCGGAGTTGGATGCCTTGCCAATCAAGGAGCAGACGGGCTTACCCTACGCCAGCAAAGTCGAACAGGTCGATGCGGACGGGATCAAGAAAGAAGTCATGCACGCTTGCGCCCACGACATGCATATGACGTGTTTGCTGGGGGTGGCAGCGCTCCTGCACGATGCCCGGAAGTGGTGGTTGGGGACTCTGATTGTTCTCTTCCAGCCCAATGAGGAGCGACTCCTCGGCGCAAAGGCAATGATCGACGACGGGCTCTTCCAGAAGATACCCCGGCCAAGCGTCTGCTTGGCCCAGCACTGCGTGCCTACCAAAAGTGGGACGATCGCTGTCAAACCTGGGCGCGTCTTGGGTTATTTGGATTCGTTGAACGTCCGTGTGTATGGCCGCGGGGCCCATGGCGCGACGCCCCAACTAGCAATCGATCCAATCATGCTGGCGGCCAGCATTATCACACGGCTCCAGACGATTGTCAGCCGTGAGATGGATGCAAAGGAGCCCGTCGTCATAGGCTGCGGAACGTTCCATGCCGGAACGGATGCCAGCATCATCCCAGACTATGCTGACTTCCAGCTCGACGTGCCCACATTTTCCGCTGATACCCAGAAGCTGGCCAAAGCCTCAGTGGAGCGTATTATACGAAAGGAATGTGAGGCCTCTGGATCCGCCACCGCTCCACAAATTGTTACCGTGGTCAGCAGCCCAGCCATCGACAATGACGCCGTGGCGACAAGGCAATTCACCCGGGTGCTGGAATGCTATTATGGAAGCAGATCCTCCGAGGTGGTCCAAGAAATGCCACCAGATATTGTTGCAGATGATTTCATCCTTCTCGCGTTGCCGCCTGGCGGGAAGCCAATCCCGTACGTGTACTGGAACATTGGCGTGACAGACCCGGAGACGTGGGAAAGAGCCAATAGAGAAGGCAAGTTGCGAGATTTGCCTCCCACTCACAGTGCCATTTATGCGCCAGCAATTGAACCTACTCTACGCACCGGAATTGAAGCACTGGCTTTATCGGCATTGACATTTCTCCAGGTTCTGTGAGGACGACTTGCGACATGTTATGTTTAATGGGGAAGCATCAAAAGCGGTGGTCGGTAGGAACAAAGAGATAGGACGTTCATAGGGAATAGATATCTCTTTCATATTGTACCGTATATGACGGAATTGGTAGTTCTCCCTCGTATGCTGGGGCAAGACCACACCACATGTCTTCAGAACGTGAGTTTATCTGCATTCCATCACAGATAGCTGCCCGAAATATCAATGGTAGCTTTCTCTATGATCTTAACCATGCCCGTAATCGACTGCTCCATGTTAGTATTTCCGGCCCACCGGCTGAGCTTGGTCGGAATATCTCCCCGATCCAATGCAAGCATGGTGACGTTAAGGCTCTTGGCCTTCATTTCGTGGGCCACTTTCACTCAGATAGTCGAGGTCGATAATCTTAGCGCCAGTTGCCTCCAGCTGCCCGTGCGTATTGTTAGCAACACGGTGCCACTTTCCTGGCAGGGGGGTGGGTGGAGTTGGGAAGGCACTCGCATCATGAAATGAGGCGTCGGATCTGGTTTCTAGTCGCATAATACCAAACACCGTCTATCCACGTTCCGCAAATGCCTTGAGCAGGTTAAACCCAATACCTCGGTTGGCACCTGATGGAGGCGTTAGCGTTTGGTATGTTCGGTAAGCATCGATCTCTAACAGGCTTGAGCTATAACGAGAATGCTGCGGGATGTCATTGTAAGTTTGAGCGTGATCTTACGCGCTGAGCTGAGATGGACAAAAAAAGGGGTTTGATCAGAAACAACCCAGGGATAATACTAGATAGATAGATATATAAATAAAACGCAACTGCAGTTTCCAAAAAACCCAGAAAGGCAAATGAGCTTTTCAAAGGCCGTCACGGGTGCGATGAATTTTGTATGGTTTCCGCGGTTCTGCAACACTGGTTTAATAAAATCGGCGGCTTCTTCAGGCTGCAATGCGACTTTTCTCGGGTGCGAGCCATAAAGATTGTCGGGCCCGTTGAAGGTGAGCATGAAGTCTGGCGGATTTGGTCCGTTCACTGCGTCAATAGCGTTCTGCATAGTCGCCTTGTTTATCATTAAGATTTACTTGTCCTCAAGTCCAAAATCGAACGTGGGCCAATTGGAAGCGGCATGGATCTTCTCTCATCGCTCTTTTGTATAGCCACCGTAACCGGTGTTAAAGCTAACGTTCAGAAGCCCTTCGGAGCACTTCGCCACTACCCCTTGAAGGGCCGATATGCCGAGAATCGCCATGGGCATCACGACCGACATTGGAGAAGTCAAACGCATCTTGAATGACGATTTGCTCTTGGTTACCATTAGTGAATGAGTGATTCAAGTCGTCAAGAGAGAGTTGCTTGATGGACAAGACAGAATTTATAGATGATTCAATCGAAGCTCCGGCCACTTCAGGCCAGCGGAGTGAATCACCACCCTGGACATATCATGTCATCTTCCAGAGCCCGCTTGAGCTGAGATGATCAAGATTTGCTTCACCCGGCTGGCCTAAGATTCACTATAATCCAAGCCACTGTCAGGCAGTGATGCTTAGACCTATAAGCACGGCCAGATCCCTGTATTCATTTAAGTTGAGTTACGAATAAAGCTTACAGAACACGCATGACGGACGACGTAAACTAAAGCCAGCCAATGATACTTAATCGCAGAACTGCCGATCAGGCGTTCATCCCCTGCAGTTCTTATTCACCCTTTCCCGGCCTCATAACTGTCTATGCTTCTCTTGTGGCCCCTTCCAAGCATTCTTCTATGACTAGGAACTCTTTACGGGAGTGTATCCTTATCCTGGCTTGATATAAGCACGCCCTTGCCCCCCCCCCAAAAAAAGGAATGCAGGATAAGGCAAATCAGATTTCCTTTTTCTTTCGTTTTTTTGTTTTTTTTTAGACAAGAGTTATATTGAACGAACAGTGCAAAAGGAGCTTCTAAGCCATTCCTGCATCGGCCCGTGCAATTCCTAATACCCCTCCGGCCCCCATGCTTTCCAATAGTACAATCTAACCATGGCGGTCACCTGCAGAGTTTGGTTCCATTATAAAGCTTGGTATAGGGTAGTATCCAAACTGGAAGCCAGGCTCAGGCCAATGGAGCTTCTCCTCAACCTACTTAAGGATTCAAATAGTTGGTAAGCTTGCGGCCGCTAGCGCCTTCTGAGTGGGCGGTAACAAGCCTTAATTGGCTCGTTATCCTCCTTGGATACGGAGGAAGGAGCTGATGGTATATTTTTAGTCCTACAGCGGATCGACGGATAGGCCAACTGATGATTAAACTACGGCGCAACACACGTTTACTGATTTTTCGTCCATTGATTTTGCTTAGAACCGTACATGGGTCAGTGACAAATTGCTAACGAGGGCACTTAAAGCAGCTCAGATCTGTGTTGATTTCCATTGGACGACCTGTATGATCCACTGCTGTGTGTTCCGTCACCATTATATACCTATGTTTAACTAGGCATGCGTGGATCAGTCGCGTGTGACTTACGTTATGCTGACGCCCAGGACACCAGGGAGGTCACATTATTGCTGACTTTGGCCATGTAAAAACAGAGCATTGCTGGTTCCCGTACTAGCAGGGTGACCAGCTAAGCTACAAGTCAAGACCTTCGTACACCAGCGACTCCATGTCGCCCCAGAGCCCCAACACTCGAGCGTCGGCGAATGGAAGTATCTGCGTACAGACCATGCCCGCAATCCCCTTGGTCCTGTCACACCACCACCAAAGGTTGGGAAGTCCAGCCCAATGGCCAGTCTGGGCCGAACGGCCCGTGCTCCCCCCAGTAAGCATACAGGTGAGCCCCCAGCCTTGGGGGGTTGCGGATGGATACAAATGAGCGATACGGTTCGTAAGATCCGCTTTGGCGGGTGGGATTTCCTGTGCCGCGAAGTTGGGGAACTGGGGAATCTGGTTTTCAAACATGAGGTCTACCGTCGCCTTGCGTAGGATCTGCTTGTTGGTGGTGGGCGATATGCCATCGTTCAAAAGGGTCGCCAGGATTTGACAATACTCTTGAGGCTTCGCAAAACAACCTGCCCCGCCGCTGTTGAAGCAACTGGCTATATCCCGAGCATCCTCCACGATCAGTGGTCGTCGAAGGAGGTGATCGCGTGGGGATAACTGTCCATCCGGTGCCCGTGAGTTCATATGAGCCAGTCTTGACTTCATGGACGCATTCGGGAACATGGAAATATTATGCAAATCCAAAGGCTCAAAGATATTGCGCTGGAAATAGTCATTCAATGACACACCCGTTACGCGCTCCACGAGAAGGCCGGCCCAATCAATATTGACCTAGACAAAGCTGGTTAACTCAGCGTCAAACCATGGGCGGCTTACTACCTTACCCCATATTCCCACCTCTCTCCTGGCTGGTTCACCAGCGGCTGTAGCATATCATAGAAACATCCCGAAAATTCGTCGTATCCTACCGGCTTGCTGTAGTCTCTTAATTTCTCGTTGAAAAATGAGTACCCGAAACCAGCTGTACAATATTGTATGGTCAACATATATCCCTAGGGTGAATACTCATGCGCTGGTTGAGAGTCTCACCGGTATGGGCGAGAAGCATTCGCAAGGTAATCCCCTGTTTCTTCTCGACCAGACTTCCATCCGCTTGCACTACCTGAACCTGCTTCAGCTCGGGGCAAATTGTTTCGACCTGAGTCGAATCATCCAAGGAGAGAAGGCCTTGTTCGACAAGTTGCATGCAAGCAATCCCCGTAATCAATTTAGTACATGAGGCAATCCAGAAGATATTATCGAGAGTCATCGGTTCAGACGAGCCATATCCCCGTTTGCCGCTGGCATGGGCAAAATATTCCCGACCATCTTTGCCCACGATGACTACCACAGCCCCAGGGATGCCTTTCTCTTGGTCCGCACAGGCTTCATCCAGTCGAGCTTCGAGAGAGCTGGTCACGTTGGGGGTCAGTTGACTCATTTTCGCGGTTGGGGGGTAAAATATGAAGGTCCTCGGATCGACTAGCGCTCGCAGACGAAACAGTCTTGAGGAGCAATGCTGTGTTGAGATTTACTTCAATATATCCTTCATGATCCGGTGCTCCGAGTGAGTACTTTCTCATTGGATCGGCCGGGAACCTCCGCATGTCCACCGTGCAGGTATAGACAGATTGAGTTAAATTGAGGGGACGCGATATGCAGCATCGGATCCGCATGCAACAACAAGCTGCGGGGGTGAGCAATCAGAGAGATGCAGACAATTGATACTAACAGCCACGCACTTAGTATTAATTCCACAAGTGTATTAGGTTACAGATCTATTAACTTAGACTATCTTAATTATTAAACTAAATAATACTTACTGGCTTTGGTTGCTGGAACTTAATCCAGATGGCAGGTTATTATTTATTCTGTATACCGTAAATAGCAAGTAATATAGAATTCAAAGTGATATGTCCTAGCTTTTCGACAAATACTATTGTAAAGATACTAAAGAACTCTTCCAATAGTATGTATCCTATGCGTGGTCGAATCAGAAACACCAAGGGTTGAAGGAATTATTGAATTTTAGCTGTTTTGGCCGAGTCACAAGATAGCCGATGCGGATCCGCATGCACGGACAATCACATCCGGTTGCTTCATAGGAACTAACCCTGCAGTTCACGCGATTTCGTACAGGAGAAGTAGTCTAGGCCTTTCAGCATTGCGCTTCAATTATTGGTTTACAGCTTACTCGTGCAGCAACACTCAGGAGAGGGGAGACAAGGATTGCCTGCCAGAATCGGACTGATGCATAGTTGGACCTCCTCATAGGCGGCTCCGTCGGTTATAATCAATGAGCGTGACAATTGGCGAGCACTCAAGTCTGACTGCCGACAGTATTTAAGGTACCTATTCTCTAAGACCAACTGGTATTGCATCTCAAAACATTTGCTTCGCAGAGAAATACTAACATCATTCTAAGCTCGTTGACGTCTCTTTGATCTTCTTTTCCACCTGGACCATATCTACCTAGCCCTTCCCCACTTAGCAGAATACAAAAAGGAAGCTCCCCCAGAAGCCATGCCCGTAAGAAGGGAACTCGCCGAGAATGCCACGCGGGACGCCGCAGAGGGAAATTACGCCGATCATCTCGATGTGGATGTCCTGATTGTGGGAGCCGGGTTTGGCGGCATCTATTCTCTGTACGAAATGCGAAAGCTCGGGCTCAAGGCAGTCATCTATGAAGCGGGAAATGACATTGGTGGCACATGGAGATGGAACTGTTATCCCGGCGCGGGTGTAGACTCGGAAGTGCCCGAGTATCAGTTGTCGATCCCGGAAACCTGGAAGGATTGGACGTGGTCGACCAATTATCCCAACTATGAGGAGTTGCGCAACTACTTTGACCATGTGGACAAGGTCCTCAATATCAAAAAGGACTGTGCATTCAACAGCGTGGTCGTGAGCGCACACTTCCATACCGTGGAAGGCCGCTGGCATATTCGGACGGCCGATGGAAGGACGGCACGCGCGAAATACTTTATCATCGCTGCCGGTTTTGCGGCGAAGCGTTACATCCCGGAGTGGCCGGGCATCGAGAAGTTTAAGGGCATTGTCCACCACTCATCTTTTTGGCCGGATGAGAAAATAGACGTCCGTGGAAAGCGCTGCGCCATCATTGGCACTGGAGCCTCTGGTGTGCAAATCGCCCAGGCCTGGGGACCGGAGGCCGGGGAGCTCAAGGTCTTCCAGCGCACGCCGAACCTGGCAGTGCCCATGCGCAAGCGCCCTCTCACGGTGAAAGAACAAGAGGACACCAAGGCATTCTACCCGGAACTTTTCCGCTATCGCGAGAAATGTTTTGCGGGGTTCCTGTACACCTTTTGCGAGCGCGGGCTATTTGAAGACAGTGAAGAGGAGCGAGAGCAATTTTTGGAAAAGCTGTGGAGTGAGGGTGGATTTCGATACTGGGTGGCTAATTATAAGGACTATCTATATGACGCCAAGGCAAATCGCGTCGTCTATGATTTCTGGAGGAAGAAGGTGTGTGAGCGCATCAATGACCCCAGGGACCAAGAGCTCCTGGCGCCTTCGGAGCCACCACACCCTTGGGGAGTGAAACGCCCTTGCTTGGAAGATGATTACTTTGAGCAGTTTAACCGGCCCAATGTTGATTTGGTGAATATCAAAGACAATCACATTGCGGACTTCACGGAAAAGGGCATCAAGCTGCAAGATGGAACAGAATATGAATTCGACGTGGTGTGTATCGCCACTGGATTTGATATCACGACCGGAGGCATGACCAGCATGGGACTTCACAGTATCTATGGCAATAGTCTCAAAGACGAATGGAAAGCCGGTGCCTTCACCTATCTTGGCATGACCGTCAGTGGTTACCCAAATATGTTCCATCTGTACGGGCCACACGGCCCAACGTTGCTGAGCAATGGTCCTACAACAGTGGAAATCCAAGGGCGGTGGATTGCAGATGCCATCAAGCAGATCGAGCGTCAAGGCATTAAGTACATCAATCCAACCGCGAAGGCTGCCCAAGAGTGGAAGGTCAAGATCAATGAACTTTCGGACAAGTCACTCTTCCCTACGACCAAGTCCACCTACATGGGTGGTAGCATGCCCGGAAAGGTCTTTGAGCAGGTCAACTATGCCGGAGGAGAGTATCCTTATTCAAAGGAGATCCGAGCCGTTCTTCCCAATTTTACCGGATTTGATATCGTCAAACGCTAAAGTGCGTGGATATTTGGAGGCAATGCTTCATGTTACTATTCCATGACCTCTTGTAACCTTCGGTAGTATCAATCCATGGCTGATCGGGTTTTTGGAGACCTTAGTGTAGCATCCCATTCCAAAGGAACCAGCCGTAGTCAGTAGGATTGAACAGGCTGAGAATAACCTCAAGGGTAAACAGATCACGAACTATTAATTTAATATGAACGCCGGGCCGATTTATACCCCGCAAAACCCCCGCATTTCCCCAGCTAAGTCCGTGCTTTAATCTCTCGGATCCATGTTCACCTTCATTACTCCCCCAGGAACGGCCCTACTCTCTCGACCATACCACCTTGCTATGAATAATGTCTTATCGTCGCCGCCAGCATCGTAGCTGTGATCAATGTCGTAAAGGGAAGAGAGCATGCGATGCCCTGCTGGCTGACGAGCTTGAGGGAAATGCCAACACTGGTGCTCAACAGGCAGACAATCATTCATGCTCCAATTGCAGAAAATACAAAAGAAAATGCACTTTCAACTGGCTCCTGGGCCATACGGGATACCGGCATGGCCGTAGCAAGAGAGCCAGAAATACTGCGATCGCCCTCTCGCGGCAGGAGGACGATCGTTCCGCTCGATCCTCTCAACAAACCTCCATTGCGCGCAATCCTGCAGAGCTCCCTCTGCAAAACGTCGAGAATTGCAAATGGCCCACGTTTGTTAGGGATCCGCTTTTGCTGTGGCCGCACGACGAGGGACTAAATGCGGACTGGCTAACTTGGGAATGCCTCAATGACGCAGCGGTCGCCTCTCCTCTGAACGCCGGTATGATTCTCAATCAGGATAAGCATGTCGATCCTGACCAGATACCACAAATGAGTGCCCAGTGGGACTCTGCCGCGGCCGGCCAAGATTGGCACATTACCGATCAAACTCCACAGCTCGGGACAATGAGCAGTTCATTAACTTCGTCGCAGTCCAATGGTACACCCGACTGCCAGCCATTTGAGACATATGATATCAGTTCTGAGCTCTCGCTCCATGGCCTTCCGCCAACCGAAGTCCGTGCTGTGTCTATGCCAACAAACACTGCACTGTGTGTGGGCTCAAGCCAATTAGCACACAATCATGCGCACTCTATGATAACGCACAACCTAATCCACATATATAACGACAGTATGGAAAATGCATTGAGCTGTTGGTTGACGGAGCGTAATTGTCCCTACAGTAACCGGGAGTACGTTGACGCAAAAGGACCGAAGACAGGACCTTACACCACGAATAGGATCTACAGACGAGTTTGCCTCTTAGATCAGGCATACTCATCCATCCCCGATCGACGTTTGACGAGTGTGGAGAGTAGAACAGCAACACAGACACTTCATGCTGCCATCATGGCGTTCGCTTCTCAGTGGCTAGAGGGGCCTTCGGCAGACGAACATATCCCAATACCATCTTCTTCGGCTCACCGCGAAAGTGGCATGCGTGAGGTCTTCTGGAATGAAGCGCGTCATGCATTGGAGAAATCGAGAGCAATTCCATCGTTCCGCGTAGCGTTCGCCAATATATTGTTTTCGCTGGCTCAACGTCCCCGACACGTTGAAGAAGAAATGGAGCCCGACGAGCTCTTCGACCATGACCCTGCCCCAATGTATCTCGAAACGGCGCTCCGGCAACTGTTTACTTTTCGCTCTCGATTGATCAAACTTCGGCGGCAAGGTTCCAACAGAGCGCTCGAGCAATGCTGCAAGGAGAACAAATGTGATGATGTATACCGTACAGGACAAAGAACCCATCCGTCAGGCCAGGTCGACTTGATGCTGAAGGACTCTGAAGCCCAACACACTTTCAATCTTCTATTCTGGCTGGGCATCATGTTTGATACGTTGACGTCGGTCATATATCAACGCCCCACTGTCATTTCCGATGAGGACAGTCAGATCATACCCTCCCGGTCGCGCTTCTGCTCGTCTCCGGGCGCCGTTGATCTGGATGGATTGGATATTAGCTCCTATTCCGTTAGCAGACGTGAAGAGAGTGTATGGGGCGATCATTTTCTTCGCAAACGCAACACGCTGCACAAGCTCAACCAGACCCGCTGGCCTTGCTCTTACAGAGAGGCAGCGGAAGTCTTATCCGACGCCGCGCCAGTAAAGGTCCTTCTATTCCGTCGCATAAATCATATCAATACCCTTGTATATCGGGGATGCGAGGCGGAAACTATTGAGGAAGCAATCCACAGTGCTCTCTTGGTCTACGAGTACTGGAATTCCACGTACAAGCAATTTATGCTAGACTGTCTATCTCACCATACAGAACTCCCGTCTCGCATACAATCATGGTATTTAGTGCTGGCCGGACATTGGCATCTTGCGGCGATGTTGCTCGCAGATACTGTTGAGGACATAGATCAAGCGCGACTTGGGCAAAGCTCCCAAGCCGAACATCGGTGTACCACTGGCCTCATCTCCCTCTTGAAGCACGAAAATGCTTTCGCTGTTGGAGGGCTCGCTCGATACTCTTACGACCTACAGGGCTCGTCGCACCCTAGACTCCGCGATTTTCACGATTCAGTCAATCAAGCCGCATCATTGACGGAGCCATGGACTGCTGTCCTTATCCACTCTTTCAGAAAAGCAGGCACCATCCTAATCGGGGAAATCGGCATATCACAATGTGGCTACCAAATGCAGCAAGACTCTTTCAGGCTAACGTGTCAGCGTTGCGAGCACTGTATCAAGGCACTCCAGTGCCTGGGAAGAAAGTCAGATATGGCTCTGACCGCAGCTCAGAGTCTATCAAACAGTCTCAACAGAGCGCTGTCGCGACGCAACACTATCGATCCATACTACATGTTCGCCCTTTGATACCACTTTGTTCCCCTGGTCGTTCTTTGGGCCAGTTCGCGATAATTTGTCCAACATTAGGAAGTGACGTAAGTGTCGGTGGGATGGGCGAAGCTCTGTTGCTCTGTCTAGCTAGTAGCACCCCCAACACACGCTGCAGGCATTATCCACAGTATCCCCTTAACGTTGAAGGAGCCAAAAATGACAGGACACGAATCACTAATGGGGAAAGACCATTTCCACGTTAGTCATAAACCAGTGCGTGAGAAACTTGGATCCCTCGGCCTCCACGACGAACAACGGGAGATTCAATATAAAGAAGGGTATACTCCACAGAGGACAGATTGCTGAACGGGTTCGGGCTGAGTGAGTCGCCAAGAGAAAAGTCGCGTCGTGACTTCCGAACAGTAAACAAAGATGACTCTCCACGTGATTTGCGTACAAATTGCCCAGTGTATCTCAAATTCAATTGTAAAAAATCAACTAAATTCACCTAAAAAGGCTACAGTATCCCCCACATATTTCATAGTTTTTGCGGGGGTTTTGGAGAATTAATAATGAGTCTGGGCTCTTGTTGTGTGTGAGTCGGTGAAGTAGACAGAAGATATATATTTGGATAGCAGATCTTCCGCATCGTATGAGTATGGATACCTATTTCTAAAATTACTTATGTGACTTGGCCCCAACAATCTCACTAAAAATACATAAAATATTACCAGGCAATATGGTAATCTTAGCTATTTTCGATGGAATTTTAGCATATACTACGGTAGGTATTTGGGGTCATCGAGGTCAAGATATAAAAGGAATCTATAAACGTGGAGGTATTGCTAAAGCGGCATCATGAATAGCCCGGGCCCTAAGCCCTAAGCCGTATTACAGGTAGCTAGGCTAAACTAAAACTAGGTATTAGCTGCTGCCGCTTTTATGTGGCTGGGCCCATAACATTGCTTTAGTTTCGGGCGCCTACTACGTGACAGTTGGGACTTGGTATTTATACCAATGACCCCTGACGCCAGTTGCAATCTACCAGAAGCCTAAGAGAAACAGGAGGAAAGAATAAACGGTGGCAGTAGACCAGGGGGAATATGTAACAATGTCTCTGTTCAATTTTCCCCCGTGACTAACAGGTGGCAATGGTGAGGACTGCGCCGAAAAAAGGGAGCCAGGTAGGTGGAAATGTGGAAGATTATACTACTTCTAAGATTCTTGTAGTAGTTGGACGTCAAGCAATACTGTCAACCACGAGTTCCACCACAGGTACCTGGTATGATGCGTTTCACTTCACAGATGCAGTTCTTTTGGCCATATCAAGCTCTATGCTGTACGCGTGTGTGCTTCCATCTCGTGTTGCTCAGCAGCATGGGTCTGAACATCAGTAACATAATGCTTGAACTTGCGAAGATTAACCTTCTTCTCAAACCTATGAGAAAGACACGGAGGAGTTAGCACGACTAGAGGAGAATGTTATCTCTGGAATGCGCTTCTACTTACATCTCATCGATCTCGGCAGGTGTCCGACGTGTGACCTCCGGGAGGATAAACCATGCGACGATAACGGCAACCGTACCAGTTCCCGCGAAGCTATTTTATGAATTTCATGTTAGTGACTGATCGTGTCATTTATGAGAAAACTGTGTACGCACAAGAATCCTGTTTTGACACCCCATTTAGTGAGGGGTCCGTTGATCATCAGAGGTGTGCAAAAGCTGAACATGAGCGCGATCAAATTGGACGCCGCAAGAGACAAGCCTGCCGTTTGAGCGCGCAGGCGTTGCTGGGGAATCTCTGCAGCGTAGGCGTAACCAATTGACGAGGCACCGGTGGTCGAGAATGTAGCGAGACAGGCGAAAAAGACCTGTGGTGCAGGATTCGTCAGGGATCTTGGCGCAGACGAGAGATTTGAATGACTTACTAAAAGCGAGCTGGTAGACTTCTGAGTGTAATCAAAGCAGCCGATTATTCCAAGGCATAACACGGATAGGGTCGTGACCGCGTATGGATAGACGGTGAGTGGTCGACGGCCAATTTGATCGGTGAGCATGGCCGTCATGATCATTGAAAGGAGTTGGACACAGGACAGGATGACGGTGACCAGGAAAGGGTCTTTATTACCCGCATATTGAACTGCAAGAGAGGGTAAGCACCAGGAGACAGAGGCGGCTCAATATGAATGCGGCGAGCTTACAGAAATAGGTAGCATTAGAGTTGAACACTGCAAGCCCGACAAACTGCTGGGTGATCTTTGGCCATCCAGCAATAACGAATCGGATGAAATTGCGGCCCTGGAAAACAGCCCACATCCCTTCCTGCGAGTCTCGCTCGGCGATCCGGCGCTCCTCTACGACTGTAGCACTCATGATCTCCTGCAATTCGGACTGATTGTTAGTAAAAAGGGTGCACAAAGGGTGACATTTCACATACAATTTGTTCGGACACATCGTAACCCTCAACGCGGTCGTTATATGTCCTAAGCATCTTGGAGGCCTTATCAAGCTTTCCTTTACTAACAAGCCACCACGGAGTTTCGGGCATGATTATAAAGATAATAATGGTTGCTCCGACCATAGCCCACTGGAAAACGTTCTTAGTACATCACCGCGATCTTCTGAAAGAGATCGACTTTTACCTGTGTATAGATGGGCGTTCGAAAGTCCAAGGGATTTTGAGCATGAAGTTGGTTGAGAGCCACCGAGGCGAATATTTGTCCCACCACGAACCAACTGAGCGACGCACTGGTTAGGAGTATCTGTGATTTCAAAATTGGGGCGGGAGAGCTTACAAGCTGTACGCATTAATGAAGAATCCTCTTAACTGGGTCGGAGCGATCTCTGATAGATAGACAGGCAATGTCGATTGCAGCATGCCGACTCCCATGCCAGAGAAGAGCTTCGCCACAAGCCAGTGATCCCATCGGGTAGCAAAGGACTCAATAAATATACTCTAAGAAAAAGGAGTAACATTAGCATCATGGGAAGAATGCCGATGGATAGGAGGTCAACCAAGCAGAGGGAATATTGAGTCATAGCTTACCACTACAAAGACGACCCATATGATGTAAAATGCCACTTTTCGGCCGTATGATTCCGTCACATACTGGAGCAGCTTTATAGAAAAAGGGAAGAGGGCTTTAGCAGGTTTCTCATGAGTCAACGGGTACGTATACGTACAACTTGGCCAATCGCCTGACCAGAAGACTGAAGGCCACTCCAAGCGGAGACATACTGACCTTCAATGACTGTTGTTCCAGGTTTGGCCATCTGTCGGATGAATCCCTCATTGGAGACAAGCCCACCATTGAGATTGATCTCTAGCATAGTGCAAATGTCCTATTAGCTTGACTTCTGCGAATCTTGAATACAAGGTTAGGATAACAGAGCCATACGGTAACCATCTAATGCGGCACTGAACGCCGCAGCCATTGCCATGATGGAGATGAGTTTATATCGCCTCACCGTCTGCCATATAGAAAGGTCGTCCTCCTTTGATCGCATCACTGGTGCACCTCCCTTGCCTATTGGACAATGTTCATTCTCCTCCGCAGTCGGCTGTTCGAGCGCCTCATTTTTGCCAATGGTTGGCTCGTCTGCGGTGACAGCTTGCAAGCTCTCGTGTGAGGTGTGGTGGGTGACCATGGTAGCCTTTGGACGGTGCGATTCGTGACCTTAATCTTCTAGACTGGCAGATGTAGATCAGAGGGTTATCCTTCAGCCACAAGGCCTTTGTATATAGACTCAAGTGTACGTTACTGTTGATAGTGGATCCATGCGGAGACTCCAGAAAATACCCCAGATAGAAGTCCGGCTAACCTATGTCAAGCTTTAGCACACGATCGGCTATTGACTGGGCAGGCTCGGCTTACGGCTGTTGATTTAGGTTATGAAAGGATTACAAGCTCCGGTGGAGGTGGAGTGTTTAATTGCGCCAACGCTTCTGACCTCGGGATATCGCATCCCGAGTGTAGGCTCACATTGGCTGATCGACACCACAAGGCCATCCTTGGCCCTTGAAACCCGAAGGTCAATTAATGAGCGGTTAAAATAGCGCACGCCACCAACAAAGTGAAAGGATAATTGTCATTAGCCCAGACAGTTATCTCTGATAGATGCTCGTCGATAGTACGGTCCTAGAGCTTCGGAAGGGCCTTTCCAAACCGCACACAGCGATGGTAATTCAGATGCGCTTGTATCGAATAGGACATCGCTATTTCCTATTTAAAATCCAAGTCGCTGAGTTAGATCGATTTTCCAGCGAGGAGGGCTCTGGACGTCAAGGCACATTCTTTAGCAGTGCCCGCTGTACATTGATCTACACAGCGCCATTTTAGATAAGATTGCTGGGATCAGGGGGCCATGTGGTAAAGCCGTATACTACGATATTGTTATACGACACCTGCAGACAATCAGTTACGTTGCTGAGTGCAGCTAGATAGTGAAGACGCTGGTTAAATGGTTACAAGAGAAAGGGGGCTCATCCTAGGCCGGGGCTTTCCTACTAAATAGAACTACAAGGTAAACAGAGGAAGCGGACAAGCCCCAGATAGATGGTGGTAGTAGGGGAGAGAGGTGCTGTGGCAGACACTTGTGTTATATTTTAAAAGGCCTTTCGTTCATTTCAATATCTCCTATGCATAAGATTGAAGGATTTGTATCCAGCGTTTCTGGACCAAAAGTCTGTCTCATTGGCGAGGTGTCTGGATAGCTAGATGTTTCAGTAATTAGGCTCTAATAGCTTAATAGAATTCGATTTTATTGATTGATTGAACTCATTGCAGATATACAAGATAAGTAATACTTGGTTACTTCCTGTTTTATCATCGCGTCTAGCTACCATATCATGCACAAAAGCACAGACCTAAGAACATTGCTTCTTAGAGATAGACAAGCAAAGCTTCTGAGGCGCTGAGCGTAAATGTGGCTGAACCGGAAGACACGGTGCTTGTTTCTATGACTTCATCACCCTGGATCACACATGTTTCGTTTGCAAAGGTTCGGCCGGCAACGGTAGGAACCTGGCCCTGATCAACTCTGGAGGTAGAGTCGGGTGCTGTTAGCCGCTTCGCGGTGACACTGGAGGATGTCAGTCCGTTCAGAGTGAAGGTCTGCGACGGGCGTGTGCCATTGGTGTAGTAGTCTGAGTTGTACAACAGTACCCTGGACGGTGCGCCGTCTTGATAAATTGCGTATGCTGCGTACGGAGTTGTCTGGTCATCTAGCGGAGCGATCTGATCTGCATTGGCCAGAGCCATTGTCGCAAAGTAGGCGCCATAATAAGGTGCACCCATATTGTAGCGCCCCCACCAGCAGTACGGACCTTTTGGGTAAGCTTGCGTCGCATAAATGGGCGAATCTAGTTACTTACAGTTGCCTATGGTGCCCTGGTGGAAGTAAAGAGCCTGCACAAATCGGAACGTAAGTGGCTACCTTCTCCGATACTGGGTCGAATGACTCAGGTACGTACCTGCGTGCCCATAAGAATAGTTTGCATCACGTAGTCTAGGATCCAAAGACCAGCACCGTATGTCGGGCTAATCCCACCGCCACCCTGAGTCGCTATGGAGGCCGTCAGTAACAACAGCAAGCGTGCGACAGAATGCAATTACCAGAGTTAGTTTCTCCAAAAATGTGAGCTTTGCCTTTGGAAGCCGCCGCTGAAGCCTCAGCGGCAAAGGGTTGGATTTGAGATGCAATACCACTATGGCTCATCAGACCGGCCAGATCAGCAGTGTTTGGTGACTGGGGATAATTGTGCGAGCAGTAGTCCTTGACAAGGTCGTTGGCCTCGCCCTCAACAGAAGACAAGCCGGAGATACTCATGGGCGATGTGCCAAAATAGACGCCTGCTGAAATGAGATCTGATGAGGACAGATTCTGGCAGACTGCATCCTGCCAAGCCACTTGAGATTTATAGTCGGCTGCAGCATCCCATGACCCGCCGTCTGCAATAGGGTCGCTAGCGGAAAAGACTGAATACGCTTCATATCAGCAGGCTCCCAAACAAGACGATGCGCATGGAAAACATACAATTAGGTTCATTTCCAAGCTCTATGGCATAAAGGTTCTGTATTGTATCTTTAGCTAGAGTGGCTGCAGCAATCGTGTTGGACTGATTGTTCAGACGGCGATTAAGACCTATGATAACCTGACCGTCGTAGTCCGCAGCCAGGGCTATGAATGGCGGGCCAAATGTAAGTGATGAAGGTGCATCTGCTGGATCGGCTACTGTGTAGGTGACTGCGCTGCTGGAAGACGCATCATATGTCGCACGGTCTCTGAAATGAGATTAGCACTGATAAGGGAGATTGTCTCGAGGATGAAGAAGCGCACTGCGTGGTGCCGCCAATTCGTAGTGGTGGCCATGTCCCAGTCAGTTCCTTGAGATTCTGAAGACAGGTTTTGGTTGCATCGACGTCATTCATGTAAGCCGGAAATGTGAAAAACTCGAGACTGCGTAATCAGCATCTACACCCAAGGAAGGTTTCTGTGATACTAACGAGAGGCCTACTGGTGCCTCAGCCAGCTGAGCGCTTGCATTTCTCGGTGCTGATGCTGGTACCTCAAAGATCAAAGCTGATGTCGGAGCAACAACGGCCAGAAAACCGGCAGCAAGGTGAAGGAGTACCATTCTAGGAGATGTTGGACTCTGTTGTGACTTCGCCTGAAGGATAAGACAACAACACCAGATATGCCACCCATGGGGAGTTTTGCTGCATTATATCTACCGGTTTGTTATTTACCAGCCTGTTTACTTTTACAGCCTCGGCAGAACAGCTCAAGAACAGAATGGGCCCTGGACTCCAGGTGTTTCTGTCCAAGCTCTGCAAGCACTCGCCTCCACCGGAGAGAAGTCGTCAGGGGTCCGCTTCCTTCCACAAGTGGTGGTGAAGTGAACATCTGGGGAAGACAGGAGTGTGTAGATCATTTGCGGGGTACAAATGAAATGTCTTGGTCGTCGGGACATGCTTTCCCGAGGTCTGAGCAGTAAGTATGATATGCTAGCAATCCCCCTCTCCGATGCTCAACCGTTCCTGCCGGGGTTTTGCCTGATTCAGGCCAAACAATTTAAATATTAGGGTTAACCAGCTTGGGAGAGCACAATCACGTGGAATACGTTGCACTGCCGAAATTGGTCTAGTCTACTTTGAATGTTCCTTTTTTGATATTACGAGGAGATGCTGACTTCTAGGGTTTTAGAAATGCTTTTTGTCAGACAGGAGTTTCTACGTCCGGTAAATGAAAAAGGAAACCGTAAGGTATCGGTTGCAGCCCGGTGAGGTCATTGACATCGGTCTATAATATACCGGCTACAAATTGTGCTTCTCCCATCCCAAAGCTCCAATCCGCCCTTGTATTTTCGGCACAGCTTATGATAAGATCCTCCCCAGGGAGTCCACACAACTCAAATAGTCGCTCATGAAGTGCTTGATAGACAGCTAGCTTCTGTTCAGTACTACGTCCTTGCTGCAGGATCTGGACGATGACCAAGTTGTTGCTCCTCTCCATTCCCAGGTTCGTGTCCTCGCAGATCAACTCATAGGGCTCGTGTTGGGTGATAATCTTAAGGCCAGATATTATTAGAATACAGCGTGGGTGCCACTTGGACATATGATACTTACTTGGTAGCGATCCCGTTCCGGTGCATTGAAGTGCTTCCGCATAACTTCTTGAATCACATTGGCCAGCTTTCTTATCTCATCGGGAGACCTTACCCCTCTTATTAGGTCTATCCTCACAAGAGGCATCGTCACTTCGAGATAAGTACAACAAGGAATAATAAGGCGTGTCGGATCCCTGAAAGGGAGAAGGAAAGACAAGATCAATCAATAGATAGTGTCGAAACAGCACGTTCAAGTGCTGGTGTGACAACCCCAAACGAGACGCTGACAGGAACAGAAGTTGGTTTATCTATACAGTTTTGACGTGCCCATGGCGTCAAAGACCTTCCTCTAGCACTAGGGTTTCTTGATCTTTACCCCGATTGTGGGTACCTGCTTATCATGTTGAGGCTTGCTCCGCAATATCCGCGGCGATCTCTGCCTCTTCTCACCATCGTGACATCATTCATGCTCTAATCTTTTCAATAGCGAACCGAACCATTTGGGAGTAGGGCAGTCATGGGACTATCGGTTTTGGTTCGCCGATCGACGCTTTCACGGACAAGATCAACAAAGCCCGTAAAATTACTCGCACCAAACCCAGCTTCTTCAACGGATATCACAATGAGCCAGACAAATTGAGAGGATACTTTCAGTTTACAGACCCTGAGTCAGAGCTCGATGATCGTCTTCGGCTGCTAGCATTACTAGGTACCATAATTCTAGTAATACCGAAAGGCGACCAACATCCCCGCCTCGCTATGGCTAAGCGACCATTCCTATAAAGACGTCTGATGGCGACAGGTTCCATAACTGAAAGGATAAACCTATGCCGCGCCTTCTGCTGGTCCAAGTCGGAGTTCGCGTCGGCCCAAACCTGTTTATACTCGCGCTGGTTTGCCAATATATACTGTTCATGGATTTGATATCTCTGTCCTCATTCGTTGAATGATTTGATCGATTTCTGTAGGAATAGCGTAGCATGGTATATTACCATCGGAATAGATACGCCGTAGGTTCTGAATGGCGCCCGAACAATGTATATAAATACTTCGGACGGAACTGTCGCGGATAGTCGAACCTTTCAACGAGATTATTCTAGTGAGTGATCATGTGTATACTCCTCTAGAGGATTGAAGTGACGAATATGCTGCCAGCTGTGACTACTGTGTTATCTTCATATCAATTAGATCGACGAGCTAGCACCCAACCAGTGACCAAAGAGGAAAATTGAACCAGCTACCCAATTGGTTGGCATAACAGATTTAATGCGGGATGCTAGTCCAGTTTACATCAATACGGCTTGGGATAGGCCATCTACTGTTTCGACATAGATCTTACTGAGTATGAGGGTAAAGTCTAGTGGGCCACTAGAGGAAGAAGAAGCAGCATGAAGTGGATTCCGCCCATGCGCGACCATCCTTTTCTGCCCTATTCCAGAGGGACGATGCTTAGCCTGTTTTAAGGGTGTTACCAATGTCAATGTCAGCCGGGATCTGACATTCGAGACTGCAGTTCCTCATAACAACAGTTATCGTCATCATACCACTTCATTGGATTTCTACTGCGAACAGTGGGCAGCCGATGAAATTGGGCTCCAGACTCCTATCGAGCAGATCAGTATCGTGACTGACCTTCGCAGGCAGCTGACACAAAGTTTATCAGTCGAGAAGTGCAGTTTCCAATTGGAATTCAGAGAATGTTTCCTTGTGCATTAATGTTTAGTTGTGGTTCTTTTACACTATACGTGTTCCATTCTAAATTGCGCTTCCATTGTCATCAACGTATTTTGAGATCGTCTCAATATGAAGTTTATGTCTGTTTATGGTCGGCCACTATGTGACTATCGAGGACCTTGACCTTGATACCATATTCAAGAAACGCCCAACCTGAACCTGACGATTTTCTTTCTCCAGTTGACCCTTCTTTATTTTTTGCTAACCTTTCTGACCTTTCATAATGATCTCGGTGGTCATTTTCTGCTGGGTCTAGAGTGGTCTAGACCTTCTAATACAAACGTTCAGCGGTGGCTGCGGCGGCGGCGGAGGTTACCCGCAGGTCATCGGCTTTTGTTGGATACTCACATATCACCCAACCCGAGAAAAGTGAGAGATTATGGGAAGGCTGACGTGTGTCATTTATATAAACTGTTAGTACCAAAAACTAAAAAAACCATGGGCTGGGTGATTGTATCGCTCACTCAGAGAATTAAAGTTTGGCTGCAGCCATCCACAACAATGTATGGGTCACTGTGACTATTTTCAGGCTGCTGTAGTAGAATCTATTTAAATGCATGAGTGGTCGTGACCACATATAACCTTTTTTTGTACTGTTCGAGATGGATCTGTGAATCACCCAGGGTTTCATATCCAATGACAATCGTAAACTTCACTTTTTGCTGTCGTCATTCTGATATATTGGTTTCTTCGGATATTAAATTTTATGACGGCAGACATACAAGTACTTGAGAGTCTAGAGTGGAATGGAAGCTGAGAATAGGAAGTACAGGATTAGTCTAAATAAACGGAACCATACGAATGATTGTGCAGCGGTCCGGAAAATCCAATATATTTTGTCGACTCCACCCTCGTGTATTACTTCAAAGCTTGCGTCTAAAGAGCCTTTCCACCATAATACGTTCATAGTCGTTATCATGAAAGCATCCTACATCCCTCAGATCATAATACTAGGATTCGCATTCATTGGAAGAGCCTTGGCAGGCTGTGAATGCTTCTGGGAGGGGACTGCACCTTTTTGCAATGAAAACTGCCCTTCCGGGACGACTGGCACCCGTCGGTATAGCAACTCTGGTGGTGGCGCTCCCTGTTGGACGGGCCGCAAGCAACAATGCATCCGGTGTGGTCCAAATATACGTGAGAAGCCATGTTGTATACCGAAGATGACATGTGCGCAGTGTATAGGGCCCATTATGATATGTCATGAAATGTTTAGCAACATTCCTCCTATTACCTGCGGAAGCCACCTGTGCGGCCTATGCACAGGATCAATACCAAACATATGCCCAAGCGATATCAAACCATGGGAGCCGCCACTACGCAATGAACTGTAATTTGCGTGGTTGAGTGGCAAGGCATTGGACTGGAGGTTCGACATTATTTGGACGGGTTTCCACTTTTCCTTTCTTCCGCTTATCTCTTTCTTCTATTTCGAGACTGCAATTTGTTTGTTTGTGGAAGGATATTAGCTGCTTCGTTGTTGAGAACAAAGGACTCTTTGTTAGCAATAATTCTAATACTACATCTGCGAACCGTCTGACCCGCTATGTTGAGTTGAAATATAGATGTTGTCTGGATAACTTACTTTTCGACAGTAGCTTAGTATCTATATATCTTTATAAAATGAAATGCTATGTTATGAGTTTTCCGCTCAGCGAGAGCCTGGGTCTCGCCCTCTAGAAATTGTTTTTCCCTTCTGGAAGGTACAACACCTTGGGGAGTGCTGGGATTATGCATTGCCAACTGCCCGTGGGAGGGAGAATATCTTTATGGAGGCTTGTATTTAGTCTTTCGAATAACAGTCATTATAATAAGCTACAGCTGGCCCTCAGAAATCTGGATTTATGTGGCCCAATTCCATAGATCGAAAATGTAGGCATCCAACGGGTCTGCCTAGGAAATCACGTGATCACCACATATTTCTCTGTATGCTAGTCTTCCATAATAACTTTGCAACACAGCTGAAGAAGCGGGTACTAGACTTTCTACTAGGGAAGATCTGCACGTACAGCAATGATTAGTATGTGCCGTGGTCGCGTGGTTGCCTAGGCATACCCTTGGGATGCCTACATTTTCGATCTATGCATCCATCCAATAACGTTGATATGAAGCCCGAAGCTGCAATTGACATGATTAGCATTCTTCATAGGTGATCATACATGTATCATGTACAAGCCCTTTCCTCCTTTACAGCATTTGAAAATCACTTATCGAATAGACCTTTTGGGTTTCGACCTTATGTACAGACGCCCCACATCTCCTGCAGAGACAACACATTCTTTGGGGACAGCAATAGGCAGCAGATGCGTCGTGGCAAGACAGGGACATCTTGGAGGTGTTGTTGCCTGGACCTGTACGAGCAATCCAAATCAAACACTGATCAGAGACTACCGGAATAAATTCAGTTTGGATATAAATATCAGCCATGTTCATCCGAATTATGCGATCATCTTGATTATCAGAAACCATTCGAGCCGTCCGGGAAAATGACTGATACGAGCACCGGTAAAGTCTATGCACCCATAATCTATAAGTTTTGTCTATATACACTGTCTAACCTTTAACCAAAGAAACACAGGTCAAATCGACCTACAATGTCCCCGACTGGTTTGTCAAAGACCATATCAAAACGCCGACCGAACAGGGAAAATCGAAAATCGCCCTAGTCAAGACCCCATCGCCCACAATCGAGTCGCAGCAAGACCCCGAAAAGTACGAACTTCGTGAGGATCTCTATGCGGATTTCCGAGACACGGTTGCCGGCACCATACTCAACAAAAATGAAAATTCACCAGCGACACTCGTGTTGGATGCAGATAAGCCTTGCTTGACCGTCGAAGCCAGATCGCTGGTTTACGGAACAGCGATCGTCACGCACTTGGCCGGAGAGCTTAATGCGACGCTAGTCAATTTGGACATTGGGGATCTCCGAAACCTTGCATGCGACTTCTTCATTCAAGATACGACCACTCCCGAGTCACAAAACACGGTTACAGACGGTGAAAGTTCAAAAGGAGAGGATGGAGCTTCGACCGTAGAGGGTGTTGATGATTCCCAGGGCTGTCCAACGCCACCCAGTTCTACTTCTGATGACCCTGGTGTGCATGGTTTAGATGAGGGGAATATGGAATCTACCCCGAATGAGATTTCTGGAATGGATGACAATGGAGAAAAAGAGGAAGTGGCAGATAATCAGGTTGTGAAGCGGAATGTGGAGCACGAACAGGAAGAAGAAAAGCAGGAAGAGAAGCAGGAAGAGAAGCAGGAAGAGAAGCAGGAAGAACAGCACGACGAAGCGAGTGGCAAGTCGAATGAAGAACAGAACCAAACACAGGAAAGTGCTGAAAATCAGAACATCAAACCCGCAGACCTGGAAGATGACGAAGAGACGATAAGCCAGCTTAATTGCCTGAAGGGAAAGCACGACGTGGATGCAATCATGGACATCTTTTTCGCTTCTCGATGTGAGGAACATGCAGAAAAAGGGGTCTTTCATCGTACGAAGCGATCCATCAAGAGTATTATTGAAGCTGCTTGGACAAAAGCCCAGAGTATGTCTAGTTCTCTTACAATGAACAGGCCTCCAGTCATAATACACCTTCGCGGTGCCCGGTTGATTCGGACAGCGAATAACGGAACAAAGATACTGACGAACCTTCGACAAGTCGTCCAAGAGTATCGGCAAAAGCAGGTGCCGGTCCTGATTATTACTACTGTGGTGGAAAAGCAAACGGTAATCATGAACAGAAAACTACTTACCAGTAACGTGTCTGCTGTTCAATTCAACCTTGACACTCCAATGTTGTCCAAGTACGAGGCATCCTTTGAAGAGGAGCAGAAGCGATATACTATTCAACAGAGGAATATAACAGTCAATCAACAGCTACGGCTAGATCGCAACTATCCAGTATGGTCACACCTCCTTCCGCACGACTTGGATTTGGGCCTTTCCGATATACCGATAGATTCCCATTTGCCAAATCTCGCCCGGACTGCAAACCAGATTGCAGGTTCATTCATGACCAAAGGTATGTTGGAAGTACAAGATATCCGGGATATCGTGGCGCGAGGAATTCGGTTGGCGAATGAAAATCATCAGTCATCAGAGTCACCTGAGGAAGACAAACCGCACAGGACCATCTCGGATCGCCTTGAAGAGATCCGTGGTTCATGCAATGAATACGAGCAAAATCATTTTACGAAGGTTATCGATACGGGTAAGCATTCTTCTCTGAAGACACTAATAGTTTGAAAGCTAACAAATGCAACAGAAAAGCAGAAAGTGACGTATGATGATGTTGTCGTCGCTGATAACGTCAAAGACACAGTGAAATACCTGGTCCGCCTGTCGCAAGTCCATTTCGAAGGTACCTGCCAAGCTCTTGTTGACAGTGTGAACGTCAAAGGGGCACTGCTGTACGGGCCGCCAGGGACAGGAAAGACCCAGCTGGTTCGAGCAATGGCAAGCGACTCCAGCTCTTCCATGATCGTCATCACACCATCAGATATTGAAAGTAAATGGGTCGGTGAGACAGAGAAGAATATCAGCGCAGCGTTTTCTCTAGCACGAAAGCTGTCACCATGTATCCTATTTATTGATGAAGTGGATGCCTTACTCTACCGTCGCTCTTCTTGCGATCAAAGCTGGAGACGAGAGAGTCTCACTCAATTCCTCCAAGAAATGGACGGACTCTCCAATAACCAAGACGCACCATTCGTTATCGGGGCTACCAACCACCCAATGGATCTTGACGAGGCATTCCTCCGGCGTCTACCTTACAAAGTAATGTTTGGAATGCCTGGTATTGAGGAAAGAGAGAAGATTCTAAATATCTTCCTGAAAGAGGATGATCTAGATCCATTGGTCAGTATCAAGGCGCTTGCCAACCAAACAGAAGGATACACAGGCTCTGATCTGCGTTCGCTTTGTGGACAAGCTGCGCTGGACTTTGCCATTGAACAAGCTAAATCTCGACACGTCAACGAGGATGGCACCGAGGCTTCTGTTAAGCTTCGGCTGGGTGTCAATCATTTGGTAGGGGCACTTCAAAAGGTTCAGCCAAGCGTCAGTGTTAGGTCCCACCAAGAGATTGAAAAGTTTAGTAGCCTTTTCGACCCTCAAAACAAGGTGAGCTCCGAAATATCCATATTGATGTGCTCACTATCTAATGCTCACCATTACAGAACGGAAATATCTGATAGGTGCCATGGCCTTGCAGAGTCGGTGTTCAATTTCCAGACCTGAATTGAACGAGAATGAGAGTGAAGATAGCGTTGGAAAGGATTTCTAATTGAGCTATCTGTTTCCTATCATTCAACACAGACTTCTTTCTATGTACGAAAACGTAGAATCATCTATGTTCTCATAACATTTCCTGCCATAGTTGTCGGTCTAACAGCGCCCTTCAGTATCGACTGCGTCCCGGTTTCTGAACAAGAAAAGCAGATAATAATACCCAATATTTGATATTTGTATTTGAACTTTAGCTTTAGTATAGGGAGGAGAAGGTATGTTGATAACATGCGTCCTAGATTAATCGTGAATGTTACTTGTGGCTATGAGTTCAACGTCAGGTAGTCCTGCAGGTATAGTACAAAGTTAGTAAAACTTTAATTGTTTGATTGCTTGATACAAAACATCTTGATTATAGATTAGATCAAAATATATTCCATGCTGCGTATAGCAAAGGTATGAATTGACTCCCATTCGGACTGATCGATCAAGGGAAGTATCCAGGCTACCTTTTGAATGTTGGTGTCAGCTAGTAAAAGCTTTGATCAAGATGGCATGTAGTACATGAGGATTGATAATCTTCAGCGAGGGGTAATAGAGTGTGTTGTAGCTTACCATTGAGAGCACGGTCGTTCCGTTCCACATCGCAGGGGGTGAGGTAACGTGGATAAATGTGTCTCGTTAGCACATTGCAGGTTGCCAACTCTAGCCTCTTTCGATCATTGGGCGACCATGTTACTAGCTGCCTGCATTGGGCATACCCTAAGTGACTATGTGTGTCTCCCAACTCCTGCTTCGTGGAGGTTGATAAAGGAACTTCGTGTGATAAACATGAATGCTAAGGCTGCTTCTTATCCAGTGAGCCGAGAAGACGTAATATCTCAAGTCTCGGGCAACTTGAGTGCCCAGAACGGTGTATATAAATTGTGATCTTGAAGGCTACTTCGTGTCTGAGAATGTAATATTCAAGCAGTGGCACGGAGATATTGAACTTCCGGTGAATCACATCCCACACTAGCAAGGATCATTCGTCCTAGGGGAATCTTCCTAAGGGTGAACCCCACCTCCACCTTCGAGAGAAGCACAGTCCTTTCGCAACCTGTTTCACAATAATGCACCCCCCTCTGACCCCCGAATTTGACGCGCTAGTTCACGCCCTCTTAAAAGAATGGCACGTCCCTGGCATGTCTGTCGCAGTGATTGACGGATCCAAGACCTTCTCTAAAGTCTATACCCCTTCCCGACTGCTACTGAACATTTGTCTTAACTCACCTGCAGGGATACGGAATCGCCGAGTATCCTGACACCAAAACGACCCCCGATACCCTATTTTACATGGCCAGTACGACCAAGGCCTTCACTGCGGCGGCCATGTCCCTGGTGATCGATGACAGCAATAACCGCCACGGAGGGAATAGCACTAGAACGGCCACGGTAGCAGGCCAGATCCACTGGGGGACACCCCTAGCATCTATTGTCCCCGATGATTTTGTCCTCGAGGACGAGTACACCACGGCACAGATCACCATCGAAGACGCCCTTTCCCACCGCTCAGGCATACCCGATCATATCCACCACTACGGCGGAACGGGAGCATCGCCCCGCAGCATCAAAGACGCAGTCCGCATCTTGCGACATCTCCCAGCTACAGCCGAGCTGCGCACAAAATACATGTATAACAATCTCATGTACACGGCGGTCTCCCATGCCATTGAGACCCTCACGGGGGAGAGCCTCGGGGTATTCCTGCTTCATAGTGTGTGGACACCCCTCCACATGACCAGCACTTACTGGACGCGTGATGATGCGCAGGCTAGCGACAATATCCTAGCACAGGGTTACGCCTGGAATGCGGACAAAAGCGAATATGCCCCCGAACCATGCCCCGACATCATCGGCGGATCTGGCGCTGGTGCCATGATTAGTAGTGTCGTCGATTATGCGCGGTGGATTCAATGTATGATGACATGTAGCGGGCCCCTGAGCGAAAATGCACATGCAGCACTCATACAACCACGTACGATTATTGCCGAGGACCCGACGAATTTGTTCCCCGGTACGCATTTGTATGCACTTGGCTGGACACGGGACACCTACCATGGTGAGGATATCATCTGGCACGACGGTAGTGTTGCTGGTTATGGATCCACAATGATGTATCTTCCACGACGGCAATGGGGCTTGGTCATGGCAGGGAACACTACCCTGACGAGCAATATCGTGCAGGTGGTGCTGTATATGCATCTACTGGATGAGGTGCTGGGAACTCCATCGCATGATCGAGTGGACTGGCAACGGCAGATTTCAGAGAGAATTGCTAGTTGGAGGGAGAAGCAGGCGCATGCGAAGGACCTTTTATACCCTGGGTTGCCTGCCGTACCAATACCGCCTACGCTCGGAGTGCGGGACTATGCGGGCCTGTACGAGCATCCGGGGTATGGTAAACTGGAGCTTAATGTGGACGTATGTGGTTTCGGCCTGATTGCGGATCGACTGACGTGTGAGGTGCCGATTGTGATTGTGATGGAGCATATAAGTGGCGAGTTCTGGTTGGCGATGTTGAGGGAGAGAAACCAGGACCCTCGCGATCATGAAAGGGTGCGAGCGGAGTTTCGAATTGGTGTAGATAGCATGGTGAGCGAGGTGGGAATAGATTTGGAGCCGGAAATGAACGGCGAGAAGATTTGGTTTCAAAGAAAAGAGTTAGACATGTAGTTACTATAGTAACAAGCTAGTGAGCGCGAAAAGCTTTTACCTAACGCTAATAAGAAAAAAGTTCTCTGAGTTGAGCTGTGGCATGCAGAATGGGCTCGACTACAATCCTAAGATTGCAGCAAAATCGTATATGGGCAGTTTAAGTAACTGCTCCTTACAACCCCTGCCGGATCCTGGTCAACTTGGGCGGCAATCTTGACGTATCGTCTGGTTAGGGTCCGAGAACAACTTCTGTATACGGAATACGGAAGCCTGTTCCAAGCGCCTCTATAGGTAAACATTAGTCATTGGCAGACTAAGCACCTGAACAACGTCTAGGCTATCGGTTGACGCGGTGGTAGAGTATCTTGGCAGTTAAAGCGGAACGGCTGTCCTGTATATAACTAAAGCTTTGGGGAGGTATAGTTCACGACCGTGGGTGAAGGTGCTAGATAATAAAGCTATGAGAGGAACATAACCCTTCCCTGGATATTTTACCTTGTACTTTCTGCATTATATTTGGCCAGGAGGAACTTCTTTTACAGCTTCCACCGATGATGACTCTACATGTTGACTGTACCGTATACCCTGCCTCTTGTACATAGACACTTCAGTGGCCCAACAGCGACGTCGTACATACCCTATCCTATCCGAAGTGTACAGAGGCTCTTCGGCTATAAACTAGCGCTTTGTTAATAGTAGGGGTAAGTACGTATATTATACTATGTTGCTCATCGTGGAAGCCGGCAATATCGACTCAAGAGATTGTTCTAGCCTCAGCCCGATCTCTTTTTCCCGGTTTATGAAATTACCTCGAAGCCTCGTCGGGGCTCACACTTTTCCCCTGATAGATGCATGACACTACCTAAGGCGGGAAGGGAAAATTCTCAAGTTGAAAGCCCCTATCGAGAACCATCTCAATGAGGCGATGGAAAAAGCATGACAGTCAGTTTGATTATAGGGAAGACAACGCTCTGTCAGTATACACTTAAAATTTATACCTTTACCAGTTGTCAGACCATAGGTGGCTTCATTATACAACACTCGTCATACATGCATGAATCATGATTAAGCCTCCTTGAACATTGTACGTACTGGTTTATAACAAAGTGAAGAGAGTTCTAAAACCGTCGAATTACGAGGCCTAGTGCATTGCCCTACTATGTCCCACCTAGCTCCTCGCACACAAACTCTTTACGACCTTTTGCACCAAAGCATCCTGATCCCTAAACCTCTGTGGAAACTTGGCCAAATCGCTAGCTTTCATCAGACCTCTTGCCTTGGAAGCCTCCACCATCGCCTCCGCCTTGGACAGCTTGCCCGACCCGCCGCCAGCACCTGCAATCAAACCCAGCACCGCAAACGGTGCAGACGTCGGATCCTCAATGATTTCCGCCACTGTTAGCGCCCCATTGCCCGCTTCGCCGATGAGAAGCGCAATACGAGCCACTGATGCGGTGCTGCCAATCAGAGGGCCGAGGGCCTCTCCGACGAAAGGGATGACCATGAAGACGATTGTGAGGATCTTGAAGATGAGGTCCTTCTTTGCTTGCGCCTCGGCATCTTCTCCGATTTCTTTAATGTCCTTCATGCTATTGATGGCTTCTGCGAGTTGCAATACGGGCATGGAGTAGGCGACTAATGCGTCGGTGGCTGAGGTATCATTTGGCCCGTCGTCGTAGAAGGAGAGGCCCACGCTGAGGTACGAGGAGAAAAGCGAGGTTCTCAGAGCCGTGACATTGCCCATAGATGCCTCAATGAGCTTCTTAGGATTGCCGACGTGGATATTGTCATTGGAGGCCTTCTGAGGGTAATTAAACCTTTTGCGGAAGAGCTTCCGGCAGGGCAAGCCGCCGGTGCCTGGATGTTTATCGCCAGGATCCGCACATATATAATCTGAAGTCAGATCGCCAAATGTCACCCACGACTCGTCGATGCCCGTCTCGGCCGCGAGGGCGTCAAAGAAGCCCGTCTTGTCGACGAGTTCGTAGCGGATGCTCCATCCTGCGCTCACGTCCCAGATGTGCGGCATTGCAAGGCAAGAATCTTTTGTTTCCTTGTCGCCAGTATATGCCCAGTAGCAGTCAAAGTACTTGAGTCCTTTGCCCTCGCCGAACTTCATAAAGCTATCGATACGTGGCTGGATCTGCTCCTTGGTCCACTTCTCGTACCAGCCGAACTTATCGTCGTAGCCTTCCGAGTTGGTTTGGAACAAAGATAAACTGTCGAGGAGCTGGGAATATAAAATATCCATTGCAAAGAGGTGGACACACCCTGGGTCTAGAGAATCGGCCTTATCTGCGAGACCTTCCAGGGTTCCAGGGTTATCCTCAGAGGGACAGTTGAGGTCGTCGTCGCCAGATTCATCGTCGGCCCCGTCGTCATCCTCACTGTCATCGCCATTTTCGTTGTTGGAGTAATCTTGGAGATCAATGGCCCAGTCAGACGAACCCCCAAAGTTGAGGCCCTTGATCCAATTGATTCGGTTGTCCTTGAGATCGCCGTCCATGTAGGCCGCCCAGTCCACGGCCCCAGGATTGCCATACATCAGAATATTGGAGTCAGAGTCCTTGTCAACGTACGACTTGACGATGGAGTAATTGCCATGGTCTTTGATTATATCGTTGAGCTCAGCGTTAGAGATGTAGCCACCAGTTGTTGTGCAGGGCGCGGCATAGGCCGCGGACTGATACTTCGCTCCAGCATAGGTGCACAAGGGACCGGAGCAGGACTCATCAGTCATGCGAAAACTTCTGGCATAGCTGGTAACGCCAATGACAACTTGTCGGGCTTCCACACCAGCTTTGGTGATCATGACCATAGAATTATGCGTTTCGGTCTTGTTGACGTGTGATCGAAGACAGTTTCCAGCATCGCAGCCAGGCATGGCCGACTTGCTGTCAACATCTGCACCCAGACGGATTCATGATTAGCATACCGTTCGGTCTCAATCTATCTCATATGGCCGTTACTTACCCCATTGGCCGTGCAAATCATACGTCATGTAAATAAAGTAATCCACATATTTTGCAATCTCCTTGATCGGGTATTGTTTGAGGTACCAGTAGGAAGACGGTATAGCAAGGGAAATGGATTTCTCGCTGGGTAGCTTGCTTCGGAGGAGCTGCAGGAAAGCAAGGTAATTGTCTGTGTCTTCTGGGCTTCCGGGTGGGATGTCGGGAATATCAGGTGCACCAGGGTACTCCCAATCAAAGTCAAATCCATCCAGGTTCTGCCTGCTCATGAAGTTTATCAGGTTATTGACAAATGTGTCGCGATACTCTTTCTTGGTGGCATCCCGGAAGCGCTGAAATGTGTCTGCATCAGTGGAAAATGCCCATCCGCCGAAAGACAGAATCTTTTTAAACCCGCTTATCTTCACGAATCTACTGAATTCATACTCGGTGTCTGAGATGTCCACATCGAAGCTGGACGTGACTGTGGCAAATGCAAAGTGGATGTGTGAGTACTTGTTGACCGGGATCTCGGTGACACTCATTCGCAGACACGCTCTCATCTGGTCAAACGCCTCGAAATAGGCGATGGTCTTTAGCTGATCGGGCGCCTTATCGTTGTTAACAATATCCATCCCGCAGTTGGAAATGCATCCGTTGGTTCCGGGTTTTGCGGTGCCAGGAGCTCCAGTATCCGCAGGTGACTGGGTACAAAAGTCGGCCGTTGTTCCACAAAAGCCCCAGGCATCACAACATGCATTAAGTGGACATGGATTAAGATCAGCGAGCTCCGTTCCGTTAGAAGGCTTTTCGGTGCCGGGTACCTGTGGACCGCAGGTGGCTCCCTGGACCGGCGAGGGCATAGGAGGCGTTCCCTTGCTGAGACAGATGAGTTGGCCACTCTGCAGGTGGGTACAGCCAGCCCAGCCCCAAGTCTTTTTGTTGAAGTCTTCAATGTCTTGTTGTTGTATATAATGTGCATCAGCTAGGTCAGAGCATCCATCGTTATCATTGACCTTATATGTGTTGCACGTGCCATCGGGCTGCGGCTGAGGGCGAAAGTCTGGCAAATCCCCTGAGGTGCAGCAAACGTGTTGCTTGGGCTTTAGGGTTGAGCATAAGTTCTTTTGTGGGTTGTATTTAGACAGGTCGGTTCCAGAGATGCCACAGCGGCTGGCCAGCGAGGCGCAGCTGTCACCCCCATGGACCTCCTCTGTTCGGCACTCCCCCCTTGGAAGAAGGGCTCGTGGCTGCCCTCTGGCTGTTATGTTGCCGTGGGAGATGGTAGTAGTATTAGTAACAGCATTGAAGCTCTTATCCACGGTAGACACGAGCACGTCCATGCTGACAGCACCAGCGGGAATGGTCCCATCAAGACAGAGGCCATCGTTCCAGTCCTTGATAGCATCTTGAGCCACTGCTAGATCAACAAAGTCAGTAGAAACCACTCCAATAGTCGTGGCCGCGCCGGCAGGCTGGCAGATCTGCAGGGCCGAAGTTTCCGTTTCCGCAAAAGAGTCAAGGAAACCTCGCGCGGCATGCTTGGTGATTTGTGCACCAGAATACAATCCCACGACAGCAGACCTGTGTTTGGCAAACAAGATGGTGGCACCGCACTCGGCGCTCTTGTCCACGAACTGGGTAAGTTGACGAGTAGCCTCGGTTACATCAGCAGATCGTGGAGCAGCGCCGGACGCCTTGCTAAGCGTCAAAGGGCCAACCTGGGAAGTGAAAACTGTCTTCACTGCCTTAGCGCCGCAACTTTCAGCGACAACTAGATTGTGTTGACTTTCCTGCTGAGGCACATCGGGGGAGGTAGCAGCCTCGTATGTCTGACCTTGGCTAGCGACACAGGCGTGGATAGTGAGAATGGTGTTTGGATCGGCGACAGAATTGTGAATATTCAAACCAAAGAGGACAGTTTGATCACAGCTCTCAAGATTGCGGAGATGGTGGATGTTGGTCCAGTTAGCCGTTGTAGGGCCCGCATCAGCACACAGACTGGGGCAGCTGTCGGCATACTGGCCATTGTAGCTCTCTGTTACAGCCGAGGCGAGCCCGAGCAGAGAGGCAAAGAGGGCAAAAGAGGGCCTCATCGTGTTCTCTGAGTCTGTACTGTCAGAGGAGCATACGAGAAAGAGGCAGAGCACTTGGAGGCATTAGTGGTCTATATAATGTTCTAATACTGCTGATCGTATAAGCCGGCGATATCAATTCAAGCGGCTGTTCTAGCCTCAGCCCATTTTCTTTCGGGTTGATAAATTCCATGGAAGCTTCATCGGGGACTCTCACACTTCCCCTGATAGATGCATGACGCTAAGGGGGGGTGAAGCCTCAAGTCTGGTATAGCTGGAGATTGCAGTTCACACGGTCCGCATATATAATTAAATCCTAGCCACTAGTATACTTATTTTTATCTCTTTGTCGTGTTTTTACCTCGGTTTCACTAGACTATCAGGAGATTTTGATCTCGAATTCAACTACTGCAGGGGGGAATGCTACCAAAAGATCCCTACATGTAACCTTCTAGTGGCTACTAAGGTTAGTGAGAATCGGGCCTCCGGACATCTCCGGGGCCTGGACGACGCCCCCAATTTGATCCAGGTATTCGAGCTGCTAGATAGGTACATGCCGAAATTGGCTCACACACTATACAATCACCAATGTGATTTACTTACTGCGACTCAGTCTATATAGTTTCATCCTTATTTTTCTCAGGAGGAAACGATGGGAATTGGATCGAAAAATACAGACAAAGTTGCCACGCCTAATTTCTGTCGCTAATTCGACTCCTTTCCTTGTGCAGAGTACTACACAACGTGGAACGGCTTGTACCTATAACCAGCAAACAGATCTTCTTGGTTGTCATGAGATCTTCCAGTTGCTTTGTTTATCCGTCTCACCGTTTCTCCTCGTTTATAATCCTTATTCTACTTCCTATAATGGCCGCGGCGATCACCTCCCCCGTCTACATAGACTACAACGAATTCTTTATAAACAGCAGCAACATCCTCGCCGTTCCCTATGAGGATGTTACTGCCGCTTTTAGGACGCCTGTCACCAACTATTCTACAGCTATAGATGGCTTCGACTGGACGCAGCCGTATCCGGGATCTCGCAGAGACGGTCATATGGCATACCTCGAGATTGCCCAGGAAATGTCCTTATCGGCTTCTATCGTGGAAAATTCAACCACTGTGCTGTCATCCCTGACGTTTGGGATTCCCGGTAGCATGAGCTCTGGCCGCCAGCCACTGGCCATGGACGCTTCATGGTACATCTGTCGCCACGTCTTCATCTCTACGAGGCCTGAGGCGAAGCTGGCCGTTGACGGTGGTACCAAGTGCGATTTTCTATCCCAAGAATGCCAGGCTGATCTCAAGACCAGCCTGACTCAGGATTGGGGAAAGGCAGCAGAGGGTACCATGTGTTCGGCACTGGGCTTTGACCCAATCCCACCGAGCTGCCAGGAGTCGTTTGGCTTTGCCCGTCAGGATGTCATAGCTTTTGATGCTGCCTTCCTCGCAAATACCACCCTGGCCCCAGTACTGACGAATAGAGAGCAGCAGCAATACAGCTGGCGAATCGGCACCGGATATCATAATCCTGGCGATGCAAGCGCTTATGCCTTGGCCGCCAACCGGACGTACCTCGTGGCTACTGTCTGGGGCTACAGTCAGAGTGCAAAGCACATTCAAGCCCCCGAAGTATCGTTTGGCTGCCTTTCGTCTGGCGCAAGCTATATCCCGCGACCTCCCTCCCCTTCATCATCCACCGTGGCTACAGCGTCTCCATCGACTTCTCTTCTCCCAATGGCAACGGCGTCTTCATCCTCCGGGTCTCAAACACTAACGCCGGCCCGGATAGCTATAATGGGTATTATGCTGGTATTGGGGACGCACATGTTGTCCTAGGTCGCGCGTACAACAAATGGAATGAGCTCAAGATAATTCAGGCCGTGGGTGAAAAGGCAGCACAGAAACATTAGTAGATAATTTAGACAAGTAGAAATTCTATTTCTGTCTAGGTGGATGGCTTGAATACGCCGGAGAGGGTGATCAAGGATGGAAATCATAGTACCGGGTTGAGTAGCCTAACGGCCAATACGATAGCCATTGAAGTAAAGCTTTTTATGACACATGAGGTCCATATTTTTCCACCTTGTCAACCTGCTATTTACTCTTAATTCCATAATAGCACCACTAGACGTATGCTAGGTGCATATTGCTACACTATCCCGCTTGCCCGCTTTAAAGGTAGAAGAATAGTCGAGACCACAGATGCGCATTTTAGCGTATATTTAATGCCGCATTCCGAGGAAGTTACGGGGCTCCATTGGAATTTAAGCTGGTATTAACCCGTAGACTAACATTGACTTGTTTAGTGCAATGTAACCCTCCCCTCCCACTAAGCACTAGCCTGACCCCAAAGACTAGAGCTTAGCGGAGATCGGTTAGATATGGAACCGTTTGCCATATATCTGATAGCTTAATATACAGTGGTAAAATCAGGGATAGTTTCCTAGGTAGTAGCCGAGGTATCGAAGTAAGACACCAGGGATTATATCCTTGTTACAATTAACTTGGTTAGGACTACTACATAGCCGTAGGCTCATCTCCCCCTGACAGATGCATGAAGCTCAAGATAAGGAAAGCTACCTCAAGTCTGGCCTTGTTCGGAGATTGCAAAGCCACATGTAATGTGCTTTGCTCGATATGTGACTCTTGAGAATTAAAATACCACGTTAGTTAGGACCATTTTTTCATGATCGCCCGGTCTCGGCCCAGTAGGAACCTCCCTGAGATGACCGGCCGAACGGTAGGGATAAGAGCAAGAAAAGGACGGTCAATTCTTTCTTCTCCATTGCCCTTATTGTTCTCCTGTTGGTGCATAACTCCCAGCCAGCAGGCAACTTGCCGCACGTATCATAGACGAGCCTTGTTAAAGTCAGGTGCTCTTACTCACCCTTGGCTGTCTTTCTTGTCTAATTCTTTTGAACATTGCTTCTTTTGTATTTTATCATTTCTTGGGTAGAAATAAGAGGCCATGCTCCCACTTTTGTTCCTAGTGGTCTTCCTTGCCCCCGGCGTCGTGGCTAACGTTGTCGCCGGAAAATGGCAAGCCCTCTTCTTCTATCAGCTCTACAGACTCGAAGTCGAGGCCCACGGCCTTGCCAGCTCGCGCATGGCTCCGGGATGCGCCAAAGCTGGCGTTGTCTGTGACATGAAGGCCTTCATGAAGGAAATCAGCATAGTCAAGAAAGTACGGGAGCTCGATGCAAACGGCAAACCCATCCAACCTATCAAAATTGTGGACGACCCTGATTTTGGCAAGGTCAACTGGGCACAGCTCGGCGAGGGTGCAGACCTCGAGGCCTTCGGCACTGAATTTGATAAGGTCGGGTTCAAGGGCCGCATAAGCAATGTGCGGGTTTTTAAGGATTGGAAGCAGAAGGACAGCTTTGCAACTGTTATGAGTGAGGCGGAGGATATTGCCCTTAAGGCCATTGCCAAGCTCAAGGCCGATGGCAAGGAGCCTGCCGATGACCGTTTCAACAAGATGACAGCTGCGCTCAAAACCCATGGCGATGCCCGGCGTTACGATCAAGCACAGAAGATCGCCAAAGACTTTGAAGAGAAGATGACCAAGTTGGGGGGTTTTAGTGTTGCGTACACCGATCCCATAGAGAGGCCTCCAGTGCCGGGTTACAGGAAGATTGATGCGGACCAGACCATCAGCGATAACACGGGCAGGGTCGGGTTTGACAAGGTGGAGCAGACGGTCAGAGACCATGTCGCCAAATTTAATAGCGCGGGACATTCACCGAGCCATGTCGAGGCTATTGTCAAGACGCAGGATGTGCATGACCACCTTGCGGAGGCGTGTAGAAAATAATGATGTTCTATTTTGTTATATAGAAGACAGCTCTATTGGTATAGGTTTAAAACTTATATTTTTACCAGTAGCTTTTAGGCGGCGGCTTTATATAACACTCATTGGTACAATGTCGCACCATGATTCGCGGTTTCAACTTGGGCAGACTCTGTCTAGCTTCCTTGACCCATGGATGATTCTCATTAGGCGAGTACTGATGTAGGTTGATCGAGTACTCTGGCCCTGGAAGGCAAGGTACCCAAGCGGAGCCCGGGTTCGCCCGAACAATGTCATTTTCCTTTCGTGCGTAGTCCCACATTGACGCGATGATGATCCATTCAGCTTGCCTCTTCCATGTTTCTACGGCCGCCCGGAATCGTGCACTTGTAAATAATTCCAAAAGTGTTTTCACGGCCGGTTCCTTTTCCAATGCGTGTTCTTTGAATAAGGCTTGAAACTTTCTCAGCTGAGCTTCGTCGTCAACGTCAACCATCTGAACAGGCGCATCGCCTAACAATCCAAACAGGCCAGACCTCAGAGCCGCTTCCCTGGAGATATGCAGAGAAACTGCTGCCATTGCTACGTCGAAAGACGTGTGAAATTCTGCCAAAGCCGCAATGTCCCTCGCTTCTTGAATTCTTAGGGGATCATACATGCCATTATGACGACGAAACCACGAGGTGGAGAATGGTTCATCATCATTCGCGTCAGGAGTGCCATAAGTGCCATTTAATAGCCCCTTTAAGTCAAAATAGTAAATAATCTCTGCCACGATACAAGGCTGCATCCCAAGCTGCTCTGCCTGTACTGAGAACCAGCCGATTGGGCTTTCAAGCTCAATAAGCGGCCCCAAGACATCGTAGCTCTTTCGCGTCCAGTTGAGGTGCAGCACATCCCGACGTGGCTGCACCCAGATCGACTCCAGGCTAGTTGGCTCCTGTCCTCGCTCCCAGCGGCCATGTTCCAGCGCGACCTGCCGAGACTCACTATTGACAAATGCGATGACCGGCAGCCGAGTGTTTAGGTATGTTGTACGCTTGGGAAAGCAGGCTTGACGCGATTCGTCGCCATCGAGAAGAAAGGCGGGGATGTCTTCTTCTGCTATACGATATGGTAGGCAGTGCTCCCAGATAAGATGACGTAGTTCTAGAGGCAGCCGCGTGAAGTAGTGGAATGAGTCATTGGACATCATGTAGGCTTAGTAAATAGTGACTGTCATGTAGGGCGCATGTACCGAGGGATAAATAAACAGAAGATAGAAGAGGCGGTTGGGGATTAAATAGTCAAAACCCGTCGGCCCTAGCGGTCGGGCCGGTGCTAGCCTGATCCCTAGGGCCATAGGAGAGTTAAGGGTACTCAGTACATTAATTCACACTTCTCTGTTAACTTTCGCTACACTCCGGTACGAGTCACTCAGCAAAAGGTGGCGCTGATTTGGCGCTCTTCTGAAAAGAGAAAAAAGTTGGAACCCTTCCGCTCAAAGATAGCTCAATATATAGTAGTCTTATTATGTGTCGTTCTCTTTGGTAGGCTTGATCATGATTAGATTGCTTGTATACGGTCTTGTCAAAAATTCTGAGTCTTGTTTCATTGATTAGTTTAGACTAATGGGTACCACCCATAGATTTAAGTCTGCTAAATTCCTCCTGCGAGGGTGGCATGTCAGCCCAGTTGGACACTATAGTTCTATTATAAGAAAAGGCCTATTATTCATAATTTAGCCGAATGAAGTTGCTTCCGGAGATTCTGCATCGCATCGCACCGGGTCTTCGTCACGATCTGTGCGGCCGGCATCACAGCTCGTATAAGGCCTACTCCGGTCCCTGCATAGGTGGTCATACGGCCTTGAGGTCCCCAACCATCATCCCCCTTGAGCTTCTCCACCTCATACAGACGTCGATTCTCGCCCTCAGTGACCTCTTGATTCACGATGTCCTCGTACGTACGATTGATCACACCGCGTCCGTCATACTTCGTCGGCCAACCATAGATCCCTCGGACTTTGTCATAAACAGTCGACCGTACTGTACTCGCACCACCATCCGAGGCTCGAAGGATCTCATTCTGATAGCCTTTCGCGATGTGTGCCTCGGGGGAGGCCAGAAATCGAGTCCCCATAACACATCCATCCGCGCCCAGAATCATCGCAGCTGCCAACCCTCGACCGTCACTGATGCCACCCGCTGCAACAACAAACGGTTCTCGAACGGTCTGGGTCAAACTCGACTTCCTTGATTCCAATTGATCTAAGACCTCGGGAATAAGAGTGACAATACTGGCGGACCGAGCAAATCCATGACCACCAGCATCACTGCCTTGGACGACAAGAACATCCGGTTGCAATTTCTCTGTATAATCCAGTGCATCCTCCAAGCAACAAAGTTGCACCCAGATCTTGACATGGTAAGGGACCTGGGACCGCATGGCTTGGGTCCAGGGTACGAGGTCGTCTGCGCCAGTTTTTGGTGCAAAGAGCCAAACTGCGCAGGGTCGGTACTTTTGAATCAAGGGCAGCGCGATTTCCAGAGATGCACCCCAGTTTAACAAGCCCACTCCAACGGGGAGAATAGGAGGCTCACTCAGACTCTGTTGAAGCTGAGAACCGTGAAAATTGGCTTCATGGACAAGATCTTGTGCTTCAATGAGCTGTTGTTCCAGGCCCGAGAGATCGTATCCGCCGGCAATGAATCCAATCCCCTGGGCGGAGGAGACCGCGACTGCGAGCTTTGCAGTCGCGATATTGAGCATGGGCGCTGACGCAATGAGTGGATTTGCGATCCACGGATAGTCCTTTTCTAGACGACAGAATTGCGCAGTCGTCATTTTGTTCGAGTTTGTCTTCTTGTATTCGCTCTAGGGCGAATCTAGCTTCCGAATCTGGGAGAGGTATATATACTTGACGTAAAAGCTTCGCGAGTGAAATCCCAAGGCTCAAGGTTGGGGAGTGTTTAGAACAAAGCAGCAGGCAACGAGATATGAACAAGGACTCTCGCAAGCGCTATCATCCAAACAAAGAGGACGCGGCGTGGTCACGCGGCCGGCGAGAGCCCAAAGCGTCAAGCATGCCCTATCTCAACGCTCATTCCTCCTCCCGGCAGGGATCATCGCCGCGACAAGGCGGGGATAATGAGTAACAAAGGAATGAATTAGGCCTCAGATTACTAACCGAACTATGCTGATATGTAGCCTATCGCATATCTTATCTTCAATCCCTTGGTTATCTTTCTTTTAGTCCGTTTGACGGAAGGCAATGATGGTTGGCTGGGTCTCTACAGATACTATCACGATAACGAGATTGTGAATTGCTGTTTCCTGGTAGGGTATCGTGCAGGGTGGCTGGTGGATACCCGAGCCAACTTCACACATACTTGGACGTTATTTAGGACGCTTTCTTGGGCTCTCCACGTCTCTCTGTCATGCCGCATGACGTTAAAGGTTATATTTTTGAGTTCAACATAACCCTATCTGCAGCTCCGCAATATCCGAAAGCACATTCAACCGAAATCATGGAGACGAACCCCCTGGGCTAGCTCATATATAATGTACGAAATCCCGAGCTTCCAAGTATTTTCCAACTCGAAGCTGAGATGATTATCGGCGATATTGATGGGTCTGTCATCTGTCCCACTCGGGAGACTGGAATTCCATCAAGATGAGCCAGAGCGACGCGAAAGTGTACACAGCTAAAGCTTCAAGGTATCAGTCGTAATATTGCGGGTTATTCACTCAGTGGCACATAGTATCTTGGCCAAACCATGCAGCCAAATGACGAGGGACTACTATGCCCGGACAAATGATCTCATGTGCGATAGTTCCATGTTCACGAATTCAGCAAGTATGCCAACTGGATCAATTCTTTAGGCTCTTATTAGTCGTATCTTATGCCATAGGGTGCATTACGAGATGTCTGCTAGAAGGGAGTCGCTCACTAACGGACAGCTAGTCCATCCTTGACAGCGTTCGCTCACAGCACCGGGTGATCTGTGCAGCTTCCGAACCAGATCTTCTAGGGACTCACCACTGTCGCCAGACCATTTGGTCAAATCGTAGGCTCATGGGTGTAACTAGAGGGCCCCCGTTTGCTTCAATCTTCAAGAAAACTGTGACTAATGGTGGTGTTGTAGCATCGTGCATTACTTATTCATTCTGGTGCCCAGGGAGCAATCAAGGAATCCTGGTTGACCGGCATGCGGGTAGCAGGGTGAGAGAAAATAAATGTGCAATGGGAGCCTTATCCCGACCTTGGCATAGAAGATATCAGGTTGACCACGTCATTACACATGAACGTAGTGATTTCCGGCCATCGGTTCATACGGTGACATTAGTTTACCTATGAACGTAATGGTGGTCTGCTAGTTCATGTTGATGCACCACTAGCGTGAGCTGTCCACGCCGGCGAACTAGGGTCCATGTCAGTATCATATGCTGTTCACCTCCGAAGTGTTCGGCATGGGTTGGAAAGCCGATGCTCCTTCAGCTGTGAATGTGTTTCTCTAGCCTGTGCCTTTTATGAACATTAGTCTTGCCCTCAATTTTAGTTTCCTGCAGAGCAACTGCTCCGTTAAGAGCACCTCCTATCTTGATAACCCATGAACATTCATCGAAATGCGACCGCGTGGAGAATTGGAATTTGAGTGCATCAAATCGGATGCAGCCGTTGAGGGAAGTGATATCTTCTAGTTGAACACTTTCTCCTGTAACGAAAGTACCCTTCTAACATAGCTATCTAGTCTGTATATGGATGCGCTGGGGTTTTCCTCTAAGGGAGGGATGTTTACAAAAGGACTCGACACATCTAGCGACGCTTACAGATATCCTTGGTTTCAATTATCCATCAAAATGAGAAACAAAGTGCCGGACAGTGAAAACAGTCTACTTGAACAACCCCTAAGCATCCATTGAACGTGTCGATTTGATAAAACTTGTTACGATAACCACGCATGAAGTGTTACCGCCCCCTGGCATTTCGTGAATCAAGGGAGGCCATGCCGCTATTCCCAGACTGAGCACAGCATTCAATTCGAAGGCTTCTGGATGAGGATAGCTTCGGCCTGAGAAAGCTCACAGCGAACAATGCCACCTTCTTTGACAATGCCTTGCTCGATCTTCTCCTGGCCTACCAGGTTACCCGTCGCTGAATCGATGCCAACTCCCGACACGCTCACCCCACTCTTCGCATTGGTTCCTGGGCCCTGTAGTCGGAGAATCTCTATCCTCGTTCCTGGGCGCCATGACGTATGCACCTCCACGGTTCGTTGCGGTCGGTCCCCAGGGGAAGCAAAAGTGGCGTCTGTTGCGGCCAGGGTGGATGGGTTATGGGCCCCGACTGTCGAGTTCCACACGCCCAAATCGATGAAGACAAGTTTCGCGAGGTTGGACTCCGCGGTATCGCTGGAGATAGCATATCCGCTAAAGTCCGATGCATTCGCAGTGGGTAACGCACTGATCTTCCACGAGTCTGCCTCCCTGCCGGAGATGACATGCGCGAGGAAGATATGCGAGAAGAAGTTGGCCCGGACACCCGCCGTGAGATTCTCGCCCTTGTATGCATACGGAAGAGGCGTGAAAGCAGAATATTCGCTCTGGTGACCGAGGTGGAAGTAAGTTTGCTCGATGCCAATACTCGCGGCCGTTAACACATAATCGGTGGCCCAAAGGGCGGCTCCAAACGTGTCGCTAATCCCGCTTTTCCCACTACAGGAGGCTGAGTTGGTTTCGCCTAGAACCAGTCTGCTGCCTGCCGCTCGGGCAGCTGCATCTTGTGGAATATACTGAGACAGGTTCCTCCAGATAACGTTGTGGTCGGAGAGCAAGTTTAATGAAAGACGCGCGTAACGCTCGGCATCACAAGTTGATTGGGGGTAGAGATGCACCGCATAGCTCTCGATGATCTTAGGGTCAACCAGCCCTGCGCGGGTGACGTTAACGATGTCAAAGTCGTCTATCTCATCATGTTGATCAGGGACCATGGGAGGGTCTGCAAAGACGGCCGCTTGGAACAGGGGCTTGTGCGTGGCATTCTTATAGAACTTGGCGGACAGAATTTGACCAGTCAAACGTCGCCACTGCTTCGTATATTCCTTCGTGTCCCAGTCCTCCCCCCGCCAGCCTTTGTTGATATAGTGATCTATTTCATTGCCCAGCTCGAAGTGGGATAGGGAATCTCCCAGCGCCTCCATCGCGGCTTGGGCTTCCTGCATGGCGTTAATCCACGAATGCGTCTCATTGCGCAGATTCAGTGTGTATAGAATGTCCGTTCCTGCTGGGAAATATTCTTTCCAACCATTGAACCAATCCCGACGGATGCGTAGCACCTCTACCGTGGTATCATTCGGCAGTGCTTCCGACGGCACTCCCAATGTCGGATCGAATAATGTCTGGTCGGCGATATTGCCTCCGACTCGGATTGGCGCGGGTACTCCAGCTATCTCGGCGACGTGTCCCAGTAAATTCGCCGCCAGGTCATTTTGGAGGTACGGGGCAAGAGACACAGGCTCAATTGAATAACCATACAAATCACGCCTCAGGATCCTGGACGAACGGTTCAAGGGTATATGAACGGTAGATATAGAAGACGCAATCGCTAGATTGCCAAAGAGAAGGAGGGATGGCAGCCAGGACGACATTTTCGCGATACTGAAATGGTTTGTTTACTAACTGACAGGGCTCATGTTCTGACAAGGACTGAGGCACAGCAAGATTTATTTAGGGTACTCGAGTGGGGGGATAGAGTCAATGGGGTGATTTCGTAGGACGCGGTTGATCGAGTAACTAACTTAATCTAATAAAATTACTCGAGAGATCGGCGCAGGATGAATATCAGCACGGTGATATTCCGGTGGGGGTCTGTTCACACCGACAGCACTGGCACTGCCTTGTTCCGAGTCAGCACAACTGCAGCTAACATTAAATTGCAACATACGAGGTGTTTGTCTCATGCACTCCAGTGACATCATGAAGACTAGCATCAATATCAGACAAGCTGGGAGGGACTCTCATGGAGAGACATTTTCACTCCACCGGACTCGATCCGGTCGGTTTCCCCACACGAGAGCTCCGGAGGGATGTGGACCATGGCCCACTCATGCTTGCGCCTAATGCCGCACCCGAAGGCTCTCTTCATGCTAAACATTTCAGGATGCGGGGGAATGCCCGTTTTGAGGACGGTTGGTGCTGCAGCTGGACCCCAATCAAGCTATCCCAGAGTCCTGTCGTTGTGCCGGGTCGCCAGATCCAGAACACCGGAAAGCGTTTCCTCGCTTCCCTCCATTATATGTGATAGAAAGGTTTAATGTGGCCTAAAATTGTACCATATTTGAAAATAAATAAGGAGGAGTTGGCTGCCAATTCATCGCATAGTAGATGGTCAAATAGCAGTATTTCTCACTATCCAAGCTACTTTGAGGAACGACCTCAGGAAGATGCCCTATAATCCGGTCGCTCAGGCTGTGGTGTTCGGATTTACGATCTAATCTTTCCCGGTCTTGTTTTAACCTGGTGGCCGCAAATGGAATACTTGAAAAGCCCTGCGGGATTATCCTAACGTCGCCTGGACCATAGGTATCAAACCATTGGTGACTGCGTCGGTTGACCGCCAATCCGACCAAGTATGGTCAAGGAGTCCTATATGCGTAGTTAGGTACTAGTTTGCTCTCAGATAGGTTTGGAAAATAGCTCACCCCATAGCTCATCGTCATCCTGAATTCCTTTCCGGATATAATAGCTTCCGGCAATCACCCACACCATCCACCCCGCCTGTAGGCTAGGTAGCCATTCCCTCAAACAGGAGGCATACACATCCGTATAGGTGGTATCGTCCTGCGGGAAGCCAAACTCCGTCATCTGAACCGGCATGATATTCACAATGCTCGAGTTCTGGGCGTCAAGGGCATTGAAACCGGCATTCCATAGACTCGACTTAAGGTCCTCACAGCTCGTCGCTGTACGTTCGTAGTTGTGCAGCTCGAGCACAATCTTATCAGCATATTCGAAATCATCCTTACGAAATGCAGTGCCGTTCCCCAAGTCCGTGCCGGTGGGTATCGGGGTGAGTCGGGTGTCGTAGTCGAGACCTGAAAAGTAAATCAAGAGGTTAGGATTGGCCGCATGTATCTGGTTGGCATTCTCCACCATATGGTGGTACCAGTCCTGCCAGTTGTAGGTTCTATTGACTAGGGTCGGATTATCCTCTGCTTTACGTAGTTCATTCCGCATCCCGACACTTTTCACGGCCGGGAGCGATTTAACCTGAGGGATCGTGTCAGTAAGTGAAGGGGACCAGCGGTCAGGGCGCTGACATACATGTTCAGCCATGTATTGCCACCCACGGTGCCATTTGGCCACATCGAAATATCTGTCCCCAAACCAGGTGTTGCCATCAGTCCCTGAACAACACCACATGGCCTTAGAGATATGGTTGTCCAAATGTACATAGACCCCTTGTCGGTGAGATTCGTTCGCCACTGCGTCAAACACCTACCATGTATTTGATTAGTGTTGAAACAAGCTCGACCTTATGCGACACCTACCTGTAATCTCGTAGTATTCACACCAAATTGGGGATTATGCTGCACAATACTCCTGAAGACCTTCGTGCCATTCTTTTCCCCCAAGGCCTTCACAAGTGAGTCTTTAATAGACACATCCCGCCCCGTCTCTAGGATATCATCGACCATCTCGATGGCAAAGGTGAGACGGATGACGTTCATGCCCAGTGTTTTGATCTTACCGATGATATTCTCGATGGACTGATATTGCAGACCTTCTGGCAGCATGGGCTCCGCAGCTCCGGGCCAGTTGACGCCGGCGAAAGTCACATTTCGTCCGTTAGCATCGACTACCCAACGCCCAGAAGTTGACAGAGGGCCTGGGGCAATAGCAAGGACAATTTGGGGAATGACGATCCCGACTAATGTGACGAGCACGTTGAAATGCATTTTGGTCGGTGTGTATTGTGAAGAAGAAATGGGCCCTCAAGGTAGGTCGGAGTGTCTCTTATATCATTCGTTCCTTGAAAGCCTGTCTACACCGTGGGTTGGCCTGCATGTACTGTGTCTGAGCTACTAGCCAGTATTCAAACTCCTGCATGCCTTGGTCACATACGTGGACTACCCCCGATGGAAGCAGTCAATTGGATCATAGCTGTGGACGCGGAGGGAAATAACCGACAACTTGCCAAACGGAATTTATCCGATCAGTTAAACGGAACACCTTAACGATCATCTTCCGTAGGCGTGACGATGGTGAGATGACATGTAACACACGTCGCGTCTGCAACCGCTCATTGTTACTTTTCTTAAAATTGGACCTACATGGATTCCTATTTCGAGTGGCCAGCAAACGTGGAGCGTGAGAATCATCGCCAAACGTTTACCGAGGAATCCGGATAATAAAACACCGTGCGAATTGGTGATGTTTGCTTGGGGCTAATGCAAGATGATGTAAAACGGAACACCACCCAGTGCGGGGCCATCGCATGATCTAACTTCAGGCATCGACACGATCGAGGGGTTGTATTACTATCGCGTCGGACAGGGCCCATGGCGGACGAGATTATTTCGCTGTCCAGACAATAGTGGACCTTTCCTGCATCCCGCATCAGAAAGCTGGTTTACATGTCGTAAACCGTGTGAGTACAACTCGGTCGATCGAGCCCTCGCTAGGTAATTGAGCGCGATACTAACAAGGTTCAGAGAAGGATGGAAAAGGGGAGAGATCAGAGTTGGATTGAGGTTTGGTTCGTGTTTGTGTAGAGAAGATGGATTGATTAGAAGCATTAGTCTGTGTTATAGCCTTAATGCACGACTGACTAATTATGCGTCACATGATTGATAGGGTCTCTGTTGCGTTTTGGGTCCTCAGGCACCAATGCTTATCATGATCATGTTAACATGTTCTATCGTGATTCTAGAATTTACCAACCTCATCGTACACGTCACGATGCCTCTTCAGCCCCTGTCATGTATTCATTGCCGTGAGCAAAAGGTATGTGACGCTAATGTTCTTCCTCTTCTTGGCACACGTCTACTAACACACATGCAGCGCAAATGCTCACGAGAAACTCCCACCTGTAGTCGGTGCCACCAGTTGAGGTTCGACTGTGCGTATCCGTCCAGGTGGCGCGGACGTCGACTAGAACCGCGTGGCCCAAACAGCTCGGGCAACAGAAATGCGTTATCGATCACCACCAACGGATATCTGATCGCTAAGGCTGCTGGACTGGAACTAGTGGATGCCTACTGTGTACTCTTTATCCCATCAAGTTTTATCTGTCACCCTTCCCGACTGAAAGCTCGATACAATGATGGTAATCTTCCGAGCTGTGTGCGAGACTCTGTTTTCGCCATGGCAACTCTGTTGCGATCTGCAACCACGATAGGTCTAGCGAGCGACACCCGATCCACGTCAGGAGCAACACATCCAGGAGAGATCTGGGCGCAACAAGCTAGCACGACTATTATTAATCAGATCAACCGGCCATCCTTGGATACTATTCATACCCTGCTTAACCTGATTGCTTACTGGTCTGCAGTGGGTAGAACACAAAAATGCAGGGAACATGCTAGTGAGCCCAGTGTCTAGTATATCTACCCGAGAGAGCTGTGTTGACCGACCGGTTTGGCAGAAATGGCGTTGACCTCCATTCAGCAACTGCGGTTGCAAGGACTAGCCTCGCCTATCAATAGGCCCGGTGAACTCGAGCGGTCTTCCTTCTTTGTAGGCATGATCAGCCAATGCCTCACGGATGACAGTGAATGGGCAGCTCCCAGCACTCCACTCTCCTTAGACGGCCCATCGCCGTCCTCCGAAATCGACCGACATAGTCCTCTCAGGGGACAGATATTGAAATTCATTGAACACTGGTATCGTGTATACATCCGAATTGGAAACCGAATCACTGACCTCATCCGCCGCTAGGATTAAAATACGTCAGTTTGTCCGCGCTTTGCATGCGGATACGGATCCAGGCATGCAGTGGGCGACACTCTTCAACTTAGATGCCAAAACCAGAATGCTCTACGAGACCCTCTCACCAGCCTTGCGTGATTTCAATGGTCGGCCATGTCGAGAAGCAGACTTTCGTGAGTGCCTGGGACTACAGACTCTGTACCATATGTGCCGGTTCGTTCCCCATTTGGCCATGATTCAATTGCTCCAGAGGCAGATATCACCCGCAGAGGAGTATGTCCAATTATGTGCGCAGGTTACAGTGCGACATATAAACCGTATCTCGGATATCATCTTAAACTCCGTTACATCAGACCAGACCAAACTACCAAGTCTACCACCATTCATTGCATACTGTTCATTTACCTCCATTTCAGTGTATATGAGCTATCTCTATCACTGCGGCAAAGATTGGAATGACACCAATGACCCCACAGTTTATCTTTCCAGGGTGCGAGTCTTGTCTAATTTGTACCTACTCAATCAACACCGACGCGTTTGGAATCCTGTAAGGGTGATGGTACGTGTTCTAGCCTTCATGCTGAGAGCGATACATGCAATATTGACTGACGTCGCGATTGAATACAGTGGGACGCAATACAAATGGATATGGCTGTACTGGGCATCTCAAACGCTGATGTTGAGGCCTATGGCAGATCTCCTATGAACATGTCTGCCTTGTCCGACAGAGAGAACCAGAGATTCCACATCTTGTCCCTGGCCCATGCTGCCGAGCCTTACCTGGAGAATGACATGATTCTCAACTTAGCACATATTGTGGATTATGTTAAGCTCGCTGACCCTGTTTATATGCTAATGGGTACCTTCCGTTTATTTCCAGTCGGGGGCCAACGTAGTGTGGTGCCGTCTTCCAACAGTCATGGCCTAGGCACCGGGTCGACACGAGAATTCGTCAGTGATGCTCAGCATACCGTACAGGTGTCTCCCAGGAACCCATCATGTCCACCCTCCTCGCATCCTCATGGATCTCTACCTTTTCAATCCGAACAACAGACTGCGGGTCCCGCCGCGCCCAGGTGTGTGTTACAGTCTGATATAAACAGGCCAAACATGCCTGCTCTAGATCAGGTGTATCCGAGAACACCATTGGGCGGCACGGAGAATCCGGCCATATCTTTGAGAATGTTGCAGATGATGTGGCTTGCTGAGGAAGATCTTCCGTGCATGTGAACCTGACCTCTTCACATTCCAGAATGTTCTATTCGGTACACTTGTGGGTATAACGCACGGCAGAGCGTACTCCAGAAAGCTGGTGGTGGCGCTCATCAGCATCCTCCTCCTATCCTTCAAGGCCACTTATTTATGGACTAGAATTTGATTTTTAGCCGGTATCCAGGGACGCACTTGGGAAGGACTGCTCTTACCGTAGCGCCACTATCTCCAGGAGAGTTGCCTATTTTGTGATAGGTCACCCCCATCGCATATGCTTCACTCTGTTCCCAAGTTGGCCTTGTTTGGCGGGTGCAGGGATCAATTCGCAGTCAGCTATCCGTTGAGCATTGATTGGAACTGGCCCTTCTGCCACATCAAGCCCAGCCTTCTGTCAGTAAACCGATCTACCTTTTCGAGAATGACAATACCCATCACAACCCGAGGGATCGCAGAGTGTCCATAGGTAGACTCTGAATTGGGTTCTCACTATATAACATGGGTTAAACCTACATCGAAAAGCCCAATTCAACCCAATCTGGGGGTAAGAAATGAAGCCTTTTCTTAATAGCTGCTTGGCTTGAAATCTTTCCCGTTCTTAGCCTTTTCTTCTTTTCAACAAAACTGCTACCCGCCGCACAATTTACATCACCTCCCGGTTCTCAATCATTCTTATTCATTAACTCCCCTTTTAGGAGCACCCTCGATCATCATCAGGGCTCCTGTGCTCGTTCCATTGAGACATGTTTCTTCAAGAGGGTTATCACGAACCAACGCTTGTCGTAAGCTGGTAGAGTTGGTATCGGTGGAGGGAGGGTCCAAATATTGCAAATACCAGCAACCTTTCCCAGGGATGAGCTAAAAATGGCTTATATTACCAGCTTCCTTTGCCTTATCCGGTGACATGTAATTGAAGGAGGAACTACTTGGGTTCCTGGTTTTACCACAATGGTTTTAGCACCAATCCTTGCCGTTGCCACGCCTTCAACACTGTAACCCAGGGATAGGGGTCGGAGACCAGATCAAGGTCAATGATCACAGTAGTCAGGCTTAGACCTAGTTCGCAGAAAATGAAAGTGCAAAGAATAGTTTATACAGCCGTTAGCTACTTCTATTCTTCCAGCTTTGAAACGCCTACTACAATTGCCAATACGGCCTCTATCTATGGGCCGCTTAAGTTTAATGGATAACACGGGCAATTCCTGACCTCGTCAAATGATCAAATTGATATGGTTCGCAAGTTCTACTCTTCTACTACATGACCCTGTTGGTCAAGATAGTCCACAATTGCGTAAAACTGTAATGATAGAATCTCTGAATTCAGTGAAGTGCTTGCCTAGTCTATAAGATCACGAAGTGAAACGAGAGTAGCTATTTCGTCGGCCAGCCTGGATAGATTGCTTACAAGGCCTCTTGCCTGGCCACTCCAAGTTCCCGTAGAGCATTAGTTGGCCCCAACCGTATCCAGTTATCGATCTCGTTCTGGGTGGCAACGACTATACGCCCCAGCATGCCGATTGCATTGACCCCAGCTTCTTGATTGATAGCAGCGCGTTGCCTGGGGAGGACGACCATCCAACGTTTTGTGAGAATGAAATTGTGCGGACACGCAGCGTTAGGTGGGGCGTTGCGAAAGTTCGTAGAGAGGCCCCTCCCCTTGTTGGTTGACTGCTCCAGAAGATGATTATAGATCTCTAGCAAGCGTTCTGGCGTTGACTCATGGGGATTCAGGCGACGATAGAACCATTCAAACGGAACTCGAGGTGGCTGACTATCTTTTGAGTCAAGGAAGGACGAAAACAGCTTTGGAGGAGTTGGGATAAGCTGCAGGTGCTTATGCAATCGGCTACATCCTCCATCTTGCCCACAGTTGTAAAAGGCCACGTAGTCTGTGTCTAGGGTTGACAAAAGGAGCCACACCGATTTGATATCGTTGAGATCGAGGCCCTCATATTGCCTCCGATAGCCGTCAGAGGTTAGGAGCATGAGGTGTGGCCTTGCCCAGCAGAACTTGTTGGCGACCAAAGTGTGGGAGGTGCTAATTTCACCAATTTCAAAGCCCTGAGTACTGATATCGCTTCCGTCCCGCTTTTGATCCCGCTCGTCGATTTTATGTGCCACTGATGGATTCAACGGAATGGTTGGCTTGTTGGCCAGGGCAGAGGTAAGCAAGAATTGGAACTAGAAGAAGATGATCAGGATCCATGTAGGTATGTTTGCATACTCAGATATGGCGTGAGACATACCTTGAGACCTCCATCCATATATTCAATTATATCTTCCTTGTCATTGTATATGACAGTACCAGAATTGACAAGCCTGTCGAACTCGGACAGTATAAATGATTCATTCATGGTTGTCTTCGAAGGACATGTATTGAAGTGTGTTCTGTTAGGATTTGATGGTGAGGGCTTCACCATTCTTGTTTTCAAGGTATCGAAGCGTGCCAGTGTTTTAGTTATTGGGGTTATTTATCGTTGTATTCTTGATCCTTCGGTGGCGTACTACCTTAGAACGATACCATTTTACGGTACTACTTCCACTGAAATTCCTACATGCAAGTCTTGTTGGCATAGCGCCAGCCTCATATCCTTTATGGTGCTAAGTACAATGGCGTCAGCAAGTTGGTTCATGATGTTGTAGTATCATCCCGCCCCACCTCGCGAGCTCAAGCAAAGATGAATCTAATTCTTCTGACCCCTACAGCCTCTCACACCCTCAGATATGCATCTGTACTATCACCATTCCGCCTCTTATTTGCGTGCTACTGTCGATCATAGCAAGTAGAATCCTCCCACGCGATTACCTACCGTATTGGTGCACCGACAGGGCCACGTCATCCAAGTAAGCCCCTCTAGGTAGGTGGCTGCTATTGTACCATTCTACTCCGCTAAGACGAAGGCACATCTACTTTTCTGTCGTGGTTGCAAATGCTACCTACCGAAGCTTGTCGCTGGCTTGTCCGGTGCTGGTATATTGGTTGACTTAGGGTTCGACAGACGATTAGTTCCAGGAACCTATCCAGAAAAGACATTGTGAGTTAATTTGGCCTTCAACCCTTCAATCGTACTCGCAAGAATCTCCTCCCGAGTGTATTCCATCTAAATGAAAGCCCCTAAGTCGATGACACTAGTTGGGGTACACACAAGGCTAGCTGACTACGAACGACGTGATGCTACTGAAGATGAGATAAACGAGTTACCATATGTTGCCGACTCAATATCATCCATTGTCTGGATTGCTCTATCAGCCATGATGACTCTGGTTGGAAGAAATGAACGATTGTAAAGCACAACGATAATGAAATAACATCAGGTACCAACGCTATTCTGATTATCCTAGGAAGGGAAACAAATTTAAAACGCAGAACAGAGCACAATAAACCATGCCCACTGGCGTCCCCATCCTCATCCTGTCATTATCTGCAAGCAACAATATTCCCAACCCCTCTACACAGCAACGATATCCGAGCCAGCCGGTTGTATGCGCTAGAAGGGGAATCCTGCATCAACAAGCTGGTCAGCGAGGCCTCGACAGAGACGAACACGCAATCTGGTACACATACTCTCTCAGTGTTATGATGTTCTGAAATGCTCTTAGCCGGCCGGTTGCAGGTGAGAGATATGGGCGATCGGCGGCTTTTGTATGGAGTCCTGATTCGGAACCCATTGCACAATGGGCGGGGGCTGGAACCCATTCTCGAGTTGCCTCTCTTTCTGCTTCCGGCTTCGGTGTCTTTTAATGAGGAGGACCACGACGACCGAGAAGACCAGGAGAAGCACGATGGGAATGAGGATCGCTTTGAGCAGAACCTTTAAAACACCCATGATGATGGATGCGTGTGGGATGCGGCGGAAGAAGGTGAGCAGCTTATGGTCGAAAGGGGTGACTCGATGTTCTCCGATGGTTGGAAGTCAGAGATCCTGTCAATGACAAGTCCTCCATGGCTTTATATCCTACAAAGCCCAGGGGATCAATTCAGGGTCTACACGCTCTAGCCGGCATGGCTATGTGAGGGGGTCTTGATTGGAAGACACCTCGAGCAGGTGAGTGCGTCGACAATCCAAGGCGCTTATTATCAGGGTTGGATTGGGTCACCCATTGGGTTCCTGCAGGCGATGGCCCGTTCCCTGACCAGAAGCACCAATAGGGTCTCCTAATGTCACACCCAGATTGAACGCTGTCGAGACATGACATAGGCAGCCGTTATATTTCTCCTATCTAGCTCCGGCGAGGCACCCTGCGCATCCAGTCCCAGCAGCTCCAATTAGCGACAACTGTCCGACACACACACACAGCACATACAGTCAGGTCACTGGATGTTATTGTCACCCAGCGTAACCAGAATCGGAGTATCTCATTGATAACACCGTCGAGCCAAGTGTGATGTGCCATGCAGAAGCTTCAATCTAGACTCGCATTTGATGCTTCGACAGCGGCTCTGATTGGCCAAGAATCAGCCCTATGGCGGTGGGCAGTGGAGACGATCCGCTTAATCGTCTACTAGGCAACCATGAAAACGAGGGAAGATTGCGAGGGTCGAGGTTGCTGGAGGGGGTGTAACCCATGATTAACATTCGTACCGTGAAGTGCTAAATCTCCTTCTGGTCATGAGGACCAAGTAAATTATGCAATTCAGGGCTGTGGTGCGCATTCTGTCGTGAAACACAAAATGAGGTTGAAGTCATGAAGAGGGACCAGAATGGCAATTGTGGCTTGCCTTGTCCTTTCTCCTCGGCTGTGGCAGTGCAACCACTCAACAGCCTTGTAAGGCACAGCCACCCCACCCAATGCCATCCTGTCTTTGGGTCACGGCCTGTTTTTGGAAATATAAATATCCTGACTTGGACTTCCTCTGGCAAAGGACAAAGATCTTTCTACTACTTCCGATTCAGTCTCTGCCTTTGCGTCGGTACTCGATCTTTATCCGTAACAACTTCCACCGTCACTCCCGCCGTCCTTTGATCATGACGATGCGAGAATATCCTAGTGGGGATCAGCAAACCCCCACCGGCTATGGCTATGGCTATGGGGGAAACAACCACGGACAAGGCAACCCATCTCCGCAGTCCTTTAACCACCCGAACGCCAGTGGCTACTATCCGTATCCTCCATCGGGCGCGAACCCTTCGGAGACAAATTACAACTACAACTCAGGGAATCAGTCCTACCCCACGCAGACCGAGTATCCGCAGCCGCAGCCATGGGGTGGACCCTCCCCTTCGCCCGGGAACTACTACCAGCAGCCAGAGAACCGATCATATCAAAACCCTCCATATGGGGGACAGCCGCCGTATCCCCATTCAGAATCCCCGCGGCCCAACCAGACGGATGCCTACCCTTCGAAACCATATCCTCCTTCCTCCCCACAACAGGGGGGTTACGGCCAATACCCGCCGGCACCACCACCGTATTCCCCCCAGCCCACCGGTAGCACCGATACCCCGAATGCTGAAACGGAGGAGAAGGACCGAGGATTCCTCGGTGCGGTCGCGGGCGGGGCAGCGGGTGCCTACGGTGGTCATAAGGTCAACCACGGCTTCCTGGGCGCCATCGGTGGAGCGATAACCGGCTCAGTCGCGCAGGACGCGATGAAGAAACATAAAAAGGAAAAGGAAGAGGAGGAAAGGAGAAAGCAATGGGCCGCCCAGCAAGCAGCCGCCCAACAAGCAGCCGCCCAGCAAGCAGCAGCCCAGCAACACGCTCAGCAATACGCTCAGCAACACGCTCCCCCGCAGCATGGGCCGCAAGGACCTCACAGGCCCGATTCATCCCCACTGCGTGGAAACTTCTCTGCCTCATCTCGCGACATCCGCTTGGAAAGGGGTCATGACCTCGTCGCCCACTGTGGCGCCATCTCGGGGCAGATGCGTCCTTCTTCGATTCCGCTCAATAACGTACTGTCTAACCAGTTCGGCAAGTTGGTGTGGGCGCGAAATGGGAACTTTGCCGCGTCGGCGCGGAACATTCGGCTGATCGAAGGGGGTAAAGTGCTGGAGGCTGAACTCGCGAACGGCCGAGGGGGGTGGGATCGGGCATGGATGAGGTTGGATGAGCGGATCTCCAATCAGGACGGCAATCTGGTCTTCTTGGATTAGATTCGGGACTGTGCTTCCTATGGTTTATATTGCTCTGCTTCTCTCCGCCCTTCTCTCTCTCTCTCTCTCTCTCTCTCAGTCATAACGACATAGTTTCAAGATAGCCAAAATGAATTTTAATTTCACGAGTACGTATTCGCGATGATCCCAACAGGCTCGTTCTTTTTTTTTGTGCATGGTCGGAACCGATGTCATGGTTAAAGTGAGCATCAACACACGGTTGACGATTGTAGGCGCCCGAAGGCCCCAATTATCAACCACGTGATCTTCACGCAAAATAAAATCCCTTGTGTTCAATATATCTCGAGTAATGCCAGAATTTAATCTTTTGACGAGAAAAACAGAAAGAACCGAAAAAAAAAGACAAAAAAACTGAGAGTCTTTGACTTTTTATAGATGATCAGTCGGGAGATTTAGTTCTTCACCTTTTAGCTATCTTGTAGACTTGGTTTGAAGCTCATTAAATTCTTAATAGTAGCCCTTTTATATTGAGATGTTAATATATTATTCACTAGAAGCTAGAGTGACTACCTACTTTTCAATACCTCTATGAAAACATTATATCATGGAATACATTATTGTAACAGCAGGAAGCTATATAAGTGACTCCAGGCTAGAGTTGTTCGGGTTCCCCGCAACGACCCGAACGCGCCCTTATCCAGCGATTTTTCCAGGGCGGTGAATCTACAATTTAAGCTCGGGGATACAACCACTCGGCGTTGAGCCCCAGACCCTCGGGCCCTTATCCAGACCGGCATGAGGACGAATGTAATCCAGGCACGAGAAGCCACCCTCTCGGTGAAATGCATCATCTGGTTCAACGGGAGGGCTGGAGCAGGGAGCTCGACCATGTCCCGCACTATGGCTTGAAATTCCAAACAAGAGGGATTGAACCAACGACATGTTCTCTGTTGGCGGTCCGAATACTCCCAAGCATGGACAAAAAACACCAAGAAAAGGCCACATGCCGTTGGGAAGATAAATTACAGACGCCAAATGACGCTTGGCCTCGATTTATCGGGCTTTCCACCTGTAGGTGTTCCGGCCACATATACACTGATCTCGAGGAGGTCGGGATTTAGTGACTGGGGGTCAGAATCTAGGGATTACATAGAAAAATCTCAAGGGGTTAAATGTTTATTATAGAACCTTCTATTTTAAGCCTCCTAGAGTGATAATATATTTATAGATTTAAACTGTAGATAAACTGAGCTGAAAGAACATATATATTTTGAGAGATATTTGGTTTTAACTGAATATAGAATAAACAATGAAACGAGTAATTGAGTGAACTGTTTTCCTGAAGCGTGGAATATTTGATTACTTTTCCAGTTTAGATACTACTATCATGTGGAAAAGCGTTAAGAGAGTTAGAAATTTTTATCTTAATAATTTGATCTGCCCTCCCCTATGCGAATTTGTACGGGCTTTGGGGTTTCCGGAACATCCTATGAAACGGCTCGTGGAAGGTGACCACCAGGCTTTGCTCGAGCGAATGGTCGTGGAAAATGGGGCAATGAGATCCAGATTCGAGCAAATCAACCGTCTCTCAGCAGACTGTCTCGAATCAGAGGAGGAGTGCAACCCTTCGGGCCGGTCCACTGCATCTAGCTCAACTACAACACCTTCCAGGCCAAAACCCTTCGGAACACAGCAACGCTACTAGTATTCATGATCAAGCGGAGAGTCGGAGCCAACGAGTGAGAGCTTGACATTTTCCTTGCTTATCACTGGCCCACCGTGTCGTAATACGAATACTAGTGTCAACAACGATAGTGTAATTTTCTCAGATATGCTGTCATTGGCTAGACCTTGACCCCAAGCCGGACCCCTTGTCAACTCTAATCTTTATATATAGTATTCTATCTCCACCTAAGTCTCTTAATAACTGATCTGTGCGAAGGCCTCAGCAATTGAGGCCAGGAAAGAAAATCTCGGTGTATGTTGATCAAGGCGATTTCGAAAATGCCTTGATCCCTCGAAGATAATTCAAGCGTACCGGTATTAAGGACTCAGCTATGCTGGGACGACCGGTTCCTATGGATGAGCTTTCTCCAACTCTTTGGATATGAAACATGTTAATCCACTTTGGGTTACCGCCTGTCGACTCTCGTTGGAGTAACGGTACTGTAACGACATATAAATAGAATCCTCTCGGAATGCTTACTACTTACCCCAACTTGATTTATGACGCAGATCTCCTTGCCCTGATCATTGACCTAAAATAATGACTCATCGTCAGTTAATACCCTCCTGGCAGAGTGCTCACTCTTTCCCATCCCCCGGCAATAGGCTCCATTCTCGATAATGAGTTCGACATCAGAAGTGACGTTGATCCCTTGGGATCCGCTCTCGGAGGCTCATCGAATACTGCTCTTCAAACAGCGTGTGGAATGCTCTTGGGACATGGAATTGGTCCACGAGATATGGAGAAATGAACAGATTCGAGGCGAGAAGTGCATTTACTGGATTGTAAGTCCTCCGTACACAGATCCCCTAGTATTTGATGTTCCATTAGCTTGTTGGAGTTTTAACAGGAAATTATAGACCCTCCCGGCCAACGACCTCGTGGGAGGGGAACACGAGAAGCTGATTGACACGGCCGTCTCCATTCATGCAACAACACGCCAACCGACAGAAGCCGAGTTCATGCCAATCGGACATATTTCGTTAGACTCGAAAAACAAGAAGGCCGAGAAACTGGACCTCGATATTCCCTCCGAGCATGTCTTCTGGATTAAATCCTTTTTTATTCTACATCAACTCCAGGGCAAAGGAATTGGACGAGCAGTCATGGATGAAATCGAGAGAATCGCTATCCGAGAGCCGCTACGCGCTAGGACTTTGATGCTAGACACCGTCGAGAGAGGAGATCAACTGAGAGAGGAGTTTGCGAGGGCTACCTATGGAGGCATTCCGAAGGTGAACGTGATCATTCGGTTTAATATTGGCTTGACTAACCAATCTGCAGATTACTAACCAGGATTGGTATAGTAGACGGGGGTATAAATCTCTTGGAATTGTGCAGAACTACTACGATTCCAAGGATAAGAATGGGAAGCAGTGGGATACGAAAGCAATATTCATGCGGAAGGACCTTCTATAATGAGCTACACCCAGTAGAACAGGATAAAGGATATTTAGCATCAGATGCATAGTCACAAATTGGTTGCCCAAGGTACCCGTAGCGATCCTATCTTCTCCGCACCCCATCAATATTTCATTTCCAATGATAGCTACCAGAAGGAACTGCGGGTCAAGAGGACATCTTCCTCAATGTCCGTTGACAGCTCCCAATTGTTGATTGTCCCTCCTCTCTGCGAGAATGGATGCGTTGCCACGATCACCATCCTGTTTGGTGTTATAGAAATCTTCCCTCAAATCAATGATAGGATTATGTGCTTAGCACCTGATACGTTACGCGATGGTGGAGCTGAGATCACTTGGGGGGTTCAGGACCTATTTTGACCAAGAACCTAAACACAGTGCACGGCAGGTGAACGATATGATCTCTGCATCTTTCGGAAATACAAACTCGAGTTTCCAGGTGGAGATCAGTCAATGGTCGATATACCTTTCACAAGGTTAGTTTCCCAAGGCTTGGAAAAAAACAGACTCAGGCGAGTTGCAAGGGTAACTATCTCTAACGACAATAGGAAGATAAATCTGGAATCAACCTACTCCTGACTCACAGATCTGCCTATCGAGTGCTTGGGTCTTTTATGAGGTAAGAGCTTGCTGTGGCTCCCGGCTGAGTATCGTTAATTTTGTTGTTGTACTCCGTACAATTAGGGTATAAGAACGGGCGGGTCTGGGTGATAGGATTCCACCCCGCAGATTAATACTAAATATACGTGATACTACATGTCAGTACTCCGTAAGGGCGCGGTACTGGTCGGAGAAACCATTCTCCCATTCCATTTTAATTTTAGCCTGGTTTGATGTCACACTAGGGTTGCTGAAACAATCAGAAGAGTGTACGTGAGGAGATTAATCCATCATAGGCTATTCTGAAAGCATTCGCAGCATTTATAGTCAAGGCTTTCGTGCGAACTTTATATGTTACTGATACGCATAGCCGTTGGAGGTCGGTCTTGAACGTGGCTTCCTCCAAGTGCTCCTATCTTATTCTTATCGGCCGATGCTCCTTTCTTCTTATATAACACGATGCTTCACGAACCCTGCAAGGATGTGACTGATTGGGAAATGGAGCGAGTATTAATATCTTATACCTAGTCAATTCAACGGACCCAACATAGTTTCTGGGCTGTTAGTATAATAACGAGTACTTCTGTTTCCCCCAAAGCTATCTTTCCCGCTCTTAACCCAGGGGATCACCGAGCCGAATACCTGGATATCGTGTATACACAGTTTATATATATCTCAGTTACATCAACCCGACCGCAGCGGCCGACTACCACAATAACGACTGTAGCCACACTACGTCCAACTTGAAGAGGTATCTAAGCCAGGATTGGTAAGACCTGCGACCTTGGTATTCTAGGAATTGAGATGTACTATCGAATATCTATTCGAAGAAAGCTGCACCGAGGAATGTTTTGAAAAAGAATGACTTTGCTCGGCGGTTGACCCCATACTCCTACAGGCTGTCGTCGGCTGGACTGTCACCAGTTACTTTGTTCGGTCGGGTGTAAGGTCATTCTCAAACTTGGTTTGACCGACAAAACATATAAAAATCCTCTGCTTGGATTTGAATAGTTCGGCCTTGGGTGATATTTACGTAATTACCGCCATAAGAGAATTCTTCAAGGAACTTCAAAGTGCCGTCTACTGGACTGTGGTTTTGTCCAGTCCTTTTTGCCTAGGCGTCTTTAGATTATAATATATATCTCTAGAGATATTTCCTATAGAACTATTAACCACGCTACTTTTAAGAACAGACTTTATCTAATATCTTGTTCAATGACCTCCGGGCAGACACGTGACCGGATTCAGAAGGTTGAATCCTTGTTTCAACGATGCCGAGGGTTATTCCGAAGCCGGGAGACACTCCGCGTAAATGATATCCCAATGTTCTGTCATGAACTTCAGAATGAGACTGAATGTCCACTTCCCCTACGGAGTACATCTTCTTTTCCCGATGAGTCCTGTGAGAAAGGGAATGACGTCGTTTTCCGAAAACAACCGGAAGGATCCCGAGGACTCTTTTTCAGTGGAGACTCGGTTAAGTCGTAGTGCCAACACCAAGTGGGTGTTGAGCGGCCGAAGCCGACGACAATTTCTGACCGAACGCTCATTTCCCTTTCCTGTTTGGCCTACTTTCGAGGACTTGGCACGTTTGATTACGACAGGAGGAAGCGAATGAGCGTTGGGCAGGCCTTCGGAAGGAAATTATCGACTCGCATTCCGCCCCACCAGCCGATTTGGTTAAGAACCGCGAAGTCTACCCCAACGACATCGAATCATACAATCTTAAATTTTTTTTTTCTGTTGCTTCCTGGTTTTCCCTTCTCTCCGGCCCTCCCCCATTCTCCACCGTCACCCACATACGTTGCACGCACACACACACCCCCGGTGTCGACCTGAGTAGGAAGAGGCAAAATGCCTCAGCCCCGAAGCGCCATAAGGAGAACGATCCTGCATCCTCCAGTTCCATAGTACTAGATGTGCCGCTAGCAATGATTTTGGTTCGCGCAAAGACGACATACCGGTCGTTCACCCCGAAAATGGGGTATGCGCTATGTATTCGTACCGGGAAAGATCAAATTGGAAGAGTACAACATGAGCCCTTCGTTAGCCCTGGTGTTGCGCCGACTAGTGTGGTGGGCCTGCTCGTGCTGCATTGATATTATGTGAAATTTTTCCCATTAGTCCTCTAGCGGAGATACATTGTTGCATGAATCGTGGGTTATATAGGGCGCAAAAATTCCCCCTTCCGTCGTCCGTTGCTTTACTCTCCATCCTACCCTATTCTTCCCCATTCTTTCCTCCCCCCCCCCACACTTGCCCCATCTATAGGAGGAGGTATTCCGTTACCCCCCTCAGTTTCCTGGAGTCTGATTCTGACGACGACTGAATCATCTGACCTCCCTCTTTACTGTGTGACATCTTGGGGTTGCGAAGGACTGTGGTTACCGCGCTATTCAGCCGAGATAATATACGAAACAAAATTATTACCCACTTTTGCTCTGTGGTATCGGACAACACTAGATATAACCATTCTAGGACCGACAGACCCAAACCGGACAATTCAACCACGCGCCCAGGCAGAAAACCCAGAGAGCAACCTGTGTTGATAGAATTCCATTGCGCCAACTCCCATCGGGACACCCTCTGCAGCTTTGTTGCCCCATCCTGGACGCACGCCAGCCATTGCGCCATCTAGCATCTGCCCTGAATAGCGCCCTGCGACAACTTGCCCACTCACGATCCAGGTTGTAAAAGAGTTTCCCAGCAGCAGCACTTCCGACGGACGGACACCAGAGTCAGCCCCGACGCAAGGTATCCAGTGCCATAGAGGACTCCGAAGGACATCCCCAGCAGCCATTAGGTCGCCCATTACTTTTTGCCACGCGCCTCATTCCGATCGTGTCCCCCTTTGCGACTCCCGAACGCCTGATCAAGATGGGTTGGCTGAAATCCTTGCAACGGGACCGTTCGCAGATCCCGGATGTCGTGATTCCCCTCGCCGATGCCCAAAATTCGATTCCCCTTGCGGAAAAGGACGCCAACAGCTTAGATTCTCAAGAAAAGGGTGCTGGTTTTGCGACTGACTGCAGTACACTAACTCTTGAGGCTCTTCGTGCGGAGGTTGATTCTTCCGTGGCCGCTTCGGGCCATAACACTGTCTATGATCGTATGTTCCTTTTGCCTCGTGGGGAGGAGTTTTATTCCACCCCACATGAGCCGGCTATTGCACTGATGCCACTGTTGCCAACCCCAACCCTTTCCCCATATCTCGCTCCATTTTCCCCAGCCATGGCTCGCTTCCCTGATTAGATTGAGGACTTCGTATGTCTGACTGGGAGACCATCACAGGCAAAGCGAAAATCATCAATAAAGCCATCCAGGATATTGGTATGGGCCGGTATCAATGGGAGCTTTATATTCTGTGTGGATTTGGCTGGACGGCCGACAAGTGAGCCCACCCAAGCTCTATTCCAACGTACATGATCCCATGCTAACCACTTCACGCGTACAGTCTTTGGCTACAGGTAAGACGGCTTGATGCTCGCCCTAAACGTGTCGAACGAAGACGGGCCGCCGAACTAACTCGATTGCGCGCAGGGAGTGGCCCTCACCCTCACCCCATTGTCTATGGAATTCGGCATCTCTGAATCTTATGTTCGTTTCACGACCTGTGCCTTGTTTGTGGGCCTGATCGTTGGCGCCACGTTCTGGGGTCTTGCGTCCGATCTCATTGGACGCCGATTGGCTTTCAACACGACCCTCTTCTTGTGTGGCGTTTTTGGTCTGGCGTCGGGCGGTGGTCCGAGCTGGGTCGGGTGAGTTCATGAATCATGTCCATGACCTGGTGCGGGATCTCGTGACAGCTAACGGGAGTTGCAGTACCTGCGCACTCTACGCTTGCTTGGGATTAGGAGTGGGTGGAAACCTGCCGGTGGACGCTGCCATCTTCCTCGAATTTTTACCCCAGTCTTCCGGACATATTCTGAGCTCCCTGGCCGTATTTTGGTCGGTGGGTACGCTCATTGCCAGGTCCGTCTCTCCATCCATCTACGCGCACGATCATTGTCTCCCAATGTACTGACCCGCGATCAGTATGCTTGCCTGGGCCTTCATCCCGAATTACTCCTGTACCGATGCGAGCACGTGTACTCGGGCAGACAACATGGGTTGGAGGTACCTCGTTCTGACCCTAGGTGCCATCACCATGGTCTTCTGGATGTCTCGATTCTGCTTCTTTAAGCTGTACGAATCGCCCAAGTTCCTGGTCGCCAAAGGTCGGGACGAGGACGCCGTTGCGGCGATCCACGGGGTTGCCCATCGCAACAAGAAAAAGACATGGCTCACGACGGAAATCCTGCATGAGATTGGCGGATCCGCGACCGCGACCGAGAAACAAAACCTCTCCTCGAAGGAGATCATCGCCCGGTCGCTCTCCAAGTTCTCCACCTCGCAGATCGCGCCATTGTTTTCCTCCAAGCGCCTCGCAATCACTAGTAAGTTTGCCCCGGGTACTTTGGTGCCTGAATGATAATTGACAGCCGCACCTAGCCATTCTCATCTGGCTCTGCTGGACCACCATCGGCATGGGATATACGCTGTTTAATGCCTTCCTGCCCCAATATCTCGGCTCGACGGCTTCGACATACGAGACCTACCGGAACTACGCTATCACGTCCGTCACCGGTCTTTTCGGACCGCTTCTTGCCCTCTTCATGGTCGACATCAAGTACATTGGTCGGAAAGGAACTATGGCTATTTCCACTTGTATCACGGCCGTCCTGCTCTTCTGCTTTACCGCGGCCAAGACGGCCGACACTCAACTGGTTTGCTCCGCGCTGGAATCCTTCACGCAGATGATCATGTATGGTGTGTTGTATGCTTATACCCCGGAAGTCTTCCCGGCTCCCAACCGAGGCACTGGAACCGGTATCGCGAGTTGCTTGAACCGCATTGCCGGTCTCTGTGCCCCGATTATTGGTATTTATGCTTCCAGCAACCCCAGTGCCCCCATTTATGCGTCCGGTGCGCTTTTGTTGGTTTCTTTTGTGGCAATGGTATTGCTGCCGATTGAAACTGCTGGAAAGCAGAGTCTATAGAATACGTTGCTTTGCTTGGGGTGTTTGATGTGGAAAATAGAAAGATCTGGATATCTTTTAGCTGCATGGATGATACGATACCACTATGTGTATATATTGTTTCCAACCGCCTTGGGATAGAAACACAAATCTCTTCAATAAAATATATTCTTATCTAGTAAGTTACATCGCTATTTGTGGATTTTTCTATTGTATCACATGAACAAAGAAGGGGAAAAAACAGCCTCACTGGACCAGTATGTTCACATTCAAAAGCCTGGCAAAAAAAAAAAAAAAAAAAAAAGGAAAAGAAACAGAGCGTATTAAACCACCGTCGCCCTCTTCAATATCTTCCAATCGAATCTCCAAGTATTCCTTTTCTGTTTCACCCCCAGTGCTGTGCCGCCAGCACCTCCGGAGGCCCCGCTGGTTGATGCTGCTGCTGTGGCAGTTTGGCCCGCTGGGGGCTGCTGGGGGCGCCGGGGGTTGTCGGCTTTCCTCCATCAGCAGGACATCGATCTTTGGGGTCTTTGTCCTAACCCCAAGACATCAACAAAAGTTTTCCCCCAAAACCTTCCACTATTTTCTCCGTGCTATAAGATCTTCTCAATATAGGATCCACTTCCTACATAGGGGGCGAGTCAGCCTAGAGGCCCTTTCAAAATCCTCCTAAGTGGTGGGGACATATTCCCCCATAGGATGCCTATATAATAGAGCATGTTCGCAGCCTGGTTTCAAAACTAAATATAACTTAATATAGATACAATATACCTATTTTCTGCCCTCATGAGGCAAATAGTAAACAAGGTGCTAAAGTTACCCAGGAAAATTAGGACAAAGAGGCCAAACACAGAGTATCCAAACTGCCAGCCAGGGCTCAAGCCGCCGGTGGCACTTTGTGTGGGCGAGGTGGGAGTTGGGAGGAATTCCAACGTTCAAATTTCTTTGGGGAGGGAGGCGATTGGAGGTCTATACATAGTAGATATGATTAGCCTTGTTTCCAGAGAAGGTAAAACTTAACATAGATAATACATACGTTTGTTTGGCCTTTAGCGGACATATCGCGAACCTGATGTCGAAGGTACCCAGCACAATCAACCCGAGGATCTCAAACCCCGGGTACGTAAGATGTCAACCTGGGTGCACGCTGGGATGGAGGCCAAGAGCCAACAGCAGAGGCACACAGATATGAGCGTTTGCTGAACCAAACGAATACATAGGTATTGTGATGGAAAACCATGGAACTTAGCCTTGGTCGGTTAAAATCGAGGATCTAATTCTGGGCCCTCCCTTGACAGGTTCGATGCAGACATACATGAACCACAAGTACATCGTTCAGTTGGATATGTGCTTCAGGCCAGTTGTCGGTTATACTTGGATCGTATTCAGTAGTTATCAATGGCCTTTTGTTTGTATTTGCAGTGCCCTGTGTACTGCAGGGGGGGGGGGGGGCCGATATTCCCCTTCGGTGCTTTTCGAGCCGCAGGCTCAACGGTCTAAACCCTAAGCGAGGCCAACGGTGAGGATGGAAAGATGGAGTGGGGATATTTAGAGAAAGACAAGAAGTGGAGGTATTGAGTAGGAGGGAGGGAGGATGGAAAAAGAATGGAAGAAACGGAGAATGTATAATTGAATGAGAGAGATGAATGACAGTGTATTCAAGAAACTTCTGAGGTGAAAGTGTGTCCGAGCAGTCACGATTTTCCACCAGGCCAATAAAGCCACTCCTATGACCAAGGTATGTACCTTCCTAATGTCATTAAGAGTGGCAGGACCTTGGAGAAAATAATTGATGTGTAAAAACTAAATACCAAATACCGTACGCCAACTTAGGAACTCCAGAAAAGGAAAAGAAAGCGGTTTACGTATCTTAGGTGTGAGAAGTACATTCCTCTCTGTATATATGGGTTGCTAAACCGGCAAAACAGTTGAATCGAGAAAGATGATGCTGAGGGCTTGTGCACAAAGGGCTTGAGGATGGTAATCATGATAAAATGTGGGTTATGTAACAATGCCTCTGAAAGATTACTTTGCAAAGACGCTCAAACCACTTCTCCAGCGTGTTGAGGATAAGCTCGAGCAGGGTGGCAACATACGAAAAGCCCAGCAGCTTCGCCGTAAACAACAAGAATGGCGCAGCTATCAGACTCAACTCTGGGTGCACTTCGAATCCTACTTCCTAAACGATTTGGCCCAGCGCCTCCTTATACAGTGCGAAGCTTACCTTCAAGTCAAGCATGATAATCTCTTCCAGCAGGTTAATGAGAGTCCATCAGTAGGAGATACCTTGGTGACGGAAACAGAGAGTTTGCAAGACGACCTCCAGGATCTTAATCGCCGTATTTGGATGGTGGAACGAGAGATTCAGACTACTCTGAGAGAGTTTCAAGATGGACCCTTAAAGCGTGCTCTAAATGCTCGTCGCCGAAGCAGTGATTGGTATCTTTCCGAATGGCTACAAACTGAATGTGCCGGCGTGGGTGGGTGTTCTGGGCGAGACTGTGGTTGTTGGATGAGACCGCGGAGCTCTAAACGTCCAAATTCCCGTGGGCATTGCACATCGGAGTGCAAGTGCTGTGAGGATGCGAGAGGCTTCAGACTTGATGTTTACGGAGCTCCTGAGAATCCAATGATAGTAGAGTTTACTTTGGACGAGGCAGACGTCAAAGGACCGGGTTCCTCCTATACAAAATGTCTGATTAACGCGTATATCTGGGGCCTTTGACAGGCGCCTCGTGCTCTCACAGCCTTTGACAAAGAATATCAATTATTTTGTTGCTCTCTCTCTTTGTGCGGTATGGCTCAAGTGACTGCTGTGGGACGAAATATTACCGTATGTCGGAAATAGTCAGAAAGCTATGCTAGAGCCCCGGGCTAAGGCCTAGAGATCAATTGTATAGAACTCATCTATTCATTTTCCCCCTCTTTCCAAGATTAATCTCAAGCACTGCTCTACTGACATCGTGACGGCGATAGCCAAGTCGCGCGACATCAGCTGGGTCTGGTTCATATGACACCGTATTTCCTCGACCCGAATAAATGACCGCATCAGGCAACAACGGGTGCTCTTGATCGAGTGATGGTAGTGCCGCGTTATTACCGACAGCGTCAAAGAACTTCTGGAAATACCCTGCGAAGCTGAGATTCTCGTCGCCTAACAGGTAAGCCTTGCCCGACTCGCCGTGTATTAAAGCACCTGCAATTGCCTCCGACAGGGACAGAGTCGACATGAAGTTCGACCCACCCAGTGGCCCAAAGAATGGGATCCCCAACTCCCCTTTGGCGTAGCGTATGTAGGCTTCAAACATGGGCGTACTCATTCCCGGTACGATCCCTACGACGAACGGGGCCTCGAGAACACATGCATTGAACTCTTTTCCAGCAAGACCAAGAATACCATCGGCAGCCAGCTTTCGAGAGCGAACGTATGCATTGGAATCGATCGAATCTTTTGCAATGCGCGGATAGAAGCTTCCGATGTAGACAAAGTGCTTTACGCCGGCATCACGCGCTAAACGAGCGAATCGTGGGATGGCCTCGCCATTCACGCGGAGGACATGTTGGTCAAAGTTCTCTCCCTTTGGTACATGACGAATATCGTGGCCTGCAGCAAAAACCACTGCATCGAAGCCGGTTAAGTGATCTTTCGTGAAGCCTTCTTGGACAAAGTCTCCCTGGAGATATGGAAGCTGGATAAGAGCGGTGGTCTCTGGTGGAGGGTGACGACCGGCGATTGAAACGTCGTGGCCAATCGACTGGAGATGTAGAGCTGCGTGACCACCGATGGTGCCGGTTCCACCAACGATAAGGACTCTCATAGTACCGGTTGATAGGATATAGGGGTAAGATTAATCACAAGTGAGAATACAATGAGACGGCTCAGGAAGCATCGGCATCGTAGGAGGTACAAATGGTCTCACATTGTCTCATCCTTTATAGTCACATATGGAGCTGTGATTCTTCATTTGCCCCTTCTTGATTAATCAGCAGATAGAAGTTGTGCTCCACAACGTTGAGTATGCAGAACTTGGCAAGTATATCGTCTCGTATATCTCAAAAAGAAGCACGTGTTCGGGATCGGATCTTACCGAGATCCGGCTTGGCGATAGGCTATTCCCCTTTAGACAAGGAGATGAAGCTATTCACGTTCTTATCATCTTATCACCCTGATTGATTGTAGTACAGTTATGGAGAGAAGATGCAAACGATCTAATTTTTAAGATTCTGTTGGATGTGAGGGATACATGAAGTCAGCACTATGGGGTTCAGCTTCACATTGTTATTGACTTGTATCTTGGTGCTAACATCTGCATATATATATGTATGTATATATATATTGATCTGAAGGACAAGTCGTTCATTTGACAAAGAGTGATACTACCAACGAGTATAGGAATGAAAATAAAAAATATCAAGCAGAAGATAAGACGTGATGCGTGAACCCTTCGTCAAAAGAGCGAATAATCTCAATGTAGCGAGCTTCCTACAACCATTTCCCACTTAAAGTGCATGTTCTTAGTCGTATACCTCGGCTCCTTGATCCCCGTCTAGAAGCGTCGGGGATGCGGCTCGTGTGCCGCATACTCAATATATGAGAAAAAGGCGACATTGTTATCAAAGAGCCGTATGTCACCATCTGGGAACAGCCATACGAAAGTCTAGACTAAGAACAGACTTCATGGGGCGTTGCCCTGCCATGGCGAGTTCCCAATCCGTTGAATTCCAAGTTTTTGAACAGCTAAGTTAAATCGTAAACTCTAAATAGTTGGTTATTAACCTCGAATATGAGGTAGCGGTGCTAACTTCGTGCCTTCCAAAACTGCCGGATCGGGTAACCCAATTGCCTGGAGGCTAAATAAACGAATATCCTCCTGAATATATTCCGCTCTTCCCTGACGCACATCATACACGTCATTGGTAAAGTATCCTGGGAGATTAAGGAGTTACGCCAATGTTGAAATAAAATCGAACACCAAGAATGGGGTTGCGAATTACGATCTACAAAGGAGGCTCACTACGGCGAGGCATCCCGAGCAGAACCCCTTTAAGCACAGTATGTATATCCCTTTTCGTGTTGTCATGCACAGATCTCCCCTGCCATGATAGCACATCTTACGTCCAAAAAGGCAAAAGGTCGCATTGATTAGCGGTCATTGCCGCGTTCCCCGACCGACACTAGGCAACTTCCCTGTGGGAGATGATCGACGACACATCGGTCGTCATTATAGTAAAAACGCACAATCCGAATGATTAGTTGAGTTCGGTCGTAAGTGCAGATTCGTGCGTCGGCCTGAAACAGGGACTAGGCATAAAGGTTATTTGACGTGAGTGTTCTTCTGGCAACTCGCGTCGTGCAACGACCCGCATCGTGATGGGGCATGGTTCCCCTGAATTGTCCACAATCGATACATTTCTGAGGTAGGATTCAAGTGACATAGTATCCTCCTCCTGTGTGCGCAGCTGTTCGCGTTGAATGCCTCGAATGCACCTGCAGAAATTGACTGGGTCCCTCACCTGAAAATGAGGTGGGCCAGGTGGAGCTATCTATGGGAGAGCATCATTGGGCGGGCAACAGGACCAGATCATGGTCATTTAAACTTCGAAAGATCGATGCTCTGCACTCCACCTGATAGAATATCGCTCAACCTGAACGGCAACTGTCATTCGTTGCGGCGTTGAATGCCCAGACGGCTGAATAATCCGATCCACGATATGAATGTAACCCTACGCTCACCCAATCTTGAGGTAATTATGCAAACCCATGGACGGAAGGCGAAAAGTGTATAAAGCTACCAAGATTCGGGGTTTGAAATTGAAAAGATGCAGAAACTGTGACTAAAGGTTCACTTAAGCGGTGGAGAGCGAAAGACAAAGTCTGAAACATGGATAAGCACAAGGATGCGATCGTCCGCCAATCTTCAACGCGGAGATAATATCAGGGTTAGATAACAGTCTTGGGTTCTTGTCCTGGTGCTCCTTTTTTATCACGGTGCGAGATTTAGTGAGACATTTGGCCAGGGCTTGAAAGTGACGATCACACGCATGAAGCGCAATTTGAGGTTTAGGGCTTACCGCTAGCCAGCAGCCTAGTTTCAGCGGTTCCAAAGGTTTACACTAGCCGCGACCAACTTTCTTCCCTCCCCTCCGAGATTACCACGAGGCTGGGTTCCTTGGTGGGATTAAAAAAAAAGGGGGGGGAATATTAATGGGTGAAGTACAAACGAGACTTAAGAGCAAAGTGCTTATTCTGTATCAAACACCTGTGGTGAAAAAAAAACGAACAAAATAAGCAGGGTTAGACTACGCATGCTGATACACCGAGGCCATGCTTCTTTGCATTTGGCACCACGTCGCCAGAGGACAAAGTCTGGTTCTCTCCAGGCTCCAGGCTCCACCAGCGCAATATCAACGGCTTTGTCCCTTGATGCACGAGGCGCCCCAGTAGCCAATCTTTCGCAACCATGACCAATTCGGTGCGCTGTGCGGACGAGACTTTCCGGATGTACCCAAACTCCTTCACCAAGTGCAGTCTCGAACACGTGCCAAGAAACCCTAAACTTTGTTCGCCAAACTTTCCCCTTGGCATCGCGTCAGATTCTCGCGCATTCTATCCCAGGTTGCCAGCAGCTGACGGGATGGAGCCCACTCGGCTTAAAAAAATCTGACCCTGCGGAGATGCAGACGCTCCTTTTCCGCAAGGTAAGGGGGAGGAGTTGTGGTCACTATCCGCTAAGCTGTTAATTGCAAATCATTGATCATATGCTGCTTGTAGACACATCGTATAGTGTAGGATGAAGACAATACAGCGTTGCAACAGAGCCAATGTCGATCGGCTCACTGTCGCGGGGTTAGAATTTGGCCCAGTTTTGAGAAGTAGATTACGTGCACAATACTCGACTGTACGTCTTCGATGGGTCTTTGAGGTCCCAGGATCTTGGTTGGCTCCAGACACAGGATCATCATGGCTAAGGGGAGTGCCCACCAGGAGCCCCAATTGTTTGACTAGCACATGGTGCCTGCGACGGGTCCTTGCGTGGTCCACTTTCCCAGCGGAGCAACTGGTGAACATCCAATGAGACCAACTCACGAAGGCAATCCCATTTCAGTTGTCAATCGTTGGCTCTATGGTCGGGATTCTAACAGGTATCCTGTGCGCTGATGGACTTGATTGGCCTAAGTTTTCCTCTAACCCCGACGTCGTAACTTCCACGAAGAACAAAGAATCCAACAACCATCTGAAACCGACCACAGCACATAAAGAAACAACGATACCCACTTGAGAGATACGAAACATTTTCCCCAATCCGCAGTGTCATGGCTCCTACCCCGGAGGATGCCGTCTTTGCAATTTCTGCCCAGGCAACTCAGCTGGGCAATCGCATCTCCGTTCGGATGCTCGACTACCTAAGTACGGTTCACGATATCCCAGATGGCTTTGGCGATCTCTCCAAAGTCTTTCTCGATACATGCCGTTCCCTGTGGACCATCGAAGCCGGCCTCAGCGAGTCGACGACAGCGAACCGGCCGCTGCCCCGAATCATTGTTCAGGAGGTGGAGAAGAAGTTTATAGAGGCATACCGTGACTTTCAGCACCTGGATCGGGTCGTGACTAGGCTGATCCAGTACGAACACCGGGGGGCACTGGGAAAGCTACAAAAGGGATGGAACCGACCTAGCCACGAGCTGGGCAAGATCCAGGAGTCGCTCAAGAAGACGATGGAGGCTTTACAGATCAGTGTCCTGGCTTTTCACTGGTCTCTTGGCGATGTTAAGCCGGAAGAATCAGTGGGAGTCGGATACGCAGGGCTCGCTGCAGCACTAGATCGGATGGCGAAGGGGAGGTCGGTGGCGGGAATCAACAAGGCGAAGACGCTAGAACGCGGGATCGCTGAGATGAAGCAAGCACCGCAGGCCGTGAGAACAGCACCCGCTGGGCCTCCTCCCTCGGTGCCTGTTCCACCGGTACCGCCGAAGCCATCATCCAGCCACGACGATGTCAGCCGAGAGCCTGGCGTAAGCAGTCGGGGGGGAACATTGGTCGAGTCAATGCCAGAGACCCTGTCGTCGGTCCTGTCGCTGGATTCGCTTTCATTATCGAGTTCTCACCATGGCAGGGATCTCGAGTTATCACAGATCAGGACTCGGAATACAACCAGCAAAGGGGAAGATCGTCCCCACCTCCAGAGCTCGTCAGCATCCACTCTAGCTCAGGAGATAGATACTAACCCTAGCTCTGTCCTGCCGAGTAAAGCATCATACCGGAAACAAGAGTTACCCAGTATGCCGCAACGGACGCCGAGTAATACCAGCGCTGCCAATGTCGGCCATCTTAAGAACGCTTTAGCCTCTGCCGTGCGAGCGAGAAACCATCAATTAATGGAACAGCTCCTGGATAGTGGCGTATCACCAGACATGGGCGAGAATACACATCCCCTGAATGAGGCGATCCTGCACCGTGACATTGAAGGGATGCGTCTGCTGCTGCTTTTTGGAGCCGACCCGAATGGACCAGACAGAGAAGGAAAATCACCACTCTTCTGCGCCGTGGAAGGGTCATTCATGGATGGAGCGACCTTGCTGTTGAAATACCGTGCAGACCCAAGTCTCATGACTGGATCTGAGCTCGAGTCTCCTCTTGGGTTGTGCATCACGAGCCTTAAGACGGGTCTCGTCCATGTCCTACTTGCGCATGGAGCAGATCCTAATCATGAGATGAGGAATGGAAGCACAGTGCTAATCGAAGCTATCCGGAAGAAAGCTCCTCAACGACTAGTCGATCTCCTTCTGGATGCTGGTGCGGATCCGAACTTGAAGAACCGGGAAGGGAAGTCGGCGTTGTTTGAAGCAGTCCAAGCCGACCAGGTGATAATAGTGACGACACTTCTAGACCATGGGGCGAATCCAAACCTCCCTGGACCGGAACATGTGCTCTGGTCAGCCATCTATCGGCCGGCCTGTTTGCGAATCCTGATGGCCCGTGGCGCCGATGTCCGAAAGAGTCCGGGTATAATGGAACAGGCAACAAGCATCAACAACATTGACTCGGTGCGCATCCTACTACAAGCTGGCGTTGACCCCAACTCTAAAAAGGATGGTATTTATACGCCATTATGCTCCGCGATCCGTGACAACCGTGGGGACATCTTTGCGCTTTTGCTGGCCAACGGCGCGAACCCCAATGTCATGGCATCCGAGTATCCGGCGTGGAAGTGTGTTACTCACTTCCGGACCCACCTTCTTCCTGATCTCGTCGACGCCGGCGCAGACCTGCACCAGCCACCAGGCATTGTCGAAATGGCAGTCCAAGTCAACAACGCAGAGGCGGCGCAGTGGCTGTTGGAGCACGGCGGTGCGAATCCGAACGATCGCAACACGCAAGGACACACAGCCCTCACAACGGCCATTCGTGATAACCGCGTCGATCTAATGGCTCTCCTGTTGGCGCATGGGGCGGATCCCAACCAGCGTGGCCAGGACTGGCCGGTGTGTATGGCCGTCCGCTCTCCGACCCTGCTGGAGCAGCTCCTCCCCGCCGTGACCGACCTATCGGCGCACAAAGGGGTCATGGAAATGGCCGTGTTGGCGAATCAGTTAGAGAGTATCAAGTTGCTGCTAGCGGCGGGTGCCAGCGTCGAGTACAAGAACGGCGGAGTTTTCTCCCCGTTAACGACAGCGCTTCGCGAGGGTCACGAAGATATTGTGCGGTTCTTGCTGAATGAAGCCGGCGCAGACCCCAATGCGCCCGGTGAGCATCTTCCCATTGTCAAGGCGGTCCGTAGATGCCACGACGGAGACTTTAAGATGATCGAATTGCTGCTCGAGAAGGGTGCAGACCCAAACAAGACGTATCGGGAATGGAACGCGGTAATGCAGGCCATCGAGAACCGAGACCTGAGGCTCCTTCGTCTTCTGGTAGAAAAGGGAGGAGGTGTAGATCTTGAAAAACAAGATGAGATTGGTAAGACTGTGATGCAGATGGTGGATGCATCGGGCTGGAGTGAAGCAACACAGCTTCTACTCGATAATGCGCGCAGATGAGGATCATTTAATGGCCGAAACTATATACCCACTTTTCCTTTGTGTATATTGAAAGATAATATGTCAGAGAGGACATTCGAAATGCTTGACCTCGCACCAAGTCAACGTCGGAGGAATTGTTCCACAAACTTGTCATGGCAGGTTACTGAATCGTCGAACCTGACACCAACCTGTGGCCAGGCAATCTACGACGAGGCCAGCATGTTATTTACAATTCTCATGTTGATTTTCATATGTTTGGGGGTAAAGCACCTGAGACTATCGCATGTATACGAGAGTCATAAATACTCTCATTGACAATGTCCCCAATGCTGACCTTTACTTTGTCTACAACCAAGTGCTCTACTTCCTTGATAGCACGCTCTGTTGTTTTTCTGTTATTTAATCAGACAGCAAACTGTATATACCAATTCTACCTATTCTAAGTGTCTAGCAACATCTAAGATGGCCTACAACGTCAGGATCCCGCTCAATTGGAGCCTCCCCCCCCGAGCAACTATACCTGGCTTCCGGTATTACCATGCCCAAACAGCGGTGATTTACCCCGAGACGTTCATTTAGAATGTCCAGTATCTACAACAGGAAGGAACTACATGGATAATGAAACACACCCTTAATAATGAAGCATAGTATGGTAGCTGGTCCATAAACATAGGATGTATTCGCAATGTTAACCGATATTTCGGGGGGAATATAACAGCCTCATACCACCAGTGCTTTGTCCGTCATAGTTTCACCTAAGCTTACAGAACTGTGCAGGGAACGGTTCCCATAAAAGAAGCCAGACTGACATATGCAGAGTAACGTCGCATAGCCCACTATCTTACGAAAAGATGGACAAGGAGCTATGTTAGCCTTTCACCAAGGAATACAGTTGATATTTAATGTGATAACAAAGGTCGCCTAGAAGCAATAGATATGCAGAGTTAGATCCTCTGATAGCGAGAATCATATACATGCGGGTATATTGAAAATGTCCACAAAGACCAGTCCTTCCAAAGGAAACCCAGTGTAGCTGGCATCCCATACATCCTTCTTAGCCCTTCATTCACTCGTCCAGATTATCAGTCCTGATCAGACGAAACTGCATTGTATCTCTCTCGGGCGGTGTCATCCAAGGAAGAATATAATCTTTTCTCGTCACGTCGACCAGTTCAAACCCACATTTGCGCAAGACCTTAACAGACGCCTCGTTCTCCGTATCGCAATATGCCTCTAACACCTTGAATTGCGGTTTGCACAACCAATATAATTCCACAAACGCCCTCAAAGCTTCCGTTGCAAATCCCAGGCCCCAGGTCGATCGGTGAAAAATGAAGCCCACTTCGGGGAGGGGATCCGTTTTCCATGTTCCGACCCATCCGATAAACCCGCCATGAGCCCAAATATCGTACGGCTTATTATCGTCGGGGCAGTCTTGACTCCCCTTGAGCCCGTTGGAGATATCATCCAAGTAGGTATCCCGCCGAAGGAGTACTGCATAGTTCTCACCCATGGGATTTGCTTCGAGTAACAAACTGGACATCCACTGGCGGGAATCCTCCAGTGTCTTGCATGGGCCGTGGGCGCTCCATCGGGTGGCCACCGGGTCGGACCAAATGGCGTGGTAGCCAGCCACATGGTCCTCGGTTAGACGGACGAGCTGTAGCCGCGCCGTCTGCATTTTTTGAAGAGAGGAAAGTGACGAAGTAAACAAGATCGCGATGTTAGATTGTATGGAATTCCAGTCGGAGAGGGAAAAAGAAGGAGTAAAAGTCAAAAATTCACAGGGAAATAAAAAAAAAGGAAAAGACAAAAGAGATCGAAGAATGATTCTATTCCGTGCGGGCACCGCATTCAGTTAGACAGGCTGAGTAATCCAGTGCATGAGTCTCAATAATAGAGTCATATAGAGTCATGCCCGAGGTTAACCAATTCTTACCACTGAAATGTCTCACGCTGACTACGCCCGAGCTGATGTAATACGAGGAAAGCACTCTGCTTGACCGGATCAATCCCAGCTTGCATTCCTATCAACCGACTGCTTGGAGGGATACCTCGTGCGCTCTGGTCGCCGTCCAAACGACCCTCCTCTTCGAGGGCCACAGAGCGCTTGGTGATGGTGTAAATCATAGAGCCATCCCATGTCCCCTCCCTACGAGGTGCCGCTGCCAGGATAGCAAGCGCGCCGTGGCGGGTACCATAGTTTCGACAATTTGTGGCAATAAAGTAGAGGATTGGGACAATCCCTATTTCCAAAGTAAAAACTGGTGGCGCCTCAGCAGTGCATGCAGGTTGAGGCGAATCGTCTAAGAGCAGCTGTAGTCTCGATAAAAGCAAACCAAACTCCCTTTCAAACGGGTCGTGTGCAAACGCCCCCTGCGAGTGGTCCATCTGGAGCAGCATTCGCAAAGCATCGCGGTAAATCTCGACGAGCGTCGCTGCGTGCTGCTCAGGCGTTGAAAACGTATGGGCGTGTTGGCTCCGAAACGCCCGATAAGCGCGATCCCACTGATCCAATCCGGGCACTCCCTCGGTTTGTATTTGTCGAAGAAACACCTCGCTCTCCGCCATGGCTACGGGGTATTTACGTCGATCACCGACATCACCAGACGTCATGCCGGGCGTGGTTGCAATTTTTGCCAGAGCTATCTGGTTGATGAGTCGAAAGAACCTATCAATCTGGTTGAAAAGAATATCCTGAGCCTCACCCAAGGACGTAAACATGTCCGGCGTGGCGACGGAGAAATACTGCCCTGGCTTAGTAAGTGCGCTGGGAGTAGTGGAAGCGACATCCAGGAACAAATCACATTGAAATCGCATGCGCATCAAGGTACCGACCATAGGATATTTGGATATGATTAATGTATTAGGTCGGTCCTGCCTCGCCGGGCCCCTGCCCGTGTCTTTTGCTATCTCTGACATATAAAAGGCACAGCGCAGGTGTACGTCAGCGGCCTGGTACCGACCTTGGAAGATTTCAATGGAAGAAAGCAGGAGACAAGCTGTCAGAAAGGTATCCATAGACTGGATTTTTGAACAGAGTAGAGATTTCATGTGTGAGAGAGCGGATGCATAATGGACCAGAGCGGAATGCTGCTTATTGCTGTTCCCTGGACCGTTAGGGCTGGTTGAATCTGCAAAGCTGCGATGCAAGTCCGCCAAGGAAATGGCGGCGTATCGGATGACGGGCTCGGCATAGCACATCTGGAGAACCAAACGATCCTTAGAAGCGGCGTGGAAACATCCCAAGAGTTGAGATGCGGTATGCCGGCGAAAGTAGTCGAAGGACATACTTTCGCCCGCTTTGGTGAAAAGAGGAAGGTTAAACGGGGACTGCAATGTCCCCTGCTCTTCTGCCTGAGCGGTCTTTACCACTTCTGGGGGATACCCGTCGCACTTCCGTCCGGTACTGGTACATCTTACACACCCTGGCCGGGCTTCATCACATTTGACGCGCCGGATCCTACAAATAGTGAGCGCGTTGTGCCAGATACCTACCCCTTGGGAAGCTGATTAATCGGTCTTACTTGCAAGTATAACAGCCCGTGCGCACTCTAGTATATTTCTTTGGCTTTTTTGCCATGGTATGTGTCTACTACCTGACAGCAGCTCAAGGACAACCTGCGGATTACCATGCTCGGCAGTGGAATGGCCGGGTGGCCCCCCTTTTGTATATGCAGCAGGAAGATCGCCATATCTTCTGCACTTTCGGTCCGACGTCTTCCGTTGGTCTTCATTGACAAGGCACGCTATACCGAACAGGGACTAGTGTCTCATGCACGGATTTCCCGAAGGAACATCAATGCCCTCACCTCACCCACTTGAAAGGCATCAAGTTCTGTTCCTTCATTTGCTTCAACTAGCTGGAGACGACGTAGCCATAATGTCAATATAAATCCGACGCTTTATTTATGCATAGCGCTGTCAACATCTCGCTGCTGTACTGTCAACCTTCGCTGGCAGAGAGGCTTGGAGATGAACAACCGAATAGTGGAAGTGGATCATAGAGCGATTGATATTTGATCTATTTAATCTGGACAAGGCACCACCGCAGATGGAAGAGAGAAAGAGAGCATGAATGCAGGGAATCCATCACGTCCCCGATCTTTTTGCCTCTATTCGACAACCTCCATTTCTGGTTCATTCTACAGAGCTCTATGAACCAGCTGTACACAGTCGACGAGGCCGTGTTCCTCCTCAGGGCCACCGGGCAGCTGACTGACAATTTCGACCGGTTTCTCGAGTCGTAGCTCGACATTCTTTTCGCCACCAGTTCCAATGGTCCACGATATGGTCGCAACATTGTCCTTTCCTAGCGCAACCTTGGCTTGGATGGCATCACTGAGCCCAAGACGTGGCTTGAAGAGGACTCTAGTCGAACCCGGTGCGATAGGTCGAACACCGGCCAGTTCGGTGCAATATTCATAGATGGGCACACTAGACCACGCGTGGCAGTCTGACCGCTGCCGGACGTCGTCCTCTTCCCAGGTGGACAAATTGCTGGCTAGCATATTGCGCCACGGGTCCCACAGCTGGGGCCAAAAGCTGTCGTAGACCTGATCACCAGCAAGGGACAACGCACGAAGGGCATAGAACCGCATCATGTACGAGCATTTCGCGAAGCGAGAGTCCGCGAACGATTCAGTCAGAAGGCGGGCGTGATCCTCTGGTCGCGCGGTACCGGACACAACTGCAAAGACCTGGCAATGTTGTGAATAAGACGATTCGTCGTCAGCGATGTCCGCCGTGGAATCGGTGAAGAACCGTCCGTCGTAACAGTGCGTTCGAATGGCTTGTTGCAGGGCGGCCGCACGCGCTTCATACTCATCTGCATAGCCCGGTCGACCAACTTCGCGAACAAGACGTGCAGCTTGTTGGAGAACATACGCATATAACATGCTAAAGTATGTATGGCGGTTTGATTTGCGACCGGAGGTGGGCACCCCTTTGTCGGGATAATCGTCCGTCGCACCCCAGGTGGTGACCCAGTCGACATACTGCCACACATCCTCAGGCAATCCGCTTACAAGACCCAAGGGGTCAATGTGTAAGTCAAAGAAGTCGAGGACGCCGTCGATCCGGGGGAGGAAAGAACGAGCAAAGGGAGTGTCGCCGAAGTAGAGATGGTGATCGCAGACCTGCAGGACCCAATACAACGGGAAGCCGGCAATAAGCTGAGGGACGTGAGAAGGGAAGCGAGACTGAGTGAGACCCTCGCAGGTGACTGAAGCTGCAAAATTTGTGATTGCTTGTCGCATCAGCCGGTCATCACCCGAGAGTAGATAGTGAAACAAGCCGACGGCGCGACTGTCACCGGAGTATCTGCCAGGAATGTTAGTCGTCCCTGGATACGATCTCAACGGGTATATCTGGTTGTAGACTTACTGAAGTTGCTCATAGAACGGACAGTCCGAGTACCCGTCAAACATGCAGTTTCGCATGGTGCGAATCGACACGTCCCATATGCGTTCGCTGTATTCATCGCCAGGCTCGATCCAGCTGGCCTTGACGGCGAGGGGGTAATTCACTTGTGTCACATCCATTGGAAACATCCGGACCGGTTCCTCTCCCACTATAATCTCGAGGCGTAGAAGGCGAAACGTCCGGAACCAAAATGGCTCGTATGCCACGGTTTCTGTGTCAGGGATATCCAAAGTGACCGCGTCATATGGACCAAGGAGATGACCAGCTTTTGCATCCAGCCGATCTGTCTTCTTGCGAAAGTACGGGTAGGAACGAGGCTCCAGCTCGTAACCCTCCGAGTATGTCACTTTCATTGTGATTTGCGACGAGCTTTTGATCCCTTGAAATGCCCATCGGAGGAAGGCTGTTGAGTGTGTCTCGGCCTGTAATTCAAGCATGTGCGAAGAGCGCTCACGAAGAGTCAAGGGGCCACTCCCTGACAAGCAAGATGACCATTCGTCTGCACTGATATAACTCTCGCAGGCGCGTATCACGTTAACGACGATGGGGCTCTGATCAGGCATTGGGAACCCACGCGGACGTAAACGCCAGGGTGGGAGATCGCCATTCAGGGTTTTGATTCCATACGCCTTTGGGGCTACTGATGGGCTGTAAATTGTCGGAGCGACTCGTTCGTATATCTGTTAAAACGAGATAATGGGTGGTATGTTCAGAATGGCAAGATAGAGCCAGCTTACGTGTAAAAATCCGTCGTCTATCAAACCCATTGGGAATTGAATACTCTCATCCACTTGGACCTGCCATCCCTTATGCGAATCTAGCTCCACGACGTTACTGCCTGTCTCTATAGAGCCCACCACAGTCAATCCCGGCAGCGTCGTCCTCTCAAAGGGCATGGCACCGCGCGAGGATGCAAAGTATCGCACCACGACGAACCGAATCACATTTTGTCCAGAGTTAAGATAAGGTGCGATATCGAGCGTGTCATAGTACCAGATCCACGGACTGCTGCGCGCTGGCCCGACAGCGACACGGACCCCATTGACATACAACTTATATCGCGTATCCGCAGAGAAATGCAACAGTGCGCGGGTGGGACTTTCCGGAAGGTCAAGCTCACGGCTGAAATGGACAATTCGCCCTGCCGTATTGACTCGCGACGAATCAATCCAGTCTGGTGTCCATATCCAGTTGGCCTGGAGGGAGTTGATGACCTGGCGAGACTTGTTAGTATGCTATAGGTGTGCCAACAGAAATTGGTCGCGCATACTTTCTGTTCGTCCGATGTCACCATATTGTGTTAACCAGGTACGGGTCCCTCCGCATATTAGACTGTTATTATTCGGGTGTCGCAGAAAGGGCTTGGATTTGAAAATATTAATCTGACCGGTGTCCATGACGCGCGTGAGGGGTTTGGTTTGTCTCGGGCTATTGCGTCCCGAGGTGGATGTTCGGTTAATTTCGTATATTGTAGATCTGCTTTGAGAGGTTATATAAAATGAACTTTTTGTTATAAGATTTCATAGTGCATTTAAAGCAAGACAAAGCAACCTTCAGTGTCTCGGTTAAAAACAATAGCATAGTAGATTCATCATCCGGAGGAATAGTATTCATAAAGTAGGGGACGTATCACAAAAAAAAAAAAAGAATTGAATAATTCTTTTTTGCTTCAAACGACGTATTGTCTAGTAGACTAGCAGCGAAGTATTAAGGCCCAGTGCCCCTGTTAGAAGTGCTACAATTGCTTTCTCCATTCATGACATCACTCGATGATATAGAGGCCTGTACAGAGGTGTGCCGCGGCTGAAGGTCAAATATGGATCCCTAGGCAAGAGGAACAACATTAACCAGGGAGTAACTAGGAAGAAGGCCAATCAGACAAGTTTATTTCCATTCAAGCACTCCATGAAACTCATGAAACTCAGCAATCACAGTACAACTCTACGGATTGCTTAACTTATGAACGCCAAATTCCAAGAGAAGACGGAGGTGGATGGGGGCTACATATGCTTTTTCTGAGCCACGAGCAGAAATTCCACCTTTTCTATTTACACCAATACTGCTCCGTACTGAGATAGGGTGCCAAAACTTATAAGATCGTGTTGATCCCCATGGAGCAGGTCGCTTAAAGATCGATCGTGAGTGGAATCATTCGAAAAGGAAATGGATCGATCCGATCTTTTGGCACCCGATCTCAGTACAGCCAGCCATTCCAGTTTCTCGCCGGCAACGCACGCTCCTTGGTCAATTCATTGGAGAGGTAAAGGTATTGTGGACTCTGCTGACTGCCGAACGACGAAGTATCAGTCGAGGAGCCCCACGACGATGATGGATTGGACTGTAGTAACCTTTGTACTTGTACATTGGGATGGTAACTACCTAAGAGCGTGTAATATGCATTGCTTTGGGGTATACGACCTCGCTATATTGACTTGGTTAAGTGAAGTGTGCCTGGACTATCTGCCGGAACACACCTTATGTTGAACTTTACCCGTAGTAAATTGTTGTCTATCGAACGTGCTGTGTCATTTGCAGGATTGTTAACGCTGTCGTTGTGTGTTGCTCATATTGGTATCTTAATTAAAGATCGTCAGTAAAGGTAAGGCTCTAGATCGTGGCCAGCCGCAGAGAACCATGGTTGAGGAAGACACGCATCTTGGTATAGAAGCAGGGTTACCGTGTGATGTCATGCATGACATAAATCCGCCCTCACATGCTCTCTGTTCTATAAAATGGTATAGTTTGTCAATCGGACTATATTTCCACTCTATTTCCATTACAGATCACATCATATGAGACATGATGGATGATCGCAGCGACTCACGAAAGAGAGTGGCCATCATTGGCGCCGGTGCGGCGGGCATGGTAAGCAGAATGTGAAATAAACTCAGTAAACGTGCAGGACTAATAAAAAGATAGTCGTGCGCTTCTACACTAGCAAAACATCCGCAAAATTATGAAGTGACACTGTTTGATACCGCACCACATACCGGTGGTCAGGCTATCTCAATCCCTCTCGATGATTCCCGCCATGGCGCCAGCTGGTTGAATGAGGGCGTGCAGGGTGGTTCGCCCATTTTTCGACATACTTTCAATTTCTTCCGAAGATACGGCTATGAACCGGTGGCCGTCAAATTACAAGTGTCCTTTGGGAAGGGACCAGACAGCTTCTGGACGAACTTGTTCCCCAGTCCGCTGGTGGATCAATTTTCAGACGAGATACAAAAGTTCGGTCGCGTATTGAAATGGATCAAGCGACTCATGCCATTCCTAGGTATTCTGCCAGTGAAGACCATGTTAAGGCTATTCCGGTTCAGCACTGCGTTTGGAAACAAAATGGTGTTGCCATTGCTGGCTCTCTTCCTGGGTACCGGCAACCAAACACCCAATGTGCCGAGCGTGCTCCTGGAGCGACTCTTCAATGACAAGAATATGAGATTGTGGGACTATGATCCTGATACACTTCTACCCAATCAATCCACCATGTATACCTTTCCAAATTTGAGTGACTTCTACCGTGACTGGTCTCGCGACCTGAGTTCAAGAGGCGTCCATCTCCGGCTCAAGACTCGCCCCGAGCTTTTAAAGCGAGATAAGCAAGGCATAACCTTACGCCCACATCCTGCGACCAACGATGCGAATGATAATCCGGGTGGCACCGATCTACTATGTGAGGAATTCGATGAAATGGTTATTTGCTGCCCAGCCGACGAGGCCAAGAGATTACTTGGAAAACATGCGACATGGCGCGAGAAGTACGTCCTGGGTGGTGTTAGATTCTTCAACGATATCACCATCACGCATTCCGATTCCGAATATTTTGATAGTATCTTCGAGACCCGATACAAGAGCCATCTTTGTGCGAAGGGCAATAGCCAGTCGCGCGAAGACCAGATTTCATTTTCCCAAAAGACTCCGAGAACACGGAAGGATGGGTGGGAGGGCTTTGCTCCAATGTACTATATTCATTCGTACGAGTCTGATCCGGACAAGATTGAGATGGGCTTTGACTGTACAAACTACCAGCATCAGTTCCGTGAGGCCCTTGGTGAGAATGCCATTTCCCCGGAGTCTGACCGGCACGTTTATCAGACAATATTCCTGAACGACGAGCAGAAACACCTCTGGACGTGGAAAGGCATCGACGACAGTAAGATAATCGACAAAAGGTGGTGGCACCAATTTGGGCATCGTTGGCAACATTATCTACGCGTGGTACCAGGAATGATGTTTATCAATGGTAAAAATAGGACGCTGTACGCTGGCGCTTGGACGATGGTGGTGAGTTTCGCCAAATCACTTCGCTCACTACTCCGCAAGCTAACTATTACACAGAACATGCACGAAATCGCCTGCATATCTGGAATTGCAGCGGCCTACCGACTCGGTGCTGAGTATGAGGCTTTCGACGATTTTGCCGAGGACTTCTTCGCCAAGTATCTCCTTGTCTCGCATGGCGTGCGCTACAAACGAAGCGCAAATGCGATGTGATATGGCTGAGTTGACACTAATGCTCAATCTTGGATTTTCTCATCTTAGTACATATGATAAATACGTGCCTCTGTACACCTTCCCGGTAGTAAAAGTCTGCTCCTGGGCGGATGCGACTAACACAAACGCCCTGAGACTTAACACACCACAAGCTCCAAATCCGTTTCCGACGCCACCGCATCGAGAAAGCCTTCCATATCAATGCCAGACATCTTAGTGTACTCAAAGATCTGGCGGAACCAGTCGTACTCAGGGAGGTTGTAGTATTCGAAGTACCCGAATGCAATCGACGCCGGAAAGGAGATCACGCAAGCTCCCAGGGCAACTGTCTTCGGTTGAAGGAAGTATTCGGAAGATTTGGCGATGTTGATGGCCATGTTATGCATCTCTTGTACATCACAAGGAAAAGGGGGAAGTGAAGGCGGACTGCCCTGCCGCGCATTGGTTGTACAGCTCAGATATAACATACCGAGATTGCTGAAGAGAAGAACATGAGACGTCCAGTATAGCAGGTGAATATGACCCGATTCGAGGTCGGGGAAATAGATGCATGTCGGCGGGGCCCTTTCCTGCGGTATAGCGCAGCTTAAATGAAGACTTGACGGCTGTTCCCAGTGTAGCTTACTAGGGTGGTCGCATTTATACGTCCCATACCAGGTCCGTAGCCGTCTGGAGAGGCTCGAGTATACTTTGCAGACTCTAGATAGTCTTTGCGATTTCTCGTGGCCGTCGGATGCATTATACACCGAGTCAACCATCTGCAATAAAGCCGGAATCTCCATCATCAAGTCTAGTAAATGCTGTTTGGGCTCCTTCTTACCCCCCTTCCAAGGGACGGATATCCATTCCGGCGTTGCGAGATATGTCGGTTTTCTTGTGCCAATACTATGAATCATCTGCCGTGACTCCAATTAGCCGTGAGGTCGTACAGCAACATCGCAGATCTTACAGCAGAAAGGCGCAATGCGTCGAACAGTCTATGTCTCGCCTGAGTCCATGGAGTGTCCAGCCCTTGTGAATGAACCAATGACAAGGCCCCGTGAGTATGGCTAGCCCACCCCAGGCCTCTGCTCGACGATCCTTCGATAATCTGTATGAGGACTTCCTCTTAGCACGAACTCAACTACTAATGGGGAAGGAAATCTTGCCTCATAAATGGCTAGAAACATCATGCTTGCTAGGGTCTCATCACGAAGGCCCGGGGTTCCATTTTGAATCGTTCTGTGAAGATGCCGCAGTGACTGCGAATATGATTCTGAGCTTAACCGAGTCAAACGAGGATCCTGGGAAATACGACCCATTCGAGCCGCTCCAAGTGCTAGCAAAGCGGACCTCAGGCTCGGCTCGTCTACATCAAGGTGTGGGGTAAATGCCATCCAGTCGATATAACTCGACTTTCCGAACACGTCTAATCCGGTCTGGATGACATTGTTATGGAAGTATGAGCTACAGTAATACGCGACGGCAGAGCGATGAAGGGTAAGGGCGTGGGAGGATAGCCCACTGCTGCACGCACGATATGTGATCGCCTGGCCTGGCAGGGTCTCACCCTCTCGACTGGTGGAGATTGCTCCTGCGTTTAAACTAGACTCCGACGCCTCGTGGCTGGAACGGCCTTTGCCGTGATAGGATACATTGATGAACTTCATCTCCCGCGAATAGCCAGGACAGGAAGTGTTTCGCGACAGGCATTGACCACACGATGGCCGCTGCTCGTCGCACTATCGGTATAGTTCAGAGGGAATGCTCAAAGTTAGGCAAAGAAGGTCACCCACCCGTTTCTTGCGCCTGCGGCATGCATGACACCCTTTCGAACCCCCTGCGATTCGTGCCATTGAGTCAAGGGCAATGATCACAAATAATTTGCTCTACGGTATGATGCACCGAGCATAGATTGAGATTCACGCTCACGTCTTTACGGAGATTATTTAATGATGCTTGCATAGCCCACGCCGTGGGGCTACGGAGGTGCGCCACAGAATACGAGGACGCCATCTAATGCCAAGGTTGAGAAAGAGTCCAGAAACATTTTGGCTTCGGCGCATTACATTTCCTGATTTGGTATGGCTTGTAATGACTAAGACCTTGCGAATCCTTCGTGGTTGGTGGTTATATTTAGCGTCATATGATAGCTGGACTTCAATACATCTCTCTCTGCAAGCAAACATTTACATCTAAGGCAGATGGATTTATCATGGGGAAGCGCAAAACCTTTCTTAATCCAGGAGTCATGATGATGCCTAAAGCTCAAGTGTTCTGCAATCTTGTTGACACAGGAATTGAGCCTCGTAAAAACATGGCCGCCTTGATGAATAGGTGATTTCTCGAACATAAATAGAGAGGTTCCCAGAATATTAGATGTCCTTATTGTGCTTCTATAGATCACTTCGTCTTTCATTCAGACAATTATGGAAGCTGTTGCGTCAAGAACTCATAAAACAAGGTCCCGCTGGGTCCAAAAGCTATACAATGCTTTGGGATTCAAAAAAGGCTATAACTTCATCTTGTGTATGCCCATGGTCCAACCCTCATGTGTGTAGCGATAAGAAGCTAACCGTGGACCAGTCTTTATTTTTGGCGGCGCATGGATGGGATTCACCCTCGCTCGTCTGGAATTCCTAGACTTCTCCACGTTCTGCAAGAATGCAGTGCCCGGCGAGTGCTTTTATTATAAGGGGCGAGGATACATAGGACTATACCTACACCTTGGGTGTATCCTACGTATGTACTCTGCACACAAAAATATTGTTAGTCAGGTTACTAACATCATTATAGCTGCTGCCTTCCTTGCGTTCTTCCAATTTATCCCCGCCATCCGATACAGGGTGATATTATTCCATCGCATCAATGGCTACATCATCATCCTGCTTGTTTTGCTCTCCAATGCCGGGGCATTAATGATTGCAAGGCATTCATTCGGGGGTCTTCTCTCCACCCAAGCCGCCGTGGGCTTTCTGGTAATCCTATCAACCTGTGCTATTGGCATGGCATATTACAACATCAAGCGACTGCAGCTGGAGCAGCATCGAGCCTGGATGTTACGGGCATTCTTCTATGTAAGACTACTTTGTACCAATGTAAATCTCTTTACGGACCTACTAAACCGAACAGATGGGATGTATCATCACCGTGCGCATAATCCTCGTCATATCGACCACTATTATCTCAATCTCACCCAAATATTACATGGCACAGCCCTGCGACAAGATCGACTTCATGATAGGAAAGGAACAAACACTCGAGAGCTACCCCGACTGTGCTAGCTTTTACAACGGGACCCATCCAGACCAAAATGTCCTTGTACTAGGCGACTTCAATGGCGATGCGGACAAAATTGGGACTGCGTTTAACATGAACTTCGGGATGGCATTTTGGCTGGCCTTGTTCCTTCACGCTATAGGTGTAGAGATATATGTGAGTCTATCCGAAGCGATATTCCCCTTGTTCAAATGACGAGCGCCACGGAAACTGACTTGGATATCCAATTGTATTAGCTGCAATTAACACCAAGGGAATCTCAACGGCTTCGCGAAATCTCCTACACCCGACAGTTAGAAGCTGGGTTTGAAAGCCCTGGAAGGGCAGGTCTCACTGTCGACAGGTTTGGCGATAGTGAGCCTTGGGTTTCTGGGAAATGAAAGTCTTTGAATGTTGCCTGCTAGGGTAATCTACCTGTTAAATTGTCAGACTCCGGTGGTTTGGAGGTAGCGCCTTCGTAACACATAGTGACCTGTGATGTTGAGGTGATTTGTTCCCTGTGGCTTTATATATAAGACTGCGTTGTTTGCAGGCATATGATGGGTTCATGTTATTAAACTATCTAGTGGTTATGTATGTGGTGCTGGTAAATATGAGAGAGGATATAATACCAAGAATAGATGCACAACAAGGACGACCAAATATAGAGGCATGTAAGGTATAAGTATGAAGGATAAGCAATACGAGGAAATATCGAAGTGCTTCTCACCCCTCTGGTTTTATAGGGCTCAAGATGATAGTGATATACTATAGTCCGCCTTTCTTGCACATTGACACTCTAATCCCTAGAGTTCCTTCATCGACTGATGCAAACGTGAAACCTAGAGACAGGGAGATACTTTGCTTCCGCATATTCCCCTGAGCGTTCAACGTTCCATTGATACAGAGAGGTGAATACCGTTTATTGTAAGCCGGAGGAATCAGGAAGTACTTAATGAAACTTCAGGCCTTCAACCTTAACAACAGGGCCTTCATAGACCTTCCGCGCAACCAGCCAGTACAAAACCCCAGATATTCCCATTACTCCGACAAACAGAACCGGTGCCCAATTGAGAGTTTCGGCCGTGACTTGACGGTTCACAGGCCAGAAACTCCAGAAGAATGCCCACGAAGCATATACCAGAGCTAGTATATTTATTGACATTCCAAATCGACCAAGCGACCAGCGGGAAGGGGGTAGTGGTGGAGATTTCGTTATGCGACGCACGATAACGCAAGCAATGCAGATCATATATGTACCCATGAGAGGGCTGGTAGCTAGTGATAGCAAGGCGTTCATTGCGACGCCGGAACCAATATTAATCAAGAACATGATTAGTGAGAAAGCGCACGTTATTATAATCGAATTGACGGGGATATGGAGTGTTGCGTGGACCTATTCATACTATTAGTAACGAACCCAGCCACCGCTACAGTCGATGAGGGTCATACAGCTCCAAGCCAGTTAGAGAAGGGTAGGCCATTATCCCGAGCAAAGGCGAATGTCTGTCGTGATGCTGACGCCGTGCAGCTAATAGTTATCATGAAAAATAAGAGGAGGATGACCAAGACTAGTACGCTTGCACCGGTTGCATTCTTCGTGGCCTCGGAGAATACATAGATAAATGGTAGACCAGCAGGGGAGTCGAGAGCGTCTTGCACGTCAGGCATTATAAATAGATATGTTAGAACTGAACCCATGGCCAATGGTACATTTAGGACAAATGACAGTATCATTGCTTTAGGAACTGTAATACCAGCGTCCTCAATCTCTTCCGCTGTAATATGGTTAGCAGCTTATAAGGTACCCTACAAGTCATAGGAAGTGCTTACACATATGGGCAACTGAGTCAGAGCCTGGTGGAAGACAAGATCAGCAGTAGCCTCGTTAAATCGAAATTATAGAGCTCTCACCCATGATGGTAAACATCGAGGACACTTGGCCTATCATCACTGCCAAAGATGGATTCCCTCATCCAGCTCCATAATCCTTAAAACCGAAGAATACGTCTTGTGCTTTGGCCTTGGGAGCAAGAACGAGTAATGTGACTATGATTGGAGCAAATGCAAAGAAGTGGAACGTGACGAAGATGCCCTCGGCAAGTGGAAGATGTTTCGCAGCAAATATATTGAAAAGACTCATACCAATGGACGCTGCAGAGACGATCAAGGTTCCTTGCCAACGAGCCGGTGCATATGTCTCACGATTCAAGAAGATCACGCCCTGTATCATTGTTCCGGTCAGATAGGAGTTGAATGCCACTGCGCTCTGCCAAGCGAGTGCGGAAAGCCATCCTATTGTCAATACAGGCGTTAGTAGGTAAGATCAGCTTGACGATATTCATCGCCTGGCCCTCATACCGGAGGCATAGCTAAGAAACCTTTGATATTTCCTAGGAGCGAATTCAGATACCCACTAGTACGGAGCTTCAGCTTAAGGCTCTCTGTCATCCAAGATATAAGAAGTACTTACATGGTACTGACCACCCGCGGTAGGTGCCCTGTGTACGCAAGGTTAGGCCCAAAGCCGAGATCCAGATTGCCATACTCACATGGAGGACATTTCAGCTAAAGAAAGAACGATAAAAAGCTGCCCACAGCATGCCCAAACCAGGGACCAAAACAGACATGGTCGCCCACCTGCCCTTAAGCCCTGGGAGGTTGAACTGCCATCATGTCAGCGAATTCATCGCACGTTCAGGGGTCACTCACGTCAGCACATTCTCCCAGGTTCCCATAATACATGTTGTGAAGCCAATGGTACTGATGAGCCGGAAGTTTCGCTTTGATGCATTATCAGTACTTTGGGCTAAAATGTGCAGAGAGGCTGGATGCAAACCCTCATTTCCTGCTTTTTACCCATCCGATGCATGTCCCTTTGGTCATGCACTGTGAATCCCTCCTTAACGTCCTGCGATACATCTTCATCAAGACATTCTCTTGTGTCGGGCACTGCCTCGATCTGTGGGTTGCTGTCCGTGCCGACTTTTTTCAGGTCTAGCGGCCCGCTTGCCATGATGACTGTGAAGGATACAAATCTAGAGATATAAGAAGGTTGACAGACTGTGGTGTGAACTGTCATAGGAGAATTGAAGAATGAGAAAATCCTTCGCCTAGCAATTTCACCCCTGGCGCAGGGTACGTAGATAAGTGTACAGCGTCACATCGCCATTGCATCTCACGAGGTCGTACACGTACTATAGCAGATTTTAGTCTGAGTGTGAAAGTCTCGGCCTCAATTGGAATATCCCTTAAGCTGCCCAATGGATATGCGGAGTAGACTCACCGGTGGCGCATAGCCTGCATAATGTCGCAGCTTATTTTTAGGGATCATACATAATGAATTTTCCCATTGGGAGTTTCGCCGTACAAGACCTCTCAGCACCCTCGCTGAGAGGATTGAGTCCCGATCCAATAGATTACACGCCTCTAGGATCTATCTGACTCTTGAAGCCATCTCCTTTATCCCTGAAGGCTCGGCTTGAAGCCGGTGTCCCCATTTTCCAGACAAGGTCATGCAAGTCTAAAACCGTGAGGTTGCACGCATATACATATTAACCTTCGAGTATAACCTTTCAAACTGGGGCCATGTAATTCAGCGCCTCCCATATCCCGCTAGAGCCATTTTAATCCCTTGCTCAGGCCCTGATCTAGCCCCGTCCCAATCAATATTCGTAAGCCCTTTTTCGACCCCGAGAATAATTTGTGACCGTTTGTGAAACGAGATAATACGAAATAAAGAACAAGTGGGTCGGAGCAGCATTTATACATCATTGCGACGGTCCAGGATCCCTTGTCCGCATGCCGAATGTTTGGTGGAGTCACCATTCATTTTTCCTCGATATTTACAATATCTCTCTTGTATCCTAATTGCGCTTAAATGGCTATCTCCAGCAATGAGGACCACTCCTCCATGGAGGTCACATCAGATAATCATGTCGCATTCATTGTTATTGCCGCAGTAGTTGGATTGGTATGGTCGATATTGATGATTGTAATTAGAATATTCTTACGAGTCCGTCTCATTCCACCACTTGGGTTTGACGACGCAGTTGCTCTTTTCGGAACGGTATAGAAACCCTCTAATTTGATATCTTCCTTCTATACTTTCCAGACTAACCTATGCACACAAAGATTGTTGGAGCGGTGCAAACATCAGTAACACTTCACGCTGTACACAATGGCATCGGCAAGCAGGAAGACTTACTTGCACCCGATCAAACGCATAATGGGTTAAAAGTATTATTTCGCGTCCTTCTATGCTTCAAAAGAATAATGATAGGCCGCTAACAGTGAGATGACGTGGTAGAGCATATACGTTGCCTGGTTGCTTTATCCGATCGCTGTCTGTTCCTCCAAGGTCTCTTTGGCATTACTCATAGCGCGCCTTACCGTAGCCAAGGTGGAGCTTCGCGCAAGCTATGTGCTCACCGGAATCAGCGTTGCTTGGGGAGTTGTTGCGGTCATTGTCGCAGCAACACAGTGTGGGCTACCGCAGCCATGGAATATCGGAGCCTCTCATCAGTGTGATAGCATGGTATAGCCCATACCCAGCATTCCATGGGAAATACGCAGTGTAGTCCTTCTAACCTGTCTCTTCGCCATAAAGTTCGTCCGATGGACCGTGGTTGAGACGGGAAATATGCTGATCGAGCTACTAATTCCCGGCCTCATCATTATGGTGCTCTGGAATCTTCAAGCGCGGTTAAAGGCAAAGATTACCGTCCTGGTGGCCTTTTCAATGCAACTTCTGTCAGTGGCTGAATATATACATGCTTTCATATCAGGGACTCTACTGACATGATCTTATACCATGACATCAACAGGGTCACAATCCCGACCGTCTTCCGATTGATACTTCTCCACGAGATGACAACAGTCGACATTCGGAACGACCGGACTTTTGCAATCGCTAATACTGTGGTGCTCACTGAAATCACCATGCACTTTTCCCTCATGGCTGCCACCTTTCCATGCCTTCGCAAATTCTTGCAGGCGTTTGATACGAATCTGGGCGCAACGACCCATATGATTACTGATCCGGACGACCCGAAGCAAACTGGGTCAAACGGAAGCTATGGACTGAGGTCCTTAGACCGACCATCTCGTGCAAAAGGGACCAACATCGAGCATTGGTCTCGGAACTGTAATCGGTACAATCGAAAATATCAACCCCACACCGTAACAACAGTTTCGGCTGGTGTGGGTGATCCGAGTGGCTCCCCAGAAGGGAATGAAAGGGTACAAAGGCAACGCACGAGGAATCACGACCTGGAGAGTGGAGGTGTAGGGAGTGATGATAGCCAACTTACCATAATTCGGCGGACGCAGCATTGGGAAGTTACGGTAGAATCGAGAGGAAACTGATACAGAAGTGAGAGGGAACCTCTCTGTGTTATGACTTGCAACGTTGGAAGTGTTTTGTTATACAAGCTTGGATTCGACGACTAGCGTATACATATCCTTATTCATATATTTGAATCACGTAGAGAGTTTTCATTCGTCCAATCATATTTCTATGAAGGGCGTTTAATGCCCAAAGGACGTAACCGTGGCAGCTCTGGCCTCGTCGCGATGCTCCTTCTGCCATTTCTTGGAATAGCGCACGCCAAAGCCATCACTGAAGACTTCACGAATAGCCTCCAGGGGCATGCCCTTGCATTCCGGGAAAAAGAACACCACAAATACCCACCCAGTGAAGCAGATGCCAGTGTAGAACCCAAATGCACCGCTTGGTGTGATACCCTTCATCATGGAGAGGAAGGTCGAGGAGATGATAATGTTGGTGCTCCAGCAAGTGACCGTGTTCTGTTGAGTAACTGTTAGCCATATCGAACACTATTTCCTATTGTGACAGGACGTAAAGACGAAGGGGAATGATTGGGGACATCGGAAAGGAAGGACGAACCATCATCGTTCCAATAGCTCGGACCTCCAGTGGGATCAGCTCAGTCCCAATCCACGCAATGGTCGCAACGCCGGACGAGTAACAGGCAACATAGCAAATGATGGTCACCAGGACCACGGTTCCTGGCCAGCCAACATTATTGCTTTCCACTTCTAGTGTTTGCAGGTTGACTGGAATATAGTGAAACGCGACCGCGGTGACGAGCATACAGATGGCCATGCCAAGGACGGTCGTGGTCAAGATAATTCGTCGTCCGAATCGATCCACAACCAGGAGGTTTACGACCGAGAAGACAAAGTTGGTCCCTGACACGGTAATACCAACAGCCGTCGGGTTGTTAAATCCAACGATAGCGAAAAGCTTGGATGCGTAGTACATTAACGTGTTGAACCCACCCAGTTGACTGATGGCCATGACCACGCATGCAGTGAGGACGGCACGACCGGTAGACGGGGTAGTAAACACACGTCTAATCGTGGCCCAGATGGTGTCTTCGGACATCGCGTGCGTTGCTTCCTGGATGGACAGCTCGATTGATCGGATCTTGGCCTCGCGCTGTTCCGTCGTGGACCGCGGATAGATGCGGAGGAGGACAGCATCTGCGCTTGCAGTATCGCCGTGCGAGACCAGCTGACGAGGCGACTCGGGGCACAGGAAGAGGAGTGCAGCAAGGGCAAGGGGCGGTACAGCTCCAATACCAACAGTTGCTCGCCATGCTTCGCCCTTCACCTGAGCAAAACCAGCCCCGATCGCGCTCGCCAGGAGCTGACCGAAGGTAACGCTCATGTTGTTGAATGCCACCATGCGGCCACGATATTTGGCAGGGGCTATTTCACCGACTATACATCAATTAGTATGCAACCACCGTATTCGAGTAACGGGAATGAACATACTATACAGAGGTACAACCATGGCAGCACTGCCGACGCCAAGGCCCACAACGAACCGACCGACCGCAAACTGAGGCACCGAGTAAGAACATGTCTGAAGCACTGTTCCTAGCACGAAGAGAATGCAAGCCCCCCAGATGGGCCAGCGGCGGCCAAAGCGATCGGCAGTCAAGCCAGCTCCTACTGCACCGACCAAAGCACCACCGCTCGTCAATGAAGTGACGAGCTCTTCCTCACTGGAGCTCAAGGTATGACCGAGGGACGTTCCAATTGTCACAAGTACCGAGGAAATATAGCCGGTATCGTACCCTGGAAAGGAGATTGTCAGTTCCGACTTCCTGGTTATCTGCGAAAGACATACCGAATAGAAGACCACCGATTGAGACAGTTATGGAAATCAACCACGCAGCTTTGGAGGCCGCCGTGTCTTCAATGCCACTCAGCTCGGAGACGTCCTTGAGACCTCCCTTCTCGGCATCTATCGTGTCAACATGTTCCACTTGCTCTGCTTTTTCTTTCTCATACGAGTCGTCCTCGCCATCGTACTTATTCGGCGACATGATGCAGAGCCTGGTGTGGTTTGATCCGAGGATTGCCAAATATGAATGGGGTCACTAAAGAGGAGTAGTTGCTTGATAAAGGTGGATAGTGGAGAGACTGAGAGATGGCGCTCCCATGTCAGAGTTGCCAGATGGAGTCCGCGGATGCATGAAGCCTTTTATTTCTTTGGTTGATAGCCACCTAGCCCCAGACTAGTTATACTCCATTCTTTCCCCACTGCCCCAGACCCATTTTACCTTTCCCCGTGGGGTACATATCAAATGCGAATCATGTTCCTCCGATAGACCAAGGTAGGGGACCCACGCCAGCCAAGAATAATTCTCTAGGCTGCGGCACTGCGCGAGAATCAATACCCGATGCGATGGACAACCGACAGAACTGGGGGAAGATTGTTTTGCCACGCGGAATAAATTACTCTCCTTGTTCGGTCCAGAGGCTAAATGGCCTCCAACACGGGTCCAAGAAGAAATACGACCCCAGATTGACCTCTTCCTCCGCATTGATAGGCGTCTGGGGTCAACCTTAAATCCCTGGCAGCCCCACTCAGGCCCTTTTCTGAGGCAATTCTTTCCAGCGGGGCTTATTCCCTCTTTCATCAAATCTTCTCGGGTTAATATCCGCATTGATTATAATGTAGCAAATTTCCCCGAGGATATCTCAGCGCACCAGGGTTCCCGACAGTCTTCGGCACGTTCCAGACAAGCCAAGACGGCTTTCTCCCCACGTTCTGTCCGCTTGCAGCCAGTGAGGCACAGTGAAGATACGATTAGGAACTTATACAAGACAGCATGACATCATTCCAGTTATCTCTTCTATTGACATATCGGGCCCCAAAGTGGGTATGGGTGGATCTTCCCGGGTACCAGTGGGTATGGGAGTAGAAATCCAATCAAAATTCCCTCAAGATGCTAGGTTCTCGTTGCATTTGGTGAAATCGGGGTACTATGTAGAACCTTGATCATTTCCATCATTTCATTCTGCTCAAGAGATGTCGACTTCTTTCCTCAACTCCTACCCCCCTTGGCGATAGCTGACCGGCAAATCAGATTATCAACTGCACAAGTTCCTCCGCGTGGCTTTTTTCCCATGGGTAACTCCTCTCAACCGCCCGAATAAGGCTCTCGTGTTCCGGGCTACGGACGCGAATGCTCAACTCGAATGGAGCTGGGTGACTGATAACTCCTGTGGTAAACTCGGGGGTAACGGGGACCTCTTTTCCATTTCTGACCACATGCGTAATGTTGAACACAGCCAAGGACCGGGCCACGGCAAGGTAAAGATTGGCAGCAGCCAGGTGCTGACCGGGGCAAATCCGACGCCCAAATCCAAATGAGAGTAAATGTGGATCATATTCCGGTGTTCTTCCATTGACTCCCAGAAAGCGCTCCGGCTTAAACTCGATAGCATCGTGATATAGGTCTGGATCGTGAGCAATGGCCCTGTGTGTGAGGTATGTCAGCAGACAGCGCCGGAGAGATACGAAGATCGCTAACGCACCAGATGTTGGGAACCAGGATCGCCCCTTTAGGAATGAGGTAGCCCTTGTATATATCGTCCTCGCTTGACGCATGTGAAACTCCCAGTGGAGTCACTGGGTGCCATCGGAGGACCTCCTTCACCACAGCATTTATATATGGCAGATGGTCACGGTCAGACATGTCGGGTAGACGACTGGTTCCTACCACACGGTCGATTTCCTCCTGAGCTCTCTTCTGCACATCCGGATTCAGTACCATAGCCTGGAAAAAACATGCCAACGAGGAGACACTCTAGGGCAGTTGTTAGCTGCGCGCACATATGAAACGTTTGGCCGGGCAGAATGTACTGTTTCGGCTCCTCCACCATAGAGCGATTGCGCAGACCACTTGGCCACGATCTCCTCCTCCGAGCCTGGTTCGACATGGCCGTGCTCCAGAAGAGTCGATACGTACGATGGCACCTGCTTCTGCTGCTCAAGCTGTCGGCGAACAAACGCATAGGGCACGTCCCTCATTGCCGTCACCCTTTTCTTGTATGCCTTGGCCGTCTCTTGCCAGCCGCTACCTGGAAACCAGCTTGGTAGGTATTTCACTACAGATTATCAGTATATGTCCTGACAAGCATTGAAGGTCTCATACACATGGGAATGAAGTCGACCAACCAAGCGCCCGGAAGGACCAGTTGCGAAAAGTCCTCCATCCCCTTGTCGACCAAGTCAACCAGAGGGTCACGCGCGTGTGGTTCAGTGACATAACCGTATCCGACTCTCAGAATGATGGAACCAGCTTCCCTAGACGTATGTGAGATACTTTAGTGGTCGGTTCACAGTCTGAATTTTGAACAACTCACTTCCTGATGTGCTGAATCAGATCATCCGGGTTTTCAAGTGTACGAAAGAGGAGACGGTGTGTTTCCATATCGATAATCTTGTGGTATTTGGAAATTGAAGCAGGAGTGCCCATCTCTTGATGCAACGCCTTCCGATACGCGCGGAACCGATTGTTGTACGGCAGCAACCCAAGTGTATCCTCCCAATCTGTTCTACCAAGCCAATTAGTCATATTTCCCTTTGAACTTCAAACAGCTTTGGCTGCCGCACATTTCTGCAATGGGCAGCTGAGGCCTGGAGGAATGCAAGCCCGAGCGCTTTTCCATGAGATCTGTCACGGTCTGGCGGTCGTTCAAGATGATGATTGTTTGTCCAAAGATCGTTACCGAGCTGATCGGCCCTACCCAGGAATCCTGTGGTTAGTGCTTTGAAGCCTTGTCTTTCCGGCTTGGAGTATCGCGTTACCATAGAGTTCCTTATGCTTGAGCCAGTGCAGCCAGTCGAGCGTGCCGGGTGACGGCAGATCCAACAGGTTGCCGATAAAAGGCTTTGGTGTAGGCCCCGGGGGGAGCCTTTTCAGAGTCTTCCCTCCCCCCAGAGTCCGTCGGATAATATAAAGGCCAGCGAGGCCCAGAAGAAGACTGACTATGAGTAACATGGCAACTGCAGTCCGATGTAGGAAGCACGAATTTCATGGTCCGGGTTGGGGGCGCGATTCATTCTTATGGAGCTTCCTCAGCCTCAACCCTAGTCAAAAATATCTCCCTTCATTCAGCTGAGCATGTGGTGGCAACGCATTGACAGGGGGGTTACATCGCTTTTGTGATAATCCTCTTTTGTAACACGGTGGTTGGTTCGATCCTGTACTTGGTGGAGCCGATCGTCTGCAGGATATATGAAGAATGCGCATGTATGCAACAGGGGTCTAAGTATCCTTTCGCTTATCTACCAATGTTCCACACGACTTTTCACGTAGAGGTGGCTGTACAATTTCGTGCTTCAACTTACTTTCCATTTCCTCCTTGGTCTACTTTAATTTTAGCTGTGCAAATCATTATCAATACAGTTCTGTCATACACCCAAACCTAGGTCGGTGCTATGATAAATCGAAGCTCACGATACACCAACATCTGACCTGGATTCATGATTTGGCGATCGTTCTGCGAACCATACATTAGCCTCTGTATTTCCCCTCATCTCTGACGCAACTCTTCAGGGACGTTACTACCAGCCTCATGTAATCCCCGTCGCTGCGGGCCGAAATTGATGCGGGATGGGCAAGACGGTGTTATTCGGACTTGATCTTATGATACAGCCTCAGGTCGTATTATTGTAGGAGGCAACCCGTATCCTGGTATCAATCGTAAGATTCTCATTTTGTGCGTTATGTATGTATCGTACGAAGAGCGCGGGCACTATCGTAAGGGTTTCCAAGCGCTCCACATCGGCCTTCACCATCGACGGGCCGACGGGCATCAGGATCCTCTTGAGCCACTCAGAACAGAGACTACGAGTCGGGGGTCCACTATCTGTCATGATTCCAACTCTGTAAGGAATAAAGAAGAGCGTAAAACAACAATAACCTTGCGTGTCAGGAGCACAGGGCCGTACTTTTGTCAAGAGCCAACGCACCCCTTTTCTTCGCAAGCGTCCTCTGTCTTGGTTCCGTCGGGTCACCAATTTTTTTTTCTTTTTTGCCCTTCTTCTTCTGCCCGGGAAGAAAAGCTCAACCAATGACAACTCCACCTTGTAGGAAATCTACCAATAAGAGACTCGCTGTTTCCTTCGACCGCGTTACCCCGAGGATGCATATGTTAGTCGCACAATGCTGCTAGGGTGGATCCACCGTCTGCCGTAGCCCAAAAGGAGTCCAGGCCTCTAAAGTGTGTCCTTACGGTAAGGCCCCTCTATAAACAACCCCGATATAGGAACTCCTCCGTTATAAGCAATTTGAATCACTTGCTAAATTAATTATTCCGTCGTTCACTCTTGCCACGTATCAGCCCCACTAGGCCATCAAAGGCGTTAGTGCGGGGACGGCCCGAGGTTAACTTTCAGCCAGTCTGGAATCTGGAGACAGGAAACCTTGATATGAGGAAGTACTCCGTAATTTAGCGGGCTTTCTGAATTGCTTTTGTTAAGGGATTGCTCATGGTGAATTATCTATGCAAGTCCTGCTTATGTAGTATAAATATACGATACTACATACAGATATCTAGTAACTATGTCATGACGGTAGGTGGTACTAAGTACGTCTCTTAATACGCAGAATTATATATCTTGCTTGACCCTTACTAGACCGTGCAATAATCCACCAAGAGCTTAATAGAGTTGTCAACGATTTCATAGGCACTGAGAAACGCACTTAAATACTAATCACAACTCACCTATATTCTAACTACAAAACTGGTAAGATCATTCAAAACAGTACAACGCAGAAAGACCCTCATATGCCTTGGTTGGCGAGTCAAAGCGGATCTAGCGAGCGGCCGACAATGTCTGGGGTGAGGATGATATTGCCCAATCCAGCCGTGTTACTCCTATAATACTACATCAGCTCAATTTGAATTCCAAGCTGCTTAAGATCAAGCCCTGGTCTTATTGTTTTAACAGTCGGAGATATGATCTGTGCATATCGGACGGCCATCTCCACCCGATATTCCTCGAAAGCTACTAGGTAGCGTGGAAGTGCAAACCAAATTAGTTTAGTCTGCTACTGCATGAAAAGGTGGACAAGCAGCTACAATATACCAAAAGGCTGATGGCTAAAGTTGATGCGAATCCCAAAGACACTCTCCGCATATAACTAGTCAGCGTGGAGACCCACGTTCCACCTCCGCAGTCTAGTGGGATTTTGACAACTCACTCTTCAGCCTTTGCGTAAACGCCACTCGCGTCAGAATGCATGAGATACATTATACAATCCAAAGACACGTACACACTCTCCCAATCGCTGACGACAGTGACGCAATGGTGTAGTGATCAGATACTCCTGTTATTAGCAAGTACTGCTATAAAAGCATAGCGTCCAACCCCTCACTCACCAGGTCACAGATCACTGAACAAATCTTCGTACGAAGATAATCTTCTAATCTAAAATGGCTTATGTCTTGTATTACACCCTGTCCATCTCTGCCTCAGACAAACCTAGTGTAGAAGTGTCAGTTAACAAAACAACAGTGACAAGGTCTTAGATCCACCACAAATACCTCTCACCACCAACATCCCGGGCGACAATATCTCCGAAAGCGAAAGGCTCCAGGAACACTTCAACGGCCGTCTTTCTGCAGGGTGGAAAGTGGTCTACCGGCAAGACTACTCGAAACATGACAAAGTCTTCCTCTGCTCGGACTGGGCGTATCTTCGCCTGAAAGATGAACTTCTACCGAATCAGGTGTTCCCGTACGACCGTTATATCTCTGATGATACCACCAGTTACTCAGTTGTTGAATATGCCAAGAAACTGAACGCGGAGTTTCAGCTGGTCGAATGTAAATTTGATGATCCTAATCGGGTAAGTTTCTGAGCACTGGCATTCCATTTCTAGTTTCTTGTTGATATTCTTGGTTTTTTACTTCCGTAGGTATTTACTTACTGATGGTAAATCTGAGACAGATATGTATTATTTGGTCTACCCCTAAAAATGAAAAATCTGTAGGACATATACAGGTCAAATACAACGGAAACTGGGAGAGTAAGCTCTCGACTGAGTATTGGGTGATTACGCATGGAGAGGATGATTTCGTATACCTGGACAATTGGAAATTGGAGAAAAAGCGTGCGTTCAAGAGAAAATAGATATAAACGTGATATACGTTTATTTGATGCTTGATGGAATCCATGTTCTCTTGCAATAGGGTTCATTCTCATCTGACCTTCCTGGTGCGTCACTATTGTTGGGATTCAAAAAACAAGAAGCATATTTGTTTTATCAAACTCTGTCATTAATATCTGTTGTTGTATGTACAGACGCTGTAAATTAACAACAGAGATATTGAATATCCGGAAAAGCATGCAGGAGAAGACATGTGACATGTTCTTCTTGGCAAGAATGGAATCTGGAGACGTCAGTTTGGTTGAACGTCAGTCCAACTCAGAATTCCTGGCGACGCGATACCTAGTCTCGGAAGATGTGGTCGTGGTCTCCGATAATCACTTTTTTATGGCTTGTAGAGTTGGTACGCCCATTATGGCACGTGGATGTTCACAGAGTGAAACCCGTCGTCACGATCAGAAATGGAACCCTGCTTGGTGTACACAATGCCCGGTACCATCAGGACTTCTTCCTTGGAATTCCATATGCTCAGCCTCCAGTCGGGGGCTTTCGATACGAGCACCCACAGTCGCTGAACGAGTCGTGGGAAGTCCCGAAGCAGGCTGATTCTTACGGATTTTGGTGTCACTCCGCGCCTCTCTCTCTCCCAGGCTACACACAGAATGGGTTTCACCATGAAGAAGATGAAGACTGTTTGACTCTAAATGTTGTCCGCCCTTCAGGAGTGACTCCCACCTCTCACCTTCCCGTTCTTGTGTACATCTATGGAGGTGGATTACAAGAAGGGGGTAGCGCAGACCAGCGGTACAATATGTCTTTTCTTGTACAAGAGTCCGTCAAAATGGGCAGTCCCACGATCGGAGTTAGTTTCAACTATCGAGTCTCTGGATTTGGATTTCTGTCCGGTCGCGCGTTCAAGGACTCGGGCCTCGCAAACCTTGGCTTATACGACCAACGGAAGGCACTACACTGGATCCAAGAGAATATTGCCGCGTTCGGGGGAGACCCTACGCGTGTCACGATTCAAGGAGAGTCCAGCGGAGCTTTATCCGTTGGATACCATCTTCTGGCGTACGATGGTCGTGATGATGGACTTTTCCGAGCTGCGATCACTCAGAGTGGCGCTCCCCTTAGTTCAGCAGCGCTCATCCCGCTGGACGAACAGGAGCAGATGTATCAGGATGTTCTCGATGCTACTGGGTGTGCTACTGCAATCGAGGCCATTGACTGCCTACGACGAGCACCAGTGGAAGCGCTTAAGGCTGCATTCCAGCAAAGATTCTTTTTTCCTGTTATGGATGGAAAATTCATCACCGACTTTCCCTCAAACGCGCTCAAGCAGGGAAGGTTTGTGCAAGTGCCATTGCTCATCGGGTCCAACTTAAACGAAGGGACAGGGTACATCGCTTCAGGTATGTTCGGTCCTGTCAACTCACCGACCGATTTGAGAGCTGTGATCACCGGGTTCGGAGCTGGGAAGTATCTTACCAACGACACCCTCAACGAGATAGTGGATAGGTATCTTCAGTTACCTATCCGTGAAGTCCGCGCTGACTTGGGGACTGTTCTCATCTCCCCTAGTTCTCATTACGGCTCCATGTATGGATATAGCACGCTCTACATTGGTGACTACCTTGTCAACGCCCCCAAGCGGTATAGTGCTCAAATGTGGGCGGCACACGGGACGCCTGTCTATAGCTATCTCTTTGCCGTTGTCCCTAATGGCTTAACCCCTCGGGTCCTCGGTGCTGCTCACTTCCAGGAGGTTGCCTTCGTGTTCAGGAACTCTGCCGGAGTGGGGTTTACATCTCCTCCCCTCCGTTCATTTGATAGCCAAACTGAGCGCCGACTACAAGATGTTAGCCACCAGATGACCCGTATGTGGCTAAGTTTTGTAGGCACGTTATCTCCGAACAATCACCAGAGTAGGTTACTTTGCTGCTTCTCCCAGCCAGATTACTCACTACATGTAGTGCCAGATTTCAAGACACAATGGCCAGTATATCAGAAAGGCTGGGGCGCAAATTTGGTGTTCCGTCTTGCAAGTACAACGGTGGAGCCTGACACCTGGCGGTCGGGGATTATCCAACGTCTCATTGCCGCCTTTGACGAGTATAAGTTCTAATTCAAGAGCTGTGGTAGATTGTGGCCGTCATTGCCGCAGATCTGGAGAAGGGACGAGAAATGACCTTGGTCTGAGGTGACAGTGATTGGTTGGTGAAGTAATTGATGTGGCAGGCAGATAAGTAGGTAGGTCTGCCGCTCAAAGAACTACGAGTACTCCTTTCTTGTTTATTTGTTTTTAATCCATTTCTCTAGCTTCTCACGACCTTAGGTCATATGTAGCCCCTTAGCTAGTGCGCACCATTCCGTTGGATATGTATATTTTGACATCGTTACCACATGCGCCGTCCCTGATTAAGATCTTCCTCCTCATCTTTCATTGCTGACGCGATGACGGCTCTGACAACCTTAACACCGAGTTTCCATGCTCTTCGCGCATCTCCTTCAATCTCCGGACTACATCATAGAATATGTGACAGACTACCGAAGCTCAGACCCGCAGCCTCAATCAATGTGCGACGTTGTTTATTCCACGGTGTACATCGAAGCGGCATATGCTCCACTATTTCACACGCAATGCCACAGTCGCACAAATCACTAGCAGTCCTGCCGATTCGATGAAGATAATTATTCAGTCTGGCGTGTCCCGGTGTGAAGGTGAGGAAGCATAGATGCTTTCTCCTAGTCCAGGCTATCATAAAGTATCTTCGTATGGGGTTCTTGGGAGAGCCGAATACATCTGGCGCGTAAACTGGCCGGCGATCGAACGTTGGAAGTTGTTCTCCCCCCAGTAATGCTTAGCATTCGCCCGAGCCCATCGCAACGCTGGTAGTCGAAGGCACTTTGGTGTAGCGGTAGTGATTCTGGGTCCTTAGAAGCGTGATTCTATTATAAGTCCAGAAGAGACAGAAACCGGCGAAGGCGGCGAGGAGGAAGCCACAGAAGGTGAGGAACATCCAGTGTTGGCCCATCTTTGTTTTGTTTGTTAGCGGTAATCAGTGCTCAGACGGCTAGAAGTTTTGGAGTATGCTTACCCAGAAAATCAAATGCGCGTCCTTGCCGTGCCAGCTGTTTCCAAGGTGGTGGGTGAAGAAACTCCAGGAGTACTCCTGGTACTCTTCCTGCATCAGAATGCGGACACGGCTCATCTCGGATATGTGGTCTTGTATATACTCTTTCCAGATCACGGATAAGAATAAGGGCCCAGTCGAGTACATAATGGTGATGTAGGGGAGGACCCAGTGGTGGTCATGCTGCTGGAGCATTTGGATTACGCGCAGGAAGAAAGGGTGCTGAGGCACCGAGCCCATTACATTGTTGGAGATACCGGTGGGTACAGTGCGGCGCACCCACGCGGGATAAGCGAGCAAAGGATCCAAGCGACGATTGCAGCCCTGGTAAGAGTTAGGGTATCTGTATCGAGAGTGACTATTGCTAGGTAGTTAATCGTACATCGTCCAAGTCAATATAAGTTCCACCATAGTGGGCCAGAATGAAATAACGGATCGAATCTGCGCGCTGGATGGGGTATTTATAGCCATCAAAGGTCTCCAGGAACCAGGGGTATTCGGCGGCGATGAAGTCGCGCGACTTTTCATCGGTCCACAGCTGGAATAATCGTTAGCACAGATGTAGATATACGTCAGATCAGGCCCCACAAGGGTCGTACAATATACTCGTAGTCCGGGTGCATATCAATGCAACTTTGCTGGGCATTAACCCATCTCTCAGGAATGGTCTCATTTTTATAGGTCTGATGGATTATCTTAGGGATGATCTGGGGGAGTTGTTCGGCAAAACTGGAGTTTGGTGACGGCAACTCGGCGCGGTGAATCGCGTCAGCAGCGGCATCTTCGAAGAGCAGCGATAGCAACGTCGACACACTGCGAGCCAGGAGAATGAGAATGACAAGGTTGATCAGGAGAAAAATCAAAAGACTGCGCCGCATGGTAGTGGTTTATGGTGATCGAGCCGAGAGACAATTCTAGGCCTCAAGATCTCGAGAGTAGCGTAGAGCGTGATTAGGGCAATTGTAACGCTGGGTCATAGAGTCAAAAAAGAGACAACAATACTGCCAGAGCCCAAGGTCGATCGCGAGACGAACCATTCTTAAGGATTGACCAAGCAGTCTCAAGAACAAACCGAACCTAAAAATAGGAATGGACAACCTAAGTTGTAAGCTTACATTTCCTTCGCTGGATGTCCCGCTATATGATCGCTGGATGCTCCGCCCGCCGCCGTAACCCCACATAATATGCTGACCGATAACAACATTCTTAGACCATTCAAGTACTCAATGGATTTTGGTGACTGTCCCGTGGCTCGCAGATACGTCTTTTTGCCCTGCTGCCTATTTATCAAGCCAGTCGCCACTTATGTTAGGATATCTTCCATTGAGGGACGACACTGGGTTCCGGCCGCGGAGAACACCGAGTCGCATCATGCATAATGGCCTGTGTATCGCACTCATAGTTGTGTTAACCGTTGTATTTTCGTTATATTTGTTAAACACGCACCTTCAAGATCTTGACGAACAATATCATGTGTGCACATACATGCGAGGCTGGATGTGCTGGCATCGGCCAGGACTCTTTCAAGGTGATAAGGCCGTTCTTCATTCCCAAGCCTGAGGAGTCTTTGGAAATATATACAGGGAGACTTTCCTGGTAGGATTTTATCTTTTGGTGCATGATGAAGAACATCCTACTGACCTGACTCTACAAAGAGAGCCCTCGGTTATCTGTGTACACAGCTTGTCCATACGCGCACTCAAAACCCACGATCCTGAAATACAAGTTTCTGGCTTACGGTGCCTCAATCTATCGAATTGATAGCTAAGAGGGATTATTATCTATCACCGACCTTTGGGCTTATTCATTGTGCTTGGGGTAGCATTATATATATACTTGCATAAATTCGATGCTCCTCTTACTGTTTGGTTATTATTTGGCTCAAAGTTCCTTGGCTGTGGTGCTTGCATGCTTAGCTCTAGATAGTAAAGGCGGAACCTAATATCAACATTTGTATAATGATTAACCAGTGGGCAGCGCAGAGAAAAGGAAGAAAGGAGGAGATCAAGGTAAATACGATAATATTATCATGTGGAAGACAAGTACGTAAACAAAATATGGAGAGCCGCGAGTATAAACATACAGTATCTATCAACTTCTCTCGTTTCGTCCCCTCTCGCACCTCACTGCCCACGCCTTAATTGCGACGACCAGAACCACCAGCGACATAATGAAGGCTGTGAAGCCCATGCCCACGGTGAAGGTGAACATGGCGTCCAGCTTATAAAACTCCATGGCTTCGATCACTTGGCGGGCCTATGCGGGGTTAGAAGGGCAGGCGTATGGGATCTGCGGAAACCACTTACGCTGAGCATGAAAATGAGCCCCCCAGACATAAGACAGAATCCAGTCACAATCTCGGTGGGAGGGCGACCCGGGAGGTATGAGGTGGGTGGGCGCAGGAACAGCAGGATGTATGTCATTCCACGAGCAATCGCGAATCCAACGAGCATATTACCCCATTGCTTATGCACCATAGTCGAAGTCATGCTGTCCTGGTGGTGCGATCCCATCATCATACCCAGCAAAAGGATGATAAGAGCTGGCATCGGGTTGAGGGGAACACCCTGTGACTTGGGAGGCTGCCAGTTATCAGTGTCGGATTCATAGGTAGGGGGTCGTAGTACGCTGTTGTTGAGCGCGTCGCGAATGCGCCGGGATTCAAAGAGCATGCCGACAAGGCCACCACCAAAGAACATAATAGAGATTGAGACGTGTTGCAAATCATTCGCTGTCCACTCTTCCCCCCAGCCGGCTAGATGCTCTAAGAAGACGTTGGTAACACCATATAACCAGATGACGAACGACTCTACAAACTCGCCGGAGGGAACCTTTGCCTTCCAGCCAACAACGCTTGCTGGGGGCTTTTTGTTCCAGGCCCATCCTAGGTCTGCCCAGGCTCCGGTAAACCGACCAAGAGTGAGAATACCATACCAGAAGAAGATTCCACCTTTAATGAAGTGTGCCAGACCGTTGAAGACCTCGTTACCATGGAAGATACCACCATAAGTAACACCTCCGGTGGTAATAGCAATAAAGCCAAAGGGAAGAATGATCCGATCAATCACATTATAACCAATATTGAAACTGCGTAGAACGTGGTTCGATACCATTCCCGGCATGCACTTTAAGAGGAACCGATGGACATTGGAACTGTACAACCAGCCACGCAGACCAGAAGGCTTCGCATAGAGCTCCTCAGGCTTTACAAAGCTGTCATCCTCGGCCTGCGACTCGCAGGATGGCGATAAAGGTTCAGTCCCCTGGCCACTATCGCGGGACCACCGGTATTCGTGTATTGCTCTACTTGCGTAAAGAGATTCATTGTCATCCGTAGCGATAGGGAGAAACGGGGCGTGATTGAGAGATCTCGATTGCGACTGCTTGGGCTCGCCATGACCAGCATACGCAAATATCAAGGCCAGAACGGCCTGCACACCGATGAGCCATGTCACGATCCAGCCGATTTTGTGATGGGCGTTGTTCTCGTACAGATCGGGGGTCTGGCGATTATAGATGATGCCAAAGAGCAGACCAATGGTATTAATGAATAGAAACAAGAACTGCGACGGGAGTGCTAGGCGCGAGCGGCCAACGCTAAGTACGACGGCTGTCGCAGAGTTAGTCCGGACTTTTCAGTACTAGAAAGTAAGTAGCTTACCCGCAGGTAGAACAAGGCACCAGCCAAGGGTCATGAGCGCAATGTGCGCCAGAATGGTGCTGGAGTGCTGTCCATAGGAGAAGTAGCTCATGGGACCTTCGCTTTGAGTATTGGCTGAGACGGAAGCTGTTGGAGCAGTGACACTTGGGGTAGTGTGCATATCCATGCTTTCTTCCATGTCTATCATTGATTTATCATCATTATGCGCGATTGCAAGGGGCGCCAAAAAAAGCGTTGCATAGACGGCTTGACTTAACAGCGGCATAGGCGCAGTTAAATTATTGCGAAGCTCATGCAAAGTAGTAAGAGATTTGCGGTAATTGAAAGAGGTTGAAATAGAGGCAGAGCTTCGATCGGCGAAAAAAAAAAAAAAAAAAAAAAGGTCGAAGCTCTGTCGAATCGTGGCGTAGCGATGCTGCCAAATCCCAGAAATTGAAGCTCCCACGACCATGGAACACCTATGGACTACTCAGATGCGATCTAAACAGGGTCACAGTTATAGGAGGACCGAGACTGACAGCGGTACTGGGTGGTGGTGGTCTTGAGACTGGGAATGATATAGGGCTGAGAGTGAAATGGAATTATAAGTATAAGATACTCGGCTCGCTTAGGACCCAACGATCGCTGGATGATTTATCGTCAGCTACAACCGCACCGGTACTAGGCAACACAATTGCTCTATCCGACCGGAGCCGCATCTCTTCCAGTATGTCTTCCAATGGTGTAGTCTCGTCGAGACCAAGCCCTGCGATGCAAAGTAAGTTGTAAGTTAAGTCAGGCTGACATAGTGGGCCCTGATTCCAACACAGCCAATCAGAAGTGCCAGCGATATCACGCTGGATGCAGCGATGCTGATCGGCTCGTAACACACGTCATGTCCAGGAGACGCAGCGCATCCACGTCGTTGTTTGAATCAACCTACATTTACTGATGGAGGTTTACTACCGTGGCTAGTCAACCAGCTAACCTTAGTCAGTCGAGATGGAGAATATTCAATATACAGCGGCTCGCTCGCTGGCAAATTCGACCTCTCAGATCAAGCCGCGCCGGGCTGGCGTGCCTTGTATGCGATGTCGCCAGATGAAGGTGCGAGTCAGCAGAACGACCTGTAGTTGTTGCCCTTGCAGCCGAGGCTGCCTGTTTGAAAGGGAATTAATGTCTTTAGGTGAAATGTAATGCCAGTCAAAAATTTCCTGCATCTTGCTCGGCTTGCGAAAAAGCAGGCGAGCGGTGCTCTGTTGACCCTTCGTTCAAGAGGATTTCCAAGAGAAGGTATCGTCAGCCCAATTCCTATAGATTTTATGCCCGTATTTTCACTCTAATGAAATATACATAGCCTGAAGCGCCGCCGTGGACATGAAGAAGGCGACCCTCCTTACAGGACGCCCCATTCGGAGGGATCCGGTATAGAGCCGACCGATTTGTCGTCGACTAGACAGCATGAACCTTTACCTAGTTTGGATTCTTCTGTAGCAAGCATAATTGCCGAATTGCGCCTTGGCGGGAAGAGACCTGCTCGGTTTACCCATGAGGCTACCGGCGTCAACCTCACATCCAGTGTGGTGGCAGAACTGCTAGAAGAGTACGGCGAGCCAGTGGTGTTTTTCATGTTCTCCCGGCTCACGACCCTTCCTCTAGGTATTATTCAAATCTACACCCAAGGTTCCCGCTGGTGCTTGACCCTGCCACTATAATCGATAGCTACGAGAAAGCACCCTTGTTGTTCTGGAGCGTACTAGCCATTGCGAGCAAAGACTCCGAGAAGTATGCATCTGACTACCCTCGAGTACAAATTCTTGTAAGGCAATCGGTAGCAGACATCCTCCTCCTCGGTACTCGGTCCATCCAGCTTGTGCAAGCTTTGCTTCTACTTTGTGTGTGGTCTTTTCCTCATGAAGATATGAACAAGGAGCCGTTTTCAATGTACGGTGCACTCGCCATTTCTATGGCACGGTCCCTTGGTTTGCATCGCCCACAACATCCATTCCTTTTATTTGCTGCAAAGGCATCGGAGATCGGAACCACGGAAGCTCGGACGTCAGCCTGGCTGTCCTGTTTCATCGTGGATCAATGGTAGGTAGGATTGCTCGTGAGCTGTTCCCGGGCTCGCTGATTCCTCCGCAGGCATACTGCAAGATTCGGGGTGCCAGGTTCCATCAGGGTCGACCACACCATCCTTCAGGCGCTGAATGGTTCGACGACTGGGGTGCCAATGACTACGAGGATTCAACTTCACATCGCTCTCGTCACCTCAAAGATTTCGGCCGCCCTGGGAGAATGTGAGACCTCAGCCACCGGACTCACGGCAGATCCACTTCCGTTTGTGCGGGTGTTTGAAACTGAGCTTTGCATGATACAAGACAAATACGCGTGTGAATGGTCTCCTGCCGATGAAGTGTCCTTCCTTGACGCGCGGCTGGGCCTGTACGCTTACATGCTCGATCGTAAAAAGACAGAGCCCCCGAAAAGCCTTCATCAAGAGAATGAACTCATCATCCAGAGCAGTATCACGGCGAGACAGCTCTTAATCGTCCTGACAACATTTCCCGACGCACTGAGGAAAGGGACATTCCACGTGTTTCGCGCTGCAAGCTATGCGGCTTTCTTCCTCCTACGCATTCTTGGGACCGCACCCAGGCAGTGTATCGATGAGACGGGTATCAGAAACATCATCCGACAGGCTTTCACGCTCATGAGGGATTTATCTCAGACACCGAATGACCGACGAAATCAATGTGTACGCGTGTGTAGAATCATCGAGCACATGATTGACTACGAAGACTGGAACAAAGACACACCCTTCGTAGGTAAAGCTGAGTCTTTTATGGCGAATAACTTTGTTGCCGATGTTGCGGCCAGGGGTATGATCAAAGCTGCCAAAGCGGAACGCGAATCCCGCGAGGCCGGGGCTGCAGGAGTTCCGCCGGAGGTCGACTCACATTTTGACTTCGACTTCTCGATATGGGATCCGATGGGATGGCCGGTGAACTGGCAGGATGGTGATGACCTACTATTTCTCAACGAGAATATTGGTGGATCCTCGTGATTAACTCGATCAGGCCGATGAGATGCTCTTCAGCTCCAGGGACCATGATGTCTCTGCAGACCACAAAGTTGAATGAGCTCACCTGACGTATAAGAAGAATTGTACGTGTTCGCTCGTAGATACTTTGAATTCAATGGAATTCATTTAATAAGTTGACAATATTAGGGCTGTTCAGTCGAGTATCGTGATATTACTTGTAGGGAAGGGGTAATACCAAGGATTATAGGTAGACAGCCCCAATGCCATGAAGGCCCAAAGTATGTGTGAGTATAAGTCACTGTATTCATCCTCAGGACCGACAAAATCTTGGTCGATCGACGAGCTTGACCTTGTTGGGAGATAGTCTGAGCATAAAAACCAGGGCTTATTGGCGGAAATACGCCACAAGCACGCAATTAACACTGCATGTGTCGTAGATAGCCTTGCATGTACGGTCGTAACGAATAGGATAATTTCTCATTGGCTCATCGTTCATAATATAGCAGGTTAAATTCCTATCATAATTGTATGGCCGCGCGCGCTTGTGAACGTTCGGTCTTTTAGCTTTGCAGTTACAGCAATGTTGTCGAGACGAGGAGCGCAATAGGCGACAGTCAATTTTGCAGATGGAGAGCAAAATTGGTATAACACTGCCACAAATCGGAACATTATTGTCAGCTTTGCAGATGCTGAGAACGTATGACCAATTACAACAATAATCCGTAAAGTCTTTCCGGAAGCCCATACAACGCGTGGCACTGATGCGAAGTAGTGGCTGATGCATGATGATCTTACGAGTTTAATTAGTAAACATGTAGGAATGAGGATCGCTAGAAATGCCGATATCTGCGAGAGTACGGGGGGTTAATACAAAGGCTCTCATGATATGTAGCCCGCATAATCCTCTATTTTAGTTCGACCTGCGGGGTTGCCTTCGTCTGTATAACTATTGAACAGGTTATACCTGAGTAGGCCGATGTATTCTCGTGAGACACTGAGTTGCCGCGCCCCTGCGCCTCAAAGGGAATCCGTCTAATTAGCGACGAGATATACGCACTGTCTGTTGACGAGCGCCATGACCGCGAGCTAGACATATTTAAACCAGTCCGAGCAATAGATTTTACCAGGATCATTGACCCCAGTCAGGTTCATGTGCTTGACAGCATGTCAAAGGCAGGTGACTGATTTGTCCATATTTCTAGACACGACATCTGTAAACATTCTCCGGCAGTACTTCGGCGCTGGCGGAATGAGACTAGGATGCGACGTATCCCAGGATGAGGAGTTTACAAGAGCAACCCGCACCATCTGGTTAGTCACCCACTGTCAATGCAGCGCTTCTATATTAGTCATAAGTTTCACAGTCGTTTTTCCTTGCTAACCTGGTTTGCTATGAATCTAGCCGCAAAGCTTCTCGAAGACCAAGAATTTTGTTGCGAAACTGTCAAGGTCGCATGATCGTTTGCTCCAAAGCAAATTACTAGCGGAGGACCTTCTCTCCCGAGAGGCCTTAATTAATCTCGGAAAAGGTATAGTGCATCAGAGACCATGTTATCTTTTGCGTATAAGCCAATATCTGATAGTCTCTCGGAAACGCCGGTGAATGTCTATGGCTGGACTTGAGCGCTTACCTTCCTCGCCACGAAACTAGAGGGGCTAGGCTGCGCAAAGACTGCTCACAGACCACTTCTCCAAGCCTGGTATGGTAATGTCGACTACCGAGCTTCAAGTGCGAGGGGATTCCGTTTCATATCTTACTTTAACTCGGACAAAGGCATCAAAAGGTAAAGCTTCCTTTCTAGAACGCGATATCGCTAACGGGAAACATAGATATCACGCGTCCTAGCGCAAAGGGTTCTGGATATGTAGTAAATATTCCCGATCCAATGATCATGACAGAAAGAATGACAGTTCTTTCAACCTTTGATTAAAATCGTCTCAGGATATTAAGGGTTGGTTGCTTATACGTCGATAGACAACCCTCTCCATAACAGATTAGCAAAAGCGATCTGGCTGGGGTCCGAACTTAGGCAAAGCTTCGGATCAATCTTTCATAAAACGAGCAATGGCCACTAGGAGAACCATTCTTTTTGATGAGGACTTTAGTCGCCGGGTTGACCGAGCGCAAGCATCATATCACCGCGAGATTGTGTTCATCCTGTGACCCTGAAGATCCGATTACGAATAGTGTGCTAGAGCGCCCGACCGGTATCCCCACGTCGTCGATGCGCATGTTCAATGATCACTGAAGGATGGACAGTGAGTTCCAGAAAGTCAAAGAATGTGGTCCAATTTCGTAGTTCCTGTGTTTGGTATTTTTGACTTGTTGACGATGTTTGTCTCTCGGCATCCTCTTTCACACGGGCGAGTCTGGCACTCCGAAGCCCTAAATTAACTCGATCCTCATTGACTGACTTGTTCGCGGCGAATGTTCTCGTTACACGTCACGACATTGAGAATCTTACTGGATGAAATGGACTAAATGGGCCGTGCAGCACCGCTTGTCCGTAATCGGCAAGGATATACCGAGTCGATCCTCAGACAACCCGACAAGAGCCGAGAGATTCTCAACGGACTTGCCAGCGCACTGATCCTCATTGCTACGGAGTACTCTCCTGCGGAAATGCGTTGCAACCTTCGACCAATCCCCGGTAGTACCGATATAAACCCCCGCCAAGTTCACTTCAATCCAACTTGCGAAAGCTAGAGATATACCGATCCTAGTGCACCGGACAACCCCAACCCCGCCTTTCGCCAGTCAAACGCGACAAATACACGAAGCACGATGTCAACCGCACCAAGACCGCCGACCTTCCTAATTATCCATGGGTCATGGCATTATCCCGAGCTGTACGGTACCTTCTGCAAGGCCGTCGAAAATCGCGGCACGGAAGTTGTATGCCCCCGCTTACCGAGCTGTAGCGGAGAGCTCCTCCCGACAAAAACCATCGAGGACGATGTCGCCCTGGTCCGAGACATAGCTCAGTCCCTGGTCCAGGAAGGAAAGGAGGTTTTCGCAGTGATGCATTCATATGGCGGAATGGTCGGCACCGACGCTCTTGCAGGGCTGGGGATTCAGCGTTTGATATACCTGGCAGCGTTTGTACCGTTCTCTGGGAACAGTCTTGTTGATATGTTTGGTGGTTCTTTGGCCCCATTCATAGTCTGTGTAGGTTTAATCCTGTTTGCTCGTCTTACATTTTCCCAGCCATATTGTTTAGACGTAGTTTGCTGATGTCCACTCCGTGCAAACCAGGATGAACAAGGAATGTTGCGGGTTCCCGATGCTGCCTCGGTCTTCTACCAGGATCTTCCGGACGACGAAGCCACGTTCTGGGCGGAACGACTTGTCCCACAGCCAAAATCTGCACAGGTCAATCCAATCACCCATGAAGCGTATCGTAACATTCCCGCCACCTATATTGTGTGTGAGGACGACCAGGCCATTCCTGTGAGCATACAAGAGAAGATGATTTTAGATGTGCAGAATGCGGGCGTGAGCTTGGACGTTATAAGGATACCCGCGAGCCATAGTCCCTTCTTGAGTACGCCTGATTCAACTGCCGAAATTGTGGTCAATTTGGCTGCAAAGTAGTGTTTGAAAGTCCACAACAGTCAGGGTGAAAAACACGGAAGGAAAAAGATAAGTTAAAATTAAGAGTAAGGGATTGAGAATAAAACCGACTATTTTTACGCGGGAACCTACACGAAGCCAAGACTTGTTTCGTGGCCCTTGGAAGACAATCGCAGAACTCAGGGTTTGAGAAGCAATCAGAACTGGTGGTTGATAGCGCTTGTTCATGTAGGCTTAATAATCCTAGAGCGATGATTAGCGACCGATGGTTCATGTAAGGAATCAGTGGCGAGATAACTAACGCATTCCTCCTGTCCTTTTAATGTGGTTCAGTGATTGGGTTGGCACCGATCGAGCAGTGATGGGATCTGGATTCCAACATTTTCTTTTAACGCAACTAACGCGCACAGTTCCAACGCTCTGGGTCTGATGCCCAATAATCACAGGAATCCAAGGATGCGAAAAGGCGGCTCCAGAGATATTCGTTACCGACACAAAGGAAAGTCCACGATCGGAGATTTTGAGAGCGATCCACGACAGTCTTGGCAAGGTTACCGCTATTTTGTCGGTCTAGAAGGCTTGCTTCAGGGACGCGGATTCATGGAACCCACCGGGTTTATTTGCTTTAACTGGAACCAGTGTCAAAGAGGAACCACTTCAGTAGAGCAATATATGACGTGTCGCTTCTTTACTCATTTAAAAAGTGCTGATACACGGTGCTAGAATCTAGTGTAGAGAGGGTACGGAGTACAGTGCTACGCCTCTTTTTGTTTTCTTTTTTTTTTTTTTCTTTATTCTTATTTTTCTGCCCCTTCCCGCGGCAAAAGATAGTCAAACAATTTTAACCCTACCGCTAGGGACGAAATTATCGCTGCGGCTCCGGCGCCTTTTCGAATGTTAGGCTAAAACTGATAACACCAATATATAAAAACTGTAGAACGCCCCCTGGGACTAAAATAGACAAAGAACACCAGCTCTAACCATGGATTATGCTATTCTGGAATTATTTGATGCCCTTGTGATCTCTACCACAACCATAGATCCTCAAACAACCACACACGACGAAAGCTGCGAATTAAATGAGGACGGCATTACATTTGGAATGAATGACGGTCTATTAGACATTATACGGCGAATATCGTCCCTTCACTTTCGCTCAAGAACCGGAAAAGTGAATAACTCTACGACAATTACGGAAGCTGTGGGCATATGGCAGGACCTAGCGACATGGCAACCTCCAGAAACTCTGCCCGGTGAACAATACCAAGAGCTATACGATTCTTACACATCAGCCCTGTTTACCTGGCTCTACCTCATTCTGCACCCCGACAGTATGTGCGATGGGAAGGTCCAGTCAATGGTGGAACAAGGCGTTGTGGCGATGTCGGCTATCACCGTTCTCGAGCTGTCACCATATCTGCTCATCCCACTATTTATTCTCGGCGTGGCCAGTGTACAGGACGATCATAAGGACTTTATCAGCGGGCTCTTTGACCATATCGAAGAGCAGACCGCGTTTGAAGAGGTGGAAGTATATCGCACGATGGTGGAACGCAGTTGGGAAAGCCAAGACCAGGGAATTCCGCGAAGTTGGGAGTGGATCAAATGGCAGGACGCAGGATCGGCAGGGTGACGGTTTTTCAGATCGGCTATTTCATTGTACTCGACCAGGTCGAATTGGATGTCGCCGTATCCTCCTTGCAGCGGCCGCTAATAGCGGATCAGGCAAAATATCAGCGAGAGACTCTGACGAAAGAATGAAATTGAAACAAATTAGACAAGAAAGGGAAATGGCAACATGGACAGAGAGGGGTCACTGGGCGTATCACATTGGCATGCTGTTACATACGGACGCGATATTATGCAAATGATAGAAAGATATAATTATCACCTTGAGTATGAAATCCCATGGAAAATATGGACCTCACAACCGAGCGTAGAATAAAGTACACCCGATTTGCACCACAATAGCCAGAGCACCCGTATTGACAGGCTGCACCGACGACATATGGTAAAAGGAATAACCTATCATGATCGTAACAAGGCTCTCATATTGGAGAGGATATGTCTTGGCAGCGCAGGGGTCTGTAGGTCGGAAACCCAATTGTACAGTATCGTCGTTGTCACCTGGCTCTGGAAGAGGCAGTTCTATTGCCGGTAGGTAGTTCTGGCCAGATAACGGAGATTCACATTCTTGAAGACTCGCGCAAAGCGCGCTGAAGGCGTTAAGTACCAAGACACTGGCAGCAAGGTGTCTCATTAAACCCCTTGCACAAATGACTCAGGGATTGTGCACTCGTCACATGGCTGCTGAGAACAAGTCCGGTGCTATCATTTGCCATGGGTGATCTCACTTCATTCTGTGTCACGATATGTAGCACCCTTGCCTTTGTTGAGAGGGTGTTCATGAACAATAGTGACCGGAATAGCCCGCGGCTTGTAACACGGAAAACCAAATATATCCAATGTTTCATTGCACAGAACCAAGCAGCCGGTTGGCAATTAGATGTGACACTGTCCTGTAGCACCTACTCCTTGGATACAGGTTGGTTCAACTGGGGTGGCACAGCTGTTTAACCACAATGCGCGGTCAGACGGCCACGGCCGAGAATCGTCCATGGATCAGGCCACGTATAAGGTCGCATGTCCCGGATTGTAGACACTAAAAGTGACAGACCCACTGCAACAACTCATTACCATGTTCCTGACGCTGGTACGTTGGGGATCTGTGCTTCATCAGCGTGGATCCGCACGCTTACATTGCTACCAAAATTGTTCGAAGCGCGCTTTCCGCAAAAGTTCTCCAATGACAGTAGGTAATAGTGTGATGTCTCGGGTCTATGCACAGGCATCTAGCTCCCACGCTCCCTCCACGGTGGAGATGGTTCGGTGGAGACAAACACAGTGGACTGTGACGCTAAGATACGGTGACACATAGATTAGCAATCGCTTAGCCTTGATGGGCTGCAGCTGATTAACAATCCAAGTGACAAGCAACGAGTGGTACTGTATAAGAACTGGATCTCGTAATGAATAACTGCGTTGCTCTTTTCTGCGAGTGTCCCAGAGTGCAGTTAACGCGTGTCATAGGTGTATGTGGGCCAGCTGAATCCACCGATAAGCGCGGCTATTAAGAGACCTAATCTGGGCAATTAGTGGATTGCAGAATCTACAGCAAACGATTCATAGTTACTCCTTATCGCGAAAACAGCTAGTTTAGACCAACGTTTCCATAGTTCTGGAACGTACCTTTTCTTCTCCATCATCATGTGCAAATTCCTATGACTCTCTAGTTCCTCTCATAGTGCGGTGCTATTAGGGACCCGTTCCATTGCCTTGGCCATGTCGCCCTTGGCAGCCTTTGTTCGACTGGGGAATCCTGCAAACTTCATGTGTTACACCATAAAGTATGTGTTATGATGATGGCACAAACTCTCGTTCGTATCTGAACCATGTGGGGGACATTGAAGTTTCTTTAATCGATCACCCGCTGATTATGCCTGTCATGCGAGGGTTATGGAGCGCCTACAGATGCCTAGCATCGACGAGGCCTACTACAGAAACTAGTTAACACAAGTTCATGCTTCTTTGTCGCATATTCGATAAGTAATATCCCATGGTGCACGCTGTCGCCCGTCGCATGAACGCTCGGATTATGGTAACTGTTTCACTTTATATGACAGCTATTTCTAAACTCGCCAAACCATGCCCATACTCTGATCGTTCATAGAAATCTAGTCCTCTCTATCAAAATTCTTCATTCGTTAAGGGTAGGAATTAGGTAAGTAAAACATTATATATATTGACGTATTATAAATGCATAGCAGCTAGCAAACCAGGGGCACGCTCTAGCTCAGCACCAAGGGCTACCTATCAGCTCCGGATTCTATAACTGGAATGTAGTCGTTTTCTGGAGGTAAGACTAATAGTTAATCTGCAGAATATGCGCATGTATAGACAATAGTCAGTTATACAAGTCTCTTCAATAATTCAACCACTGTTCACCCACACATGGTAGAGCTAAGTAGATTCCCTCCGCGGATTCAGATACGATATTAGTATTTATTAGCCACTAATAGTACTCAGCGGAGTAAAGCATAGACTGCTTTACTGACCGGGCTTGGTGGAAGATAATTCCGGTAACTAGAGTTGATCGGGTCCCCCGCTAAACCCGCCTCGAACCCGGTAATTTCCCGGGTCGGGTTTTATCTCGATTGGTGCGGGTCAGGGGCGGGTCCTAGATTTTGGACCGGAACCCGATCCGATATCAACTCTAGTTTTATCACAGATGAACCTCACTCCTTCCTAGGGAACCAACTGTTCAAGACTACGGTCAAAGTAGGGCAGCAGTCCAAGATCTCATATCAAAATATTTCCCACCCGCTTCCTGATGCCGTTAAGAAACCTAATGTAGGCTAGACTCCGTGACAATAATTTTTCGTAATCCAAAAGCATTGATTCTACGTGGACGCATCTTAGAGCTCGTCATGACTTGGCCAAAATGGTGTGCTTTGCGAAGCAATCACGCTCTAACTACCTCCTCTGCTGTTACTTACATGATTATTAAAAAGACTCAGCCATTCAACTTCACCCGGTTCATTATTCTCTGCACTGGTAACTATATTGATAATATTATCAACCTACAAGGTAAGCGGATCAGGTATATTGGGTGTCATTTGGATGTTGTTGGACGGTTTCAAGTAAGGATATCAAACTAATTTCCAATAGAGAAAGATATTTCTAGGTGTGATATCAGGAATGTTGTCAACGACCAAGAGAAGAACAAGAGAAATAGCATGTCAAAGAGCAGGCAGATCCAACAATGGCCGCCCAGATCCTTATATACCGCCTTGACTGCGATGCCCTAGGCAGGAGAAAGCTCTACAAGGAACCCAATTTCAATAGTGGCTGTTGGGGGGCGTGGGTGGATACTTCGGCGATGCTGAGCTGAAAACTTACTTGGCTGCTTGACTGCCCCCCGCCCTTCAAATCCCCGCAATTCAGCTCCGTATGTGATCAGCCCAAACACAGCCACCGCATATCGATGCCTTGAACTATTCGCTAAGAGTGACCCAAGCTGCGGTGGCCGCCAAGAGCTGCATTTACCCCTCCATGATATTTGGACTCAGGGAGGGCTGGCGGGGTATTTAAGGCACGTCGCCCTGTTGAAGTTTCTCACTCAGATCAACAATTCCTCCACTTCAATTCCCTCCCATTATATATATATTTTCTTCTCGAAAAAAGCAATCACCACCACAATGTCCTTCCACCAATCCTGCCAGCTCATCCGCGTCGAAGTCCGTGACGATGGCACTTGGCTTCTCGCCGCCGCTCGAGCTGGCGACAACAGTGTTCTCCCGGCGGAGCTTAGACTCGACGACCACATTGGCAACTCGGATGGTGAGTCTGGGCCATACATAATTCCTTTTTAATATATTATTGCTGAAGAGGTTCCTATGTATTAGGTTATTTCACTTGGGATGGATCCAACTTCACCCGAAGTGCTGCGAACATCGACTTGAGTTTCCGTGAAGATGGTGTTTGGTTGGAGGCGGATCTTAATGGTGGGCAAGGAGAGCGCCAGGAGATCAACCTCTCCCACCGGATTGAGAACCAGGATGGCGACCTTGTCGTTGTTGTAAGTTGGCTATGAAAAACCTTTCGAATCTTATTGTAATATTGTCGTGCTGACTTGTGCCTTTCGTTAGTAGTAGGAGGAATAAATCAGTGATACAATTACAGCGCATCCTCATTTCAGTCCAAGTTGGTTACATCTATTGTTGCTAATATTGGGCTGTGGAATACCAATAGACTATCACGATAGAAACAATAGCTGATATGACCAAACTATCTTTAACAACCTTCGTTCGGGCAGATCTCTGTAGATGTTATAGAATTACTTATAGACTGCTAGACATCGCCTTAAGAAATGTTTCTATGTATAATCTATAGTTAGTTTTATTGAAATGATATAAACCTCCTGGTTAACCAAGGCTAGGCAGAGATTATATACCGATTGTTTTGGGCTTGTTTTCACACGCAATATTGAACATAATCTGCCATTCGGCTAGGAGAAGGAAGTGTAAGTTGAACAGTTTAAAGAAATAGCGCCAACAAGAAAAATCTAGTATATGTAAACTTTGTATAAATAGATATAAATTATTATCTCTCTATATATTAAAAAATCAAGATCTGTTTAACAGAAGTTGTCTTTCCGTTCCGATATATAGGACAGTTGTGATAATAAGATTTGGGTACAGTATGATTTTGCGAGAGAAAGAACTCGAAAATAACGAGCGTTTAGGGAGACAAAAGCAATAGGAGTTCGTGGACGGTATTATAGGAAATATGAAAAGAGAAGAGAGGCCACAGACTGTAGATCTGGTGGGGTTTCGATCAACGTCAAGCGGCTGAAGCTGAATATTTACCGAGGTGGGTGGAGAATGACACTGACCAGTGAGAATGTCAAGAAACACCATCTCGTAGCTGGAGCCTGGTGGGGCTACCGGGTATACGAAGTTTTCAGCTTAGCATCGCCAAAGTATTTCCTCTTGGATGCCTGTATGCCCTGATGAAGCCCCTTTACTTACCGCGCCAACAGCCAAAGACCCACCACAATCTCCTGACCCATGGGCTACCTATTGTGGGTTGATAGATTACCCACATGGGTTAATAGGCTGATATCAAATAGTGCAAATAAAAAAAATGGTGTTCCTCTAGAAAAAGGATTAGCGGGACTTAGCACTAGGACTTGGGAAACAATTCAAGTTGGTAAGGCCTGGGCGCCAATTTTGAATTTCAATGTACTGTAGAAAACACAAAGTAATATACTGTTTGATAAAACTACGGCAAGTCACTTGTAGCTCATCAGCCTTTCACAAAGGCTGCTGACAGGCTGTGTACACCAATATACAAGTATTAAGAGCTTCTCTAACGGCACTCGACATAATAATGCAAGAAAAAAACGTTCAATCATGCTATGAACAAAAAAGCCCCACGGAGAAAATTTGTATACTCCTGTATACAGTTCTAGTAAAATTCCCTTAGTTGTTGTCTAGGATTTCCATCCAATATTTGAGCCAATCAGTGATATCGCTAACAAAACGCCGTGCGACACCTATCTTTATACCAGTTCTAATAAAGAAGCCTGGGTCCTGATCGGTGTAGAAGGGGCCGGGGACACAGGATGGTAAGGGTTTAGAAAGGCAACCACCAGATGGCAGACAGCTTTAGTTATAATTAAAAGCTTTCGATTACTTCCTTTATAGGTATATCGCGTTTTACAGTTAGATTCTACGCTCTTTTGACGTGCCTACATAACTAGATATTCAGTAGTTAGGCTCGAACAGGTTAATAGAACCTTGATTGATCGATTGATTGATTGATAGCGGGGGACCCGGTCAACTCTAATCACGGCACAGCACGATGGTGAAATATCGTATTACATGGTTTTTTTTGGGGCTGTCAACGAAGCACACTTTTTATAAATGCAAATCATTGTATCATAGAAAGACACGTCCTGAAAGCTGGACCGGCGTGTCAGTTCGCCTAGTCTTATTCGTACACAAACAGTCAAGGCCGACTACTCAACCGGGACCCGCGGTATTCCCATGACTAGAAATCTGCGAACCATCCAATTCCGAAACATTGTGGTGGGCTGGCAACTCGGACTTTGGCCTATTTTCCTGGGGCCCTTGTGACATGCTATTACTTGTGACTGGAATAGGTGGGACTTGAGGATCGCCGGTTTCTGACTTAGCCGAAGCAGCTTTGTCTCTCCGTGACCCACACCTATACCACAACCATGCAATCACCGTGAATAATCCTATAGCACCTAAGCAGGCTGCGACGATAATTCCGGCCTTCGCGCCAGGAGACAAATGTGCTGATATGGAGGCGCTAACTTTTATTCCAGAAGATGAGTCCGATGAGGTAGGAAGGGGTGACGTCGATGTCGATGTCGGTAGGTCAGTTGCCATGTGGTTGATCTGAATCATGGGAGCTCTGACAGTATATGCAGAGATTGTGTGTGTGAGCGTCACTGATTTGGATGCTGTGGCTGTGACAGTCGCCGGGACTGTCTGATATGTATAGCCATTGCTTGAGCCGGATTTGCATTGCACAACTGGGAAAGAGCCAGTAGCATAAACGGACTGACATGTTTGATATTGATCATGGCCAGCATGACCACAGGAATAGCCGCTGTCAAAATTAGTTCAGTTAAACTCGACAGCTGGGCGTGGTTCGGCGAGATATCCCGATCGCGTGGGGAGAGCTTACCTTGGACAACAGCCTACAGCAGTCTCTCCGTCGTTCAATGAGTACTGAAACTGGAATCCTCCCTTTGATCCTCCCGTCGCCGAGCAAGCAGTCACCATCCCAGCAGGGCAATGTATACCTGGTGAATAAAAACCCCAGCCGTTGAGGGCTACTCCTGTCGTCAGACTGGGAACGGCGCGAGGTGGCCAACATTCAACATCATCCTGCACCCCTTGGTGGTTAAAGGCGTTATTACTGCACGTTTGAGCCTGCCATCCTTCTGTGCAAGTCGGACACGCTCCTACAGCGACAGTACATGATTCCGGAGCAGTAAATGTCGTGGTCAATGGCCCGAGGTTGGTCCGGGGGGGTGTCATCGGTGTGTTTTCTTGTGCCGGTGAAACGTTTGGAACTGCCCGTTATCTAAGAGAAGCATTCACTATTTTAGATGGAATGCAGGAAGGGAGAATGGAGAAGACCACGGTGAAGCAAGTAACATTAACCCGTGATCTGATTAGCATTTGAAATAACGTATCCCAGCCACTATGATCAATCGTGGTAACTGCAACATCCGTGTCAACCAGGATTGCTTACGCGACGCATATGTTGCAGAGATAAAAACAGTTGCCAGAGCAAGGTGGGATTTAAATCAAATCCCCTGTTGATCTCGCAAGGCTTAAACCTCTAACACCATCGAAACATGAAGCAAGGGGGTACGCTGCACACGACTCTCCATCCCTGCCAAGGCTCAGCTCGGTTGATCGGCCTCACTTCACAGGGCTCAATGTAATAAACGACTGACGAGTAGGATGTGTGCGCAATACGTAGAAGCCGAATACGCTTCGAACCATGCGCTCATGTTCGGATGTTTTTAGCTTCCCTCTTTCTTTTCCAATGCTTGTATACTTAGTCTCCCCGCTATCTCCACTACCCAGTGGGTTGGTTCACACATATTTTAAATCGTCTAGCAAAGATTGTAATTGATTTTGCAGCTAAGTGAAACGAGATTGACCATCTACAGTGTCGGTTGCGCGTATGTGAGCCCTAGAAGGTTTGCTTGCAATTACTACTTTTGCGGCTACTACCGGAGCCAACAATTTCACTTCTAATATATATCCTTAACAAGAGGACTGAGCTTTAACTACAACATGGTAGATTTTTAAGCAGACACGACCTTTTCTTTTTTTTTTTAAGCCTTTTCAACCATCCTTGTCTCTGAATTTCTAGCATGAAGATTTTCTTTCATTGCTGTCGTCCAATGACAATAGGATAACTAAACGAAGGCATATTTTTATATTAGTTAGGGCTGGAACATGACTTTCAAGTTGCAAATTGTTAAATGGATATTGGTCCCCTTCCTACCCCACTCTTTTTTCTCAAAAAGCACAAAAGAATAAGAAAGTTTTATAGCTAAAGGTGCACCGGCTTCTATTGAACTTCAAATGATGATCCTGCGCCCCTCGCAAAGCAAAAGCCGAGGTCTTGAAAGCGGACTGATGCCGAATCACTGCCTGACAACACAGAAGACAGGTGCACCAGATCTACAAGTGCAACGGGACAGGCATAATAAAATGTCTAGTACGCATTGGAAAAGGTCCACCAAGGCATTTACTTTGTGGCTGGGTACCATACCGGGCCAAGATAATGAAGCCCAACTTACAGCCGAACATTGATCTGCCACTAAATGAAGGCTATTGGGAAATCAAGATCTACTGTTTGCTAGGCACCTGCCATACACATTGGTGGAGCAGAACGAATCTTTAGCCGAGGGAACTGGGCGCGCACGGACACCTGTTCCCTTACTCGGTCTGCATCCCTCAGTCTCTCGGTCGCATATTCTATACCATAGCGGTCTTGATGATCTGAGTCTGTATTGACCCTCGCGCTGAGGCATCATGTTCGCTGTGACCCCTATATCGGGTGGCATGTCAGTCCGAAGGGCATTGACATCGTCTCATGCCCACTGGGTGAGGCGACTGAGTTCCCCAATCTTCTCCGATTCCCAGCGCATACCGTTTGTATGCATATTCACAACTCAGCAAACCGGCCCAAGTTCGAGTGAACCTGCACCCAGACCACGTTTATTCTCCACCGTGGTGTCTCCGTCCCAGGTTGACTCAGCCCACGAGGAGTCGAACGACGCCGATCGTCTCATATCTTCGCTGCCACTGGCCCGATATCTTCGGTCGCTATCGCGATCGGACAAAGGTATACCGCAATCCTCAGCCTATGAGGAGTCACGCCCTTCGCGCACCATGCATCCCACGGCCAGCTCGGTGCACATGGTTATCGGATCGCTGTCTGGGCCGACTAAGATTCCAACCGACCCATATTTCTTTGTTAAATCAGACGAAACATGTCGCTTTATCGGCATGTGTTACGTAGGGAGTAACCTCTGTGGTCATCCGGGATTCGTCCATGGGGGCCTCTTATTTACATTATTCGATGATGCCTTCGCCCGGTGTGCTTCGAATGTCTTTGGCAGTCGTATAGGCATGACGGCAAACTTCGATATCAGTTTCCGGAACCCGTCTATTCCAGACCGAGTGTATATTTACCGCAGTGAAGTTATTAAGAAAGAGGGGCGAAAGGCATGGATTGCTGGTGAAATTCGGTACCTGAATCCTTTCACGGCCAAGGAGATGCTCCGGCGGCAGGAGTCGACTAACACTGAAGTGAGTGTGGAAGAGAATGAAGGCACATTAGTTGCTGAGGCCAAGGCATTGTTTGTTGAGCCTAGGGACATTACTGTAAGTCCCCGCTCATACTACGTTGTGTCTGGTCTCTAACAGCATCTAGTCGATGGTTCCATTGTATCCCAAGTAGAACACGAGCTGGTAGTACTAGAAGTTTGCGTTAAGGACACTTAATGCTATACCATAGATGTCATAACCCAAATTCTAGCATTTAGCGCGCCTTCTTGAATATACATTTGACAGCAAAACGTTCACCATCCATGTTGACCTTAGGGTTGAAGGGTCTACAGTTGATGCTAGCATGAGCCGGTAATAGCCGAGCGCGAGCTCATTCTTTGGGACGAGATGGAGTTTGGGCCACATTAGTGTATCCAGTCAAGAGCTGTTGTGGGTCTGATGATTCAGTTATGCTTAAGAAAACTTTCTTCAATTTTAACTTCTTACTTTTCCACCGAAGCGAAGGTTTCGAAGCCTGCGCTCTGGTTTTGCGGATTTTAGTGGCTACCATGTGCATATACCGAATACGTAGGATTGCTTGCCATATCGCCAAATGCTTGGTACAGAGAGTTTCAAATTGGTAGAGATTTAATAAAAGAAAGAGGTGAAACATTTGTTATTCATACTTAATTACATCTCCGCCTCTAGCCGCGCCATTTGTAAAGGATACAAGCTTTTTCTTTTTCTCCCCCGATATCGGTCGCTCATACTCTTTGCTATGAGTATGTCTGTCTTTTACGTTTCTGTTGTTAGGGCTGTCTGTAGCCCAGGAGCTAATGCAATCAATTTTTTTTTTCTCAGTGTTTGTTCAGGTGTTACACTGCAAGTATACCAGACGTTCATTTCTAGAACAGATACCGGATCGGATCCGGATCTTCAATTAGTTAGACTGCAGTGAACAGCGCAAGCCTGAAGATGACCCCAAATGATACGAAAGCCTCTGTTGGGGCAGATTTGGAAAGCTACCCTGACACCAGCTTCAAATCCCAGACGTCTTTAGAAGCGAAGGCTGAGGAACAAGCAACATTTGCACTGACTCAGGATGCCTTCGGCGACGAGTCTAACGCCGAAGTGAAATACAAAGTCCTATCATGGTGGTAAGCATCAAAGCGCGAGGACTGGTATACCTTCTGTTGGGATTTGGCTGATAGTGCCCCATAGGCAATGTGGATTACGTCCGTCCACCAAACCATATTACTTTATGCAAGTCAAACTGACCCATTGCCAGTCATGATCGCAGAATCGATATCCCTCGGCGTCTTATCCTTACCAGCAGCCGTTGCTGCGCTCGGCCTAGTTCCGTTAGTGATCCTCTACCTACAACTGCGACTTTGGCTAATAATGCGGCGACACGATAAGATCTGTTATTCTTATTATTGGCCTTGGGCTTTTAGCCACATATACTGGATATGTCCTTGGGCAATTTAAATGGAAGCATCCCCAGATCTCAAACATGGCGGACGCCGGTGAGGTCCTGATGGGGGCATTCGGTCGAGAGCTATTATGCGCTGGGCAAACGCTGTTCCTCATATTCCTCATGGCAGGCCATCTTGTCACCTTCACGGTCGCGCTGAACTCTATCAGTGGCCATGCGACCTGTTCAATGGTCTTTGGTGTTGTTGGGCTTGTGGTCTCGCTCATTTGTTCTCTGCCGCGGACGATGAAGAATATCTCGTGGCTTTCTATACTTTGTGAGTCGGATCGTACAAGGGTACTCTTCATCTTGCATTCCTTTGCTTGGATGCTAACCAAACGTTGACAGCCTTTATAAGTATCTTATCTGGTGTGTTCGTTACGATGGTCAGTGTGGGTATCACAAAACCTGGCACAGGCGCTGAAGCAACGACAAAAACCAACCTATATCATGGATTCTCGGCAGTCTCTAATATTGTATTTTCTTACGGTGAGCATCTCTTTCAGATCTACTCTGGGTTGAGTACTAAAGCTAACATGTCCCCAAGCCGGGCATATCGGATACTATAGCTTCATGGGTGAATTGAAGAATCCCCGTGACTTCCCCAAGGCTCTCTATCTGCTCCAAGCTGCTGAGATTGGCATTTACCTCTTGGCATCCCTCGTGATCTACCGTTATGCTGGTGCAGACGTCGCCTCGCCTGCTCTCGGATCAGCCCCCTCAGTCGTTAGTAAAATAGCCTATGGGCTTGCGTTACCCGCTGTATGTACCTGTCCATATCTAGGTTTCTGAGGATAAGCTAACAGATCTCTCAGATCTTAATCTCAGGCGTCGTTGCAGGCCATGTCGCCTCAAAGCTTATCTACATGCGTATATCCCATGGTACAGACCGGATGCACAAGCGAGACTTCCTTGCAATTGGATCATGGATTGGAGTCATATTGACACTTTGGGTCCTTGCATGGATAATCGCCGAAGCCATTCCTGGCTTTAATAGTATTCTTACTTTGATCAGTGCGCTGTTTGCCAGCTGGTTCTCGTACGGGCTTCCTGGGTTCTGTTGGCTGCACATGAATGCGGGCGCATACTTTGCCTCAGGGAAAAAGGTCTTGCTGACTTTGGTTAATGTATCTACCATATGTATGGCTTTTTGTATATGTGGCCTGGGTGTTTATGTTGCAGGGAAGGATATTCACACCAATCATTCTGGGGCTAGCTTTTCTTGTGCGAATAACGCCTAGGTGCTTTTGGATTGAATATAGTTTATTTTTGTTCGCTATTTGAGAAGCGTCATATAGAATACCATTAGACCAAAACAGCCATAAACCGTCAAGATCGTGTCTTGAACACCTGGGTCTTACATGACCCCCAACATCATATACGCCATTCAAGTATATTTCTCAGGTGTTCAGATCCTAGAACTTCCCGTAGGCCAGTCTACAATATCTCATTGGTCGTTATAGAAAGGATGTTGCCGACACCTGGTTTCGAATCTATATCTTATACAGAATAATATTATATTCTATTCTAAACACTTATATTATACTCTTCCAGAATTTAACTACGACTATTCTCAATTCGATAAGGGTATATTGTAGTTACTATTTAAAGGTATACAAATATGCAGCGGGGTCAAGAATGGCTATCTAGACAAAGAAGGGTCTTGTTCCGCTGATTTCTAATCCGCGGTGGTATATCTGGTTGCGCTCATCGTGTCTCTTAAAGTTTCTATGCCCCATCCGACAACAACATCATCATGAAGCCATTGGCCAGTCTCACGCTGTAGCAGTGTATTCCGGCGGCGGGAGAACATTCATAACAGTGGAATCAGAAGCATCTGATTCCTCATGGACTAAGCTGGTATGGTGATTATTGGATACATACTGTAGCATCAGAGGTACCTTAATAGTAGTACTAGCGGTTTGTAGAGCGGGTTTGGGCGTGTGGAAAGAAAGGCGAAGATTAATATTGTAAGTGCGGGAGATTAAACAAGAATGGAAGGTCGGTATAGAAGTCATCCTGGGTGGTAGGACGATAGGTAAGACAATAGACGCTGTATAGTAGCTTCGACTACCATTGCGTGGTGCTGTATGATCCGACAATGATTCTCCGTCATGTCCTTGAATTCGGTGCTCATCACCCATGTCCTGATGTTTCACCCACTGGACTGACCCCATCGAAAATGCCATGATGGGAAATGTATCAGTAAATGCTCCTCGGTCCCATCCATTGACGAGTCCCCTGTCCGTCCAAGATGGGTAATCCTCCCATGGAACAGGACTATAAAATGTGGAGATTTGAAATTTGGCCGATGCCTTCTTCAACTGAGGAGGCGCTGCATCTATTGTAGGGTTGAATCGCAAATTGAGACGCACTGCCGTATGCGCGCCATCCTTGTCAATTGGGTAGTGGAGCGAAATTGGAGGGATATGTGAAGCTTCCGTGATTAGCTCCCCCAAGCCAGGCTGCGCGAACCCTTGGCTAAGGCTTTGTTCCATCTGTGTATAGGTATCTGAGCTGACTATGGGTAGCCCCGGGTGTGGTGCATGCATAGAGATGGGAAGAACCCGCACACTCTTAGCGCAGTCCACAAGCCGGGTCCGTCTTGTAGTTCCTGGTATAGAGCCCTTTGAAAGAACCACTCGCACGCGGTATGATATGTGGCACTTTCCAGAGGAAACATAATCTAGGGTTGGTCTTTTCCCATGTCCGAGTTTGGGATCATCGAGCGTCGGGGGTAACTGAAGATGGGCTTGTTTGAGGTCCGAGCAGCTGATATTGTGATTGCAGGATTGGCAAGGCAGATATTGAGGAACGACAAAGGTGAATGGAAGTTTATAAGAGCATCCTGGTTGGAGTATCTTCGGTACGCTGTCTATACCTCGAGTGACAGGTTGTTTGAGCTGCAGAAATGTCTGCGTAGCTTCAGTGTTACTAAGGGTACATGTCTCGCGCCCGATGGATACCTTGGCAGTACCTTCGCAACATGATTAGACTCTTGTACACAAATGAACAATATACAGGTAGATAAAGGAGCAATAGGATATCATCATACCTTCAAAAGTAATGCTGATATTCTCGAGTGGAGTCTCCGAATCCACGGTAATGATCACCGTTCCTTGGATCCGATCAAATGTGGTATAAGCGTTTTCCAGGCCATAAGTATTCTTATCCAGCTCGATTGTGACTATAGGGGAAGGTTTGCTTATGTATTTGAGCAGGTTGAGGGCGCGGTGTAGTCTTGATTGTGGTGTCATCGTATCCATTCTATGCGGAGTGTTTGTTTAATGTGGTGGACTGGATGCATGCAATAGAATTCCTCCAGACGAGGACTTTCACAACACGTTTTCTTTCACCCATACCCAGGTTGTCGCAATAACAAACATCTGGTGTGTACAGTAATTCGGTAGATTGAAGCACGGCATCTGCTAGCAGGACTATTTTCCTTTGTCTCTAGATGGTAACTCGGACCATGTGTTGTATGTCTAGATAGAAGGCTAAATAACCAGCATGTCTCAAGCCAACGAAGACGCCGTAGAATTATAAGAGGCAATGCACGATAACAATTATGCTTTTCGCTTTAATTTCTACTTTTTTTGAGTCCCCTTTTTTTACTCTCTTTCTTTTTATTTTCTAATGTAAATGTAGTTCGGAGATCATACGGAGCGACAATCGGAGGAAGGCCCGAGGATAACCGAGAAGACATTTCAAGTCTGATCCAAGCTTGTTTCTTGCCCTAGTTACCTTCGAAGGCTGTCCAAATTATACGTAAACAAAAACATTTTTATTACCCACATACACTTCCGGCTAACTTTATTAGCAGTTGGGGTCATTCAGACCGAGTGTTGTTCGGCATGCCGCTTCGCCCACCAATGGGACACACGGCACCCGTCTTAACTATCCTGATACAATCCGTTGGTGTCTACAGGAAATTCCTTATATATTTAACACAGTACCCACTTAAACTAGACTTTTCCCAGGCTCAGCCTCTCCAATTTGACCATACTCTCGAATCCTGCAATACCCTTCACTTGATCGCGTTTTTTCTGAGTGCTACTACCCTACCACTGTGTTCGCCAGCTATTCCAGCTGTTGAACATGATCGGTGCATTCCAGTCACTACTCAATACAGTCAGACTTGTGTTCAGTTCGCCAAGAATTCTCGTCCATTTTAGAACGTACTCGCCGCACGTAACAAAGGATGCGTTCTAATCGTAGCCCTTTACTCTCCAGAATACATAAGAATATCCTCAATCGATGGTTCATCAAGAGAAAATTCAGACAAAGGTAGTCTCTATTCGAGTTTTTGTCCGAGTTAGCGCGCGAACACGAGAAACTCTATATTCAGCCACTCACAGCATTCAGGAAGAAATCAGACCCATCGTCAACATTCTCATTGATGTCCGCCTCGATCGTATTCTTTTTTGGTTTGACGGCTGTCATATTGCGCTTTATTTCAGCGACTTGGTCGAGAATATGACTAACCTCGTCGGCCTTTCCAGCCAGCTTGGCACCCTCAAACATATCCCGTGCTTGTGCCAGTATACGCATAACCCCTTCAAGGTCGATGCAGTCATATGCAACACATGTAGCACGGGATAGGAAGTTGATTGCCAGGCCTAGAGCGGAGCCAGAATAATCCTGTGCAGTTTAAGTATACATTACTTCGTATGAGCTAGGAAGTACGTACGATCGAATAGTTCAAATTAGTTTGGTAGTCGATGGAACGAAGAGCACATTTAAGCAGCGATTTCCCAGCATCAACAGCTGCTCGTATGAATTGAACTCGAAGTGGGTCGTTTCTGGCACTATCCGGCTTCAGACCGTGAAGAACGAATCCATTCAGATGCCTATAATATTACTCAGTATCCAATCATTCTATAATCACGTCTCGGAAATGCCGTTCACTTACATTCGGGCAAAGTTGTACGGTATCGCCATTCGGTTGCGGTCCTGGGGTTTGGAAAACGTCTGGTAAATGGGGTCCATTTCTTCTTCATTCCGTCGAAACCATGATTCCAGCTGTTTGTCATAAAACTGGAGCTGCCTGCAAACATCTGATGTGACTGGCTGCTCCTGGATATTGCCTGAGATAACCACGTCCTTTTTTGCCTGATCTGATACAGTAAGACAAACGATAAGTTTGGAATGTTGGCCAATTTCAGATACAAATCGACAGCACTTACTGAGGATGCCGTAGAACTCCAAATATGCCCGTATTCGATAGTCCACATTACGCCGATATGGCATGGACGTCAAGTCGCTTCCTAATCTCGTATAACGATCAATCTCACTGATAAAGTACGTTTTGTTGATATTGTGCCTGTAGCCAGGCGGTCAGCTTTGCTACTAGGGAAACGAAGAAAAGGATCAAGAGTACACAAGATCAACGCAGCAGAAGGACAGCCATGTCCTTGCTCTGTCAATAGAATCTTCATCATGCTCGCTGGCCTTATCTGCTAAACTCAAAGCCGTCTCGGGAAGTTGCATCTGGTAAGCAATTGATAGCACAAGCCCCAAGAGCCGGTAATTCTTGTGCCACACAGCTATTAACAACATACCCTTTAGCGTCTCGAGAGAAGGGACAGGTCCAAGTAATGTTTGCTGTATCAATGAGTAAGTTTCGTTTAGACATTGACGATACAGCCTAGGTGCAGACGCGCGGGCACCGATCGTACACATGGCCGCTAAGAGGAGCGGATATCTGCGGGTGTCCTCAAACGAGTCCATTATGTTATCGAAAAAAGCAATAATCTCGCTGCAATTTGCCCCGTAGCTATCGAAAATTGGTATTGTCAGCTGTAAGTGAGATCGTGACATCGATGGGTATGAGAACATACAAGTCGAAGAGCTTTCGACAATCCGCCAACGCCAATATCCCTTTGTCGACGAGGTCCTTCGCGTCATGCCCCACTTCGAATAGCTCGAGGTTTGATTCAGCTTGAATATCGGGGCGAATTACCTGATCCTTGGTCGACGGCGCAGTGAATCCAACTAATGTTCCACTCATATCTTTCAAACCAACATGACTGGATATCTGCTGTAGAGCACCACGGAATGAATGAAACGAGGAGCTTACTGCATCTTCAAGTTCTCTAATCCGCTCTTCCAACGCCGCTGCCCGGTCATCTTGTTGTGTGCTATTCGAACTCTAAGCCTTTAGTAAGGTAGAAAAGATCGGGGCACTAACTTGCTGGAGATAGATTCTATCAACCCGGTGGTAGCTCGGGGGCTTGGTTTAGAAGGGACGAATTTACAATCCGAGCGACTCGATTTACATCTACCTTCGTTTAGAGCTCAATATAACCCAGGCTCACTGTACGCGCATGTTTACCTGATGCAAGACCCACCATTAAACCCTGTACATCTGACCCTGCATGATTGTGAGAAAACAATCGAGCCACTCGTATACATGAGATGCTTACTTTAGCTTCCTGCACCGCGTACAAGCGACCAAGGACCTGGGGTAACGATCAGGCTAAGCGTTGCATAACTGAGGTACCGAAGCACGGACATACCGTGGGGGGATTGATGAGGAGGACATGGTCCTATACAAGGTAACCGCGACCAGCCGTTTGAAGGGGGATTATTATGACCACAGGCGGACGTCCTTTGGGCTCTGTGAGGATGCGGCCTTGTCTATTCGACCCGGATATGGCGCGCATGTGCGAGTGCAAGACGGGGGGAAGATTTGGTTATCGCTCGCCCGTCCTTGGCATTTCAAACCTGTCCCACTTGACTAAATTCCATATATTAGTAATGCCTTCATGTACTTATGCTGTTGGTTTCTTGTATATTGTATCACTCTGGGTACTCTCCTTTCTAGTAATAGTGCCATTATAGCTACTATATATAAACTTACTACCATCTTATGAAAGATATCTAGTACATATTTCTTCGACTATCATTGATCCATTATTATCTATTATATATATTTTCTTTAGACTACTTAGTAACTATATAGACAACGCAGACCACACAGACCACACAAATTAAGCAGACCAAGTAAGTAATTCAAGTAGAGTCAGTATAGTAGACCGTTCTGCCGGCAGAAACACGGTTAAAACGTAGAAAAATGAATTAATGCGCATTGGCTTGCCGTATATTTTAGACTAACGGTGCTCTCGTATCCTCCAGATGTTGGATGCTTGGTGTCTGCCGTAAATGCCAATCCATTGACCCGATCTGAGTGCCTAATGCAAGTTTTATCCATCTCTAACCAGCATCGAACATGAGATGACAGGGATCATGCTTGCCTTCTAGAAATGACTCCACCAACTAAAATGCGAGGACCTGTGAAATTGACGCCGCAAATGACAGCCACGTTGGCAAAGTGCTCGAAAGCTCTTGCTCCACAGTCCCCATCTGCCAGGAAATACTTGAGCGAATTAGTCAACAGGTACCACCAAAAAAAAAAAATAAATTAGACTTCTAACAACTTAACTTGCCATATAAGTAACCACGAATGCTCTCTGGGGTGGACGTACAGGTCGCAAGGAAGGGGCTGGAGATGCTGTCCCGAGGGCTCGACGACTGTGTGGTGAGCCTGGGGTCTCGCGACTTTGTCGACAGGAATGGGTGTCTGAGACGACATGACTAAGATCCTGGAATAGATGGGGGTAGGGAAAGATGCGAAGGACTGGACGGTAGAGGAGAGGCAGGGAGTGAAGATGAGGTGGAAAAAAGAAGGATAATGAGAAAGAAAGTGGAAGAAAGTGAAGGTCAGGAGGAAGGAACAAAGTGACTTAACAAACAATTTTGAATGTACAGAAAAAGTGAATGAAGATTTAATTGCAAAGGTATTTCTCTCTTCTTCCGGAATCCCCCCAACCTTCATCTCTTTCCTCTTCCTCTTCTCTACCATCTCCCATTCCACATCTTCCAACCATTTTTCAACTTCAATATCGTCACTGGTACCCCCGAGAAGGTCCTTGGAGCAGTAGAGTCCGAGAGCCTGTCACTAGACTCTGTCAGATACTATATGTTGAGGATGCCGACAGTTTGCTTGGAGCCACTGGTGTGAGTCTTCATTGTCGAATCCTATGTCAGAAGATACCGCCTGAAATTGGTGCCCGTATCGTGACCTCCTCTTCCCAGATTTCGCCAATAATGGGACGGTTTTGCCTCCGTGGCGGTGAATCGGGTTAATAACACTGCCATGGATGATAAGCCCAGATGGGCTGCTACGCAGCAGACCTTGATGCTTGAAGGAGAGCACCGGCAGCAAGCACTCGCCCGCATGGTCGCCCCGGCCCTGGCCGGGAAGAATGTCATGGTTTTCACAAGTAAATTGGATGACGCTCCGTCCACTCACAGGCATCTGTGCGAGAGATTTCCCAACTTTTCGATTAGGCTGTTCGCTAAGAAAGTCGGTACGAACAATCGCCAGATCCACGCAATCCTCATCTGCCGTCCGTTCTATGCGGGAATAGATCTCAATCCCAACATGCGGACGGTTGTATTCTATGATCACCCTGCGACAGACCTACATGCGATCACCGGACGCCTGCGTATTACAGTTGCCACGGGCCGAGCGCTTACAATTGTTGACCCTAATTCGCAGGAGTAGATCGAGCGGATGTCTGCCATTGACGAGAAGCTGCGAGCTCTTCGGTTTTCGGGCATTTCCGTCTTCGATAAAAGCACAAATCACTCCCCATCCATCAACATGAAGGTCACATCCAGTTGTAAGCTCATTATTCGCGGACTGGGGCGTGGGGTGACTGTCGAGGAGTTGATGGCTAAATTGCAGCAATACGAGCCAGCGTGCGCTGAAGTGCTCCCTTTTGAGACTGAGACTCCGCAAAGTGTCCCGTAAGTCATTTCGTCCCCACAAAAAGACCCCCCGCTGACTGTGGGTGTATAGAACGGCCGTCGTCTGGTTTCCGACAGAGCTCCTCGCCGCGGCTTGTCTGCGGGACATAGACGTGGTCCGTTTTGGCGGAGACATGGTGATGGCAAGGTATGCTCTAGAGAAGAAAAGAAAGAGATAAGATATGGTAGTACACGCGCCAACGGGGTTCTCTGTTGCTTTAGAACTCCAGTCTGCACTCTAGGTACCGGAATACCTAAATTAGTTCTAACCAGACATGAGGCATCAGTATATAGGCAGAAGTGAGAAGGCATAATCCACCTACGAAACCTATGGTTACTACTTCACTGACGGTGGTATACTGAGCCCGTCCAGCGTTCGGATCTGGGACTTTCACCAACTACTTGCGTCCCGTCCCGCATTGTGAAAAGGAAAGTTTTGTTGAACATGCCGTCGGGGAACTTTCCAATACGGACGCATTGTGTAAGCGTTGAGCCGAGCGATTCGGCAGAACGCTTTGCTAACTGATTTATGTCCAGCTTGGCATAACGGATGGCCATTTCATGGGAGTCCAGACACTTCGGCCTCTTGTATAACCAAAAAACTCGGGATACGTGTTCCAGCCTGTATGAATTGACTGGCTCATGTTGGTTGGCCGGGGGGACGCGACGAGGCATCCTTCTTAACACACATGTAATTTTGCGAATCATGATATCGAGAGACCCGATATGGTCATTGGAGTGTGTGACAGCAAATGGGGAACCCGCAAGGGTAAAGCTTAGCGTTGTTATTATTTTTTTTTTGAATATAAGAGGTGACCGGTTCGCTTACCGACTACAATAACAACATAGTGATCAGTCAGCCAATCTAACACAACTCAACATCCCTTATTCAGTCCCACATTGTGAGCGCTCTCTTAGCATGTGATCCAGAATCAATCCCAGAGCAATCCACAATCACCCCCTGAGGCTGGCAAGCATGAGGATGTATCACGTGATTAAAGACCAGGAGTTCCAGTCCCGTCGTTCGCAGAGAGTCTTGGAAAATCCACCATCTTGAACGTCGCGAATCCTTGTGGAGCCTCTGTTTTCTGGACAAAATGACACGAATTCCCGATCGGTCTGCTGGCCCAGAACAAGTCCGGAGTTATATTAGACAGACCCTCACAGCCAAGCATAAAACAGATGATGATTTTGCCGCTGAAGCTGCCCGCGCTTGGCGATTAGGGCGGGGCTCTGAGCTTTCTGATGCAACATTAGAATATCTTCAAGAGATATTTGGAGTGGATATAGGCTTCTGCCTTTTCCAGAGTATTTGCGAAGATAGAGATAACGCCTGGGAGCATTCATATATTGGTACTATCTGCAGCTGTAAGTTTGGCAGAATGTGTATAGCTAGTCACTGACTAATTTATTGTTATAACAGGGATGCTTTACTGCTCAGCTATGTTTTTACTTTGGTCTCTGATTACGCTGTTCTTAGGACGTCGTTCAAATTGTAAGGGATCTTCCCTACGTCCTCTGTATAGTTAGTATACTAATTTTCCTGCATAGTATCTTTCCCAACGCTGCTTTTCGGCGCAACTCTAGCAAATTATGGCTATCGAAGACCTACATACAACTACCCGATGTTAGCTATGGGTATTTGTAATGTATGTATCTCCTTGCTAAGCATCTTATGGGTCCATGTCTTATGAACTACACTACGATACCCGCCTTCCCTTTCTCCTACGTGTACAGATGTGCATCTATAATTTCCCCCTTCTTTCATCAGTGTCTTCCCTCACTTGTCCCTTCGCATCAAGGACATGTCTTTGTTGCGTGGGCAAGAAGTGAGGACGGTCAAAATCGAAAATGGATCTTAGTACAACTCGAGCATAGTGCATTTAGTCATGAATTAGTCTAGTGCTACAAGGGATTTGGTTAGGACTCTATGTCGTTTACTAAATAATATAGTAAGCACCCATGGAGCATGCGGTGTAGAGCGCATGAGTATTAGTAAGTCTCTAACGGCGTCCATTGAACCATATAAAAGGCGGGGTAATATGTTTGGTCATATGCCTTAAAGCAGTGCCTTGTCACTACTAGGTAGGCTAGGTGGGATGCATAACGGTAGTTTAGATTCTGAAAATACTATAACTATTCAATGAAAGTAGAGCTAGTGACTTACCAGTGAAAGTCGCTCAAATCCCCATATGCCAGGAGGACTGTTAAGCTCACATCACATATTGCCAAGTCTATTTGGTATATGTCTTTTCTACCATCCTTCGCATCGATCTCGCAGATCCATTCGGTGTCATCCACTTGTTTCCTTATGTGTATTGTTATACACAGGTGGTACATGCTCCACAACCGTCCTGATTCGTCTCTGGATCGTTATCCAGGTATAGTCGCATTGCCGCCCGGAAGCATGTGTGGTTATTCCCACAAATCGTAAATAGAGCATTCGTTAGGTCCTGCGTATGCGAGCTTTCGCGTAACAATATATCTCTAACTAAAGCCCCCGTGGTTTTCTCTGTATCACAGCTCATGTCCTGCGTGCCACTAGTTGAAAAGGCGGAGTAAATAGTCCAAGCAGAGCTCACAGCTCCCAGGTTTAAGAAGGCTTCGTTCCTGTAGGCCGTCCAAGGCGTGTTACTAAGTACTCTCCCCATTGCTAGTGCGAGTTGGTTCGTCTTGATAGCAATATTCAGCGCATGAGAAGCGCACAATGGATGTTCAAAGCATTTGGCTAGCACGAAATTCCTTGTGTCGAGCGCTGGGGACGTGTATTTTGTCACTGTGAAGTTTGATTCCAATTGATATTCAGTTGTCCGAATCGCTGCAACTTCATCGGCCTCTTCCTGCGTAAAGGGGTAGAATTCATGAATGATGTCGTCCTGGAATGTCCCCTCACTATCAATGTTCGAGCTATTGTAGCTGACAAATACACCCTTGCGGATTGGGGTCACAGGCTGATCGCGACCTCCAATCTGGTAGTTTAGCAAGGGATCTGCTTGTGAGCGCCGATCACGCTTGCCAGTAACATGCTTCTGCACTCTCACCGACCTAGCTGTATAGCCGGGCATGGCATAAAGATCAATGCATCCATTGGTGTTGTGTATGACGCTGACGACCTCTCCTCCACAATCTTCCTCGTCGTAAAAGGCAACGTCGTACAACTCATCATGGACATTATCGATCTTGACCAAAACAGACTCAGCGGTACCATAGCTTAGCTTTTGACAGGCGCTAGGCCCTGCGAGCCGGTAATTCAAAACGGGTGCACCATTGCACTCGTTGCCTGAATATTCAAATAGATGATAGCCGTAGGTGAGAGGTAATAGAAGGAAAAATAGTAGAGGTCCCATATTGGAGGAAGATATTGGTTTTTACGCAAGATAATTCGCCTAGTAAAGGGTATGATAGAACATCCAAATGAACAAGGTCTGAATGTTCCAACCTACCTGGACAAGAGCGGTTTAAGTAGTCGAATAAGCAAGAATTGTATTGATCCATTTAGCCTTGGATTGCCCACACCTCTTTTTTTTTTTTTTTTTGAAGTGGTGTGAGGTCTACATGTTGCGGACATCCAGAAAAAAAAAAAACGAACAGGGTATTTGGCCATAGTATCGGTGTCTCAACTCCTGTCGTCTGCAGTATGCAACGGGTAAAATCGGAAAGAGCAAACAATCGACAAATCCACCACTCATCAAGTCGTAACGACTCTGCAACTGGTTTGTAGTTGTTGACTGTAGTGACATGGAGCACGACCCGACGACTACTAGATAATCGTCTTTTCCCTACACCAATAAAAACTCAAAATGTATACTGTATTAGCACTTCTAGCCCTTATGAATGTTATGTATCATGCCACATAATGGCAATCGTTTCATTAACTACATAATTGGGTGTTTGTGCAAGAATAGGGCGCATGACAAGCAGTGATATACCACACAAACAATAGGTTAGAGACCGAGACATCATCTAAATGACGATGTAACATTGCCCGGGTTCATAACCTGTATGGTGTGTATAACTGACTAGGGTGTCAATCAAAAAGGAATAACAGTCAGATGGCCTTTGCTTCTGTGGCCAATGGCATTAATGTGATCGATTACTAAATTTTGGATTACAGTTCATGGACTACTGTTCCTAGATTGTTGCAGTTTCTTAGAAGGGGAAATGCTAGTATTAGGGAGTAAAACCGGCAAAGTAGGTGGAGCCTAGAATGTATAGTAATGCAATCCCCCCTATTTGCCCCCGCTAGACAGGCATCATCGGAACCACTGATCTATTGACCGCGCATAAATCACACGCCGACGCTTAGCACTAGTTAGTCTCCACCGAGTGGCCCCGAAAGTAAGACCATCACTACACAGTGAATAGCGATAGGGCCCGCACTGAGCGGTGGTTCGTGATGTAAAATACTCCCTGCGCTGCCCGGGCTTCTGAGCACTATGAGGAAGAAAAAGAGAATGAGTGGAGCGGACCTCGTTAGGAGCATTGAAATTGTCCATAACGTAGTTTTTAGTAGGGTACAACAACCTCTATCGTTCCGAAATTGAAGTTCTTCGTCTTTATACGAAGTGAAGCGGTCATAGGAGTATCAGTACCCTAACTGTAAGTGGTAGCGTCCAGAGGAAAGCTACCCTATCCTTATCATAAGTATAAGGGGTGACATCAGGTATCCGGACAGCCTGTGCTAAATGATTCTTGGTGTAGTTAGTTCACTACCTTAGCCAATAGTTTTCGGCCGCAACGACCCTCGGTTAGCCCTCCTTAGTCGTCCTCAGTGGACCTGTCTTCGATCATCCGCCTAATTGCGAGAGAAACACGAATTACCGCCCAACTTTACAGGCCTAATGTGAACCTGAGGTAACACTAGAGTTCGTTATCGGGTCGGGTTCGGTTCAAGATCTAAGATCCGCCCCCGGAGATCACCGAGTCCGGGGCGGGTTCGGGTTGGGTGTGGGGGAACCCAATTCAAAATTATTCTCAACTTATACAGTTATACTAAAAAGGAAATTTTTAGAGAAATTATGATTAACATTATTTAGTCTATACTATATTGTATATTTGATATTATAGCTATACAATCTCTGGTTGATGAGATATTGAAATAATAAAAAGGGTTAATTTGTATGGATCACAGAGCTGTGCAGGAGGCTGCTCACGGATTACGTTGAGCAGGCACACCAACAACTTAGGTAATCTAAACAATTTAGATAGACAAAAACGTAGGTATGTACTAGGCAGGCTATGTGTTGACTGAGCGGTCAATTGACCTATTCTTAACCTCCATCATGATACTAATCACTATAAAACTAGCCAACACTATAAAGAGATACTAATTCCTAAACAACATATCGGAACGAGGGATTTTCCATCTACATCCGACCAGTGTTAGTAATTGATAAGGGTCACTATAGCAATCATATCTTACATCTGTCAGATCAGTCAAGCCAGAGGTATCATCAATGTTAACCTCTAAGGAGGACTGTGATGCGTCTCGCTACATGGGAAGGATCAGTATGCTGTCACCAAGATGCCGTGAGTTTGATGGGAATTACTCTACCTTTCTGTTCTTTAGCACGTATAACCTATGCAGTATGACAAGCAAGATAAAATCGAGGGCCAGGCAAATAATCATGGCAATAAATCCGGATCTATAATGAGGTTCTTCTCTTTCAAAGAATAGCTGGGGCCCAATCAAGTTACCCACGCAGTACCTATACATCGTTAGAAAAGGTAATATTGATGGGGTGACATTGGTCAAACACACGCAATGAAAAGAGCAGCAGTGACGACGGTCTTTTTCGTTCGTCCGGCGATGTTGGCTTGGATCAGCCCTAATGAAAGGACATAGGTTGCACTGAACCCAATGGCAAGATAGTATCCGCTGGTTTACCTGTCAGAAATGCTCCTCTGGAGAATAATCCAAAATAGCTCGTGGGGGACACATACAAGAGCCGACCAAGCTTGTTTTCCTCTGGAAGCGCGTACATGAGACTCATTCCCAGAATAGAGACGACAAGACCACCACACATTAGAATGATACGGCAGTTTTTAATTTTTCCTGCGAGGAAGCCCGTAATGAGAAGGGCCAGTACCTGTGCTCCCCCAAATGGCATCCCCAGGAGGGTAGTTCCAAGCTTTGAGTAGCCAAAACCTTCGATAATCAGTGGCCTGAATGCACTGATGCCTCCCTGAATAGGTAGTCAGCTTTGGTTCAACAGAAAGGTCAGCTGTAGATAGTTCGCATACGTTTGGAATATTATTTGCTATAACAAAGAGTATCAAGATCCACACTTGAGGATCTATAAAAGCTTCACGTGCTTGATAGAACTTAAACTCTTTATTGTCCAGACCGGTCTTGTTCTCGGACACTCGTTTGATGGCAACATCCTTCTCCACGGAAGATAACCATTTCGCTGCTGTAGGACTCGGAGCAGCAAAGAGAAAGAAGGGCACCGCCCAGACAACTGTGGCGGAGCCAAAGATAAGGAAAGGGAACTATGTGAGTTGGAAATGTCACTTAGATAATTCATATGAGCGTCACTAATGATCTATTCTCACCTTGTAAACCGGAATATCGCTCTTAATGTGCCCAATCCCGTACTGTGGTATTATCAGTCAATCGCTTTCTTCACAATTATTTGAGAATACTAACAGCCACAATTCCCCCAACCACTTGGGCAATGCCGTTCATCGAGAACCAAATGCCAGTCCGAAGAGGTTGCTCGTTCCTGTCATGATCAGTATCTACACATATCCATTCCAGGTTCGGCCTCACCTTTTATAGAACATTGATGTTAACTGTACAAAACAGGGACTAACCCCACTTTCCAGGGCACCTAAGAAGAAACGAACAGCCATCAAACTGGAGAAATTATCTGCAGCTGCCATGCAAAGAAGGACTGCTCCCCAAAAAAATCTAGCATCTGTTAGCTACCTGTGAATGGTAATCAGAAGTACCAAAATTGTAGTAACCCACATCAAAGTCCCACAAGATCTTGTGATATGCACTTTTTGGAAGAGGATATTCATAGGGAATTCACCGACAAGATAACCCAAATAGAATATCGTGGTTAACCCTGTAGACTCAGATTATTCCCTGTTATCGACAGACGATATCTAAAATGGAAGCATACATGAATACTGATCGCCCACCAGGCGGGCCTCCTCTTTCATTCCCCACAGGGCAGCATATGAGATACATGTCTTATCCAAGAATTGTATGAGGTACGTGCCCATGAGCTAAATGAATCCCACATCAGCACAATCGCATCTGACATACGTGATGCAGAGATTACCCAGGGAAGAAGGAACCAGTCAATCTTGCGCAGCACAGTTCGGTTCTCGGCTTCAGTATATGGGGCATCCTCTGTTGTCCCATGCAACGTTCCCAATGCAATGTCCGGGTGCTGTGGAGCAAGGTCGCATGCTTTAGTGTCAAGTGTGTCTGACTTCTCAGTGCCGATCTGCGACATCGTGTCTCAAACCCTATTCCTCAAACCAAGGACCTCGATGGTTACTTTGTTGGCTAATATAATATAGATAATTTAAGTCATAGCACTTCGATACACCCAGGAGATAAGTCTATTGCAAAGGGGCTTTTCCGTGTTATATACACAACCACTACATAATGGTTCCGCCAAGACGACGATAAACAGAAGACTATCATCTACCCCTCGTCGCTGGCCACAACAGCCATACGGTTGGACCGAATGGCTCTTGGCTGAAGTTAAAGAGATAAGAAAGAGGAGATGGAGATACTCCTCGTCGGCCGGGCCGATCTATACGCTCGGTAGCTCGGTCGGCCCGCCCGATCCGATCCGTGTCATAGACTTAGTGGCTATCAAAGGATGAGTGAGACACTTGAATACGCATATAAGAAGACATAAAGAGATCGTCCTTGAGCTCTGCTCTTCGCTATTCTTGTGAACATCTTCCTATTACTAATTGCAATCATGGCGATCAATGTCATCAACCAACAAAGTAGCGAAGGTACTACTGGTCTTCCGAAGGATGTTATCCAACTAGTTTCCAAGGCCATTGATTCTGCGTCATCAGAATTACGTCGACTGAACTTAGAGGCAAATTCAGTCCACCTTTTATCTATGATAAACTACTAATGACCGTAGATCTGGAACAATCCCGAAGTGCGATTCAAGGAAGAGAAAGCCTGTCGGTTGTTAGCCGGATGGTTTGAGAGCCAAGGCTGGACCGTGAAAACTGGAGTATACGGTATCTCCACAGCATTCGAGGCACGCTTTTCCGTCACACCAGGGGAGAGATCAGTCTGCTACAATGCTGAATACGGTGAGTCTGCCAACAGCTAACGAGCTCGCAGCTTGCTCACAATGAAGCGTCTCCACAGATGCCCTTCCTGAGCTTGGTCATGCATGTGGTCACAATCTGATCGCCACGTCAACGTTGGCATCAGCTGTAGGGGCCTCTGCCGCTATGAAGACATTGAAAATCCCAGGAACGTTGATCGTGATAGGTACGCCCGCCGAAGAGACCGGCGGAGGTAAGTACATCATGGCAAACCATGGCGCGTGGAAGGATTGTAGTGTCGTTCTCATGACACATGCAATGCCGGACTTCTCCACGGCGAGGCTTGTGACAAAGGCTTCATGGAAATTCAGAGCCAAGTTTTACGGAAAGGCCGCCCACGCGGCAGCTGCGCCGTGGAATGGTAATAATGCCTGCGATGCCATTGTAATGGCGTATAACGGTCTAGGGCTACTTCGTCAGCAAATCCAAAAGACGGAAAGCATCCAGTCGGTCATCCTTGAAGCTGGAAAAGCACCCAATATCATCCCCGACTATGCTGAAGGTAGCTTTTCTCTGCGTGCGTTTGATTCGAAAGCGTTGGAGCGCCTCCGAAGCCGCGTCATACCCATTTTCGACGGAGCTGCAGCGGCTACGGGCTGTACGGTCGAGTTATTTTGGTGCGTGGATAGGCGGATGATACAGGCTATGTAATTTCCAGATGCTAATACGCTCTTAGGGACGCACTGTATGAAGACGTCGTAACCAACATGGCTCTAGCGAATCGCTATACCCACTATATGATCAATGATCTAGGCCTCACACCCGGAGATATTCTTCCTCCATCAGATGTCTCCGCGAAGGTGAATCAGAATGGTAGCTCGTACGTTGCAAGGCGGGACACAACTCCGAAGGCGTCGCAGAAGGGACTAACGTTGCAAATCTCTAGCGATTTCGGAAACTGTTCTTATATCCAACCCGGTATTCAGACATTGTTCAGCATCAACGCTACGGATATGCCTCACACCCCTTCCTTCCAGAAAGCTGCGGGTACAGCCTTCGCCCATACAGAGTCACTTAGGGCTGGAAAGGCCAATGCTTTGATAGGGCTCGAGGTCTTGCTTGACGAGGCATTCTACCAGAAAGTAAAAAGTGATTGGATAAGCGACATGAGGGAGCGTGGTCGGCTTCCCGAGTGAATTGTTCGAAACTTATAACTCACTTGATCGTATGCCATTCAAAGGCGGCCCTAAGCCCTTTCATTGTACTACTCTTTTGAAGTTCTCGCTTGCATGTCCATAGCAATGTACTATCCTATGAGTATCTCCAGCCGTTAACCTCGTGGAATTCGCTGCATATGCCTCTGCAAAACGTCCCAATTCGGTCATATTCTCAATAGCTGCTTTCCTTGGCTTATGTATGGCTGCACTCAGCTATCTGTTTCCTGTTAGAACAGGTTAACTGAGGTACTCTATCTATAGTACAAAGCTTAGTGGTTTCTACGCAACTTGCTAGATACTTGCCGCCTTACAATAGACAGGCCATTTTAGCATATCCGTGGATTATAGCACTATTGAGAATGTACTAGCCGACATCTTTATCTCAACACCTAGACAGCTTTGCAAAGTGCGGGCCGTAGAATTGTATGTCGCCCTCACATTGGCCCGTGGTCGCTTGTGTATCATCGAAGTTCACATGCAAGACATCGGTAATTGCTCAGCTAGCGACCACCTGTCTCTTAAGGTCATCAAGGTACCGTTCTGGTGTCCAGTTAGTCATACCTAAATTGTACTTGAGATTACAAGACATACTCCCAGCCATCCATCGCGTGCCCATACGGTGAAGCACTCTTTCTAAGACGCTTACGGCTCTCCTGGAATCAATCTTTGAGCTATCCCTTAGCAGGCCCAGTAATAGCTGAGCTGCCTTGTAGACAGAATGTACCACAAATACAGGCAGCCCCTCTAAGTCAGCCGGTGTGACTTGTGCAGCGAAGCTCTCCGACGCGTTAACAAGTTCCGCAATCATATCTTGCAGAAGTTCGTACGATAAAGCGGCACATGGCTCGGGTCGTGGAGCCATAAAGTTGCACCCAAACTCTAGGATAGTCATCAAGGCGCTGGTGCAGCTCGATGTTAGTCTCCACCGGATGCTGTAGGCGATAGGGCTCAACAGTACCTCCGGGATATGGCAACTGCGCTGCAGCACAGACTATGTGGGACGATGTTATCATCTTGTACAGTTCCTCTGAACGAGCTCAGTGTCTTTAAAATCTGAATAGCTTCGGCATTGAAGAACTCCATGTGTTGAACTGGTTCATGGACGTGGGTGAGCACTTGCTCTAGTATACGTGAAGCTTGAGCCAATTTATTGAAGTGATACAGATGCTTCGATGGCGTTAAAGTCAGGTCGAACGCTTCGGAGTCCTATACCAACGTTAGTAATCGGAATGGCACTCCCCAGTCGCAATACTTGCGTCGTTCCCGCCGACGGCTCCCAACAGTAGAGCTTTCGGGATACTAGGTCCTTTGTTACTCTCTAAGGAGACATATCTAAATCACGGTTTGGCGGTTAGTGTTTATTCAAATTATAGAGGTGAGCTGATCCCGGTAAGACAACATAAAGTCACGGGTCCACTAGTAGTGTTTACGGTGCAAACGGAAGAAGACAGGACAAACCGATCAGTTATGATAATGCCACGCCATGTACGTCGAGCCTCGTCCGCTCTTTCTGAGGACCTGAACGTTTCTTCTAGCTGGGTTTTCGATACCCCATTCGCCCCCAGGGCCACTGCTGCCCGAACATTTGCACCCATGGAGATATATGCGGCGGGGTACATACCGTGGCCCACTTCGTAGATAGTGAGTAGTAGTCTACACTGCAGCAACTCCAATGAATTGATCTCAGTAGCCTCTAATGATGCAATGAAGCCCTTCACTAGTATGTATAGCGAGCGCATTCGGGGTGGTATCTCATCATCGACTGGCTTGGCCGCCAGAAGAACCATGCATAGCGTGAGCAAACCAAGCTCCGGACTCGTATGAGTGAGGATGTGAGACAGACGTTTTTTAAATGGTGCTTCAGCTAATATGGGGAACCAAGGATGGATTGTCCGAAAATATACCGCGGCTGCCGCTCGAATCCTACTTTCGTCCCCAATGATGGTGAAGACTTGTATCCGGATGGTGTGAGATATGTTGGCTGACGTGAGCTGCACTAGATCAGGCACCGGTAGCGAAATTGAGGATACATTCTCCGGAGCGTCTCTGGATCCCGCTATTCCGTTCGGTTCCGTATAGCAGCAGACACGGTTCAGTCTGATTGGTGTTTGGTTAGTACATATATATGTAAGCGGAAGAGCACATTTCACCGAAGTGGACTTACCTTTTGCACAATGAGCAGACGGGAAGCAACTTGTCGCATTTACGCTTGTGGGACCTGCAGCGCCGACAGACACGGTTTGCATGGCTGGTCATTGTGGATGGTTGACGGTGCGGATGCAGGTGCGGATGAGTATCGGCCTGGGTGGCTCCGCATGAATTTAAGTACCGACTAAATTTTGGTCATCATCCCATAGAGGTTTCAAATGGCCTACATTGTCGCCCCATTTGATAGGAACTACTAACTAGGAGTAGTTAAGTTACGATGTCGCAAAACCTCGTTGTTGTGGATCAATGACACTAGTCCCATTCAGGTTTAGCGGTCCGCACCTGCATCCGCATCCATATCCATGCCCATCCTAAGTAGTATCAATTTATCAGCATGCTAGGGGGGTAAGACTCATGTATATGGACACCAGGGTCCTTTCTCGGTGTATGGTAGAATCTTCCAGTCAGATGGCGTAAGCAATAGTAATCATCAAGAAAGGGCATTATATAAAGCCTGTCGTCCACCGCACTCTGCAGTTCTCAGAAGTCGAGTCCAGTATCCTTTTTCATATTCCCCGTGTTTACTACATACAAGACCTCATCACCTCCCAGTCAAGCTATTCATAACCCTAGTCAAATATTCCAACCATGACTGCGATCCGAAACGTTGCAATTGCCGGGGTAAGTTCCCCTACCCCTCCAAATCAGAATCACTACTAACAAGCAAAGGCCTCCGGTGACCTCGGCACCCCGGTGTTAAACGCCCTCATCGAATCCAACAAGTTCGATATCACCGTTCTAACCAGACACTCCTCCCAAGCGCAATTCCCCACCACGGTCCGAGTGATCCCAGTCGACTACAACTCCACCCCAGAGCTCACCACCGCTCTAAAGGGCCAAGACGCCATCATCTCCACCCTAACAACCGCTGCCATGGACGTGCAACATACCCTCATCGACGCCGCAATCGCCGCAGGCGTCAAGCGATTCATTCCCTCCGAGTTCAGTGCCGACGTCGGCAATCCCAAGTCCTCCACCTTGCCCGTGTACCAGTCCAAGATCGCCGTCAACAAAGCTCTCGAGGCCAAAGCGGCGGAGAACCCCGCGTTCACATATACGTTGATCCGCCATGGTCCCTTCCTTGACTGGGGTCTGAACGCGGGGTTCTTTTTCGATTGGAGGTCTGACACGCCTGCGTTCTATGATGGTGGTGATCGGCCGTTTAGCACCACTACGCTAGCCACGATTGCTAAGGCGGTCGTTGGAGTTTTGTTGCACGTCGATGAGACGAAGAATCGTCCCGTCTATGTACACGATCTGGTCACAACTCAACGCCAGATTTACACTATTCTCCAGAAACTAGCTCCCGAGAGGAAGTGGAATCCTGTGGATGTTAGTACGGCCGAGCTGGAGGTTCAGGCGCGAGAGGAATGGGCGAAGGGGAATACGGATTTGCGGGCTATTGTCGGTCTCTTGTGTCGGGCGGTATTTGCAGAGGGATACGGTGGAGAATTTAAGAATGTGGACAATGAGCTTCTTGGGTTGGGGTTTAAGACGGAGATTGACCTTGAGGAGGTGGTGAAGACGGTGCTGGGGGACTCTCTGTGATAGGGCATGAAGTAGTCTACTTTATTCTGAATAGGGATGTGGGCCGGGGGGTCGTTTCGTAGTGATTTTGACAGCTGATATTTGCAATTTGATTAACTTTCATTTGGATGTAGGAGACTTTCAGTCCCGGGCCTGGTTTTGTAGGAGTGTTGCTCCCTGAGTAGAATATCTGAGGTGCAGTCGTGGTAAGCTTACGGCTTTTCAAAAGTTGATATTGATCTTGCGGCAAGTAGCTTTCTTTTTAGATCCCATTTTAGTATCAAAAGTCTTTCATTAATGAATATACAATATAGAAAAATAACCCAGCTATATCTTATCATCATCGCACTCGCTCTAGGCGTAGCTCTAAGCAAAACAATGTTCTATAACATCTAATCGTTCACTGAAGACCGAACGTTCATCATCACGTTTATCCCTGTCTCACTTCAGGAATTGAGACTTATATCGAAAAGGTATGGGGAGTCTTGAGAGCAATAGGAGCATCCTCACGCAAGGTCTTGCCGATCAGGTGATCGAAAGATGGAGAGTGGGCGACACGGGGGGTGAAGTCTTCGATATCCCACAGATATCCAAGAGTCTTGAGGACGGAGGTAGCACTGTAGGGAGCGGGCTTGCCGGTGACGGGGTCCGTTCCATACTGTTCGATGTATCCCTTCTTACTGTAAGGGGAGACAACCCAAGTTGGCATGCGGCCACCCAGACGGTCGAAATGAAGAGTGTACTTCTGGCCGTTCTTCGCAGTCTCAGTGTAGGTCAGGTTGTCCGGGCGGACGGCGAGCGGGGGAGGGACGTGGTCGTAGAAGCCACCCGTCTCGTCATAGGTAATGAAGAGTAGGGTCTTGTCCCACTGGGGGCCTTGACGGATCGCGTCATAGATCTGCTTGACGAAGACCTCACCGTAGGAGACGTTGCCGGTGGGGTGCATGGAGTTGGTGTTGGTGCCGCAGCAGGAGGGGTTGATGTAAGAGAACTTAGGCAGGACACCCAAGTACGCGTCTTGGAAGAAGTTTTCGACGGGCACCACGTTGGACCGGGAGGTCTGGTTGACGTGGGTGAAGAAGAGAGAATCCGGTTCGAATTCTCCGTTCGTGCCATCGTAGTTGAGCCAGGAGATGCCCTTCTGGTTGGCGGCCTCAAAGATGGATTTGCTAGAGATGCCATAGTTGAGGAAGTCATCGTCATTCTTGCCATGTCCGGCAGAGGTTCCTGCCAGAGCGCACAAGCGGTTAGGGTTGGTAGGCTGTTGGGTAGGTTAGTCAAACCCGACAACATACGGCTTCATCGCACTTACTCCAGGCACACACGAGAACCAGCTGTTGAAAGTCGTGAACTCATCCACAAGGTCCACGAGCGTAGGAACCTCCTCCTCGGTGTAGTATCCCATCACCTGCCTTGTCGCCTCCTCTGGGGCCAGCTTGGGGTAGTCGTTGAGCTGGGCGTTGAGGAAGCCAGACTGGTCGGCGACGACCTTGCCACTGGCAATCGCACCATTGTTTGGGGTGTAAGTCCCGTAGAACTCCAAGTTATTGCCAGTCACGGAGTGATCCGGATCGTTGAACACAGAATCATAGTCCTTGGCCTGGGTACAGTACTTTCCGGAGGATGGGTCGCTCGCATTCTTGTAGTTGCAGAACGGTCCGTTGTTGATCGGGTTATCGAGTCCTTGGCGGCGCACACCTCCCAAGATGTTATCGAAAGATCTGGACCACATGTTAGTGCTTGTCCTCACATACCACTGACTGGAATTAAGGGGTTTGTTTGTTCCACATATGGCTATCGCAAGGGCACACCAACCTATTCTCGAGAATGAGCCACACAATGTTCTCGACCTTGTCCTTCAGGTTCTGAATGGATTCCTGGGAACCAGCCTTGTATCCGAAAGGAGCTTCTCGGACGCTCGTATACTCGGACGTGACAGGGCTAGCAAGACCTAGAGAGGCCAAGAGGCTGAGACCAGTAAGCAGAGCGGCGGACTTCATGATTACTCTCCGATTGAGGGCGTGAGCTTGAACAATGCTGCTGGCTAGGACACCTGAGCCCGTCCACGGCAAGGCTTATATAGCCCACCGGAGGAGCTATCTTTTCGTCCCATTCGGATCCCACGTGCGCCGTGCGTCGGGTTGAAGCGCAGACTTGTCGAGGCACGAGGGACTTTCGGCTTCATACCGACCAGAGGCAGCCTATCTCCGTCCAACTTTACAAATCGTTCTTCCTTGGACGTCACCGGAGACGGGATGGCAGCCTTATCGACAAAGAAAACGATATGAAGTGGATGCCACATGAGTGGGGCTCTCATTTGACAGCCTTGGTCAGGAATAGAGCGTGATGCGAAATGGGAATGGGATTGGACAAGCAATGGCTAAGCTACTAGGGTGGGGAGAAGCACTAAACCAAGACATGGGGCAGCCTACGCTAAGGCGAGGAACGTGAGCTTAGCATCCCAGTTCCATCGCCGACGATGATCTATCCCTCTCAAAGGGGTCATTGTCCTGCAAGAGGTTGCCTCAACGGTAAGACTTCAGGACGCTCAGGTGACAGACAACTCTCCTCGAGTTGAATAGGTTGCTCAGTGAACCAACTGGTGTATGTGGGTGAAAGGGGGCAGGAAACAAAGAATAATAAAAATAAGAAAGAAAAAAAGGTACGACACACGGCTCTTTCGGATGCCTGCCGTTGACTCGGAAGCTCGCACATCTCGTGCATGCAGAGCGGCATACGACTCGTTATCAGGATATGCATCGTCCAGGAACCACGACCGACCGTCTACCAGTGAGGTTCAAGACCGACAACACGGGCTGTGGGAAGGCGATCGCGATTCTTTGGGAGTATCCACGCGAGAGATTTCGTCCTTCTCCACTCGCCCCACAGCGTCTGTCCGCGGCGCGAATGCCGTGAGACATTCCTATGTGACAAACAGTTAATAGTGAAAAGCAATACACTACTAGTACTAGTACTAGCAGGGACATGAAAAACCAACATGTCGCGATGCATCCATCCGGATATGTCGGTGTCGGAAGGTTTCCATCCAATCGCCGGACTCATAGATAAACCTCAACATATATTTGTGGAGATGAAACAATCCGAGTCCACTATCTGGCGACTGGAGGTACATGGGACGGCTGAAAAATTTGCTCCGAGATCCTTGCTATAACCGCAGAACACGGGTGTGGACTGGCTTTTCTGATTCGTCTGATACATAGTTCCCCCATAGTGCCTTGAGTTTGCGCAAGGTTAAAGTGCAGTAAGGGAGAAGTAAGTATACCTATGGTTGTGGCTAAGGAAAGCGGTAAAAGCCCTCGAGTCACGGGCCTGCAAAGTCAATGTCCGATGCTTTTGAATCCTTACCGACAAATTTGTCTCTCGACAATCATTCTCAACGCAAACTATGCTCCCCTGAGTTCCAGGTGGCAATATTCCAGGATAGGCGATCACAGATCATCCGCTATCTCTGATTTGTGGATCGTAATCCAGTCACCCGACGAAAGTCATATGCTCAGATACATGAGACGTCAGATGAAGAAAACAGGCAACTCATTAGCGCAGTCGGATTCCTACAAACCCCTGGGGATTCTGTGGGACCATGAGATACGTCACATCGATTACTTCGGGAACGGTTTCTACCACATCATTCGTGATCGCTAAAAGTCATCATGAGTCTATTATCATCGGCTATATACAATGCCCGTCTCCATATGCGTTAATACATGAAAGATTTTCCAATTATGACACCCACCAGGCCCAGCGGGACATCGGGTGCGAAGTACTATACAGGCCCAGCATCTGAATCAGCGGCGGCTCACGCAGCACATAATACCCGACTTGGCCAAGAAGTACATGGACCCAATGAACCGGAAGAAAGACAGACCGGCCGTGGCCCACAGAATGACTCGGAAATACCACGAGGTTCTCGTCGTGGAGGTGTTCTGTGCGACTCGTTAGCATTAAGCGAGGCGCGACCAAGGGAGAGGGAGAAGCATACCGTCAAACACATAGAATTGACACCAGTGGCCGTGATCAACAGAGACACAATCAGGTTGCTAAACACCCAGAGCAACACCAGCATCGTACGGAAGTTCTTGTATGAATCATCCAGACTGGTGGATTCCTCTTCCTCCGGCTCCACCCACGGCGTCAAGGCACGCTTGACCGTCGCCTCGAACTGGCTGTCGATATCCGCTTGCGGCTTGTCCACTTCCTCGATGAACTGCTGCTTGCTGCCGTCTTCTTTCTTCGTCTGTGCGGAAGGCAAGGCTTCGGCCTTATCGGATCCCTTTGTTCCCCAGGAAACGTCATGCCAGTTGCAGAAGGCATACACCATCAGAATGTTGATCGAGGTCGTCATACCGAAGAAGTAGGCCCATGAACTGGTGAGAATGTGCCACGGGTCGCCGTAGAGCAGACTAGCGATGACGTAGATACCGTAGGTGGAAATTAAGGCGATCAAGACAATACCACCGCTATCGGAAGCAAAGAACGACGAAAAGAACCCGCTCGCACCGTGGCTAAAATCGAAGTCCATCATGCCACCCGTGAAAGCGTTAGCTACCAAGTAGAACGACAGGATCAGGACGTAAATCTGCACGATAGAGAAGTAGAGGAAAGAGAGCGTGTAGGGAAGTCGCGTTCTAGTCGGGGGGGATTAGCAAGCCATCGAGTCTCATCACAATCAACATCAAGACTCACCCTTTGGGTCGGTTACCCAGCGCCAAGATGAACTGCAGCATCAAACAGAAGATGTAGCCATATTTGAGGAAGGTGTTGATGATGGGCGAAGCGTCATTTCCGAACGGCCATCCCTTGTTCTGGTTAGCGGTAGCGGGCGTACCGACGAGATCCATGATCACAGAACTGGTGAGCCAGTAGGAAGCTGAACAGCCATCAACGTCAGCGGACGAGATCTTTCGTGCAGGGAAGGGGGTGCGAGGGATGCGGGTGGAACATACAGAGAGAGAACCAGGTCATAATCAGTTGACAGAAGTTATAAACCATTTGAATGTGCAAGAAAAACATGCGAACAAAGCTGTGTCCACTGCGATAGATTCGTCCGAAGTGCATCATGGCATACAAACCGGCGGCGAAGGAACCGTTCAACCAACGTCGTCGCTGACCGATAAACTCGGCCGAACCCTCCGGTACGTCCGTTTCACCTTTAGATGCCTTGACGTATGATAAATGCCATTTGTAACCGGCCTTGGCCACGAGCTCAAAACACAAGATTCGATCTTCAGCCAAGAACATGTTCTTCTTAAAAATATTCATACCTTCGATACCTTTCTTTCCGAGACGCTTGGATAGCGTGTGGTCTCCGTGGAAGTACTGCTCCAAGGGGCGGCCCATAATCGCACGATAGCGGTAGGCTGAGAAGGCACCGGGCAACACACTGACATAACCGAAGGCACTTTCTAGGGGTTTGTCCAGAATATTGGAGATCTTATACTCGAAGTTCTGCGAGGCAACAAGCGGGTTCAGGACCTTTCGCCAGCCCTTTCCTAACATAGCGTGAATCTCACCACACGAACCACCGAGATTTTTATCGTTGTAGAACGATTCCCAAAGGGCCAATAACGATTTCTTGCCTGGTTTGGTTCCCGCGTCGATCAGAATGCAGACCTCTGGGTTCAGAATCCGACTAAAGGCGTTGAAGAGCCAGCGGTGAGAGTTGATCTTCTTGCTATTCTTCTGTTTGAGACAGAAGATCATCTGGACGGGAGGGAGATTCGAGGGGTCGTTGCCTTGCGGCCGAACCAACTGTTGATTTGCGGTGACGGACAACTGCGTGGTATATTCGAACTGTGCCGGTCAGTCCCATCGATTCATCGCGCCCGGGGAGTTATTGGAGAAAACGTCAGAATTTGGGGCGGGGGGGGACTCGCAAAACTCACAATATGAGCGACGGTTTCCCGACCGTCAACGTCCTTTTTCATCACTCCATCTTGGTAAATTCCGACTGTGGCCAACACATCCAGTGTGTTCTTGTCGCACGGCTCGATTCCGTCAAAGACGAGACACACGACGATTTTCTGCCAGGCGGGACCTCCCTTGTTCCAGAATTCGGACTTCTTCAAGTTGACAATATCGCGCACATTTTGCATCACACCGTGCAGGGTTCTGGCGGTCAGAACCTTGTCTTCATTGTAGTAAGTGATGGCGATCAGCAGTTCGGTGTGGCGGTTGTAAATGGCCGGGCGCAGGTTGTATCCGTTTCGCAGGGTGAATTCGTCCGGGTCGCAAGTAGCCGCCGTATCTGTGACGGGAGGGATTAGTCCGACCAGTCTCATGGTGCTGCTGTATGAAAGGACCTACACCGCATATGCGTAAATTCCTCCGAGAAGGCCTCCTCCGCCTCCCGATATTCCGGTTGAATGGCATTCTGAATGGCACTGGGCACGGGATAGTCGACGCTCAGAACGGAACCCTGCACGAGGTTGATCTTCCGGGTTCCATAACGGCGCAGACCCGACCGGTTACTGATGCTCTGTGGCTGGAAGGTATCGAGTTTAATCCCGCTGGTCTCCGACATGCCCGTGGCATCGTAGACTTCGGCCGTTTCGGACTCTTGGTAGGGGGGCGCCGCGAAAACGGTCACACCGGGATCATGGAGGGTATAGCGACGCAGTGAATCGGACGACAGACTGGGATCCTCCACCCCGTAGATACTGGGATGATTATGGCGCAGGAGCGACGATTGCTCCTGCTCGTCTCGGTCTGACAAGCCGGGCGTTTGCTGTTCCGGTTGAGGAGGCATTAGAACGGAAGAAAATGGCAGCACTGCCAAAACAAAAGTTCATCGGATGGCAGGGAGAGGGAGTCCGAAGAACAGAAAAGAAGAAAAAAGTGAAAGCGAGGGAAATGAGCGAAGGACAGGCAAAGACAAAAGAATACGAGCACAGCAAACAAGCGTTCAACTATTGCAGGTAGTCGCGCTGATCACACTTACAGTTCGAGAGGGATTGGTATGCGAGTAAAAACTGCTCCGGCTTGGCTGAGGAGAGTGTGTGGAGTTGGGCCGTACGGGTCCCATCTCGACGGGCGTGTGGGCGAAAATGCACCGTCAACAGTCGACACAAATTGTATATATCAGATCCCCAATTACAACCAGTGTTTTTTTGTTTTTTTTTTGGTTTTCGTTGCCTAGAAGCGACGCTGCATGAGACACAGCGAGCGAGGGACCAAAACGAGACGTAGGGAGATCCGGCAAGGATCGTCGGTAGGGTCAGTCCGTTCGTTCCGTTGGGTTGAGGGAGGAAAGGAAAAGTAGAAGATAAATGAAGAAGAAGAAAGGACGGGAGGACAAGGGCTTCAATTGTTAAAGAACAAAAAGAAAAAAAGAAAAAAAAAGAAAACTAAAAATTCTCCAGAGGTCCAGAAACGAGATCGAAATCCCCCCATACAATTAATAAATGGGAAGGTACGACAAGTCCAGGTCAGTCAGCAGCCGTGGGTGTGGAACCATGGATGCATTCTATATATAAATTCCAATCTCCCAAATTCCTACGTGTGATTAATTCTAATTTAATTCATTCTAGGGGACAGACAACCTTGATCAAGCACCCAACTGCCTGGAAGGGCCAGATCCTGCTATGATCATTGGATCCATGCAGGGTCATGACTAGAAAGGTTGATCAATGAGCTCGAGAATTATTTTTGGTATTTTAGGGAAATATTTGGTTAATTTCATATTCGTCCTCTTCAAGCGTGCACAAAGAACTAGGCTGCAAGGGGGGGCGCAGTGATGGGCGTGGCTTGGAGAGACTCCCTTCTCCCTCTGTTAGTAAGTAGATCCAGAACAACAAATAAACCAGACTGAATGGAAAACAGAGTCATTTTAGAGAAAGATGAAAATAAACTATGAACGAAATTAAAATACAATACGAAATTGACGAGATCCATGAAAATAAAATGAAATAAAAATCAAGAATCGAGACTGTAATTATAAAACCATCCCGATCGGAGTAATCATCATGTTCTCTCTCTCTCGGTTACTCCGTCATCAGCTTACTCTGCGGGACCCACAAAGATGCATCTGAGTCGCCAGCTGGAAGGTCGATCGATAACCCCTTCAGGCATATCCTCAAGTCATCCCTTGGGTGCCTGAGGTACCGTACAATAAAAAAGCCTACTAATGTTATCCACCAGGTCAGAGTTGCCACCCCTACCGGGAGGGGAAAACCCTAAGGCCCCATCCCAGGCACGATATTGTACAACTCCTCAAGCCGAACGCAGCAACACAACACACTTCATCAAGGGAACGACCAATCCTGAGTATGATTCCTTCCGGTGGCTGACGCCGACCGTCCATCATCATTGGTCTTCCCCAGGGAGCAGTGCCTCCCTTCATGATCGCGCGACACGCACCCGGGTGGAGCTCCAGGGCCCTCTCCCGATCGCTCAGTGGCCGTTCTCCAGGCTTTGCGGGTTGGGCCATGTCTTCTGATTTGCCTTGCTTGAGGAATGCCTACTCCACTGTGGGTCACAACATGCGCATAGCCGAGGGGGGCTTGAACATTCGATCAGTGAATGAATCCTTATGACGGGACATTCATGGACAGCGGGTGCAGTCCTCCGGTATGAACCGTGGCAGGACACTGACATTTTTCTTGCCTTGGGGATGACATTTCAATCAACTTCTCCGGACAGGAGGTTGGTCGACTGGGTGGAAAAGCGGTCCATAGAGATTGCCCCATGAAACGCTTGTCGCACTGCCAAGAAAAAGAAAAAGAACAAAAGGATGAGAAAAAGAAAAGTGGAGAACACAGAGAAGGGTCCCTTGATTTTTCGACCAGTCCAGGGCCCTTCGTTTTGCTGATCACAAGTTGGCGGTTGAACACGTTGGACAACGATTGACAAGGGCTGAGGGACGGTGTTGGTAGTCTTTTTATTCTAGAATTTCCAGTGGGATCAGTCCCCATCGGGAAGCGTTAGTTTGAGATACTATGATATTTCGTGGTATTTTTAGATTTTTAGACTCCTTGGTAACTTTTTGGCATAATAAGACCGGATCTTATAGATGTACTTATTACCTCGTAGATTTACTCCTATCACACATTATCCCTATCGATCAAGCATCAAGGGATCATGAAGAGTGACCGTGTAACTCAGATACCAAGCCGTTTAGATCATCGGTTCCCCTTTGGCCTTCCAGGTGATGAAATGGGCATCCATGCGTTACGATATATGTTGCCGATTGGTCACCCCCCCAATGCAACCCTACATCTCTTCAGCAATGGCACAGCCATGAGAATGCAATGTGGGAAAGGGAAGACAAAAACATAAAATACAATAAAAGCAAGACCATCATACTGACACGACGGAGGATTTAAGCCATGTGGTTTGAAAGCTACAATTCGCAGACCAAGAATCAGCATGATTCTTCGCGACCAACCCCCTCCTCTGATTCATCCTCGTTCTTTAGCGTCAAACTTCACCATCTATCGCCCCAGGGGTTACGGATTGCAATTCCACCTTGATGTGACAGGACGCAGGCCCACTTCCCGATGGTTTATGGGGGAATACGGTTTCAGGTCATCGCTATTGCATTTATTAGGTTTAAGAACCCCTCAGGAGGCGTGGCGACCAAGACTCCAGGGTCCATCCGAGGAGCGGAACATACCGAAAACCGTTACACCTCGGCTGCCACCAGAAACATTCCATTGTACTGTGTACGAGAGGAACAAATAAGAATGCCCTGCCTTGACAGATTGTATCCGCCAAGGGATGAGGCTTCGGCGGTCGCGACGTGTTCCGTGTCTCCCTTTGGTTGTTGCCTGAGACATCTCTAAAGTTCGGTTATTTCAAAGGATGCTTTAGTGAAAACAATTTCATAGCAAATCGTAGAAAAATCAAAAGTGGTACGAAAAGAGGCAATATAGCATCTATATCCTTGAATGCAATAAATAAGATATATCTTCCGATGGCCACCAGTGTCCAACTATCCGATAGATCTGACCGGCGGTTTCGAATGCACATTCCAATACAACGTTAAGCGTTACACATATTAGCAGGCATTCCAGGTTGGTCACATTGTGTTCAGAGGGTCCATTCGGCTTCATCATATTTCGTTATGGCAGATTCTAGCCTCTCGTACCAATCAGGTATATTGAGCTGTACGTAGTGCGCTTTGGTATATTCCCATTATTTTGGGTATCATCCACCGAACTACCAATCGATAAGTGCAGTGACTCTGCCACTGTCTAAAATGATATTCCGCGGGCAAAGATCCGCGTGGGTAGAGCAGCTTCGATGAGAACGGGAATGACAATCGGTAAGCTCTTGGCCGAATACTTTGGAGTCCTCGACAGGGATATTTTTGCGAAGAAAACAATGGAACTCTTCATGTCTTAAGGGGAAATATCCAATATGATAATCAAGACCTCCTTCAAGGCTGGCTGAGCCAACTATCTCTTGTTGCGGTGGCTCTAATCTTCGGAGCTGTTCGATATAGCTTGCAATTTCAATTATCATCTGTTTCCTCTGTGCTAGTGACGGATAGCCACCAAGCCAGGCCCTTTGAAGATCCATGCCATGAATATACTCCAGTTCAATATAGAGCCATCCGGACAGTGATAGATACCAAAGACTTTAGGAACGGGGACTGTTGTGGGCCTGGCGACATATTGCAAGGCTGTGAGCTCTGCAGCTTCGCATGGTCCTTTGACGATCCTATTGTGGCTGGCCCTAACTCCTAATCGAGCTACAGCGCCGAAAACGCTTCGTCCAACCCAGAGTCTGATCGAAAGCAGAGTTGATCTCCTACTGTGGAATATATCTCTCGGGTCATCCGTGCAGTAGGGATCTCTCGGATTATTCTGCGAGCGCAATTGCAGGGTGTGATCCGTAGCTCGGGAACCGGGTAGCCTACCACCCTTGGTGATGGAGTTCGATCTAATTCAATTGGGGAAGATGTTGAAAACGATCATCTAGTTCATATTCGTCAAGATTGTACGACGTAAGTCTTGTGTGTTTGGAATTGGAGTGAATGGTAGGTGTGTAGTTAGGAGTAGTAGAAGGGGTCAGTTGTTTACATATTTTCAAGTCATGTTATCAAATCAGAAGTAATAAAGAAAATAAGAAGAAACAAAATATCATGAATAATATATGCAGTGCATATAATGGGGAAGAAAGATCAGGTGATGCTGTGGGTATCCATATGTATTGTATTTATCAAGAATCAATCTAAAAGGCCTGGACCCGCCGATGCCCACCTCAGTGTTGCCTTGCCAGCTAGAATCTATACTCAGAGTTGAATTAGCCATGTCTTTCTAGGGTTCTTTCTGCTCTTTTCCTTTCCTTTCCTTTCCTTTCCTTTTCTTTTCTTTATATATATATATATATTAGTTTCCTTTTATTTCTTGTATAAACATCTTTGGGTTTCTGAATATCCCTCCAAGAGGTAAACATTTAGCCGTGGTTGTGATAGTATGTTGTCACTTTTATATATCTCTGCATCCACACTATATATACTAGGGAGATCCTCATACCGTCATTGCGTTGTAGTTCACTGAAAGCATTTGTATGCTATTTAGCTCAATTGCTTTACGTATATCTAAAGAGACCTTTTGCGTAAAGAGAAATTTTACAATATGGGGGAGTCAAGAACTTATAAGAAACTTGAAGACAAAAGAAAGACCAAGTGTTGCCACCCCAAGAAAATGCGGCGATATACATACACTAACTCGGGTGAGTGGAGTCATAAGATTGATAAGATGATTCAATGCTTGATGTCAATTCCTTGTTTTAGAGGCGGTGAAATTCAACCACCCCTCAAGGAAGACCGTTCCAGAAGGTACCACCGATCCCATCTCCCCAATGTCTAAACATATATTCCACACATCACACTCACTTTGTCCTTACTCCACAGAATATGTAATTTATTCACTTACTTTCTCTCCTTTACTTGAAAGCGCCTCAGTTGCGCATCCTCACACCATAGTATCATGTCTCTAGTGCAACGGGTGTCTTCCATTGACGGGGTGGATAATGTGGACGTCCTAGAGACGGAGAGCATCCTCTCCATCCCCATCCGGCGCGAAATCAGCTACGATGTCTTACCACCGCCTCCCGTGGAAGAGCTGTTGGACACGAAAGCGGCGACCCCGGCGTACAGAGTGTCAACTGCGAAGCGACTCGGTAGGCAAGAAAATACCCTGGTGAGTTGCATCAAGAAACTGACTCGCTATAAAGCCCAGGTGATTGTGACGTTATTGGCCTGTTGGTGCGCCTCGGGAATTGTCTTCGGCTTTGCGGCGCTGAAGCCCGTGATGATCAACGAAGGCGTTTACCGAAACCTGTGCACCGAGACGTTGTTGCCCGAGGAGGGCAACGTATGTAGAGCGCAAGATCTTCGGTACGTTCTCCCCATTCCAGCTTACGATTCGTCTGTCTTACACGCGTTCCCAGCCTAAATCTGTTCTTCATGGTCGGCTCGATCACGGCGAATGTGTCTGCTCTTCCGGTCGGCACCATCCTCGACCGCTATGGCTCTCGATGGTGTGGTTTTATCGGCTGTGTAGTTTTGGCTGCTGGTAGTTTGCTCATGGCCTTTTCTTTCTCGGGTCGCGTGGACGGTTATATCGCGGCAAACTTGCTGTTGGCGTTGGGAGGCACCTTTATCTTTGTCCCATCGTTCCGAATCGCCAATGCGTTCCCCAAGTACACCGGAACGATTGTCGCGCTCGTCACAGGTGCATTCGATGCATCAGCAGCGGTTTACCTCTTCTATCGTCTGGCGTATGAGAAGAACCCAGGGACCTTTTCCCCGAAGCGGTTCTTCCTCGCTTACCTAGCGGTACCGGCTTGTATTTTCATCGCATTGCTTACGATCATGCCAACCCACGACTACCAAACCACGCAACAGTTGCAAGTCAAAATTGAACAGGCCGAGGATGTCACGCAAGATGTCCATGACTCGGACGCCGAGATCGAAAACAATACAGAGCTGTGGCAAGTCCGGACGGACCGCGCGAGGGATCGGAAAGATCAACTACGCAAGATCGACGAAGTCTTCGGAGACAAGAGTGAGCGCAAACAACGACAGGAATGGGAGGAAGAGCGGCACGAAACGAGTCGGGTATGGGGGGTCTTGCATGGTTTACCGGCCCACGAGCAGATGAAGACACCGTGGTTCATCCTGATCCTTCTGATGACAGTCCTACAGATGTTGCGTATGAATTACTTCATTGCGACCGTACGATCGCAGTACGAGTTTATGCTCCACTCAGAACGGCAGGCCGAAATGATTAATGACTTCTTCGATGTTGCGTTGCCCGTAGGGGGTGTACTTTTCACGCCCGTCATCGGGCTCCTTCTCGATAATCTCAGTGTGCCAGCTACATTGGCAGTAATCGTGCTCCTGACCACGACTACTGGCGTGTTGAATTCTGTTCCCGCCGTATGGACGGGCTATCTGACCGTCATCCTCTTCGTTCTCTTAAGACCATACTACTACTCGGCCATGTCGTAAGTGTACCCGTTTGTGCCACATATTTTACTCAAATGCAATACTAATTACTATAACATCAACAGCGACTACGCTACCAAAGTCTTTGGCTTCGGAACCTTCGGCAGAGTCTACGGGACAATCATCTGCTTCTCCGGCCTCGTCAACTTCGCCCAATACTTGTTGGACTATCTAACGCACGGTCCGTTCCACGGCAATCCGATCCCAATTAATATCTTCCTTGCCACGGCTGGCCTCATCGTGGGTACAGCCCTGGTGACCTATGTATATATTGCGGAGAAAAGATGGAGGGAAGAGAAGCGAGCGGAATGCGACGAAGAACGGCAGAGATTGATTCCGGAAGAGGAGGAAGAGGAAGCTTGAGACCATGAGGGACGTCGTTTGGCTGTTATAATGGTACAGCTTCTTGAGGATATGTTACAAACGAGTTTTACATGTTGCCTTACGCAGCGAACATATTGTTAATGACACAACATACGTTTGTTGAAGCAGAGCATATTGAATTCCTGACTACAACTATGGTTAATCTAACTAGGAAACGGCGTAGCGTTAAATTAACAAGCCATATATGATCAAAGCGCCTGCCAAACGTAGCAATACTAAGTAGCATTGACACTAAATGCTGATATAAACCCCATATCCAGCTACCCAGCTATAGTCACGCTAGCAACAGAGAGACGGACCGTCGGTCTATCAGTATTATAACGTCTCGGTCAGTCCTAGAACCTTGAAATCGTCTCTAATACAACTAATTAAGCACTGGTATCTTATCCGCAAAAGAAAACGAATAGCGGGGCCGACCTATACTTGGGAGTGGACAGACAATGCGTGAAAGGGAATAACTATTGTGCAATGGTCTTTGAAGGGATAACAATATATCAACTGAGTCGCCTTTACTGCTATAGTAACTGTATCGTAGAATCGGGCTATTCTCGGAAGAGCTGTTGATGGAACACAGTTTATAGCCCCCTGGATCATCTCAATGGATATAGGTGATCAGGTACACGCGAACTCTCATTAATCCATCTCAATTATCAATGACCATCCTCGATACTAGTAGTCCGTACGCGTTTATCAGTTACACGAAGAGTTCTCTTTAAAAGGTATACAGTTCAACTAATATGAACATAACACCAGTGGAGACGCTGCCATATAAATATAGCAACATACTCTATATTAGCAAGATGCTTACAGTTATTATTCCCTTTAATTATAGGACAGATAATAACAAGTACCATATATATATTAACTAATCATTGATTACCAATAAAAGATTAACAGAATATCAACAGAATATCAACAGAATATCAATTAACCTAGAAAAGCAGCAAAGTAAACCTATAATATCAGAGAAGATATTAGTAAAGTCCATCTACTTCCCAAAAATACAATCATTGGAGGTACCAGTCCTGGTTATTTGCCGCGAGCATCCCCAAATACCAGATTCCAAGTAATACTGTTAGTCTCGGTTGTGAAGCAGTAGTACCCTTCATAATCCAGGGAATAGATACTGAGAGCTCCAAATTACTATTTCTATTGAGTCTTCGAATAGCAGCAAGTTCCTTACATTTCTGAGGTCGGGGCTGCTAAATTTAGGGTAGCATTCCTTTGTTTATAAATAAACTAGGACATCTTATTGTTAGTTGAAGGTACTACTTCAACCTCGGGGCACAATATTAGAAGGTTTGGCTCAGATTCTATTTTTCTATAGATATAAAAGTATTGTTTCAACGTCGGGGCACAATATTGAAGGATTGGATTAGATTCCAGTGGGATGAGCGGGTACGAAGCGCCAAGGGGAGAAGTCACATGTGCCGTAGGCAAAACAAGTTGGTGGGTGTTTATGCCTCAGGCAAAGTATATATTGAAAGGGATGAGCATTTGTTATATATGATTCTATCCTTCTAATACACACAACCCATGTTCAACCCTTGTCTTTGCTTACTTGCGAATTCCGCGTAGCTGTTATGTCTAATGAGATTGAAGTGAAACTATCTGAGATTGAATTCCTCGAAAAGCTAAAGGAGAGTAAGTACTCGGTGGTTTTCAAAGTCCGTTTCCGGGAAAAAATATGTATTATGAAAGTGGTAAGTGTAAGTAGACTTATTTATTTACTGGCTTCTTACTTATAATTGAAGTATCATGATAGAGGCCCGTCTGAGTTCGATCCCCCTGACCGCGAAGTCAATCTCTTTGTTTCGGAGTCTACCGCATACCATCGAATGAAATTGAAGGGCTTGTGCAAGAGTGGTAGTATCCCAAATTTTTACGGGACAATCAGAAATATTCAACCGGCTGTTTGGCCAGATCTTTACATGTTCCTTGACGATGGACTGACGCCCAATGCCATCCTTATCGAGTATATTCCAAACCTGCAGCCAATAGACCTATCCAACTTTTCAGAAAAACGCCTGGCTGAACTCCGCAAGATTCTCGACGATATTCACAGGGCAAAAGTCCTCCACGGTGATCCGAAGCCCCGCAATATGATGATATCTTTAGGAGAGTACGAGAGGGTACTCTGGATAGACTTTGATTCTGCCCAAACGTTCTCAGAGGGTGATCTTTCCCCAAAACAAGAAGAATGGATCAAAGAAGAGGTTGAGATGATGGACTATTTTGTTGAAGCCTTAGTAAGTTCCAGTGTCCTAGCTACAGCTTTTGCTGACTGTCAAACAGGCTCAGGATTTCAAAGAAGGCAGGCTGAATCGTACAATTTCGTACTATTACGACTGGTACGAGTAGGCAAAAAAGTCTGGCTAGATTATAGTACTTTGTACACAATGTCAAAAACCTGGTGCTCTAAGTGTCTTTAATTCATACTCAAAGGAGTAACATTGAGTCATTGGTTCTTATACTATCTTAGTATTCTTCTGGTGAAACCTAAACATCCGATATATAATGAGAATGACGATGCGATAGGTGGTGCAAAAGCTGTCCAATATATGGTCTTTGTAATATACTTCTAGAGCTGCTGTATGATCTGAGGTGCTCGAGGTCCAGAATTTGTCGCTGCCTTGAATATCTCTTCAGTGACTGGTAGTTTTTCCTCTAGACGGAGAAGGAGAATGCTTGAAATAATATATCTACAGGGTATCTTCTAGGTATAGAGCAGTCCATGTTTTTGCTTGCAAGCTTTCAACATACTTCTTTTATTTTTGAATTTCGTTTTAAAAGAAGGGTTTGGGATAGCCGAGTTATATTACAACCCTTGTTTATCAAGAAAAATACTCCAGCAATTTCCAGGTGATTCCGGACATGTGCCAGCCTTTCACATCATGAGTCGGTGCCGTGGTCTAGTGGTATGATGTCACATCACTACAGTCACCCCTGGTTTGAGTTTTGGCGGCGTGCAAAGTTCAAACTATCATACCTAGTGTAGGAAAATAATTGTTCCTCTTCGTTCCATGTTTGGTTGGGTTGGGATGATTACTGTTCCCTTCCGACCTAATATCGGCTCAGCTGGTCTCATCTCAGGGTTGGTGAAGCAATCGAATAAAGGTATTATGGAGCTCCCATACAAATCATAAACATGTATTATAGATGCTGAGGGGTACGAGGCCCAGGCGCCGCTTGTGAATTTTAGTGTACAGTGCAAGTTAATGATATAGCTTCTACGCCACTGGAGAGAAATTGTCAAGAATGTTCAGGACGTGAAAGCCAAAGGGACCGGGTGGGCAATACAGGAGCCACTGGAGTAAAGTATGTCAGAAATCCCTAGCAATTGAAAATAAAGAGAATATAGATACTAAGTAGGAATTGGAAAAAAATCCATTTCGGGATCTAGCATAAGTTCTTATTCAAAACCAAATGATCTGAATACTTCAATATATGTATTTTTATATCTTGAGCCTGCATAGATACTATGATATACGGAATTGTTCTTGTATTACAGGATCAGCTATTATTTACAGGCTACTGGGACTTTGTTTAAGTCATTGTCTGTTTAGAAGAACAGAAGCAGTGACATGTTATCGACACGTGAGACCACCTAGTTACTGAGTGCCTGGCCAGCCTTCCACAGCAGTGTAAGACAACTCAGATTCCCGGCCCACCAAAAGAGGCCTCGCCACATAGCGGGCCCTGGCCGTTCCGCCGTAATGTAATTGATCGCATAGAGAACCCGCGCCACAGTGTATGTCAAGCACGCCGCATTGATCGTCGTCCGCGGTACGCCGGCGTAGGTTGCAAGGGTAATTCCTGCGACGAAGAGGGTGTAGTTCTCGACGGAGTTGGCATGCGCCGCTTCGTTGCGCTGGAGCTTTTCGAGCTGCTTGCGGGTGATTTTGCCCTCCCGCACGGCCGCCTCGCCGTACTTGCTCAGGTCCTGGCGGGGAGATTCCTGGTGGTCGATGCCGTAGTACTGTTTGAGAGTGCGCGAGGAGAGGACGCCATAGGCGAACACGAAGTGGAAGATGAGGAAGCCCGGGCCGTAATTAGGGATGGGCGTCGACAAAGGGCCTTGCGTGAGGCCGACGGCGGTTAACAAGGACGCCATTGTCGCAAGGTGATGCAGGAGTGAGTGTGGTTGTGAAAGATGTGCTGTCCACTTGCAACATATAACATTAGAATGGCCCCCACCTCCCCCTCTCGGAGCTTCTCGGCGTTAAGGCGGGTGAGATTTTGGTCTGGTATGCCAGCCGGAATGTCGGGCGGCGACATGCCGACGGACCGACTCACTTCTTCAATCGGGTTGTAGATGCCCATAAAACTTTCCGCACACGATTAAAATCGAAATCGTGGAGTCTCTGGCTGCGATCGGATATGTGCTACGTCAACTAACCGTCCCAAAATAATATATTCCAACTTCAACTTGATACTATAGACCAACACCTTCGTGGTGACCTGCAGGGTGAAATAGCCCGCGAACTGAACTGCCACCACCGCGACATCGAGCACCATGATGGCTACATTGACGATAATCAGCTGCGTGAGAATGGTGCGCGACGGTCCTCCGCGGTCCAGCCGCAGTAATTTGGCGGTTTCCACGATGTATACGGAGGAGATCAGGAGCTCTTGCACACAAAACCACACCACCTGAATTCGTTCCATGATGCCAAACGCCACCGTCACGTTGTGAATGTAGGAGAGACCATTGTTCATAAACTCGAGTGTGGTAGCCGCAGTATGGAGGAGGACGCCGTCGATGATAATGAGGTAGAGAATGGCCTTGAGCACCTTGCGATTGTGAACGACGAGGTGCAAACGTGACCAAAGGACAAGCGATTGACCGGTGACCATGCCTACCCAGCCGATATCGGTGATAGCTAACTCGAGATATCCGTTGGTGAAGGTGATATGAAACATCTTTAGGAGGTATCCCAGGCCAAAGGGGATGATGGAGATGGAGGCCACAAAGAGACTCCAAAAGTAGGTGCCGGCATAGCGCTTGAAGGTATTGAGACAGAGGACTACCAGCTCGAGGGCATTACACCAGGCGAGAGCGATGAAGACGGAGTAGACATATTGAGCGACGAGCGGATCGGTCAGTTGCCGCGCTAAACCCGTGCCGTCATTCTCGGGGGTGTAGCGTGGCATAGATTCTTAGCGCGAACATGAGATGGTGTTTCTCTCTTCTCTTGATGGATTGTATCGATCGCGCTATGTATCCATGTATGTATCTAGCCAGAATTGGGGTTGGAAGACGGGTTCACGAGTAAAAGGAGAACGAAGGAAAAGAAAGGAAGGGAAAAGGAAGGGGAAAAGAACCGGAGAACAAATTAAAAAAGCGTCAGGTGAATAAGCTTCGGCGAGAATATCTTAGTTCGTCAGGCTTGGAATGGAAGCCTCAGTCTACCAGGCTATGGAAGGCACTACTAGTACGTACTACCGTCACTGACCGAAGTCTGGTAGAGTTTATGGAGAACATCTCGGGTCAACCAATTGTGTCATGAAGAAGCCCCTTTTAAAATGCCGCAATATTTTTGATTGGCTGAAGATACATACCCCGGATAACCGGAACCCAATCAGATGTCTGTCATTCTGCTTATCGCATGGACGCCACCAATTGGGGATCTGGACCCAGTCATTGGTGAAGAGGGGGAGAAAAAAGACAACTCCGGTTAGTACCACCTCGTGACGTTTATCACATGGTGACCATCTGACTTGGAACCTTCCTTCCATTACTATGTATTCTTCGAGCTACTGCAACTGCCAACACTATTATGTTGACCATTATATCGTGCAACTTCCGTACAACTTCATACCTCATTGTAATGGGACAGCGGACATGCCGCCCCAAAAGGCCACGTCACCACACAATTACATCCAGCTCAAAGTCTCATCCGAGCTTCATGAAACCACCTGAGCCCTCGCACTCTGGTGCTTGTTTTCATGGGATTCAATATCGGGATCACTAGCCTTGCGCAGCTGGTTCTGATGTGTAGCGCCCTTACCCGCCGTGAGGAATCCATAATCATGCGGTGCCTCCCAAACACCCAATTTGTCAACTTCCTTGACCGTCCAGTGTTGCGGATTCCGTGCCGTCCATTTCTTCTCTTTGGCAAGTTTCTCATTCAGTCGGTTGAACATGTTCTCATACCTCCCCGACCCCTTACTCCAGCCACCGTTGCGCTGGTAACATCTCTGTAGTAGTGCCGTTTGCTTGGAGGCAATCTCGGCCGCCTCCGATAGCGTGATATCTGTGCTGTCTTCGAGTAGCTGGCGCAGAACGGATTCGTGTACCCCCATTGCGCGAACATGATCACCTTCGGCGGTGTAGAGAGCCGAGAGCAGATTCGTCAACTCCAAAGCACTTCGGTCAAATGGACCCCAGACTCGCTTAACATTATAGCATAACCCACTACACAGCTGAGTTGCTTGCATGGTCCGACCATTTGAGAAGCGAGCCTCGACTAGTCGTCGCCCCACCAGAATGATAGTATCCGAAGACCAGGTCTTTTGAACAACACGGGAAGACCACAACTCGTTCAGGAGGAACTGTGCATGTGTCAGCGGTATCAAGACGAACAAAATAAGAATAGAGGGGCCCGATGGGCATGGATACTCACCTCTAGATCTTCAAAATTCCTCTGGCCGCCTAACAAGATCGCAAGTTGGTTGAGATCTGTGGTCTCAAAGTCCGTAAGATTTACCCCTTTCTCATGATAAGAAGAGATAATCTCATGCAGGATGGTCTTGGAGAGCACTAGCATTTTCCCACTTAGTTCACGATCGGAACATTTCCGGGACCCTTGCACAAGAAGATGCTCGGAGAGTTTTACGCCATCTCGGGTACTGTCCTGATCCTGAAATCCGCCGGAATCGTTGACGAACTCGTGAAGGATGGCGGCATGACTAAACCCCGGTCGGAAACGGCCAGTGGTCAGTTTTTGATAAACATTATCGACGATCACGCGAGTCAATTTTTTCACTAGGCTTCCCTGTGGTGCCTGTGAGATGCAGATGTCGTAGAATTCTCGCAAAATGCCCTTGCCAGTTTCAATGCTACTGAACCGCTTAGTAAATAACTGGAACAATTCTGCATCGGTGGCGTTGGCATTCTCAGTCCAACCATTGAGGCTTTGGAAGTTCATCAAGCGGATTCCAGCAATGAATGTGTGGATAAAACTCTTCTGTTTTCTAGCGTGATGGAATGCCGAGTATAGCTGAATCTCTGCGATTAGGTCGGCCATTATGGATGCATAATTGCGACTCTTCCCTAGAGTCATCTCGAATGCGACGACGAAGCTGGTGGCTCTATGAGACCCCTTCGTATCCATCGCCTCTTGGATGAGTCGGTGGCGGAGTTCTCTCGAAAGTCGGGCCCCTTTTTCTTTCAAACCAAATTCTACGTACATTTGCGCGAGCTCGACAGCCGCGGCGTACAAATGCTGGCTGTCGGTTTTCTCTTCGAATGTTGCCACTGTACTTGTCTCGAGCATCCCGCGAAGCTCCTGGTTTGCAACTTTATTGTTCTGTTGATGCAGTAGTTGTAGTAATTCCCGCAACTGTGGAAGACTATGGTTTCGAGACGCATATCCATGCTCATGAACCAACGAAGTGTATTTTTCTCTGTATAGCGCGGCAGCCTTGTGAATGGTCCGAGACTGGCGGGCGTAGAGATCTGCCAAACAGTGTTTCATGGCCATTGCGGTCATTTCATGTCGCTCAGAGAAGGTTTCGCTCTGTTCAAGGGCTGTCTCATACAGTTCCACTGCTTCATCATGGTATCTTCCATCTCTGCGACAAATCTCGGCCAAAGAAAGTGTTGCCTTGTAGCTTGGTCGACTAGAACTCCCATGCCGTCGTTGGCACATCTTGCGATAGCTGGCTGCTAGATCATGAATTTCTACGATATTCGCCTCCAGCTTTGTCCCCAACAACGTCTTGTAATGCTGATAGACTTCTTCGACAAGCTCACTGCTTAACAGATGGTCCTTGTCACCGCTGGAGATTGTCCACCACAGCGTCTCATAAACGCCCTTTGCCTTCGTCCATCTTTCAGTATTCTCATAAATGGTAGCTAGAGCACGAGCAGCGGCAATGGCTCGATGGTCTAACTGACTGTTGTGCCGAAGGTTGTTGTATACCTCCTGATACGCCTGTTCAGCTTCCTTTTCGTGGTGACACCTCTTTGCTAAGTCTCCCCATTCGTATAAGATCTCAATACTCTGCCTGTGGCTCTTTCCTAAGCGCGAAGAAATATTCGCATACAAGTTTTCGTACGTCGTTATTGCCTCAAGGAAGCGGTATATGGTCTGATAAAATGTGATAACCCTGTCCGCAGTGGATCGAACCATATGAGTGTCAATTGCATCAGAAGAGAGTACGGCTTTCAGGACGTTCTGATACACGAGCGCCGCCTTGTCAATTTGCAGATCTTTGAAATAACACTCTGCAAGACTTGTTCCTAGTTCTACCGTTTCATCGACATTCTCAGTGAGTCGGATTGTCGCCGACTTGCTGTCAATCTCGGACCAAATATGAGACAAAGCCCGACGATATACACCAGCAGCCTCGGAGTATCGTTCCCTTTCCATCAAAGGAGACGCCACCTGCTTAGCGGCTTTCATTGATGCCAGCGTAGTATCGGATGAATGGATCCCCACGGATTTGGCAGACTCCAAAATCTCATGAATGATCTCCATTTGTTCCTCAGACATCGACGCCTCGCCTGATGAAACGGTATAGTTAGATTGCTGCACAGTCTGGGCTAGCGACGCGGTGACTTGGACAAGTCGATGTGAGGCTTTCTTATGGGACTTGCGATATTCCCACAATGTTCCCATTGCGGATTGGGCTAGAGCGTTCCATTTCATGTTTCGAATATGATTGAGTACCATTTCAAAAGTTGAGCTTAACTGGTCAAAGCGAGAGACCTGAGATTCCAAGCAGAACCATGCGGCGCTAGTAACGGATTCTGCCTCTTCCTTACGAGAGTGTCGCTCGAGATACTCGGCGTACCTTATAGTGAACTCTGCTTGTTGCCTGGTGACAGTACCCGACGTATCCTCAACGGCTAAAAGCTTTCTCCAGGTATCCATGAAGAGCGTATCGGCTTTGGAGGCCTCCCCGCCTTCCTCGTAGATCTTAATCATTTGCAACGTCGAATCGATCATACGTTGGTCTGTGACCGCTAAACTCTGTTTCGAGAATTCATAATCGGTTTGCAATATTTCTGCAGTAACGTCAGACATAGAAAGCCTTTCGAGTTGCCTATATATGTGCCGGGTCATCTTCTCCATCTCCTGCGAGTGTTGGCCATATCGAGCAATGCTCATCTCAAAGAGCTCTTTGGATAATCTCCTCACGGAATCCTTGTGCTTCGAAGTGGCATAGTGATCGAGCAGCATCTGTGTGTATTGGATTGTCATATCATTTGAAAACCCGACTTCTTCCTTTGACGCTTGCAATAGATACTCTAGTATTTCCTCCTTCTGGCGCAAGAAGGCCTCCTGCCTACAGTCTTTTTTTGCTGCAGCATCAATGAAAATCTCTGCACTGAATCTCGTAACAACATTGCGCGACCCCAGGAGGGACCTGCTCTTTCTCCAGGCCTCATAGGAATAGTCAATAGCGTCAATGGATTCGAGCTGCTGTGAAGTTTGCGCTGCGTTGATTAAGCTTTGCAGCAGTGGGAGGGAGAGGTCTGGGAGGAGCTGCCGACGAAGTTGGACGGAAAAGGCCTGCAGCTCCTGCACCTGGTATGGCAGATATTGCAGTTGATGGCAGCCGCCTTCAAGTAGTGCCAGCAAAACGGAGTCTGGGAAGCTCCGTTTGAATAGATTGGTGACCTTGAAGCTGTCTCTTTCCTTCTCGTTCATTTGAGAAGACCTGAAGTGCAGTGTCCAATACCTTGCCGCATACTCGAGTAGTTGATATTGATCAAAATATCTGTGTTGGGCAGACTGGCTCAATGGCGTCGTGGACACTTCTACCTCATCAGTTACATTGAGCTTCACGTAGGCCAACAATCGTATAAGAAGGTCGGAATGCGCTTCTTTCATGGTCAATGGCAGTCTTCCTTTACCACTATCATTAGTGGCTGATTTCGCTTGATTGATGAGGAACTGTCGGAGAGCAGACGATCTAAAGGAAATAACTTCATCTTCAATTGTAATAAAAGAGCCAAACAACCGACGAATATCGCCTTCGGTGTTTCCCACACGAGGTACAACTTCCGTCCTTTTCGTGTCGATCTCCAAAAGAGAACGAATCTCTTGTACTCGTAGGGGCCGGTGGGAAACGATCGTCCA